TGATATGGAAATCGCTATATACAACTGTCTCGGAAAGGCTAGGATCTCCACAACTCCGAGCCTCCATCCCGGCGATAGGAGAACTCTGGAGCATTGATCAATCTGGTTCCGGTATTTATCATCTATGATAGTGATGGGTAAAAAGCGCCAGGAAAGAAAAAGCCAACGCTGATTAGCGTTAGGCGATCGACATTGGCCAGACGCTTAGTTACGATCTGCACTTCTCCAAATGATGGAACCCGCCGTGCTGCAACCGTGAGCTTCCACTCTCCCACGACGGTGTGTGGTTTTCTCGGAGCTTGTGCCTGCGCGAAACACGCCACCACGATAATCGCACATGCTTAGTTCGACCCGAAAATAGTCCAAACACACAATCCCCCTTTGTCGTTCGTCAGCCGTTCATCAGCGCGGCGATGAATCAACATGAACGGCTGCAAGAGAAAGGCAGACATTGCCATCGACACGGACCTGAGCGTGGTTCTTGACATGCGCCACCGACTTTAACCTGACTGTGGATACACAGAGGTCACATTTTCGATATTATGCCTCCCGCTACCAGTCCAATTGAGCCGCGCTAATACCCGATTTTCCGTTTGCGCTATCGCGATTGCAACGCTGGGCCCATCGAGGCAATATAGGTAATATATGCTTGCTCCATCGGACCCTCGCTTGACACGGTGAGAGATTGGTGCGAGATTTCTATTGACACCCTGCGGCATGGTTATTCTGCCAAATTGCGTTGACACAGCACGTCAATATTGTGCCTTTGAAGTATAGAATGCCGGCCACAGATCTATCATGTCATTAGATTACGCCAAGCCCACACCCCACGCAGCTTTGCACCGAGGCGTTCCTGTGCATGATTGGCTATAATGCTAGATAGGATCGCAGTCTGCCCCTTGCTTACCCGACCTGTCTCAGCTAGAGGCTCCACTACGACCTTGTCCAAAACTGCCTTCTGTTTTTGTTGAGCCGTCAGGGGTACCGTACCGTGGTATCAACATTGGGAGCTAGGAGGCTTGTGCAGATTTCTTTCTTATTTTGTGTTTCCTCCGCTAAACATGTTCGCTGCAGCATCATTACAGCAGGGTCTAGCGCCGGCTGTTTGATATTTCTTCCACTAATGCACACACGTCCATCTCGTCGGCCCGTCGAAGGAAAGGGATACGTAGCGTGTTCCTCGTAAGCAGATCTCAATCATTTCCAAACCCGGCGGTTGTGCGGCATGGCTGCAAATGCTGTGATATCGATGTAGAACCCGACGCAGAGGTGCCTTGCCTTGGTCTGCGCTGGCCTGCCTAGCTCGTCACCCGCGAAGAAGCGCTAGTCATAGATAAGACCCTGAACAATGTGGAAACGAACGAGAAGTGACTGCCGATCACCTCGACTACTGTGATTCCGCAACACCACGCTGAGGTCCAGCCGTATATAAGTGGGCGTGAGTTGCCCACCCTCCTTTGCTTTTCCTCTTGAGACTTCAGCCAGGCAATTGTCCATCTCGCCCTCCCGACGCAAACCCAACTTTCGTTCAACCTGTCCCTCCCACGTCAGTCGCTCGAATAGTCTTTTGCCTACCATGGCTCGTTTCGCCTTCGCACTGCTGGCTGTCTTCGCCATGCTGTACACCGCTGCTGCCATGCCCACCAATGTCTTGCCGCGTCTCTACAATAGCACGGCTGCCGCAACAAACGTCCGTGTCGCGGCACACTACAACACCACCACCACCACCACCCTGCCTCTGACCAAGCGCGACCCTAGGGACTACCCCATTGCCCGCCTGAACCTCCGCGTGCCGGGACAGGAGTAAAGGGGAACTATTCCATGCACACACGCACAGCATGATGACGGCGTTGAATCAACTGGGTCTGGGTTGAGACGTTAAGCTGAAACCGCCTGGTCGGGAACATCTGCGCGGGAATTCAACTCATGAATACGACTTTAATTTCAACTTCGACTTCGACTATAACGACTACAACTGAATGACTCAATGCGGTTCATGCCTCATCTTGGCAACGAATCCTTCAACTGGGGTTTATTTTCTTTGGAGGGATACGACTTGAGACGCCCAGTCGGGCAGGATGAGTGCAAGGGACGATGTTTTAGACGAATTGATGGAAATTGGGGGTTGGCTAGAAGCCACCTTGGGGTTTCGGAAGAATATACCATTCTACTATAATTGGGCATGACAATCACAACCACGAACCCGCCGATACCACGTGCGGGTCCAAATGCCAAATTCATACCACGTCCTTTTTTTCTATTTGACAAACAATATATGAGTGTGATCAACTTTCCTCTGGAATAATGTCGCCTCACCCAATTAACTTACATAATTATATAAATTGAATCCTTCATTTCTCGAGATCTCGATGGGTTTCCCAGACATAATTCAAACCATGTTCTGCATTCCGCCTCTTGCAGAGAGCTTCCGCACTATACCTCGTCTAGGACTGGAGGAGGTACGAAGTGCAGGAGCCAGTAATAAGATCTACCACTATACCTATATGTTAATCTGTTTTGAAGTTTTGAAAGATATCCAATTAACCTTGGGCTGATCCCCACTGGGTCACAGCGTTTCGGATTAAGGCCCGACAAATCCACCTCCTTCCCAATTGCCAAGACTAATAAGCTTATTAAGGTGGGCAGACAAGTTGGAATATCCGCCCCAATAGTATGGTTGCATATGTGCTTAGAGCATTTCCACAAAATAGTATTGAAAAAAGGAGGAAGAAGTCAAAGAAATTCGACTTCCGAGTAGTGGCAGAGTATTACTTAGCGAGTTCTGATTGAATGCGGTTTGTCTTGAAGTCGATAGATCAGGCCTGACGCATATCTCAAGTTGCTAAGGAGTTGTAACTATCCTGATGTCTTGCGTGGTCTCTGCTATACCCCGAACGACAATATACTGAAACATGCTGGCCGTGTCAAAGAATAAGGCTCGCCCTGCCAGTTTCCCTCTTCATATGGAATCTCGCGGCATAACCCAACATTAAAATCTGGTGCTTGAGTTGAATGCTTACACTTCGGTGGGCAAGTGTAGCATCTGAGGTGCCATCGATACATTGTCTTATAGTGCTACAGAAAACGACATGTGAAATGCGATAAGGGCAGTCCTCCATGCTAGCCATGTGTCAAGTGACAGGGCTTTTTCGATGTCTAGGAGGGGAGAATGAAGGCTAACAGTTCACCTTCGGGCTCCTGCAGGGTTTTTCGGAAAGATTGTTATCTGGGTAGATTGTGCTCAGCTTCTTCCAACTGCAATCATCCAGTTCTTGACCACAAATGTAATATGACTATTTTGCGGCTGTGGGGAGACATCCCGGGCTCTGTCTTACCCTCAAGAATATATACGACGTCCATCGCTCAGTTCGGCCATAAAGGACCCTATTCGTCCATTACGCTATGATGGCATTGGGTTGCATTAAAATTGCCCTGGAGAATGATCTCACCAGTAGAACGTTCCTTTACGTCAAGTGAGAGAGTGTGTACCACAGGAACGCCCTAGGAAACTACGGTCGTGCCATGAAGCTGGTGAAACTAGGTGAAACTATAGTGGCGGAGGAAAGCAGCATCCTGGACGCAATCTTACGCTGTATCTTACTAGTTGCCTTCGAGGCGCTCAACAACAATCACTGCGCTATACTTTAGCAGATCCACCACCGTCTGTCAATTATACGGGACTACCTTATCTCCCGACTAGGGCAAGAGTACAAAGCTGGCATTAAGTCATCCGTTCTATCGGCTCGATTTCTGCGCGTGGTCGATGTGCATGCTAAGCCTGGGACGGCCCGCCCCGGCCTTGCTATCTGTAAACCAGTGCCACGGATCTGTCTCAAACATTGCCGGCTTCGTTCACTGTCACGCAGCGCTTCGCCCTGAACTTCAGCCGCAAGCGCAAGCCACAGGTACCAAACTCCCCAACTATAAATCTTATACTTCTTTAGATTAAATTTTCCTGCCATGCACCAAACTGGCAGGAGTACCGCCGTCCTTACCTATAAGTCCTTGATCGCTGGCACCAATCCCTCCAGTCTCTGTACGATATTGCTAGGAAGAATAAAACATGAAGATCTGAACACGTACCTGCAGACCTGCAGCATCCAATTGCACTACATTTAGACCTACTGCGCTCCTTCTTCGCCTCGTCGTCTGATTACGTCGTTCTGCACGGCTCGCCGAGCAATTGCTCTCATATGCCACATACGAAGACTCAATTGAGCCCTTCACCATCGACAGGGATCCGATGCCCGCTTTCTTCGTCGACCAAATGCGCTCGCCTGAACCCCGAAAGCAGGCTCTGGATTTTTCGGCACCGTTCCCAGGCCGTGATGGGGCGTAGGGTAGTAGAACGGCTTATACGATTAGTGCGTGGGGTCATAGGCTGGAGGAGTATGTAAGGTTGCTGCGAACATTGGCGGAAGATAAGGAATCGGAAGAAGGGTTTTTAATGAGAAGTGGTTGGGGATATATGTGCATGCGGAGCATTGAGATGGGGTGACGGGCGGTGGTATAAACGCGTTGATGTGCTTTTTGGAGGAGTTTCGGTGGATGGCAGAGTTGGGAAGGGTAATTGCATTCCAAATAGTTGCTCATCATGAAGTCTGATACGAGACTCTAGCCACGGTAGCGACAGTCATCCCCATAATTCAACATTCAAAGTCCCAATGGAACTGAAACTTGAATATGGATTCGGTTTGACTTGGAATTTGATTTACGCATTTCTTCTGTCCATGCTCGTACAATAATGATGTAATTCTCATGTCCTCGTGAACGAAGAGCAGGGTAGCCCGTATGAACCCCAGACGCACCGGAGCTGACTCCGGATCCATGTCAAGGATCTCACGGATCTCTTTGCGGATGAGATTGACTGTCGCTTGCGCTGCCTCAACCATCTAATTAGGCGAGACAGGGATTGATGACGCACGCTTGGCAAGGCCTTCACACCCTTATCGCGATGAAATGGCGTCAACTGACTTCACTTGCTTCCTGGCTGTTGGGAGAATTTACGGAACAACCACGAAGCCGGAGTAGCCAAGAAGGAAACCAGGGTATTGGCATCCGTCCTATTAATGGTCGAGTCTCGCTTGCTTCCACGTTGAAACCACGTCCAAGTTTTAAGCCGCCCTCATCGTTGTGTCCCTAATAATCAGCAAGCTAGCCAACAAGTTCACGTAAAACGTCCCATTTAGTACTATTTGGTCTCCTTTTATAGGATACACGCTGGGAAATAACTTGAAATATGCACAATGACCATCAATTCCAAAGTTGTCCGCACCCTCACGAGCTGCCGACCGACACCTAGCATCATCAGACCCCTGCGTGCAGATTGGGCAACTGTCAACAAACCAGATCAAGTCCACCCACACGTTAGGGCATTCCAGACCATACCATCACGCTGTTCCAAATCGGCCAACCCAGACGTGTCCGAATGGGAGACGGTTGCACATAGCGCAGAGCCGCCACAACAGACAAACGAGGATGCTGGCCGCAAGAGATTTGCCGACTTCGACTTGGCAGGGAAGACCTTCATCATGACCGGCGGCGCCAGGGGTCTCGGGTTGGCTCTCGCAGAAGCGCTGGTCGAAGCCGGAGGCAAAGGCAAGCTTTGTGCTTACCCAAGCCTTTCCCGAGACTCATTCCCGAGACTCATAAAATTCAGTATACTGTCTGGACCGGGTCCCGACCAGGGAGACGCCTGGGAACAAGCCCGAGCCCGCGCCGTGTCGGAATGGGGCGGGTGTTGAAGAATTTTGAGGAAGTGCCCGGCTTGAGGGAGAAGTGCGAGAAGGAGAATATGATGGGACGGCTTTCGGAACCGCATGAGTTTAAGGGGGCGGTTTTGTTTCTGGCGAGTAGTGCGAGCAGCTTCATGACGGGGAATAATTTGGTGATTGATGGCGGGCATACCGCCTGGTAGGGTTGGGTTTGCTGGGAGGAGTCACATGGGATGGGATCAGTTGCAGGAGGTTGCCTGTCGGGTTATCTTGATTATAGCCAACAGATAACCATGTGTAAAAATGAGCCGCTAATTTTGAAACATACTGTTTGAGTGTAGCGCCCGTGGCTTTTGTCAACTTCGTTGTTATTTTGGATTTGCTGAAGTCTTACTACTGTGTCTTCTGTTCTACTGTATTTTTACATTTTAACCCCAGTGTCGAAAAGGCCTTTTCAAATGATACCATCACATCTTTACGAATTCTCTTCAAGTGAGTTGGGTCTGGACCAGTGTAGCATTCGCTTACGCGTCCCTGCCCTCGTTCCCTTGTTTCACCTTTTCCCTCCACATCAGTAAAGCAAACCCCAGGAAGACCATCTTCAGAACATAATCGAGGGCTCTATCTGTATTAGCCCCAGTCGGGTTACTCGGATAGAAACTCCTCGTCGTTATCTAATTTTGTTAACTATAATTCTAGTTATCTACGATAACGTAGTCCACAAGCGAACGGGTCACCCAATCGAACGGGTCACGCCCATAGCAAAAAATAGAACTAAACTTCCTAACTTTACCACGCAACTAATTCTCGATGGATTCTGCTCAAAAAGAATCTTAATTACTTCTTGCAACTCTGGCTATCAGAAATGACTCAACACTTAGTATCCGACGTGCTGCAACAATCTACAAAGTCTCGAATACTACTCTCCAGGCGCGTCTTCAAAAACGTCAATCACGTCGCAATATCGAAGCCAACGGTCGGAATTTAACAAAACTAGAAGAAAATACGATTTTTCAAAGGATAATTGAGCTAGATTCGCAAGCATTTCCTCCCCGGCTAAGTGCTGTTGAAGATATGGCAAACCGACTGCTACGCGACTCGCATATCACAAAGGAGGACTTTCTTCCGGCATTTTGCGACGCGTTCAAGAAGAGCCTGACCGAAAGCAATATTCGTGCAGGCTTTAAAGGGGCTGGGCTTGTGCCTTTAAGCCCAGATATTGTTATTGAGAAGCTGGATGTGAAATTACAGACTCCAACGTCCTCCCGGCCCCCTACGCGGGAAACCCTTCCTTGGGCTTCTCGGACGCCAAACAACCCAACCGAGGCTACTTCGCAATCCGAATTTATTAAATCTCGAATTGCCAGGCATCAAAATAGTTCCCCAACGTCAATTTACGATGCTATCGATCAGTTTTCGAAAGGAGCGCGGAGTATTATGCATAAGATGGCTTTACTCCAAACTGAGGTCGCCGAACTTCGAGAGGCAAATGCTCTAATTAGCAAGCGGCACAGGGCCAAAATAACACGAGTACGGCTTGGAGGATCACTTAATTCACAAGACGTACAATGTCTTCAAGATCAAAAGGACGTTGCGCAGCAAGTACAGCAGGAAATGCGTGGAAATAGCGCTGGATCAAATCGTGGCCAGCCACGGCAACGGCGCTGTGGCGTATGCGGGAAGACCGGACATAATGCGCGAACCTGTCAGGTAGAGATAGAATCATCTGGGCAAGAGTATTCTGAGTAGTTTTAATTGATTTACGGCGTTGTTGTTGCGAAATCGTGTTGAATTCCATGTTTTGCTAGTTGGCGTGACCCGTTTGGTTGGGTGACCCGTTCGCTTGTGGACTACGTTATATCGCTTAGGAATACCCCTATAATCCCTTGCCTTTCCTATTAACGAGATTTTCCCTATCTCTTTAGATACTATACGTTACTCACAAGTAAATATATATAACTACTTCCTAGCGTCATAATATTTGGCTAACGAGTATCTTGCAAGATACCAAGAGTCTAACTTTAAGAGCTAATATCTAATATCTGTATTCGTTATTATCATCAAGTCTATTTAAGATATTGATTCCTACTTGTGAGATTAGATAATATTTGGCGAATCATTTCCACAAAAGGTGTTCGTCGCACGAGACTAGATTTACGGATGGAAGTTTCTTCAATACACAACTTCCTAGAATAGTTCCACCTACATACTTCAGTCCGAATGTCACGAAAAGGGAGGGGGACCCACTGGTTAGGTGAATCCCATTCAATTAGATACTATAACGTTGCGCACTGCTGCATTATAGCATCCTCCCCCCTAGGTGCACGCATCACCGAATCACCTTCCTCAGCACCCAGCCTTACATAACTTTACAAGTAGCTGCGCGTTATAATATATTAACCCTGTAAAGTTAATTCGTTAAAAAACGATGAAGAGCGAGATCCTATAGGATTGATCACTGCTTATCGTGTGCTCCTCTCCGTCATCCACACCTTAAGCATGGTAGACCCACCTTCACGAAGAACGGTGCCTTATAGATAATCGACTCATAAATAATAGGCACTATTCGGACGGTTCCTTCGTGACACTCGACCGAGTGGGGTCGCTGGGCACTGCCTCGGTCTCCTATATATAGGGTTCCAACGCGGCATAGCGTTCGAGGAAACACTCGTGCTCAAGTTGGGTGGTCTCATAGTTGGCAGCGCGGCCCAAGACTACATCTCTTAGATATTTGAGCCAGCTCGCCGACAGGATGCCCATGCTAGAAGTTGTATCGCTTTTTCCATCTTCCACTGTTCGCCTGCGTTAGTTACGCTCATGTGAGGATCCGTTCCCTCGCCGCCCTGTGCCGAGGCGCGGTAGTCTGTTGACTTACCTCGAGCCCATTTTGCCGTTCCCGGCCTTCTTGCTAAGCTGGGAGCCTCAGGGCCCGTTTCGCCTGTTCTTTTACTCTCCGCCATTGGACTCCGCTCCTGTCCGCCTGCGTCTTCATGTTTCATTGCATTCTGCCCAAATGCGTGTTGAGACCGAGAGTCGGCACCTCGGCTGTGGTACGGATTGCGATAGCAGTAGATTGTTGGCACTGGATGGAAGGGTAAGGTGGGTTCTAAAGTTGAGGCAGGTTATAACGTACCCTCTTCTGTCAGCACCCTTTCATCTAAGTATTACCCTGTAGCTATAGATAAGATAGATAAGATAAGATAACAGCTATAAAAAAGCTTTGCCAGGCCAGAATAGCTGACTTGGCTTTCCTCTCCCAATACAACAACTCACACCCCATCTGCACTTGCATCAGGTATGCTGGACCTGGGGTAAATTAAAGTGAGTCGGAGTTAGGCTGGAGCCATGGTAGACGCCTCGCTCCTTCCTCTTCTAATACTATACACGTAACCTGAACAAACTGTTCTATCCGAACACCCGACGAGTCTTAACCCCCACGGACCCACTATTATCATAACGCTAGTACAGTAGACTTTTCTATCATTCCCAAAATACCACTGGGCCTGGGCGGGACTGCCGCCCTGCTGAGTCACCGATGGCCTCAAAGCAGGTCAGGAAGCTATATAAGGCGTAGAACAGGGCCTCGACGCTCACGAGGACAACATTGAACAAAGTGCAGTATTCGTGGTTCAGCCCCAGGTTATAGCAGATAGTAGCGTTGCCGATCAGTGATACAGAGATCGGCAGGGCGTCCACTCAAGTTCGTCTCAAATCCAGGCAAGTACTCATGTACACAGGCGATCCATAGCTCGCGGAGCCGGCTCTTCGGACTTCAATGATAACGTCATGAGTGCATGGGGGTTAGTCAGGATGACGAAGGAGCTGATCTATGACTAACATGTCATTGACAAGTATCATTAAGGAACAGATATGATTGCTCAGATAATCTCAGACCATTCGACTTGATGCATCGTTTAGACTTGGAAGACACACACAAATTCTGGGTTGCTTGATCGCTTCAAGTTTTGCTACTACACAGGACTCCAATCTGAATGCAACACTGTGGCCCGAACAACAGTACTCCAGAGCCCCTGTCCATGCTAAGATGTGGAGGACGTGGGTATCTATGCAGTATGGTTGAGTAGGTATCACGACTTAGCCAATCATATTGCCAACTCTGTGGCGAGCACAGCCGAATCGGATACTGCTCTGCACGTGGAGACGGTGCCGGGGAAATTCGAGTATACTCACTGATAACCCGCCAATAGACTACTGTCGAAGTCAAGTTTATACCCAAATACTGTGAGACGGTGACGATACACCTTAGCGACGGTTGACGTTTCATAAATTGAAACTAATGCCCAAAAATCAAGGAGGCGCCCCCCCTCAATGCGTATTTATCGTAACATTGAAAACCGGGGGATAAGTCTTGGGATTGCTACTATAGTCTTTTACTAGTGGGGACTATACATACCTTGGCGTCACTGTCCTGCATGAAGCCGGATGACGGGAAGAACTTACGCGCCTTGATCAGAATGGGACAAAGTCGTATGTTCAAGCTGCAAATCCCATGCTCGGGGGTTAATAAAACGAGATCTCGAGCTGCAGATAACTGACTTGCCTGCCAAAGTGGAACAAAGACTGGATCGACAACAAGGTCAACTCCTTCCCCGCATCTGTACACTATAAATCGCTTAGCCACAAGGTAGCAATGTGTGAAGCTAATGCTCGTATGCTCAGAAGACAACACGTCACATTTCCGGAGCAAGCCCGCAGATACGATCATCGCAGTATTGTCTAATTCCGACGACTTATCTCAATGCTGTCGTAACCAACGCCTCTTCCATGGGTTGTGTCGGGGAAGTGTAGTTCAATGGGTTTGCTCATAAACCCAATTATTCTACGGACGTCCAAGTCGCGTCAATGCCGTCAAACAATGTCTTTTCAACTCAGGGGCCTTCGCATTGTGGAGTTTTTTCTCTGTGAAAAGGTTATGCAGATCTGGAGTCTATTCTCCAGATCTAATCTTGAATTTTGCATTTTGAATTTGCTCAATCTGTTTTCATGGGAACATCGTGGAATGTAGCCGACCGGCCAAGCGCTCCGCTATTGATTGGCCGCATAATGATTCAAACCACTAGTCCCCAACATATCCACCCTGATTCCAGGAGCCGCTTTCCGGTACTTCCAGTGTGGCAGGCAGATGCTTGGATCCGTCACGTCGTGGGCTGCAATCATGTTTTCTGCCAAATCAGGATGGAAAGGATTCTATGGGTCGCGTGCGAAAGCGCAGGCCAAGACCGAAGCACCTCATAGTCGACCCGGTTCTAGATCTGTCGAGATACCCATTTTTACCCATTTTATCACCCACTTTATGAAAAAAATTGAGTAGGTCATACAGCGCATTAAATGGAACTTTAGTTGGGTCGATGAACAATCGGCCACGATGGTCAATGGCCATGGTAGGCAACGGGCGATGGCTCTCTCCCAAGTTAAAATGGTCGTCTGAGAACTTCGATAATTCCCCCGTCGTTCTCTCCATCCAACAAAAAACTCTCTGTCAACTCCAACCAAGCACCAAAAACACATCATATATAGGTGAAACTTGATATGTCTTCGCCCTCGCAGTCACCTCTGGCCCATATGCAAACGACGACCGCGCCTCCGTACGGTTAGTCCACCGCTCCGATCAAGCTCCAAAAAAGACCGCTTCATTCTAACAGCTCCTCCAGGACTGGTCAGCAGCGAAGGCTCCCCGCCATCATACTTCTCCGCTGGTCACCAAGACCAAACACCGGAACTTTTAGCCAACGAGGAGCTTCAAACGAGTACGTACTCCGAAAATCAACCAAGCCACGCATAACCAAAGGAGCACCTGCTAACGGTCCACCTCGTAGTAACACAAAATATCACCGGCCGAACCAGACACAGACGGGGCAACCTCTCCGAAACCGACTTCAACAACTTCCAGTTGTTCCGTCGGCACATCGGCTACGCCGGATACAACCCCTCCAGCTAGATGTGTTGACGAGAAAAGGGGAAGGGGAATTATGAACACACACTCAACTCCATGGTGATTTTGTTTTACTAGCGCTGCACATGATAATAATTCAACGACAACGACACCGACACCTGATGATGATGAGGATCGGTTTAGAGGCCAGCATCACGAAGCTGGACTTGATTAATACAAACAATTCAACCTTCCCACATAATTGCTGCCCGTAAACTGTTATCTATTCCATTGGTACTTTCAGACACCTTGGGTTTGACACCATTGCTTGTGATACTACCCCGTATTTTCGAGGTCCACCTCGTTGCATGTGACTGGGGCCTCTAGTCTAGCACGGGAGGGCCGGCCCACCCCGCAAGTTTCCTTGCGGGCATGGAATGCTACATTGTGTGCTACCTTGTGTAGAAGTAAATCCTGGAAGGGTTGACTTATCTGATACCCCTAGCCCTGAACCAATCCTAACCCTGTATCACGAGATGCATGTCTCCTCCACTACACCGCTGTTGTTTCCGGGCTGCACTGCTGAATGGCTGATAGAATGCATTAGAAGAGCACGGCTGGATGCTTGTGTTGCCAGGGCTATGTGGACCAACGGCGGGTGCATAGCAGGGCCTTGAAGGAGAAGGACTGAAATCAAGTTTACCCGCAGTGGTGTGGTCGAGGTGAAGATCCAGCAAAGAGTCAAGTATCGTCTGTGGTGTGGACAAGTAGCTTTGCATCCAGATTGAGGGCGAATCAAGGCCCGATCCATGGAATTGTCGACGCGTTTGTGTGGAGCAGTTCCTTCGATCGGTTTAGGAGACGGTCAGTTAAGCGCAGGACTTGTAAGAAGGAGTCTAGGAAAGTGTGGAAAGAGACAAAGATAAGTTGCGATAGATGCAACTAAGAAGTCAAGATGTGCATCAGTTTCTTTATATATATATATGTATCAGCTTCTGTTACGAGCAGATGAACACGGTAGCAGATTCAAGTCTGATACGAGGGAAATCGAAGAGGTGACTTAGTAGAGGAGAAAGACTTTCAAGGGTAACATCAGTCTGGATATAAATCCGTTTAATTGCGGGATGTGAGCCCCATTCCAAGTTTCAAGTTAGGCTTTATGTACAACGTTATAATATACAGGAACTATTTGTCAGATTTAGCCATTTCTTAACTCAGGACCAAGATTTGAGTCAGCTCTTCTTTTTCTTTTCTCTCTATCACCCTCAGGCTACTAATACTAGAAATTACGTTATTCTACATCAGCGTGCATCACTTAGCCGTGGCCGATAGAGAGTTAGAGTGCAAGAGTAACCAGGAGGCCGCACGTATATACAAATGTTAATATAAGAAGCCGTGCCGCTGAGTTGCTGTCTACCTGGGTACTGTGAAATGCAGGCAGAAACAGGAATGATTTGTGTCAATGGCACTTACATGAGTACCTGGGCGAGGGTTACACCGCCTAGGCCAGAGCCACATGTGGCGAAACTGCGATGAACGGGGGACTGAAGACGGGAAACCAGGAACGTACTAACGATGGATTCCAAGCAATTGTATTACGAGGGGAAGGGGGTTGCATGCATTGTGATTACGGACGGAAGGCACCAACTAGCTATGTAAAAGACGTCGATAGCGTATGTGCGTGGTACTGTCCTACTCGCGATGGCGAAGTGCCGGATTGGTATGCAGTCAAACGCTGTATGCGAGGGATAGACAATATCATTGGCCGTGTCGTAGGCCAGGAGTACACCACAAGGACGAATGGGCGAACTAAAAACAGGCCCACAGAACTTCAGGCGCGTCATCGTACGTCTTTCTTAATTTATAAGAACTGTTGTTCGGTCAGGCTTGTGCGACCTCCAGGTTTCCACCTAGCACAGTCGAATATTGTTGTAGCAGCCGACGTTCGCCATGTACCCATCTCTAACTTTCCAGAGTCAGGTCATATCATTGTCCTACTGGATTTCGATTTGGACATTCTGCTTCGCCCCTATTTTTCTGCGTACCGCATTTGGGGCACCGTCTCCCTCATATCTTTCCAAGTCACGCCCTGCTTGCTATGATCGCATCTGCTTCTTTCATCCGACGTCCATTTTGTGGCAGTATATAGCGATCATCGGTCATCGTATTCGAGCTTCAAATTGGGACCCAGTTACGGTGGCGGTCACGAACGCTGTTTTCTGGAGTAGTCAATTCTAGGACGAGATCAACAACAACAAGAATGAAGCCATTGGTACCGCACTGTATTTCCATCCACAATTCCACCGGGGTAATTGTTCTAGACGGTCATGTTTCTGGCTCATGTCGTCCATGGGCCCTCTATTAACAATTTCCTTCAGCGAAACCAGGAGAATTATATGAGGTAGATATACCTCTCTGGCAGGTGATTTTGGTGATGCAAGAGCCTGCACAAGCAATCCTCACAGGTTCATGCCAGCCGGACTGGATGGCTCTGGACCGAGGGTTCCTTTTGGGCTTGCTGCGGTTTATATTCACACTGCCGGGGGATAGAATTTTGTCGTCCGCAATGTCACATGCTCCTGTCTTGGGAGGTTCAATACCACTCATTCGACTAAAGTACAAGTATTGGATGCTGTACACTTCACGCTCTCGGGAGATGTTGGGTTAAGCCCCAGGGACAACCTTTTCATTGAAGTCACCTGTCCTGCCAATATGGCAAGTCTCAATAATGGGTATAAACTAACTAACTCAGTGTATTTTATTATTCTAACACCGTCCTAGATAAGGTGTGGACCTCGAGGGGGTATATAGTGGTTGAATACGAAAACCCACGCTCATCACGTTCCAGATAAGATGCAGCCATACATAAGCGCCCTTGAAGTTTCAACGTCTTGGCAGAATCGTCAAGGCATCCCATAAACCATGCAGGCGGTGGCTCAGTGAAGATACGCGGTTAAGGCCCCTAGAACACGCATCAATCATGTCCATCAGAAGTCATGGCAAAAGAGACGAACAGCTCGTCTGTAGGTTCCTGGGACTTGACGGCTTCGGTTTCATCGTCGTCTTTCGCGACGACCATTACTTCTGAGATGGTGCGGGGTGTAGCTTCATCGCTCCGGCATTGTTTAATGTGGCGCCTGAACGTAGCATCGGAGTTGAGAAGACCTAAAATCCGTAGTCGAGCTGATTCTCCATCTTCGAGAGTGACCGTAGTCTCGTTGACGTCCGAGATCTCAGCCTGCTCCAGCCCGGTCTCTGGTCATTGTAGTTGAGTCCCAGTAGATCCTTTCTGACCGCTGTGCCAATTTGCCCACGGACAGTATCGTGGTCGAATAGAGACAGCCTGATGTACCAGACGTGCTGTTTGGGGTTGAAAGGAATTTCCCACTCGATGGTGGCAAACACAGATTCTGAACTCACCAGTAACGAAAAAGTATGAACTGCTCAACGACAAGTAGGCGACGCTTTGGAGCTGGAAGTTTGTGGCTTTCAGCCTCAAAATCTCGGTTCCATGCTAAGGTGGAACTTGAAGAGTCTGAAGGGACTTGCAGCTTTGGAGAAGACGCCATATATTATGATGAGAATTCGTCTTGGATGGATCGTTGTCCGCAGCCAGGTTACCCAAGTCCAAATGGGAAAGGCCCCAGGAGTTTCATGCACGATTCCAACGGTCGTACAGACAAATGTGCCCAATCATGTTCCAATACTCGGGCCGGGGTTTGCGGCGCGAGTAGCAAGCCCAAGGCCTTTCGACGTCCGCAAGTGCATGGGACCGAGTTGGTGATGTTGAGGTAAGGAATCTCAGAACTGTTGGGCTGCAGATTGACGAAGCGACAACTCGCTGCATGGCGGCTCTCCAGTCTGGGCGGTTCGAAGATGGCGAGGAAATAGATCTCGTCTCTCAATCCACGGGGGAGGTCCAGTAGGTTCAGTCGGGTCTCGAAGCCCATGGACCGAGGATTCGATGCGGTCCCACTCATGGCTGCTGCAAGGTAAGATTGTCGGTTGTCATACTTAGGGCGGAAAATGCAGCCGACCTTTTTCTCCCGTAAGCAAGAACAGGTGGCCATCGCGTGTTATGCGTAAGGGATAAAGGCGCACTGGTGGTCGACAGTGGCTAGCACACCGCTCGTCTTCTTCACATACATATCACGACGACCCCCCCGGCTAGTTCTAGCTCTCTCGGATCACTGGACACATCAAATTACACCCCATGAAATCAGATTGAAGCTACCCCCGGGCCACAATTCATTCATTCACAAAATCCAAATGGACGTTAAATGCGAATGCGGCCGGGTCGCCTTCCCAACCCCACAACCAAAGCCCTGGCATGTGGTCGTCTGTCACTGTGACGCATGCAAGCGTACCACGGGCTCAACCTTTCGCGTCAGCGCCATCTTCAAGACAGAGCTCGGCTCAGGATCAGACATTTTGCTGAACGGCAGCAACGAAAACCAGGAAAGTCTGGTCCGCAAAGCTCCCCGGGCGGCCGAGAGCGGTAGTGTCGTCGAGCGCTTGTTCTGCACTGCATGCGGTGTCTCGGTAGCGGGCCGTCGGTTGGTGGATCATGAACCGGCGAGCGGGGAGTGGCTCAGTATACCGGCGGCGTGCATCGACGGGTTTGACTGGGATTGTCTGCAGGACAAGGACTTAGTTTCGCATTTTTGGACTTCGCGCGCGGTCGGGAAGCTCAGACTGCCGGAGGGGATGCAGCAGTTTGCGCAGAATCCCCCGCATATTGCTTGAGTAGGAGTTCAGATGGGATTGGGTGTCTGGCCCTGAGCTTCTAGTTGAAGGTATAGAGTACAGAATTCGAACTAAGAGGTGGAACCTCATATTTGCAAGAATTGATTAATTTTGTTTCTTACACTGTACACACTCACGACGCCACGACCCATTCTAAGACTCAGTGGGTGTGACCTCGGTGCTAGTGTACTGAGCACAACTCTCCCCCGAAGCATCAACCGTCATCTGTGCCGCATCATCATGCCCGCTGGAACAAGCACCGCTAGTAGCCCTCAGCTCACCACCCTGGAACGTAACCTTCTCGATCCCGCTGGCAGCACAGTCCTCGGCCCGGAAATGAGTACCGTTGAACCCGACACAGGCGTCGACACCCACGAGATCGGCGCGGAAATCAGCAGAAAAACTCCGCTGAACTTGGAGAACGCTCTCGCCGTTGAGAGTCGTGGGCGTCATTTGGCGGTCGGCAGCTTCGTTGACGCAGGCTGCATCGACAATCTCACCGTTGTTGCGGAAGGTGAGGCACTCATTTCCGGGGATTCCCCCAATTTCCTTGAGGACTTGGGTCTGGCCGTCATCTCCATCGCGTTTTCTATACACTAGGAGTTAGCCAGTGCTAGTCGAAGGGTTATATAGTGGGAAGCCAGGAGGTTCGAGTTATAGTTCAGGTCTGAAATGAGATGTATCTGCCCACATGAACAACAGAGGTACCGAAAGGGTGACAAGATAAAATCCCTTACCGGTGACGAGCTAGGACGTTGGCTTGGCGTGCAACAATATCGCTCTTAACAGCCCTCGCAACTGTGTTGGCAACATTGTTGTTTCCATTCTGGTTCCTGTGGCGAGGCTCGACCACCATAGCGGACACCGATACAGACAACACCAAAACGTTGAGGAGCTTCATGATGAATGTGGCTGTGAAATTGAGAACCGGAAAGAGGGATGGACTGTGGCTCAAGTGGTAACTTGTGGGCTATTGTATGGAAGTGTACAAATAATGAAATATGGCGCAGCCACTGAACTGAACGTAGAGAATAAAATAACAAGATAAAGCAATGAGAATACAGAGACAGAGAGATGATCAACAGCTGCGGAAGAAAGCTCAAAACAATAGGCCAGGCAATGAGAGAGACCTAACCTAGTTATATGGCGGTATAAGATCCCCAGGAACCAAGATGAGCCAGACTTTGGTTTCGAAGTTTGTAGACGACCCAATCGGCTGGTAAAGCGACCGTCCCATCAAGGGGTTCGTCATATGCAGCTCAGACAACACTCGATTCGACGGGCTGGATCATAGCGACAATGAGGATTTTTACAAGGAGTTGGCGACGTCCCATCGTGTTGTGCGGGTGCTAGAGTGGATGGGTTCAACTGGGGTTGAGGCGCGCCAAACCTGGTCGCCGCAGCTGTCACCCACTTTTGGCATGCATGGATCGGACGAACAAAGTTGGGACGAGTCAGACAATACGAACGGGGCTTGGAGCGCAGGGCACAGGAGCATCTAATATGGTAGAGATCTTCTTAAGATCGCCCTAGCGCCACGGCTTGTCACCTTGTTGAGCCGCATTGCTGGGTGGTCTGTGGGGTAAACTTTTCGAAAATTTTGATCCCGCAACTCGCGATATTGGCCCTCAATTGAAACGCTGGTAGACGGTGACGAGAGGAGCGTGATTCCACGGGCAACCCAAAACATGAGCCCCAAGTTGAAAGGTACCGTCAGAAGCCCTGGACTGCGTGGATGACGCCTAGATGTATCTCAGGATGCTGAATGAAGTCACTGATGTTATGGTCTCTCATCAACGACGCTAGACCGTAGTCTTAATATGTGGGTTCAATGGGTCCAAAAACTACTACGTAGTTGCGACTCAAATAACACGGACCCACACGCAGGATGGAGAAATCTATTTGATACTGGTAGATGGCAATAACAGCCGGCATATGAACAAGCTGTATTTGCCCACGGGGCTTCTGGAGAACCACTTTGCATCGATGTGCCGTCCGAGAATATGCAGACCGAGCGAGTGATAATTGACAGTTGGCCATGGTGAATGTGATTTGGTATGGTGAGCACATCGGGATCATCGGGATCAAGTGTGGATGTTCGGATCACCAATGGCGGTTCCTCCGACGGTGGGATCCTCTTGGGATTCTCAAACATGATTCGAAACCGACGCGGAGTTCGATTTAAGGACTCACTCGGTTGTCAGACACTCGACCGACAATGCCTGTACCTAGTTTAACCAATAAAATTCTCTCCGCGTAGGCAAGCGCGGATGCACTTACCTGGGTAGCGGTAGCTCGACTGCTGTTGTACTTCACCAGCGAAGCAACGACATCCCGAAAGTCGGCGTCAACATCGGGTAATATTGTCTCCCATGGTCGTTCTTCAAAAACCGTGTACATCTCGAACGGCGGAGTTCTGAAGGTCGCCGCCTCCGGCCACGATTGCAATGTCGGAGTCCCTATCGTTTTGAATATGCTCAATATCAAACCCAGTTGATTTCCATCTTCGTCTACTGGACGCGATTCAAACAACGGCCGTGGAGGCTTCCGACAGCATTCCGCAAGCATCGTGCCAACACCCCACATGTCGACTGCAGGGCCGTACGATCTGTTTCCGAACAGGACTTCAGGAGCTCGATAGGGACCTGTGCCAATGTCGAGGATTTTCTGGTCCGGCGGCTCGGTGACGACAGACATTTCCGGATGCCAGGCTGTACCAAAATCCGATAAATACGCAGGACCATCTGGCGACTCGAGTAGGACAGCTGAGGGTTTGATGTCTCGGTGGATGATGCCTTGGCTGTGGATGTACTCCAATGCTCCCAACAGGTTCTGAAAGTGCTTGCAGACTTGTGCTCTCGACAGGGGCCCTCGTGCGAGCAGGGCATCAAGGCTCAACGGCATATATGGGAATACCAGCACGAATCGCTGTTCCTGGTCCCTGAAGGTTTCTAAAAGAGGGATGCAGGGCTTCTTGAGAGATGCCAACATCTTCGCCTCTCTGCTGGGGTTATGGGGCTCGATATTTCGGGTTTCGGTGATCACTTTGAGCGCTCGGGTGTTCACCCGGTACACCTCAGCGGTCACACCACTGGCGACATAATGACAGTCATGGTAAGGCCCAATGACAATACCGGGAGATAACGGGACCTTGTCACCCGTTGACTGCGGCTCGGCTGCAGGTGAGACTGGGGCTTCCTGCGTAGCGAAAATCCGGCATGCTGCATAGTACTCGTCCTACTCAATCAGTAAGTAAATTTTACGGGGGTTTGTGGTCATGGTGATGTCCCGGGAGGGAACGATGATGAAAGGGTGCTGCAGGTAATGAGAACGAAGCACCTGGTGGGGTGTAAGATGATGCCGAACAGGGGCTGGCTCAGATGAGGATGCTAAAATATGGCTTGCGTACGAGCGATTGGGATGTCTGGTACGCCTTATTCTCAACTGAGAATGCATCTTTTTGTGCAGCTGCGTTGGTCGAGTCCAATGTTTCAATTGATTTCTTTCTGAATTCACACATGAGTGTCAATGACGAAAATTTGAGGCGACCATTGCCCCTGGAGACAAGTAGGCTGCTTACATTTTCTGGATGTTTTCATAACGCTCAGACGATGACAGCGAGCTCTTCCAGGTAGATCCGGAGTCCATGGCAGGCGATTTGGAGAGTGTAAAAAAAGATGCCTTGGACGCAGGAGTGTTAGGTCGCAAAGCCACTAACTAACAAACCCAAGCTCTGGGGAGCCCTTGAAGCTTTCGGTACTCAGGTACTCGGTTTTCTGTGAATGTTCAGATCAAAGTGCACTGTCCAATGTCACCGTCTCCAAACGCTGACGGTAAATTGGACCGCCAATCAACCAATTGCCTCTGCGCAAGAAAGACCATCAAGCGCAATACGGCGTGGGCTCTTCAGATTGAAACTTCGAAGTTGGAATTAAATCAATATTAATTCCTCAGACCCTATTCCCAATGAGGGTAGATGCTCGAAAATCTGGAGTAAACGGCAGGGCAAATATCTAGAGGTGTGGGTCCAATCTTGTTCAAATGTTCAGACCTTGCCCACTGGCAGCTGCCAGATGGGTGCAAAATACTGCCGCACGGGTCATCTCGGCAACTGGGAGTGAGTGAGAACAGCTGAGAGGAAATAACAATGGGAGTAACAGAGCCCAGCGTAGGGCCGTTCGAAATTCCCGTGACGGCTTACGCGCTTTCGCCCGAGCGCTGCTGCTGCTACGACCACTACCGCATCATCGCCTGATGTGATGTTGCTCCAGTTCAATTTTGGCCGCCTTGTGCCCATGTAATCATAGCCTTTCCCGTCTACTGTCCCCAGGTATCTATTATATGTCTTCCTACCGCCCCTCTCCAGCATCCAACTATTCATGTTTATGTGATTGCGTTGGACATCAATCGCAATGGATGACTCGATGCGAGTAGAGTACCCAGCCATGCTGGTAAGTCCAAATAAGTCTCACGCCGCGCCCTCGATTCCCTGATCCCGGGCGTAGCAAACAGGACACGACTGCCGCGTCAGCCATCACCAGCAAAGTATCGCAACGCTGGGCTAATCAATCATGATGTGTTTAGGCGAACCTCCCACCGTCGCAAGCAGCGCAGACTCTCAATGACCGAGTTAGACGCATATCCAAGCTCAACGTAGAAATTGCCGACTGGTTACAGGTACGACCAATGCGATATGGGTGGAGCAGCCCAGGGACACTGAACACAAACACAGGAACGAAGGCGAGTCGAGGAGCAATATGTCCAAGGATTGAGGAAGTTGGCCCAATTCCGAGTCCCAAATGCGCAATCGGAGCTCGGGTAAGTCATGCGCATCATGCTGCAAATGCGCTCATCCTCAACTGACATACTGTCTCTACAGAACCTTCCAGGGGCAATGGGACAAAATACAGCAGTCGGCCGAGGCCATGGCGATGTCGCACCACCTCTTCGCCACCAAGATCGAGAAGGACGTCGAACAACCGCTGCGGAGCTTCCATACGAAGAAAGAGATGCAGAACATGCAGACCATACAAGGCAACCTGCAGAGCATGGCCAAGGAACTCGACGATGCCCAGAAGAAGTCAGATTCTCTCAACAAGAAGGCTGGGAAGGCGAGTGCGGTGAAGGTCGATCAGGCCGCCACCAAGCTCGAGTCGGCCACCAACCAGTGGGAATCGCAAGCGCCTTTCATATTCGAGACGCTTCAGGCACTAGATGAGACACGAATGAATCACCTGCGCGATGTGTTGACCCAGTATGGCACATATGAGGGAGAAAAGGCGCAACAGCAGCAGGCCGATTCGGAGGGGGTGCTAAATAGTCTCCTCGACTATAGCACCTCGCACGAGATCAATTACTTTGTACAGAGAACGACAGCCGGTCGGCCGAAGCTGGAGAAACGAATAACCACGACGCGACAGCCATCAAGCTTGGGTGGCGCCCCGCCCTCTCTCGCGCCAGCGTCAAGTCCCCATGAGCCCTCGATGGCCGGGGATGATCGAAGCGACCATTCGGTTTTGAGGGAAGAAAAGGGAGGCGAGAACAAGTTGCGCAGTCGCATCGGCACTATGCTTGGTCGGAGAAGACAGAGTATCCACGGCGGCTTTGGGCAACTGTCACCCGCAAAAGGAGCTTTTGGAAGAAACATCAAGAGCAGCCATGGTCTTTCACCACGGGCTTCCTCGAGCAATCTCGGCGAATCCAACAACAAACTGTCTGCACTGACCGAACAGCCTGATGCTGGAGAGGAGGCCCCATCTGCTTCCGACTCGAGATATAAGACAAGTCACGAAGGACCCAATGGTGTAAGCGCCGACGCTACTGGAGATGGGCCTTCTACCCGGGCAGAATCAGCTCATGTCAACGGGACCAGTCCAGCAGCGGCGCTAGACGTGGCTGATGTACTGCCTCCGCCAGGACCACCACCATCCCAAAAAGAACCCGAGAAGGATGAAGAAGGCTACAGTGTGCCACCTGCTGCAGACGATCCGATTTCTGCCGCCGAGAGAGAAGCTGTGGGAGATGAAAGTGAGCCTGCATTCAAGCTCAACATCCAAAAGGAGCCGATAGCAGAGGAAGACCCAGAGGAAAGGGAAGCTGCCATTTCAAAGTTCTCGAATAGTCTCTCAGCCTTGGGCGCACCAGCACGGAGGGCGGGCACCATACGTGGCCGCCGGGATGTTAGGAACACCATTTACGTGCCAGCACCTCTACCGCCAAGCTCTTCATCCGGGAATCCATTTCCACCTTCACCAAGCTTGCCGTCGACCATCTCTAAGCCATCAGCTGTGGCAGGCCTCACATCTGAAACGAGCATTGCAGGTACTTCGGACACACAGTCTATCCGATCCTCCAACTCTTTGGGAAGCATCGTCCACTTCCAGCACCCCGACATGCATGATCCAGGTCTAAACTCGTCTATCGTGGAGACAGTATCGGCAACTTTCGAGGGGACGGAGGTGAAATCGGTCAAAGTCAACGGCGAAATTGCTTTCTCCTTCAATGCAACAGACCCATCTAGCACACAGAGTATGTTGCGCCAGCACCGCCTGTTCACAGAGATCTTACTGACGTACCTTAGCCCACCAATCAATACGTATAAACAATTTCTCGACACTGGACGTCATAGGTCCCAACCGTATCTTTGTGACCAACCATGCGACCGATCATCCCGACCAGTTTACGCTCGACCTGACACACCTTCGCCAATACCAGGCTACGGTCGGCTTCTCATACCGTCTCCATACGGATCCCGTTACCCCAGCTGTTGAGCATCTCCCTATTTTGCTCCACCCGGCTTGGAAACCGCAAGGCGCGAAGTTGGGCCTCTTGTTACAATACAAGCTCAACCCGGCCTTCAAGTACAGCGGTGGTGGTTCTGTGAACCTGTACAACTTGGTTATCTTTGCGACGTACGACGGCAAGGCTTCAGGCGCGCAGACGAAGCCTTCGGGCACTCACTTGAAAGATAAACACCTAGTGTACTGGCGGCTAGGCGACGTGACTCTGACGCCGGAGCAAGGACTTCAGAAGATTGTCTGCCGCATTGTTGGAGACGTGGGCGTAGAACCCAAAGCCGGAATCGTTGAAGCGAGATGGGAATTCAGTTCGATCGGGGAGAGTGCTAAGGTAGTCAGTGTGTCCAAAATGGAAGAAGGCAAGGGGAAGGAAGTAGAGCTCAACGACGATGACCCATTTGCCGATGCTGGGGAGAATGTCAGCACGGCGGAAGGCCGCTGGATCGATGTCCCCGCGGTTAGAAGGTTGGTGTCGGGGAAGTTTGAGGCAAAGTAGTCAGGGGCGGCATGTAGATGGAAAGCAGAGGATGAGTTGTAAGGACACATATGCAACCGTACATTCTCGTATAGGGGGACTTGTCTAAGGTCCAGACATGACATGATATTGTATAGCATTTTAAATGTAAGCGAGCATTTTGATGGAGTTTAACACGAAGCAGTGGTGCACTCAACACAAACAATCTACAAATACAGTTTCATTAGGTATTCATCAAGTCGTCTTCCCATGCGTTAAGCGGTAACAGATCCAGATGGCACACCTAATTCACGAGAAAACGGGTACATTGCTCAAGCATCTAGGTTAGATCGAACTCTTGGGAGCGCCAACAGGCTTAAAGACCAAATCAAATCCCAAGCGAGGTTATCTTCTGCAGGACGTAAGGTGCATAACCACGTGGGTTTCCACCCAATATCTCGAATACCTGTAGTTCGGATTCGCCTCATCCCTGCAGATCAATTACTGCTTGCTGCAGGTGCGGCTTCCAAAGCTGTGACAGCTCAACCGTGGAATTTGCTCCGAATAACGGGGAGTGTTCACAATCAACTCAACTTACTTCTTTAAAAGCCACAGTTACCCCGTTGAAAGGTTCTTGTTCGGAGGAGCATTATCGAGTCTTGGAGCGCATTGAGACGTCACTCATTATTATCACATAAGAACAACCCTTACGTCCCGTGTGGTCAAACAGCCACCATGTTCGCCAACGAACCTTCCGCATTCGCGCTCAAAGCCCAATGCCTTTGCAAAGCCCACACCTTCACCACAAACCCCCTTCTCCCCCGTTCCTCTCTCCCATTAGAAGTAACTCACTGCCACTGCACCTCCTGCCGCCACCTCACAGGAGCCCTATACAGCATGGACGCCCCATGGCCCAGCCCAGCGGAACCTATCCTCAATTCATCACTGCAAAAATACGTCTACACCAAGATCCTTACCGTATTCTTTTGCGGGACTTGTGGCAGTCCTATGTTCTTCCAGAAGAAGGACCCGGATGATTCTAATGGGGTAGTTGGTTTGGAGGTGTTGACGGGGGTTTTGGGGGATGCTGGGGTTAGGGGACTGGGCGAGGATGGAGACAGGAGACAGCTGGTGAGCTTCAAACACAGTATGTTCATAGGCGATTGTCTCGATGGCGGCGCCTCGCCCTGGCTGCACGGTCTGAATCAGGATGGTTCGAGGCCTCGAATGTGGTTGGGACAGAAGAAGAAGAGCGAGGAGGTATTGTGGGACGAAAACAGCTCCAACTACTGGCCGCCGGTCCAGTCACTTCCAAATGCTGCGACTAGGTTAGATGTCGATGAGATACCGGTCCGCTGCCACTGCAAAGGTGTCGACCTCGTCCTCCGAGTCGGTCTTGCAAGACGGGAATTCGAAGAAAAGGCTTCCCGCGGGGAGGCCCTACCCTGGATGGTCGACCCCGTCACGCACAAGCTCATCGCGGACTTCGATGCGTGCGATTCGTGTCGCATTTCATCAGGGGTGGAGATATTTCACTGGATGTTGGCGCTGCTGCGATACGTTGGCTTTCCTGCAGGCTCAGACGGTCTGCTGGAGGGGTTCCCGGCCACAACGGGGGAGTTGAGGGATGCTGTCGCTGGGGGGGAGGAAGCAGGGAAACGGGATCCGCGACTGGGAACACTGGCATACTACGCGAGTTCGATCGATGTGCAGAGGTACTTCTGCAGTCGTTGCTCGGCGTGCGTCTTTTACGTGGTGGATGATCGGCCAGAGTTGGTGGATGTAGCAGTGGGACTGCTGGATTCGCCTGATGGGGCTCGAGCCGAGGGGGTTTTGGCTTGGAACTTTGGGGGGCGGGTTAATTGGAGGCAAGATATGTTTGGTGGTTGGCGGGAACACTTGGTCAAGAGTGTCGAGATAGAGGCAGAGAAATGGAGGGTAGAAAGGGGGTATCCGAAGATCTGGAAGCAGGTTGAGAGGGAGGAGGCGTAGATAAGCGGGGAGTGATTATAGGAACCGTCGAGTAACAACAGGAAAGGTTCCTAGCACGCTGCAGGAATAAACTTAGCGGCATCTTAGTCTGTCAATCAGAGGGCACGATGTACGTGCACAAGTCCATTCTCTAGTATGAAGCCATCCACCCCTGGGCATACTGACCATATCATCACTCAAGTACGCCAGCCAAGATATCATTAGCACAGATTATAGATCAAACCGCCACCGAAACTCCCATCTAAGACCTCGGATTCCCGTTGCTCTCATCAAAGAACTCCAGCGTAAGCGCCGCCAAGAAACCAGGGATGCACCCCTTATCTCTGACCCAGAACTGGATCTGATCCGCGATGCGCAGGGCAAACGCACTCTGTGGACCACCACTGACCTTCATCGTGCCCCTCTCGCCATCAAACACGATGCTATTCTCGTGCTCTTCCGTTTTGCTCGGATAGAACAAGCTCTCAACCCGCATCTTGCCGTTGGGGATAAATGTCACCGTCCATCCCAGCGTGCTGAAGATGGCCTCCTTAAACTCTTGCGACTTGGATGCCCAGACCTCCTTGAGACGGCGTGAGGTCTTCTGCGCTGAGGCGGTTTCCTTGCGCGCCTCTTCGATTTCGCGTCTAGCGGCATCGAGCTGGCTGGCGGGAATGACGGGGAATTTGGGGTTGCGGTTAGCTTTCTGAAGTTGAGAAAGGAGCTGCGCGTTTTCTGCCTTGAGGGCATTGAGGGTGGCGACCTTGATCGCCTCAAAGTCCGAAGTTGGGTTCGAGCGAAGGGACAGGACGCGGGTTTTATTATGGGTTTCGGCGGCTTCCAGACGAGACTTAATGACCGAGAGTTCCTTCCGCAGCACCTGGGTTGCGGTCTTCTCTTTGGAGAGCTCATCGGCGAGCTTGCGGCGCCTGCGGTTCAATTCGCCAATCTGCTCCGACTCCAGCTCCTCCTCACGGGCCCGTTTGCTACCAACTGCAGGTTGGGGAACACCATTGGCTTGTGATGAATCAGCCGGGGAGAGCTCCTTATGCAGCGCTTCAACCTCAGCCTTGTATTGATCCACTAGTTGCTCGAGCTGTGAAATGCGATCCACCTTCTCGTGGTCAACTTTCTCGGGCTCAAACGTCTCATCCTCGGCGTCGAGAGCCCTGAGCTGGGCCCGTAGGTACTCGGCCTCTTTCACGGCAAGGATTCGCTGGCGCTCGATTCTAGCCCTGGCCTTGTCGGCAGGCAGGGCGGGTGTTGCCGTCTTGAGACTCTCAACCTGGGCATCGAGATTGCGCTTCTCGTTCTCCAGGGACTTGATTATCTCGTCGCGCTCGGCAATTTGGGGTTGCACTTCACCCAGCTTCTCCATGAGAGCCGCAGAGTTGTAGCGCTCTTGCACCAGTGCCCTAGCAACAGCCTCGGGTGAGTCGAACTCCATCAACCCGTCATTGTCACTAGCACTCTGGAGGTATGCGGTCCATGCAAGCCGCTCGTCCTCTAACCGTTGCCTTTGAATTCTTGCCTCCACGAGCTCGGCTTCGAGGGACTCGGCCGCAGCCAGCTTCCTATGTAGAGACCGCTTCTCCTCCTCAACGATTTCCACCGCCTTGTGGATTTGACGCAGATGCGTAAGTTCGGCGTGTTGTTTGGTGTTCCTAGCTTCCAGGGACCGAATGTGTTGAACTTGCTCCGTGAGTTCGCGGCGAATGACAGCGATCGTGTCTGCGTCCCCTGTCTGCGCCTTTAGACGCAGATTTTCTGCTTCAAGATGGCCAATCGTTTCAGACTTGGCAGCGAGCTGGTCCTGGGCTTGCTGTAGCAATGCTTCTTGGGCTTGGCCATCTTTGGTCAATTCTCCCACCGTCTGCTGTAAGCTCGAGATTTGCATTTGCAAGTCGCTTTTCTCCTTCTCACGCATTCGCTCTCCCTCTTGCTTGGCAGCCGACAAATCCTCAAGCTGTTCCCTTATCAACCTTGCTTCATCGCTTGACTCCCGTACTTTCTTCTCCAGGGCCTGGGCGTCATTGGCTGCGTCCTCCTTCAATTTGGCCATCTCCTCCAGGACCGACTCGTATTGCCTCTGAGCCCTAGACTTGTCACTTTCGGCGGCCTGTCGTTGCTTGAAATCCTCATCGGCCTTACGCCTGGCTTCGCGCACCTCGTTTTCATACTGCAGGGACGCCATCTCCTTCTCTTGCTCGTAATTGTTGATCTTGTAGCGCATGGTGGCCAGTTCCGCCTTCAGCTCTTCGATCTTCTTGCGCTGCGTCTCGTACTCCTCGGCGTCTGGCGGTGCCATGTTTTCCTTAGAGCTCTCACGCGACGACGCGCGCATGCCGTTACCGGCTCTTGACGAAGGTCTTCCATGGAGGGTGTCGGGCGCGATTTCCTCGCCGGTAAGAATATCGTAGCGGGATTGAGATTGCGTTGGGTTGAATGAGGAAACCTATCATGGGCATTGCTCATCAGAATGCCTTCTCGCCGGAAAGGGTAAACCGAGCTGCGGTGTACTTCACAAACGACTTACCCTCGATTGCCTAAGAGACGTATTTGGACGTGGGAGCGCGGTGCTTCCCACGCTGTTGCGGAATCGGCCACTCATTGACAGTGTTGGCAATGCCCTACCACATTTGTGCGATCATGCCGTCTCGTACGAAGTAAACTTACCGCCTGGGCGATCCATTTGTTTTGTTGTTCTGGCTGGCCTGGGGATGCGACCGTCCATCAAGATCCCTGCAAGCTCCTGGAGTCGTGCTAGTGCTGCCAGTTGCCACCACTTGGACTGGAAGTGGCTCAGCTCTGGGTTAAACTGACGCCGCGGGATTTGCGCCCGTCTCCCGCAGCTAGACAGATCGGAGCTACCCTTGACAGTGTAGTTAGATTAGGTAGGTAGTGCATATGAGAAGACCCTCTCTTCACAACATGGCGATGTCGCTTTTGTCACCAATACCCTCAGAATGTAAGAAATTCCAGGTGTTAAGTGATGCAACACAATTGGACAGTTTGCAGCCTTCAGTATTGCAGCATGGCACGAACTGTGATTCACCCATTCACTTAAAGCTGACACTGTTTCCATTGTTCCATGTCAAGCCCTGGCGTGAGCCATGTGGCTTGTCAGCGGCAGTGGGAGCCTGGCGCCCTCACGTCAGTGCCTGGCCGAAGTGGGTCGTAAACCTTTTTCTGGCTCGGCCCTGGGGAAAGCTTCGGGCCAAGCTGACGATGCTGGCTTTCTAGCTTCGTCAGAGCTTGGTGGAAGTCAAAACGGTCCCCCACTGCTGAACCGAGCTGTCGGACGGCCATTCAACTACACATTTTCACGACCTCGAATCCGGGGCCTCTAGCCTCATGGCTACCTTCCCAAGACAAACTATTTGCAGCCTTTGCTGCCCTTGATTCTTACACAGCTGCTGTCACAATCCGCTATCTCCACCGTCTGCGAATATCATCTTTCCTCACACGTACTCCAAAACCCGAACCAACCAAACCTCCGAGATGACGTTCATTTCAGCTGGCCCTGCCAAGCTACTTGGCACATGTGCCACTCATCGACTTGGAACCATTTCCAGTCTCGCAACCGGCCGCCACTCACTGCCTCTGGGCTACCGAGCTATTTCCGTGTTGGCAGGCCTCGGCCGAAGCAAGCCCTACCTCATCATCGGGAGGAATGCCAAACCGCTACCAGTCCAAATCGCATATCGACCGTTTGCCTCCAAATCGACTGAAAATGATGGATCGAAGGATGCGGTGAGCAAAGAGTCGGCGTCCGAGACTGCCACCAGTGCCGCGAGCTCCCCGGATGAGCCATATTCACAGTCGGCCAAGGCCAGTAGCCCATCGCCCTCGTCCGCAGACAGCGAACCAACCAACACTGCTGCCTATGACTGGGAAGAGAAGGCCAACTGGGACATCAAGAAGTTCACCGAGCTCCCATACTCCAACTTTGGCGTCAACCAGCATATGATCATTGATCGCGAATTCAAGGAATGCATGCGTCAGCTTCTCTGGAAGTTCCGCGCGCCCATTCGATATGCCTTTGCCTATGGATCTGGCGTCTTTCCTCAGTCACAGGGCGACAAGGCCACCGAGTCTGAGTTCAAGGCGGTTCACCCCAATGCCCCTGTTGCTGTGCAAAGAGCGCAGAAAAGCTCTCCGAAGATGATTGACTTCATTTTCGGAGTGTCACATACCCAGCACTGGCACTCACTCAATCTGATGCAACACCGTAACCACTACTCGGCGCTCGGATCCCTTGGATCAGGCGCCGTCTCTGCGGTGCAGGATAAATGGGGTGCGGGTGTCTATTTCAACACCTACGTCACGATAGAGGGTATTACTATCAAATATGGAGTTGTCACCTTGGAGACTCTCAAGAGAGACTTGCGGGAATGGGACACATTGTACTTGGCCGGTCGTCTCCACAAGCCGGTCAAGATTCTTCGCGACGATCCCCAAGTGCGCATGGCCAACCAGATAAATTTAATGTCTGCACTCCGAACGGCACTACTCCTACTCCCGCCAACATTTACCGAACGTGCGCTGTATTCGACCATCGCCGGTATAAGTTACCTCGGCGACCCTCGCATGGCTTTCCCAACGGAGAATCCCCAAAAGGTTGCCAATATCGTGAGCAACAACATGCAGAACTTTCGCCGTCTTTACGCCCCCCTGGTTGAATCTCTGCCCAACGTCACCTTTGATGATCCTGCTTGTAATGAGCCTGATTGGGTATGGAATCAGGACTCCGTCCTGAAGCTGCAGCAGGATATGGACCCTGTCAAGCGTGGTAACATGGTTCGCCGTCTGCCCAAGGCTTTCCGCGCAAAGCTTTACTTCGAGTATCAGAAGGAGCTGCAGATTCCTCAGCTCGATTTCAACAAGCTGATGGAGGAGAGCAAGAATGAAGACGCTGGGTCCTTCAAGCGACAACAGGGTGGAGGCTTCGAGCAACGCATAGCGCAAGACAACCCTTCGCAGCTCCGGACGCACGTCCGCCACGTCATCAAGAAGACGATTAACTGGCCCAGCACCACCCAGAGTTTGAAGGGTCCCTTCACAGCGGGCATGCGTAAAACCATCAGATACTTGGGCGAGAAGATGGCCAACTACCAACAGGGAAAGAAGCAGAAGCCCGAGAGCGAGAAATCTGCTTGAATTTACCCTTGGTTGTAACTTGCGAAAACGTCGGTATGCCTGAAGCGCAAGGGCATGGCGTGGTCTCATTTCATGTCGATATTGTATGTTTGTACATAGAACCTCACGGATACCAGAGCCTTTCGGCTCACGTCGTTTGGGCAAAAGGCCGAGTCCTTTTGTTTCGGACGACATTACAAACTAAAAGGCATACATCCTGAGTGGACCGAGGGATGGCCGGTTTAGATGATCCCCATGGTCTGTCGGGTCCAAACAAGGAAAGGTGCCCTGCCTGCTCCAATGATTTTGAGTATGGAGACCCCTTGCTTTGGGCTCGAGGAAGATTCCCAGAAAGCAGGCAACTATTCGAGGAGGCCTCGGCGTTGGATTGTGAAGCCTGGCTAGATATTGTCATCTGAGGGACGATGATGCTGGGTTGTAGATATGAGTAATGTAAAACTTCTAAGCATGTCAACATGTTCTTAATGTGAAGGCCGACGGTCAAGGGGGCATTTCGTGGCCATGGGCATACTTACAACTAAAGAGGATGTGCTGATGAGTGACATCTGGGCCATTTTACCCCTTACCCCTCGGACAAGGGGCTGGTTAATATTGATCAGTCCGATACATGCTTCACACCATCTTCGTCACTACGACACTTTCTACTATTGGCTGGTCTTCCAGAGTGTTCGCTACTTGCTGAATAATGTAAGAGGTGACCCTTGACAGTAGAAAGTCTAGTAAACACGAATACTACCTTTTCAATCGGAAACGGGCCATCACCGACCGGAGATATTGAGCCTTCGTACTTCGAAGGTCGCTTCGGAATTATGGGGTCTCCTTCATCTTGTAACCTTATACGAGCCAATATCCATGACATGGATGATTATGCTGGAGTTTCGGCGGCTGTTAACTTCCTGTGAGTTAGGTCGGTTAAATAAAAGTACAACACAGTCCTACTGGGGCGGATCGTCGCGTTGGAGAAATCAAACGTGCCTCCGTTCTCTGGCTAGGATGGGCACCATATATGTCTAGCGCCAGAGTTCCTTCTGATTTCTCAGCTATGCAGACGTGGCTTCAGATGGGCCAACTCAATAACGCATTGCGTAGCAGATGTATATTTCTAGATAGCAAAGGGCAATATAGCACGATGGTATCTGTTTGCTATTTAGCGTACCGCAAGCTAGTGAGTCATGAACCAATGTTTGGAAATGTTCTCTTATAACAGTTGGAGGGATATGCCATTTCGGCTTAGTTAGACGCTCTATACATATAAAATCTCACCAATGTTTCTATCTCCGATTAGAGCCATAACGCATATCCATGTGACATATAAAAACAACCAATATGAAGACGCATTACGTTGCAGACTTCATCTGATATCGCGAACCCGGTGCGGAAGCTAATTATAGACAGCTAATTGAATGGGCCACATACGAGGTTTACCTATCTATATAAACGATGAAATTGTCTGGAAAAAGTGTCGTCACGGGCAGAAAAACTTTATGAAGTCTGTTGTGTTTATCAGCTGAATGCGTATAGACTACTGAAAATTTGTACTTGAGTTATAGCCCTAGAAGCTAATGATGAGCGCCTACGGCCTAAGAAGCGTAGGAAGGTGGGAAATCCGAATTCAAGATTCATGAAAATCCGTGAAATAATGGTCGATAACCCAGAAACCAGTTGTCAGTCCAAATAAGCGTAGAGCCAAATGGGGGAGAGATGTGGGAATGAGAGCACAGTTGGACTAGTAGAAGCATCAGAGGATGAAATTGGCATGCCGCGCGTAATGGTCACTCACTTTGGGAGAGCCTTACGTCGCGTAGCACATCTTAACAACTAAAGAATCGGAATCTTGGGTCAATTTTCTATAAAAATATGTATAAAACCTACGGATTGACATAGTATTTATGTAATTGCGTATTAGTGAAGTTGTTGACTTTCATGTGTGTATTGTGGGCAAGTTGTTGGACCAAATTGACCGTCAAGCGAGGGACCCACTCGCTATAGAATGAGGTATTTTTGGTAGTTATAAGGTCTGACACAAGTGTGGCCTAAAGTTGGCAGGCACAGAATATGTATTAGGGACCGGGGGCCAATTGGCGTATTGGTTCTTCATAGTCGCAATACAGCCACCCCCAGTCCCAACATGTATTAGATAATTCGGCTGCACCAAGGATCCATGGTACCACTGTTGGGTGGGTTGACATAGCCAATCACTGCGATGACCGGTTATCCTTTGGTCATCGCGGCCTTCAGCGATCGGGTGCTGGTTGGCAAAGCCGTGACGATCGGCCCGCAGGAGACTGCTGTAAGTCCTTCTATGGCAGTAATGGTCGCTGTCTTCTTGAGGGTGCACCAATACGTCGTGGGCGCAAGTTGAGAAGGATGATAGTTTTCGATGTACAAGATGATGAAACATGGGATATTTAATAATCAGAGCCGTGAACCGAGAGCTTAATGGTGCTGATGGAGAGCAATACTGCTTGAAGAATGTCATTTCGACTAATCCGAGAATTCTTATATCCAGCTTCTGGTCAACACTTTTGAAACCTGATCGACTTCGTGGGGTGCCGAAACGGGCCGTCGATAGATAACTTTCAACCAATACGCAGATCCTTCACTTGAAGGATTCCATCCCCATTGTCGGATTTAAACTTGAAGCAGGAGCTAAAGTTGAGAAATAAGCTTGATGCCGGAAATGATTCCCGATAGTTCAGAGCCCCAGCAGTTATAGACACCGTACCTCGACGCTTATAGGCTGCACCCCTGTTGCGCTGTTGGCCTTATCACAGCTATTCGGCTGGAGGCCAAATATCCCTACACCAAATCCCCAAAACAGGGGGGTGAATCGGCATCTCATCCGCACTTTACCCTTCCATAGTTGCTCATGTCGTACTTGTGGGATCGCACTGGTACTGGTTTTCCGGCTACAGACGAAGTGAAACAGGGGAGTACAGGTGGGGGTTTCCAAGCCGCACAACGGCACTAAAGTATCTCAGGTGTACCTTACCATGACCTCAGGTCACTAACCACACAGTACTTAGGGCTGTTCCAAGCCAATCGTCTTATACCAAAGGAATGTCATGGAATCTGGACATTACTTGCAACTTGACCCACCCACTTCAGTGAAGTTCATCACGAGTAGTAAAGGTGCGTATATTTTCACATTGGCACTCTGAGTGCGTTAGATTGAAACAGAAGTCATTCTCAGCAGCTATTAGTTGTGAACCAGGAACACCCTCGAATGGCGATATTAATCATATCGACACAGAATCCCGTTACATGTGTACAAAAGGCTGAATATGAGCATATAAATCATTTTACACATTGTCTGTTCCTTCATCCGTGAACTTGACCAGATCAGAGTCCAACATGGATAACCATCGCGATATTTAGCAATATATTGACTGAAAGGTGGACCCAAAGGGAAATTTGCACAACTACTACTTAACCAACGCCGGAGAACAAATAATTGTCCCGTTAGAAAACTAGAGCATACAGGCATATAAGCGACAAGCAAAACTAGCTTCAAATTTGCATGATTAGTTCCAGATGTTGGTTAATACTGCCAGTGCTCCCTCTAAAGTATGCCTCACTTGAGCAATTGGAATATATTTGGACTTGTGTGCAGAAATACACAGTGGCTAGTCATTTCGGGTTTCCCTGCTTTTCCAAGCTACGTATCTTTATATGGCGGAGGAGTACTTAGGCAGGCTAAAGTCGGTTGTCCACTCGATATGCGCGCCGACGTGGTTAAGAACAACGACAGCATGCAGACTGAAAACCAACAACCCACGATGCTCACCGAGCTTCTCAGCCAGCGATACATCCATGAGGATGTTGGTCGTCTTGGACAGGCCGTTTGCGTACCACTTGTTGTAAGTTTCACCATTCGGAGCCGGTGGTACATATCTAGTACTCGAACACGACGAACCCCCAGATCTGTGGAAAACTTACACTGAAGTTGTAGCCCCCAAACCGCATGGGGCTGAACCGATGTCCATCACTACTCGCATTGGCAACTCGCGGGCTCTCCGATTCAAGGATTTCAGCCATGATAAATTTGGGGAAGAGGAATTGCCCCAGATGGTTAGTAGCTAGCTGGCTCTCGATGCCATCGGGAGAAAGACCGAAGTCGACGGCCATGATATCCGCATTTTTAACCAGCACATCGATACGTGGGACATCGCTCCAAGAATGAACCGTGAAAGAGATCAGCAGACAACGACGCTAGGTCCCAACGGAGTAAGCGCAAATCTACCTTGGGATGTTTTAGTATTACGACTAGCCATGATCAGCAAGCTCGGCTGGCCTTGATAAATTCGGCGCCTAGACTGCCGGAGGAGACACCAGTTGTGAGGATGACGTTCCCCTTGATGTTGGAGGAGAAAGTGGTGACGAGTTTGTCCGCAGTGGTGGCAGCATTGTACGAAGAAGACGAAGCCATATTACTGGGCTTTTGAGCTTGTATTGTTGTACCTGTACTTCTGGCAGGCGTTCTGGAAGTGTGCTATGGGACACGAGAAAGATCCAGGTGAGTTGTGGAATGTTGACGGTGCCACTTGTAAGACCGGTTGGTTGGCGCCACGGGCGAAACTTTGTATTTTCACGTATAACCCGGCACGGAGTCGAACCCTTATCACCATGCCATGTGCGAATTCCACAAGATAATATATTCCAGGCTGGAACTAGGCAATTTGATATGGACGATGGTACTATAGCAGCAAGATTATGTGCAGAGTGCTATATTCTTACCTGGAAGCTGCACCCGCTACACGGATTACCATACACTGACGCTGCCTTGTGCTAATCAACTCAAAGGACCGCAGTCATCAATCGGCGTTAGGCTTTTGAATGACGTGATTCCCAATGCGCTATCCCAATACAGACACAGAAGTTCTTGAATTACGTTTGTGGGACAGTATCGAATAGTTCTGAGAATCGAGATATTCACTACCTTGAGCAGCGTAACGACGGCACCTCCTTTTGGACGTGGTGATTTTAGGTTTACTACTCTGGGACTAAGCCACATGAGGCTCGTGCAACTGTAACCGTTACATGTCAACCCCCAAGCCTATACTACAAACCCCATCTTGTACAACGACTATATGCTTGCGGTGGCCCATTGAGAAACACAAGAAGGGTATCAAGAAAATATATCTTGCACATGTCACTCGTAAGGTTCGGCCAACTGATTTTCGCCATTCGTGGACATGCGTCGTGGGACACACCCAACGCTAGTGCTCGGTGTAGCCAAATTGTCGCCGGCCGGCACGTTGAGCTTTGCACCGAATAATGACACTATAGTGGATATGACTCCGAACGTTTCGGTTTATAAGTAACGGCAGTAGACCAAGATATGCAAGGACTTTTGACTTGTATAGTATCTTTTATTGTTGATATTGCAATTATATCATCATGCAAAGTCAGAGTGACATGTCGAACTACTCACAACCACCCCCAGCAGCCAAGGTGGCCGACCAACCTGCAGTCAAACCGCAACTCCCCCACCTGAGCCTAGAGAAACTCCCCTCCATCCTCCCCTCCATTGAAACCTCTCCCACGGTATCCCTCCACCTGTCCCCCGTATCGTCCTGTCCCGAAGCAGAAGACCTAGAAAACGGCCACCAAGTCCTCCACCGGATCCCAAGTGCCCCCTCGCCGTATCTCTCCCTTCCCCCCTGGCGCAAAAAGATCATCGTCTTCACGACCTCCTTCACGGCCCTTACTGTGACCTTCGCATCGACGAGTCTCAACCCTGTCACCCTAGAAGTCGCCGAGTCCCTCAACACCACGTCCGCCGTCATCTTGATAACGAATTCCCTTGTCCTCTTGACGATGGGCTGCTCGAATTTCGTCTGGGGGCCGATCACACGGATTTTCGGGAGGAAAAAGGCTTGGTTGGCTGCTTGTGTGATTTTCACGCTGTGCACTCTCGGCACTTGCCTTGTGCCAGAGGATAAGGGGCATTTGGGGTTGCGGGTCTTTATCGCTATGAGGATATTATCCGGGATTCAGGGGACTTTCTTTCATGTAGCTGGGCAAACGTGGCTGGCTGATTGTTTTGAACCGGTATGCAAATTGCCCTTACGTTTTCCGCTACCCCTTGGAGAGATGGTTTGTCCTTTCATTTTTACTGATATCGGCGAATAGAAACAACGCGGTATGGCGACAGGATTCTTCTTGTGTGGGACAATCTTCGGGCCAGCATTCGGTAAGTGACTTGAATACTGCCTTGACCCATAACCCTAGCCTTCGTTACATCGTGACAACCAGTTTTTGAAATATTCTTTTACCAATGATTGTGCTTCTAGGACCTTGTGTGGCTGGTATTATCGTCACCTTCGCCACATGGCGTGCGGTGCTCTGGCTGCAAGTGTCAATGATTGGTACGGCCTTCCTCTTATCCCTCTTCTTCCTGCCGGACATCGAAAGGCCAGATGAAACGGTCCCGGCAAAGTCCGATAGTCGACTCCTCGATTCGGCGAAAACATTCAACCCAGGTAGGATATTCAAGCCAATGCTATATCCGAATGTGACCTTCACGGTGAGTGTATTTTCCCCTTTCCTGGATGTAAATGACGAAGCTGAGCTCAAGAAGCATGTGACTTGTGGCTTCTTGTCTTGGTGCCAATACACACTCCTCGCCGCACCCCGTCACCTCCTAAACCCGCGTTTCAACCTCACCACGCCCCTCGTTTCGGGTCTCTTCTACATCGCGCCCGGAGTCGGGTTCCTCCTAGGCACCGTAATCGGTGGCAAATTTTCCGACATGACCGTCATCAAATGGATTCGCATTCGGGGCGGTATTCGACTCCCACAGGACAGGCTTCACAGCGGCATGATATCGTTTTTCTTCCTCATCCCAATCTCGTCTTTGATATATGGATGGGGACTGGAATACCAGATTGGTGGGATGGCTTTGCCGATCGTGACGGCATTCTTCTGTGCGATGGGCTTGACCATGGCTTTTTCCTCCGTCAACACCTATTGTGCAGAAGTCCTGCCGAAACGGAGGACCGAGGTCATTGCGGGCAAATATTTGGTCCAGTATACTTCTGCAGCGATCGGAAGTGCGTCCATTGTACCCTTGATTGACGCCATTGGCGTCGGGCCGGCTACCACCATTGGTACGTATCGATGTTCCTAACAGTGCACCGATAGAATACTGATCTCAATGACTTTCTTAAGGCGTCGTCTTTGCACTTTCTGGGGGTGTTTTGGTGTTGGCAACGGCCCGATATGGGCTGAGGATGCAACAGTGGATTGAAAGGAGACATAGATTTCTGGTTACTGGGCAGGTCACCGCTACGATCTAAAAGTAGTATACCATAAACTCGAATAGGACTAAAATAGAAAGATGCCAAGAAATGCGCACCCGGCAGGCAGTTCATCACATGCGTCTATTAATATCTCGCCCCCATTCTATGTCCTGAAGACCCACATAGAGGCTCTGAAAGTGACTGTCTTGCATGTGGGTATCCAGGAATCTGAGATCCAGATCTGCCTGAGACAGGAAATCTTGTACCGACGGTTCAGCCAGGGCCATTTCAGCCGTCATCATCGGCTGGGAGTCAGTACCATGGGGCACAATGTCCCTAGTGAATGGTTCTGTGGTCATGCTAGGTCGGGGAAAGTTGAGGGCGCTGTTGGCGCCGTTGGCGCCGTCAAAATGGTCTCCTGTGCTGCTCCTTGGGCAGTGAGCCCTCACGACGACTCTGAGAGCATCAAAATGCTGGCAAAGTTCTGTAGCTGCGAAGTTGCCATTCCGCTTCAATTGCTCCAGAAATAGGTTTGCGGATTCGAAGTTATCCTTGTCGTTCTCATTGTTCTGACCAATGGATAAGTGCGAGATGGCGAGAATAGTTGCTGCAGAGAACAAGTACTGAGCGTAGGTGTAATCGAATATGGCGAACGAACCATCGATCCATGATTCCGATAGGAGACGATGCGAATGTCGTGCGCATCGGATACACGCTTCAGCTAAAGCAAGGGCAGTCTCTCCGATTGCTTGCTTGAGCTCTGGTGTTTGGTGTGGTGCGGCCCAAAGCTCTTTGTGTGTTTGAAATACGTGAAGTAGAATTGGTCTCGTGGCTTGGATCACATACTAAACGGTATTAGCTAACGGATAACCACAACTAGTACTTACCGTACCTGATTGAAGGATAAATGTAACAATTGTACATTCCTGGCAAGTGGTCGTTCACCCTCTCTACTGTCAATCTGCAAGTGCTTTGGCAACGCACCCACCCAGCCTCTCAAGTCGCCCAAAGCCTTCTGTACCCGTTGTGAAAACGGGATGTTCGTGGTCTTTCGGTTGTATATCGATGAAATAATGTCGCGGGATATTCTTGCCAGACGGATACTCGCGTTCATGTAGTCGGCCGCCAGAAAGTCGGCCGCGTCTGCGTCAGATATGCCGGTATCTGATGGCAAATCCACGGATATATCCTCGTCTTGAATCGACACGGGATGACCCATTTTTGAAGCCCAAAGACGGTCAAAAGTGTAAGCTGTCCACCATATGCGGGCTCGGTGCTCTCTCGCGGCTCTGTCAGGCAGTTGATAATCCGGCATGGCTTGGTGCATCCCCATGATGACACTCATACGTACAGCACTGCTAGCTAGAAAGTATGCGCTATAGCGCCGATTCATTAATAGCGAGTATAGAGACTTTTCCCATCAGTAAGAAAGTTGTTTCACGTTGGCAATTGGAAAGCAACTTACAAGAAGCAGAAGAATTTCGATTGTGTCGAACTGTGGGCGTTCTCGAAGTCGACTTAGCATTTTAGTAGCCTGTGAAAAGTATGCCAGGCCTGGGAAATCTTCTTCAGAGGTTGAGGAAGTGCGGCAGGAGTAAACCTCGCCGAGCGCAAAGAGGGCCCAAAGTTTGCATGCAAACATCGGGTTAGGGGCGCTGAGATTGCGGTAGTGATGTTGCATTCTGTTATGAACATCACTCTTCCGGAAACAATGGTAGCAGGATCCTACCACTTCCATCGCAAAGCGAATAAGCAAACGGGCTCGAGACAAAGTGGGCCAGGGGCATTCGGCTTCAGATAGGGCAAATATTCTGGCGTCGGTGACATAGTGCTGGCGCGGTATGTGGCTGATGGTGGGGTCCTCCGCGATTGCCTGTCGGAGCCGAGTTGCAAACGAAGTGTCGGCGGCTTCGCCAATGTGGACGGGCATCTGAGAGTTGCTGAGAGGAAAGAACCAAGATCTGTCATCGAGTAGTGGATTGCGAGCAGCTTCGCTGTGCTCAGTTGACGATTCTATTGCCTCGATTATGCCTCCATGGTGAGGCTCATCCCGAACACTCTGCTCACGCAAACGTTTATTCTCTGCCAGTAGCTTTTCGATATAGCTGTGATGGTCATTGGTGGCTGCTCGTAAGTGCTGGGGTGACTTTTGATGGCGTACCTACTAGGCACGGTTACTTTCTGCTCACGTACCGGGTAGGTACAATCCTGAGGACACCCAGCTTGTTGACAATTTGGGCAAGGATAGCCACCAGGACACTTCACTTTTCGAGCGTGACACTTGGTACAAGCAGTCGGCTTCTTGCGTGTCTTGTTCAAGACATCGATGGCGATGGTGCTGTCTTCGCTAGGCGAATATTTGCGTTTCCGGCTCGCAGACGGGATTGTACTCTGTTCTTCTGGCATGGCAATATCATCTTTGCATCGTTGTGTCGGTCCATCGGACATTTGACAAGGACGTCTGGCTCACTGGAGGGTCAGCTAATAACGTCAGATGTTTGGTGATGTTCGGTGTCTTGAAAATTTGGCCGAGCTTCTACCTTGGATAACGGTCGGCAAAATTCGATTTTGACCGAAGAAGGTCTGAGCGTCCAACGTCGAGGCAAGCGGGCCGGACTAGGGACAAAGTGTGTCTCAGGGGCAGTGACATCATAGAACTTGAAGGCGAGAATGAGCTTGAATAGAAAATATATTGATCCAAGCTGATCGTATGTTTGGATGGACGTTTCTGCATCTTTGGAAGCATTACAATCCGAAAGTAGTGATGGCGATATCCGACTCCCAAAGTGCACATTTGCAACCACAAATCGTCCAACTTAGCGACGGCCATCAACTCCGTAGCGCTCTGCAAGGACTCCACCCGGTGCTCACCCACCTCAACGCCGACACCACATGGCTGATTCAACTCCCATTCCCACCTTCGGCCCCACGGCCAACGGGCCGCAGCCGCTTTAATATACTGGTGGATCCCTGGCTTCAAGGTCCACAGTCCGATGTCGCGTCGTGGTTCTCGACCCAATGGCATGTGGTAAAGCCCAGCGTCAAGACAATCGATGAGTTGAACAGGCTGTTGGCCAAGGTGGAGGGGGCGGACGCAGCAGTAGAAGACAATGTGGATAACCCCAAGTCATATATCGACGCTGTGGCGATATCCCATGAGTTTACCGATCACTGCCATGAGGAGACGCTCAAAGAGCTGCTTCCAAGTACCCCTGTGTTTGCGACTGAAAAGGCAGCCGAGCTCATCCGGTCATGGAAACACTTTGACCGTGTCATCACAACTCCAGGGTTCTCATCCGAAACAAAGGACTGGCACAGCATTCTAAGTGTTGCCCCGCTGCCTTCTTGGATTGGCATCGGGCGCGTTATTACGGCAGGCAATGCCCTGTACTACCACTCAGCAGTCATGGTGGTCTTCGACACTGCTTCAGTTCCAGATGCCGCCGCACCCAATATCCCTGAGGCCAATGCCGTCATCTACTCACCGCACGGCATTAAAGCCTCGGATCTCGAAGCAGTTGGCGCTGCCAATATCCGCACCCTGGCATTATTACACGGCTTGCATGATGTGCGTATATGGATGACGAAGCAACTAAATCTGGGTGCGTTGAACGGGCTCGAGGCGGTGCGCACCTGTGGTGCTAAGTACTGGCTCGCGACACATGACGAGGTTAAAAAAGGCGGGGGCTTTATTGCTCCGATGTTGAGGAGGACCAAGTATACGGTGGCTGATGCTGTCAACAAGGAGACCAAGTCTCTTGGGGATAAGGCGCCCAACTACGAGTTCGTTGAACTGGGCTCTGGGGACGGACTGGTTTTGGTATGATTTGGTGCCAGCCGTCTTGTTAAGATCCAAAGCCCATTAACGCACGAATTATGACGTAACATGCCAGCTCATTGATTTCGTGGTCTAACTATGCGCTTAGCGATCTTTGAGTCGTTGTACTTAATGCATGTAGGAAACAATGATTTTTCATTACTATCGCAATAATTCGAATTGGGCAATAACCTCGCAATGCTCCTAGTATACCCACATGATTATTGCATTCCACGTTGTTTATTTTGCATCATGTGCATTGAAAAAAGCGAAAGAAAAAAGAAAGTAGAAGAAATGAAACAAGAAACAATATTTGCTGGCAATATCGCCTTCCAACCTATCGGTAAGTGACGAGGCTGAAAACGAGTAGATCTTGAACCACATATTTCCAAGCGAGTTCGTATAGCTTGTATAAGAAGGGCATGAATTACCCCGATACGGACTGTATTAATCTCATCACAGCCTTGCGTTATTTGGTTTGCCGGCTTGGAGCTTAGTCCACAGATCTGAGTGATTCTCAATCTTTTGAACATCCCCACCATAGCCCCCACTTTGGCTCCATGGTTGATTAGTATAGAAGCCAAGTCTAGACTGGCCTTGTCCAGAAGTTTTCCAAAGACTTTTGGCGCGGATGTTAATGTCGACAAAAAGTGAAAGATGTAACGCAGTTGGGCAATTGATGGTAAAAGGGGTCGTTTCGATCTCATCCCGAGCATTTACATATGCGCCGGTATCCAGGAGAAGAGCTCCACCATGCTATTTTCCTCTGCCTTTGAGCCCACCCCGGCCTGCAGCATTCGGGGCTCATGATTCAACCATAGATTTTTTTCACGTGAACACCGGCTCCTGTCTCGAGCAACTCTCGAGACACGAAGTGGCTATTGATATCAGCGAACTGAAGAGGTCGCCATCCGTTTAACCTATATATATTCATGTTACCCTAGTATAGCCTCTGACCAAGGACTGGGAGCTCGTCTGATGACGTCCCCAAAGTTCAAGTTTGGGTTGGTACCGGAACAGAGGTAGGTTATCATTTCGTAGCAATCACTGGAACCTGCAGCGTGTAAAGGCCGCCGTAGTGGGAGTCATCAATGTTTGAATGATTTCCTCGAGCTAGCAACTCGTTTAGCAGAACTGTGTAGCCCTTTATTGCTGCGCATGGTAGCTTGGTACGATCTGCACCTTTTTTTGTACGACAGTTGATTGAGTACATATCATTTCTGCATGACATCGTGGGCTTGGCCGAGAAGATCAACATCTTCAGATCCAATTGACCCCTGAATAAGTTTTTTCCAATGGTAATAGCGGATAATATATGAAGCGGGCTCCATTTTCAACAAGATATTTGACCGCTGGGTGATAAAGACTTTTAAGAGCTATATCGACTAAAATATCTAAAGGATTGGTAGTTTAAAACCGGGCCCCAATATGTATCAAGAACTCAAATAGCTCCCATGAACTGCAACAAACCGCACGGGATGGTGTTGTTTAAGGGACCTGGCCCAAGAACTGATCAATGCCACCTAGGTCAGACAAATGGGCACTGCTTCATGGCCACAGTGACGAAGCAGTAGTTACAAGCACTAAGGCCATTCCCAAGACTCTGATTGTCCTAAGCCGCAACGAAGTGGTGAAAGGCATCTGTTATGTTCTTATCAAGTGGCTGCCAATTCATACCAGCATTGATGATTAGCTCAACAACTTTCACGACGCGGGACCAGTCTGCGAAATAAATAGCCGCCATATTATGTAAGTCCTCGGCAGCTGTATTCAATGTATGCTTTAGGATTAACTGAACCATCTCAAGGGCGATATCAGGATCATCCTTGTGAGTTGAAGGCTGCAAGCCAGCACGAGTGGCTGCATACGCTGATTGTTTGTAACGGCACGCTGGAGTAGGGTGGCTTATTCCTTCGTCATACTCTTGGTAAAATTTAGCACCATTCTCCAAAAGTACCTTTGTGAAACTTGGTTCTCTCGGGGTGTGGCTCCGTGGAGATATGGATTTTCATGGCGCAGATCATAACGAGGGTTAACATCCGCCCAACTATCGCTTTTTAATATCATTTTCAAATCTAGGGTAGAATCTTGAAATAGTGTGTAGGCATCTTCGGAACTACCAGAAAACTCGAAAGCAACTAAGTCATCGCTCTGAGACGAATTATCACTATACGATGCGGACTTCGCCGCGGGTCTGGAGTTCTGGCTCAAGGATGACTTCTCATTGTCCTACTTTATAACAAATTCCATGATACCGTTTTAATACCTCGCAAGTGCCCACTTGAGTGCCATCAAATTGTAAATATCTCTAGCTAGGCGATTACCTTTGTTCTCTAATAGAACTATGGCCACAGATTTGTAGCCTTTGAGAACAAGCCAGGTTCACCGAATCCAGCCCGATAAGTCTCTAGCGTCCAGGTTGACTCCATTATACAAGAGGATTATGATAGTGTCGACACTCGTTGAAGCATGCCAAATGCAGCGCAGCCCAGTCTTGGGAATCCATTGCGTTCACATTATCTCCACATACAAGGGTCGGCTTAACTCTATCAACCACACCAGCACCCCCTGATGGGTTAAAAATCATATTATTAAACAAAATGGCTGACGGTTTGAGAGTTATAGCATTTGGTCTTGGTTGGTGTACACTGGCCGAAATTAACTGTACGAAATGAGGCTATTGTCGACCTTTTCGTTCTCAAGCCCATTATCGGCGCTAGTGGCCTGTCTATCATCCTCGCTGGGGTCCCTTAGCTAAGCCGTCGCTTCTGTGGCCTTAAGGACTTTACGGAGCTATTCCTCCAGTGGATAAATATAAGCAGGGGGTTAGGCGAACTAATTAAACTGGCTCTATACTAACTTCGAAGGGTCTAGTACATGCCCATGATTTCTATGTCGAGGCCGGTATCTTCATCAATACATATACTTTACCCTCCATATGCACACGCATCGACTTAGCTATAATGGTTTTACAAAGCGTGCGTGTCCTTATATAGGTATGGCAGGGTTGGTAAGGTCCAGCTGGTAGGTTTCAGGACTGCTAATAGGACCCTCGCCGAAGATTAAACAGATCAACTCTCCGGGTTGATTTTTTCCACAGCAAAATTCGGACATTTGGTGTGGTGGACGTGGTTGGTGCGCACCAGGTGGATACTGGTCGGGTTGGGCCAACACTTGTCCACATTCAAACAGATTCTTGAGGGTGAGAGACAGGTTCCAGAAAGCCGACTATGCAGACCTAATTGGCTATATATCGTTCAAGTGGCACTGGAGATGTAATGCTTGAAATGTGGCGGATCTCCGCAGGGGGTCGTCCAGCATGGTATCTATCTTCTTGACAAGTTTTACGTCTGCAACTTCGCTCTGGATATGATTTGCACTGCTTTGAACGGTGTAAGGAATAACTGGCATCTTACTCATCCGAATGGCCATATATTCCGCTGACATACACGGCCCGTTATTTGACTAGAGGATGCTGAGGTATTATAGGCAAGCTCCCGCCACATATTCGTCGAATATACTGAATAACAAATATCGCTCAGATCCTAGGTTGGATTTTACTGGTAACTGTTACCGATGGCTACCATACACTAAGCAACGATAGATCCAACCATGGGTCGAGCCTTGCGCCATGCGTCAAAGACTGGCGCCGTGCAGGCATCAGGATCAGAACAGACTGTGACCTCGATTCCGATCTTCAGAGATTCTAATTTGAGGCTCCGTTACCTTTATCAAAGAATGATCTTGATGGTCTCCAGGTTACTGGTCTTAAATAAATTTATCAGGGTTTAAGAGAGATATAGGGTGTACGGGCCCGATATCCAACTAGGCCCCTTGATTCCGCTAGAGATTGCCAAAAGCCCATATTCTGATTCTCCTCACCTCCATCCCTCCATGCGTAAATCATCTCCCTTTGGAGCCCTCAATCTTCTCCCCAGCCAGCCGGTATATCATGATACTCCCTTGAATATTATTACAAGTACCTCAACGAGCCGATTCTGTCGTTGATTTGGCAACGGTATGGGTTTGATATTTGAGTGGGCAGCAATGAAAGCAGGCGTGCTGTGCAGGGATGACTCCAAACCGCGGTTAAATTGTCGTTGTGCCGGGGCGACGGGGGTTCGGTTCCGGCGACCCAGATGACCGCGATGAAGAGGATGATACAAGTGTAGAGGGCGAGCATCCGGAGTCTCCAGAGTCGTAATGTGCTAGGGCGACTTTGGCTTTCTCGGGGGTCCAGTGCGGGTCGAGACCGGGGATTTTAAGGTACCACTGAGACATTGTCATTGGAACAATCGATGTTTTTTCTCGAATACCTCACTTGACCCAAAAATGTAAAAGATCGAGTATATTGCTTCGAGAATTCTGATGATTCCGGACTGTAGCCTTCCACATTGATTCGCCCCTTTCTCTGAACAGAGCGCCGCAGTTGCTGGGATCTCCTGAAATGAGTATGTTGACATTATAGACACTTACAGAACACGGTCTTTGTATGTCAACTCTGTTGGGATGTTTCGTAAAATCCTAACCTTGTCTTGCGAGTATGTGCAAGAATGTTGGAATCAACAACTACCCACCGAATCATCCAAGTCCTCGCCGAAAAGCATAATGACAGTCAAATATACAGCTCGTTCACCCAGAACTTGCATGTACTCGCAGTATACTCAACTAGCCCCTATAAAATCCCATCCTAATATTCTTCATCTGATGTGTTCTCACAGCGATCACAATCAAACACCATAACTCTATTCCATTTCATCCGCTTTGCCACAACCGACAGACGCTTATCTATGTTGCAATCTTCATGTATCGGCATTATTCACATAATCATTGAAATAACCGACGATAGACCAACGCCTTGCGTATTCTCATGTTCACAAAAGCAAGATTCTGAGAAATACCCTGGACGCCGCCCACTTGCCTCAAGCAGTGAATGGGCATTCTATTCCAACACCGACACTCCGTAATATGCCTTAAGTCGCTCGCCATGCAACCACGCTCCATGTGCAATTGAAACCCAAAGAACGAACCGCTCAGTTGAGGCATTTACTCCGCAACCAAGCCTTCAAGCACACTCATAGCCCGGCCACCCTCGCTCTCAAACTTCGACACCATGGCCTCGCATTCGCCCTTGAGCCTGGCTTCCGCTAAGCCTGCATTGTGGTAAATCCACTCTTCCACAGTCATTTTCTTCTCCGGGCTAGTCAACTGCAACCCCTTTTCCAGAGCCGAGCCATCAGGGATGACGTTCTCTTTGCTCAAGTGATCGAAAACAACGTCCAGGTCAACGGCCGACCAGGGCTGAGAGCTTTGCAAGCCAGATATGATATTTACATTGCGCTTGATAGGTGATGACCGTATGGGTGTACTCGCGATTTCAACTGGGGCTGGTGCCAATTGGCTCGAATTAGCCGCATTGGAAGGCCTCGAGGATGGTGGTTGGTTCTCTGCATCCGAAGACTGGGGTGATCGTGATGGTGAGATCACGGCCGGCCTTGCGGCTGGTGCGGGCGAGGTGGCAGCTTGAGGTGTCGAAGGAAGGTGAGGTTCTTGTTCATCGGAAGGCGGCGGAGGTGTAGTGGATTCCACGACAGGCGGTGGAGGTGTGGTGGATTCCTCGGCAGGTGGCGGCGGCGTAGTAGACTCCTCAACCGTCTCGGCAGAGTCCATGCGAGGAGCCTTGGGTAGTGTCTCGGGTTGACGGTCTTCCTCGACAGCTTGAGACTGTGTGCTGGTTTTCTTTGGACGGCCACGCTTTTTAGAAGCGGGTGCGGCAGCGGCCATCGATTTCTTGATAACGGTAGCATTACTCATCATACTCAGCTCATCCTCAGAAGAGTCAGCAGCACGCTTCTCGACGGCTGTGACACGTTCGGGTTCCGGCTCAGGTTCCGGCTGGGCGGCGGCCTTTCCTTTCTTGGTTTGCTTTGAAACCTTCCTAGTGGTGGCAGCTTTGCGACCCTTCTTGGGAACCACCAGCTTATCGGTTTTCTCAACCTCCATATGTATGCGAAGGTCCTTCAATTCTGCCGAGATATCGGCGTCATCGACGTCAACAGGAGACGGATCAAACATGGCGTGATCGCGCGAAAGTTCCGCGTCTTGGCTTGCCGTACTCTTCTTTACGGCAGCCTTCTTGCCTTTGCCCTTGGCGGCCGGTCCCTTCTTCCTTTCGGAATCGGAATCCGCTGCAAGCATTCCATCGTCGGACAAGGGTCGATCTAGATCAGCCAGAAGTTGACGATCTATTTCATCATCGTCCATCGCATGCTCATCAGCACTCCGGAATGAGGCAACTGAGGTTGTAGACGCGATCGAGGCCTTACGCGCGCGATTGTTGGAAACCCTACCCTTCTTCCGTGATACCTTGGCAGGAGGCGCCGGGACAGCATCTACGATGTCCTCATGCTGCGGTTCTAAGATGGACAATTCAACCACTGCGGCACTACCACGGGTACGTCCTGCCCTCTTCTTCGGCGCAGGTGCCTCGGCATTTGTCAAGACCGAGTCGTCGACGGCCTCACTAGTTCGCTTGCGTCCTCGAGTCGGCTTGGGTGGTGGTGGGGGGGTGATCTCCTCTTCAGGGGGGTCTTCGAGGACCTCGATTGGCTCATCCTTTTTGCCTCTTGTCTTCTTGCCCTTGGCCGCTGTGGCCTTCTTCGGCCTTCCTCGCTTGGTGCCTCCCGCAGTCATGACAGAAGTTGTAGTCATGACGCTGTCTTCGTGGTCGGCGGGGTGTTCAAGGAACGATGTCACGTCAGATGCAAGGGTGGCCACGGATTGAGCCGACACCCGTGAGGCCTTGGAGGCTCTAGCTCCCTTGGCTCGCCCTGTCTTCTTGGCGGGTCCTTGTTGATACTGGTTAATCAGAATGAAAAACGGGCATTCGGGTGATCGTTTGTAGTGTTCATGCCTATCACGGAGTCAGTTGCTGCATTAGAAAGAGAAGAGGTGGGCGCACATTGGTTGATCCTTGGGTTCCCATCCGTCGAGCGCAAGCTGGCAGTAGGTGCATGTGGCCATGTCTTCAGAGTCTATTGTTGGTGTGTGCTTCCAGCCGGCATCGACCATCTATTTATTTTGTGGCACGTTAGTAAGGAAACTACAACGCGCGTTGTCCAGCCAGTGGTCGTACCTGCTTGATCTTGCACTTCCATCCCTTCTTTCCTTCGTGCGGCCATCTTCCGGTAAACGTAGCTTTCCTCGCTTCCATCATGTCGGGATGGCTTGGGTCGTCCATGTTGTAGTCTCCAACACCTGCCTCAATAGCCGCGACAATGGCCCAGCCGCAGTGCGGTGAGAGGCGCAAATGTTCCTCGATCGGGTTGTCGCCCTCGTCCCAACCGCCCACGCGCTTGTGGCAGAGAAAACACACGACATTGTCTGTGAACTCGGGTTCGGGGTCGAAGTAGAAGCCAGCTTGAGCAAGCTGTAGGAGACATTAGCACTGCGTTGCGACCGCCCAGCGCGAGAATGTCGGGGTATGCCACGTACACTTGCTGGGTCGAGCCGCCTGTGAGGCCAAGTCAATGCCTTGGGAGCTCTGCCTTTCGCGTTTGACCGCCGCCTCACGGGCTGCGCCGAGTGAAACGAAGCCAATCGACCATCATATGTGAAGTAATGGTCCGCCACCTCGTCACCATCCATGTTGGGCAGATTGTCGCGTCAACGGGCTCAAAGCAGCACTCTATAATCGACGTGCTGGAATCGTGTCGTGTGATAAACTCGTCCGTAGTGTTGGTGTCTAAAATATCAAGACCAAGAGTTGAAGCATGAATAAAGCTATTACAAGTATGCAAGTATGGTGACTGAGGAAGATTGAAGGAGAATAGCAGTGTAATTGCGCCCTCGAAGTTGGGAAGGTGGGATGGGGCATCGCGCGCATGGAAGTCCTATTGGCCAAAGGCGTGTCACGTCAACAAACGCCACACTTTGGATCACGGCACTTATTCACTAGCCACACCCTTGATTAAAGTAGATGGTGCACAACATCTTTGGTCTCACCTCATGAGACCGAAGTAACATCGTCTCAGCAATCAATGCTGAATGACAGATTACAGTCCAATCTTGAGATAATGCATTGACCTGAGAGTACGATATAGATCAAGTGGATTAACTTAGATTTTTCTCGAGCCAAGGCATCATCGCTGCGATTGACGGCTTGAGTGGGTCACCGGAGTCGATACCGCACTTCAGACCCTGGTCCCAACGCCGCTTTGGGATATTTTGACCCATCTCATGATTGTTCGATTCTTGGGGAATAGTTTTGTCAACGGTCTTGTATCAGACCTTACCGTGAAAATGTCGAAGAAGGCGCAAGCTGGAAAGACCGCTGGGTTGGTAGCCAAGATCCCGGAATTTCAAGATCGGGCCGTGATATCAACGACACGAATAGCCACACTATGGTCCAACTACGGTTCGATCGAGAGGGTAGCCCTTCGGTCTCCGGGATTCGGGAGTGGTAGTCCTTCAAATCTTGCAGATGCAGATCGATATGTTATTGTCAAAACTGTCTCTCCACCATGGACGGACCCGAATAAGGCCGACGAAGGTCATCTACGCAAGCTGCTCTCTTATGAAGTTGAACGGTGGTTTTACTACAACCTCGCCGACAGACTGCCCGCTCAGGCCAAAGTGGCAACTCCATACTTGGCACCGGAAGAAAATGGGGATGCATCGATCCGTCTCTTGATGGAAGACTTGTCGGTCGACTGTCCAGTCCCAGCTCGTGGTAGCCTGGGACTCGACGACACCAAAGCAGTTCTATCCTGGCTAGCTAACTTTCATGGTACATTCTGGGGAGTTCATCATGAGGATCCTGTTGGCTCTGGCCTGATCCCTCCACCGCTAGAGTACCACGGCGGTAGCAAACAGGGCGTATGGCAGCAAGGAACGTACTGGTATTTAGACACAAGACGCACCGAATTTTCTGATATCGACGCCGATGAAAAATGGTTACTTGAATGGGCAGAGAAGGTATGTACTCTGCGCCTCCATGATTTGGAATTTCACGCGCTCACATCTTCATAGGTCGATGCGAAGATCAAGGATGAGGCCAAAACTTATGGGACACTCTTGCACGGTGATGCCAAAGGGGCGAACATCTTCTTCGCCCCCAAAGGCCAAACGCACAAGGATGGCCCCCGAAAATGTGCGCTGTACGATTTCCAATACGTAGGCGTCGGATTGGTGACGCGCGACTTGGTCTATTTCTTGGGTACATCTGTTCTAGGAAACTTGATGAGACGCCTGGAAGATGAGAAGAACTTGTTGAAGCCGTACCACTCCGAACTCACCAAGGTGTTGAATAGTCGGAAGGAGACTTCACATGAAGTTGCTACTTACCTGAGAGATCATGGAGAGTACGACTTTGACAAATTCTGGCAGCACTGGGAACTTGCTCTGGTCGATTGGTATCGTTTCATGGCCGGTTGGGGGTTCTGGGGTAATGATCAGTGGATTGAGCGCCGGGCGCGAGATATCACGGCGCATTGGAGAGACCAAGGTTTTGCGTCTTGAGTACCCTACATAGGAAAATACCAGGTCCAGCCAAGATCTATTAGGTTGTATCAACCTGCCAAACACTTCGATCCGCACATGCAAGATTGCCAGTTGCCCAGACGGCATAAAGGTCGAGCTTACTTGGCTACGAGGTCTCCTTTATCGTATATCAGAAAACTCGTTCTTATCTCGACCGGCTTGACAAGGTTGGTTCGGGTTCCCCGGATCTCATTTGCAGATCTCTGATAACCCCCTGACCCTGGCTATGTATATGTCCGGAGTGTATGTTTTGTCACCAGGCCCACTATCAATGACACCCAAACTTGAAATACACATGTGAGAAGCTGTGGCCTCAGGTATAGAGGGGTACAAGACAGGCAGGCACGGATTGTACAGCCCCTGATGATTGGAATCCAGCACTATACCCGTTTCCCTCTTCGCATGTAACGACCTTTCAACACGTAAATTAACCATTCCACTACTTCCTCCACGCCGTCCGCAAAAGCACGTCCCACCTGGCGTAACTGGCCCCCACGCACCCGCACCCGCACGTTACTTTACGACGCCAACGGTCAAACTGCACCCGATCTATGCCCCTTCGAATCGTCAACAGAGGGAACGATTCCCGCTCTTGGCGTGGGCCTTATGTTCCGCTTATTTCTGCGCGACCATCATCGGGAACGGTGAACCAAACAAGGGGATCTTTCGCAGGAGTTTGAAGCAAGTTGACTATAGTGCCATGATTGAAGTTGTGAAGTGGCCATCTGCTCCTAGCTTAGTTTCCGATCAAGACAATACTCGCGCATATCGACTCTTCCCGAATTGCACTCGCAGGGCAAAGCAAAGGAGTAATCGACGTCTATGCTGAGCTGCGCGGATGAGGAGTATCGGACTCTTCAATTTGGAGTTGATATGACGTCGACCTCCAAACATTGAGTTGGTTACAGGGTTGGATGGGTTGAAGTCGGTTTTCTTGCAGGGTTGGCAAGGTCCAGGTAAGGTGCCAAATACACTACTAATAACAGGCCCCCACCAAATATCAACCAAATCAACTCACCAGTCTCCGGGTTAATGTTCTCCACACCAAAATTCGGGCATTTGTTGGTTGGTGATTGATGCGCACCAGGTGGATACTGGTTGGGTTGAGCCGACTTTTGCTTCCACCACTCCTTATGGTTTAGGAACAAGACCTAGAGAGCAACATAATTACAATGCTTGTAGCCGCAGCTTCTTTTATCGAGACTATGCCATTGAGGCGTATCTTAACAACAAAATATTCTTGTAATTTGGATCTCCAATCAACATGTAATAATTGCCATCCCAGCAGGTTCGAGATCTCTCTTCAGATGGTCTAGCATCCTTGTCTTTCATAACCGCATTATTCAATTTACTTAATAAATTCAGGGGACTGTCATGTCTTTGGGATAGAGACGATAAGCACGGTTCTATGGTGTTCACAATGCGTATTGCCAGGTCAGTAAGACTTGCAGTAGTTGAAAGAAATTTCTAATCTTCTTTAACTCTTGTCTCAGCCTGAAATTGTCTCCACAATCGTTAGACTACAGAATATACATCAACGATCTCAAGGATCATGTAGAGTACCGCGAGACACAAAGTGTACGTCTTGTAGGTTCGTATAGGAATCAGCACCTTTGATGAGAGGCTGCTTCACTGTCCTAGGTCTCTTGCTTAGCGATGATCGGCCTCTGAGGTGGGTGCAAGGGTTATCATGTGCAGTCAAAGTCGTCAGAAGATACTAGACATCGTCTTTGCTTCACTCTTATAAAGTCACAGTTGATTTAACCATGGCGGACTAACGTAGTGGTTGTGATTACTCGGTAGATGTCTATCATCTGTGAGTTTGAAGCACGGGTTGTGGAACGCCCACTAGAGGTGATATATGGTAGAACAGGAGAACAGAAAGTGCACGGTGGTGATGCATAACATAAATATAAGCTGGCCACTCACTAATGATCGAGAATGGGACCTCGGTCACGACACAGGCAACCACTTCTGTCCTTGCCGGGCAGAGCCGCGAGACACAAGGTCAAAGAGATCGCGTCGCTGGCCCGGCTATGGGTGATAGATACTCTGGTTGGGAAAGAGGCCCTTTTTGTTTACTTCAAGTGTTCTACTTCAGATGGTTAAATGCTCCTATCTGGGCCTCAGGTATAGAGAAGTACGTACCACAGCCGGCAAAGTTTGTGTATTTAGGAAAACAACGGAATCTGCCAATATACCCGGAACTCTAGGTTGGTCTGATTGTTTACATACTACTAATCTTATCAGGACCATTCTCATTGTCTATTATTCGAAATGTACACGACCACTGGATATATCCGAAAAACAACCAGATAATGGTATACAGCTGGCTTCATGTCATTTACGATTGATCTAGGGATGGGTTTGTTTGATAACATAATGAAATCAAACATACAGGTACTCTGGCATGTTTATTTATTCATCTTTTCTGGTTTCTTTTTCTTTTCAACATCTAGAAAACCCCAGGCATCCAGCAGTAAGTGAGTGTAGACGCGTCCAATAATACTGCTTCCAATCCAGGAACTTTACAGTTCTCCCATCTACACCATGTGAGACTATGTCAAATCAGGCAGTAATGCCTAACTCCTTGTAAAACGCATCACTGCTAGGCTTGCGACCCAAGAACTGCTCCAGTGTCAACATCTCGTCCTGACTACCGCCGCGTTCAAGCACAGTGTGTCGGTATCTTCGGCCCTCCTTGCCGTCCATCGGGTTCTTCTTGAAGAAGCTGTGGAACATGTCGGTGCTGTAGACCTCAGAGGCCAAGTAGCCGTAGTAGCCAGCATCGTAGCCGCCAATAAGATGGCCAAAGGTTGATTGGCCCTGGCCCCAGGTGCTGTTTCATTGGTTAGCGTGTTCATCTATGCAGGAGGTGGGGATTCTTCGTGTTGAGCAAGAAAGAAATGCCCGACAAACTTACCTCGGCTCACCCAGCGCCTCGGGACCCTTCAGGCCACAGATCTGCGCCCGCAACTCATTGTACAACTTGCTAGGATTAAGCTCTGTCAATTCCTCATGCGTTTTGGGAGAGTGAACCATCATATCGAAGATACCAAAGTGCAATTGTCTCAAATTGAACAAGGCGTCGTTGACATGCTTTGTGGAGATCAACTTATCAATCAGATCATCCGGAATCGAATTGCCCGTCTCGTAGTGGCTCGACAGTGCTTTCAGCTGGCTAGACGTCCAACACCAGTTTTCCAGCATCTGACTCGGCGCCTCGACGAAGTCCCTAACGGTGGAAGTGCCATGGAAACGGCTGTATGTGCACCTGCCTACCAGATCGTGGATGCCGTGGCCAAGCTCATGGAAAAGGGTTACGACTTCCTCGTGCTTGAGAAGGGAGGGTTTTGTGGGGGTGGGCTTTGAGAAATTGCAGACCAGTGCTGTAGCGGGATAGCGGCGTGAGCCATCTTTCTTCAGGAAACCAGGCGACAGGTTGAAATTGGCAGCATGGCCATATTTACCCTGGCGAGGGTGCAAGTCAAGATACAAGTAGCCGACGAATCCATCGCCCTCTGAGGAGTCATCCCACACCGAGAATATGATGACATCCTCATGCCAGGAGATGTCGTCCGCTTTTCCGGTTGGAGATAATCTTCCACGCTCCTCTTGGCCGAGTTTAATGAACGCCAGACCGAAAATTTCTTCAAAGATCTTGAGCATGCCCTCCACTGTACTGGTGAGAGGGAAGTACTCGGCAATCTTGGTCTCGTCGATGTTGTACTCCTGCTCCACCATCATGCGGTCATAGAATCTGTGATCCCAGAGGTAGTAGTTTCCGTCTGACTCGAGACCTCGAGCTGCCTCGTCCTTCTTCTTCAGCTCGAGCAGGTGATTTTTTTCAGCATCGCCGCCAGCCAAAAGCTTGCCCTTCAGACCCTCTAGGAATGAGTTGACTGTCTCTGGTGTCTTGGCCATCTTGTCCTCAATACGCAACGCAGCATGGTTAGGGTATCCAAGCATCCGCGCGGCCTCGTCTCGCAGAACAATAGCTTCCTTGAACAGCGCGACGTTGGCGGGTATTTTATTCTCGTTCGAGATAAATACCTTTTTTCTTGTCTCAGAATTCTTCGCAAACTTTAGGGTCGGAAACAAGTCGGGATACTTGAAAGACATCTTGATCTTGCCTTCATTCTCGCCGGTGCCCTTCTCCAAGCCCGCAAGTAGATCCTTAGGTACACCGTCGAGCTCTTCCTCGGTGAACCACAGACCCTGGTTCTCTTCATTCAGATTCTTCTGGAAAGCGATCCCAATCTGACTCAGACGCTTCTTGATTTCCTTGAAGCGATCCCGCTGCGGCCCTTTCGGCAATCCCAACCCATTCTTCATGTAGTTTTTGCGCTCCTTGTTGAGTAACCGCAGACTCTCGGCGTCCAGATCAGGCTCCTCGGTCTTCTGTCTGTTGAATGCTGACTCCACAAGCTGGTAGACATCCTCGCGCATGTTGCACTCGATAGCGAAGTCGTCCATCAGCTTCTCGGCTTCGGTGGAGGCGTTGCGGAGGTCGGCATCCCCGGAAACATATTGGTAGAAGCCCAAAATGCGTGCGGTCAGACCGGACTCGTTCTCGTCATCCGCCATTGGCTTCAAAACGGACGCGAAGGTGGCCTTCTCGGTGGGAACATTCGCAACGAGGCTATCGAGCAGTTTCCTGGTCGAGTCACAAAGCGCATTGGCATCGCTGACAATGGAGTCTTTGGTACCCGTGAAAATCGGCGGGGGCTGCGGTGGGTTCTTGTACTTTTCGGGCGCCATGGTCGCGGTCATGAGGGGCCTGTAGGTCGTGAAGGTGCTGCTGACAGAAGTTGTTTTGGTTGGTCTGAAACGAAGATGGCCCAGACACAGACTCAGGCGGGAGATGGCTCGTGGGGCAGCCAGATTCAAGATGATGGCGAGGAGGAGGACGAGAAGGGAGGTAACGAGGAGAAGGGACCGCAAGCTTCTTATACTGGAAGCCAGAGCTGCAGAATGTAGGTTCGTAAATGTTGGATGACTGAACAAGCGCAATGGCGTTGGATCTAGACAAATGAGTTCAATGTAAGGCGCGGGGTAAGGAGCTCCTGTATCAAGTGAGCGCCCAGCTATGATCAAACAAGCGGTGCGTAGAACGAAGCTACAGGTCGAAATCGGATGGTGTAGAGGAACGTTCTAATGCAGGAGCTGTCCCTGCAGCTGAACGCGGGGTTCGCCCGGTCAGGGAAGCACCGTGACTTCAATGGGACACCTCTCTGATCCACCAACCAGCCAGCCAGCCAGCCAACGTGTTAATAGTGGATTTCGCCCCATGGTTACGAGTCAGTTCAGGAAGACATTGCAAGTCACTGCAATGCTTGAGATAGTATGCATAGAATGTCAAATAGTATCTCCCTTTCCGAGGCGCCACGCAGCCTCGTATGCACTATTGATCTACGGAAACAGCCAAACCCGGCTACCCAATTCATACAATCCCAACGAGCAAACGCCTTGTCATCTTCCAGTCATGCAAAGTGCCTGATGCCACCACGCCCGGACTTGGTCTTGGTGGTATGACCAATCAATCGGACTCTTAATCACTATCATTTCCCGCGTAGCATCCATTCTATCCTAGCAGGGCGATCTAGTTGGCCAGGATTGTGCGCACAAGATCTATATTGCGTCAGCCTCGTTCTTTTCTTTTCGGTCTGGAGTCAAGGCATCCACTTACCGGTGTAGTTGACCTGGCCCGAGCTGGTATCAACCGCCTTGAGCAACTCATCGACCTCCTCATCCGTCATCTTCTCGCCGAGGTTTGTCAGGATGTACTTGAGTTGGCCGACACCAATGAAGCCGGTCATGTCCTTATCGAACACTTGGAAGCCACGGCAGTACTCGTCCGGCTCGCCAGGATCGCGGAAGCCGCCCGGTCGGTTCAGAACTCGTTGGAAAGTCTCGAAGTCGACTATTGTTGTAAACATTAGCTTGTGGTCCGATATTCGTGGTTACCACCCTTGTGGCTGTATGCATGTAGAAAACCCCCGTTGGGGCGAATAATTCAGAGGGGCGTGTGGGAGAGAGTTTCCAACTTACAGTCACCCCCGACGTTCTTCTCCAGATCACGAATCTCGGTAAGTGTTGGGTTCTGGCCACAGGCACGGAGCAGGTCACCCAGGCTGTCGAGGGAGACGCGGCCATTGCCTCGCTTGTCGAATAAGGAGAAAGCCTCCTTGTAGTTGGTAGAAGCCTGATTGTTCTCGTAATTAGCCGCCATATTGGTTATGATTAACAGATGTTGTTCGCAACAGAACGTGCACCACAGAAGGTATTGGGAGCCAAGAGGTGGTGATGGATTTGGAAGTGTGTACGAGGAATGCAGTCTGATGCTCAGGGGATAGCTGGGATTGATGCGACAGGACTTCAGCGAACACAGGCGACTGGACGGCGGACTTCGGGCAGGCGCAAAGACGCCGCTGACTGGCTCTTTCCTAAATTGTACTGACGCGCTAAAAGCCAGACACCTTGGGGGCAATCGGAGTTCTGAGGGGTCACCTCCTCACGTTGTTTACCCTCCAGAAAGTTGCAAACGAAGGGAAAGTTTAGGGAACGTATGATGCGGGGTAGACTCACCATTCTGAGGGATACTTGGAAGGAAGGGATACTCGGGAGGATTTTGAGGATCGTCAACAGTCGTAATTGAGACTGGCGATAGTGATTGCAGGAGGAGTGAGTAGGTCAGATTAGACAATGAAACATTTGACAATGGTTTTCTCCTATCGGCGAGTTGGGTCGGTCCTGGTCTGTGCCAAATCATGCGTTCCTAGATTTTGGCTGGGATAATCCATTGACGGGGCAACCAGATCGCACACCCGGCGAGCACTAGTTATGGGGCAACGCTGTCAATCGTCATTGGCCTTTTGAAACTGGCTGATGTTCATGAATCAAGGTTCATAAATCAAGCAGGTCGATGTTAAATTGCCCATACCGCTTGTTCAAGTGTCCATATCCGGCATGCCTGCTACGACTTCAGTGGTGCTGTGCTAACCACAACAAACGCGACGGGAATTGAAGACTACCGACAGTGCGATGGCGGGGCAGTCTGACATACATATACCACCCATGGATCTTCGAAATGAAGTATAATGTCTTCCAACAACAGTGGCACTCATATTGATACATTTACTTTCGCCTCGCCATTATGATATAAGTCCCCCAATCCGACTCGACTTCAATATCTCTCCAAGTCTCGCCCTTCGCTTTCCACTCCGGCACAACATCAATCATATACTCCCACATCACATCTAGAACATCATCCCCCTTTCCACCAGCAACCCTACTCTTTCTCTCTGGATATGCCCTTTGCCACTCCGTATAACAACTAAAAGTCCTCGTGTACGCCTCTATCTCCCCCAATGTCATCTTCTTCCTCAACCACGCCGTCTTCTCATTCCCCTCCAGCCCGGGCTCATGTTCCAACCTCTGCACATCCCCCCACTCCTTCTCAGGCGGCACGACAATCCGCAATAAATCCCTGAGTATATTTCTTCCCGGCTGCTGCCAGAACCTCCCCATCCCCTCGACGCCCGGCGCCACCTCTCCGAACTCGTACACAAACCGCTCCATGACCTTAGTCGCCTGCTCGTACCCAAGCAGCACGTTGTCCTTGTACCCCCAGAACGCCATCGTGCCACCCGGCTTCACGACACGGGCCAGATTCGGCCAGACCTTGTTGTAATCGAACCAATGCGCCGCTTGTCCGGCGACGGCCATGTCGACCGAAGCGACGTCCACAAAACCCAGATCTTCAGCCGCGCCTTGACGGAACACGATCTTGGGGTCCGAAGTCGTCTCCTTTGCTTGCTGGACCATGCCGGCTGAGGGGTCAACGGCTGTGACGACCTTGAAGTGAGGGCTTAGGTCCCGCGCAATGAGGCCATGGCCGCAGCCTAGGTCAAGTAAACTGCCTGCTGCTGTGGGCAACTGGTGGTAGCGCAGTACCGTCCTGAAGAGGGTGGGTGGGTACGTCGGCCGAAATGCCGCGTATGATGTTGCGGAGAAGGTTGAGCGTCTATTGTTTGTGAGGAACACTACTTGATAAGACGGAATGAGTATCTGGCTAGCTTACGCGAATGCGCTCATTTTGTGCCTCGTCGGAGTGCTTCTCGATAGTATCCAGATTCCAAATCACCCGGTTTCGGGCCGTTTATCACGAGTATCGTGCTTGCCAAAATACATCTCAACTGGGCAGGTCTTGTTGGTTTTATGTCGTTTGATCCAGTGGACCCAAACACGACTCAATTAACCACCTGCAGAACACCGCGGCGGAAGCCGATCCGGCGCCGAAATCGTAGTGCCGCTGGTAGAAGCCATCGATCAACCAATGACGTGATTCATTAGCTTCCTATTTGTCAAGATGTCTTATTTGTCAACGGCAGTCGAACACTACCTTCCACATTACGGCCCTTCATCCCTTTGAGCCTCTTCTCATTTATACTTAAGCATCTAAGTCTACCACCAGTGTCTGCGTTTACTCCTTTCTAAAGATTGAGAAATCCTAAATGTTGAAGATGACGACCGAGGCCACAGTAAAGAAGTTCTTCTCATCGCCACACTTCGCCGTGGTAGGGGCTAGTTCCAACCCCGCTAAATTCGGTCATAAGAGTGAGTTCTCACCCTTTATCATTTCACTGTAGAATCTTCGACCCCCACCAAATCCCAATTCCTGAGAGCGATTGTCAGTAACCCGATCGCAAAGTCTTCGCCTGGTACATCCACCACGCCATCCCCGCGACGCCCATCAACCCCGTCACGCCCTCCATCGCTGTCAACTCATCAACCTACTCTACCGTCGCCTCGCTGTCGGCCCTTCCCAATCCCAAGGAGACGTCTGTGTCCATCATCACGCCGCCCGCGGCGACGCTAAAGGTCCTCCAAGAGGCCAAGGAGCTCGGAGTTCCGGCTGTGTGGATGCAACCCGGTAGTTTTGACGAGGCCGTTATGAAGTTCGCGCAGGATGAGTATGAGGGCGAGGTGGTTGCGGGCGATGGCGGGAGAGGGAGTGAGGGTTGGTGCATATTGGTTGATGGGGATAAGGGATTGAAGGCTGTGGGGAAGTTGTAAGGGCTATGTGGACATGGTTGGAGATGGAATTTGCTGTGATGAGTTTGGATTGGGTTCCCATATATCTTGAATTTATTGAACTAGAATGTGGCTTCTTACGTACTGGATGAATTGATGAATTGCTTATTTCCATTGTATTCTTCAAATGCAGTGAAAACTTATTAGGTAACTTATCAACCATGTGCATCGATGAATGAGCAGACATACCTCATAATCACATATTCCGTCAAAACCTTGGACAACGAAAATCAGATTTACTGTGCCCAATGCCGGGAGGGTTGAGTTAGCCAGGAGTCGGGTTTTGCATACATCCATGCCATCCAGCATTGTAACGTCGTTCAAGAATCAAATCCCACTCTCATCAGAAACGTGGGCCTCTGGAACCATCTTCAAAACACTCTCCAGACACACCAGCTCCAAACCCCGAGGCAACATCTCCCCACAAGTCCATATATACCTCCCTGTAGTTCACGTGAAGAGGTTATACTATCGAATTCATTGGGACCAACTGTTCCCTTGTAGTCAGCTAACACCTTGCCACCAAAGAGATCAGTCTCGGGGTCTGAAACACTCTCTGGCTGATGCGATTATACCAGTAGCTCTTTAGTTCTCTTTTAGATTCATGATGTCCTTCTTCTCAACAATCTCCTCGTTTCGAGGTCAGTCCAGTCTTTCTATATCAGGAACTAATTTGAAACCCGTCTTCGAACTCGTAGTCCACAACTACCGCCACTTGAGATTCTCGTACTGTGTAGATAATTCGACCTTTGAAACAAAAGCCCACCACCGAGCAGCACGAGACACCTAAAAATTCTCGACCCCAGAACCCCCACCAACGCAGAAGAAACAATTTGTACGCCATCTCTCATACCGAGCTATGGAGCATAGAGCACGATATCCTTACACTCATAGTGTGGAAGCGCATTGCTGCCGAGACGATCAACAGACTCGCCGAAGAACAACAACTTTTCCAGAGGCGAATATCGAGTCTGGATCATAAATTCGACAAGAGAAAAAGAGACCTACATAATGCGGAACCTGAAAACCTGCTAAGCAGGATCAAGCTATACGAGGCGAAGCTGCGGGCACAAGGCCGGGAGAAAACACTTCAGACCATGAAGTCACTGCTTAAGAAAATGGTCGACCAGGCGAGGGAACATGGAAATAAGCTTTCGGATATGCAGCTTCAAGTGATGATGGCTCAGCGGAAAAAAGAATTCGAGTCTAGTGAGAGACCTTAAAATGTTGGAGTTGCCCCGTGTATGTATGTAATGGTTAGCCGTTAAAAGGCTACTGTTTAGATTTTACTGCCGCGAATCACTGAAGCCAGATTGCCAGCATGAAGGTCTTCAGTCATGATTGACTCGATATCGTCGTTAGTGAAGTAATCGACAACTACTTAAACATGAATAAACTGATATTGTAATAGTATGTGAGAATCTTCCAATAAGAATCAAGTGGTGCTAGGTTTAGGACTACTTCTATACTGTAATATGTTGATAATAGGATCAGTAGCAGCTGTCGGTCCAACTCTTGAAACAATGCGGAATTTGCATGATCTCTGCGGGAAGCTGTGGCATAAAGTATTGAGGGATACATGGCAGTCAGGCCACAGATTGTAGTACTTCGGGACCCCTCAGGGGCGAACTTCGGATTGATCCCCAACGCACTTTCATAATGCCAATACAGCCCCTAATAATTTCCGACAGCATAACATATTATCTTCATCAGCTTTGTGTCATTTTCTCGTACTGTCTCACCACCTGGAGCACGTAAGACTAGCCAAATATAAGCCGGAATCGCTTTTCAGTTGATCATCGAGACAAGGGGAAAAGGAAACTGCTTCTTTGGAAACGTGGAAACCAAGCATCTGTACCGGTTTGTGCATTCAAGAGTGGTAATTCTCTTAGTTACGTATCTATACTTAATTTAAGTATTGTCTGGCGAATCTAAGACATCTACTTGGGTGGGCGCCGCTTGAATGTACGCTCCGGAGGTAGTTGCCCTGTGTGCTGAACCTGGCTTGCAAAGGATAGGAGCAAAATCAAAAACTGCTTCAAGACCGCGTTGTAACCTGAAACGAAAAATTTTCTCGCATCTCTACCACGCACGACAGCATTGGATTTGTGGTTTCTTCCGAATACAATTCTGAAAAGCATAATATTCATGGTCGATACAAATCCTATGTGCAATGCCATCCGATACGAAATTTCACTCATGTACGACTGGTCACCTCCACGAAGGCACACCAACGGGCAAGATGAAAAGCATCAGAGGAAGTGAGTAAATGAAAATTTTATTTTTGTTTTTCTTTACGCGTTGCCATTCATATCAGAAGAACGCTAATGAGAGGACGAATAGTCCAGACCTACTACGCGACCTCCGCCAATGGTTCTGCGCGTAATGCCATAATTATCTTCACTGATGTGATGGGTCATAACTTCGTCAACGCTCAACTTGTGGCCGACAATTTTGCCTCGAATGGCTTCTTCACTGTGTACGCAACTTCCGAGCCTTTTTTTCCTCTATGCTCAAGAATCTGACGCATAAACATACCCTTCTTATTCCGCAAGGTATCTCTACGACTGATTCACATCTGCCTTTAAAGTCCATATCACATGTGATGGTAACACTGACCCGTATATATGAAGCATGCCAGATCTCTTCCGAGGTGACGCAGTCACTCTGAACCGCTCTGACAGTTTCGACCTGATGAATTGGCTCAAGAATCACCCCCCCGAGCAGATCATTCCCATCATCAAGGTTGTCATGAAAGAGATGAGAGAAGTAGCCCGTTGTCAACATATTTTCGGCGTCGGATACTGCATTGGCGCGAAATATCTACTGCGAGCCCTACAACCTGGCGTATTAGATGCCGGCTTCATCGCACATCCCACTCACCTCGCCCATGAGGAGATCCTCGGCATCAATGGACCACTCAGTGTTGCTGCCGCCAGTACTTTCCCCCCAAGCCTATGCTATTTACCTGAGGACGGATATCGCTAATAGGTCCCTATTGTAGCCAACGATGACACGTTCACCACACACAAACGGCATGAAATGGAAATGCTGTTAGAGAAAACCAAGCAGCCTTATCAGATGAACCTCTTCTCTGGCGTCGGACACGGTTTCGCTGTTCGAGGTAAAACTAAAGACCCGCATGGTAGGTTTGCGAAGGAGCGAGCTTTGTCTCAGGCGGTCCAGTGGTTCAAGTACTTCTTGAATATGAAAAAACACGAGCCTGCCCGCGCTTCGAGTTGAAGGTTATATGAGAGGACGAGACACAAGCACACGGGGCTGAGAAAATGATAAGATTTTGATTTGCTGGACAACTAAGCAATGGAGGTCGTTGCCTTGAAATCAGGAACGTAAACTTACTCGTAGATATCGGTAGAGATGGACCTCGGCGATTCCAGGCAATCATGACTTACACAAAGCATATGAGGTTCATTGTAGTCCACTACGTCGAGGCATATTTTAGAGTCCACACAATGGATTCGATGCATGTGGACTGATGAAGGACAATCTTGGCACGTCTCCCATGTGCAGCGAGGTAGCTGATTCAGTGGCCCACTCTGTCCAATGTGCCTTCCTAAAATGTACCGACTCCATTAACCCCTGTAACCCGCCAATGAACAACAGGGTATCACTTTGAGGTTCAATTTTCATCTATCTCGGATGCCTCTTCGGTGCCAAAATCAGCCATGCTGCTGGTCAACCTCCACAACATAGCATACAAACATGCCCTGTCCTTGCTGGCAGCTGCTACAAATACAGGGGCCGGGAATAGACGAGTCACTCCGATTTATCTCTGGGACATGTCGACATGGCTTGATTGCCTGGAATCGCCGAGGTCCATCTCTACCGATATCTACGTGTAAATTTACATTCCTGATTTCAAGGCAACGACCTCATTGCTTAGTTGTCCAGCAAACCAAAATCTTATCATCGGGCTGGCGGCTGTACCAGTTGCTGTTTCTACCACTGCCCATGTGTGATAACATGGGGAATGCTAGTTGACTGGCCTAGAGGGGACAAGGGTGTGCTCCAGTTTCTGGAGAGCGCCCGAATAATCGGGTTAGAGTACCCAGAGAATTGTGGTGAAAAGTGGTTCCTTGGCTGGCATGATGGATTATATGGGTAGTCGATCGTTTTGGAGCTGGCCCCGATATCTCCCATGCGTCACCCCAGTATGCATGACACTGGTGTGACGGTAGTATGAACAAGACAATCAGCAACTTGAATTGTGAGTTGTGATGGAGTCGATAGTCCCTTTATTGGGATGATGCTAGCTGATCATTGACAGGGGTAAATGAAGATGGCTGTTGTTGGTCTGGTGTGACTAACAACGGAAAAGCTGGATTCTTTCTAAATCACGTATCAACCCAGCGTGGATTTGTGATGTGGCCGCCAAAGAGTCTCTTGAAGGCGAGCCGGCCTGTTGAATTCTCAAATCCTTTTTGGCGCAGAGCTACGGATCATCTGCAGGTGATTCGGTTCGCACTGGGTGAGACTTTCCTGGTAGCACGCATGACTTTTATGGCACGATTAGGCAAGATCGTGCGTGTCTAATTAGCGAGATCGCCGTAGATTCGACTACTTCTTTTCCTATAATGTGTCATTGGCGAACTCAGAAGGGAGCCCGCCGTTCAGCCCTGTTGGTTGCCTCATGTGCCAGATTTGACTTCAATACCATCATGACACTAATTTTTCTTCCCAAAATAGTTCATGATGGTATTCACTTGGTTTGGGGCGGGATTCTTGACTTTGGACTTTGCCGGACTGCCACTTTCGGCTTTCTTCCCAATCTCTAGGATATCTATCAACTCCTCAAACTCCTTCTTCGGCACAATCCCTCCACTTGCCTCCTTGTGCCCACGGGCAAATGACTCGCCCATACGAGCTCGTAGTGAAGGGTCAGGCGCCCTGTCCACAATGTCTTGCAAAACCTCGATGATGTTCACTGGAATATTCCGACCTCGCGCACTCCGCGGTATACGACAGGAAAAGTTCACCATATCCGGTAGATATCCCTCGTTCGCGACGAGAATGACTTCCAACTTGGACGATTGAAGATGACCAGCCCATCGCGTCGCGATCAAAGGGTGTACCTGGGCAGCAGAGTTGATTCGGAAGACGGCAATTTTGCCGTCGCTCGAGAATTTGGGGGCTGTATGCGTGCACCTTTCCACCTCGGCGTTCACCTCAGCTCTGGCGGCCAGAAGCGATTGATTCGCTAGGAGTTCTTTAGGCGTAGCAGCGGAGATGAGCGCTTTCCAGGCGTTTGGCACCCCGAACGCCGCCGTCCGTCGCGGTGCATTGATGAGCGACACCGCATCGTTGATGGCTTTCTTGGTATACATTTTGAAAGTGGCCTTCATTTCTGGAAAAGGCGGCTCCCATTTCAGGGTATTCCCCAGGTCGCCATGAGTGCCCATTGCACACAGCCAGTCACACTGGCTTTGAACTTCCTCATGCAAATCAACGCAGATGAGATACGTTAGCAGCGAGCTGGTCGCCACGGGAGGAGAATTGCATGCCGTCACGTGCAGGGCGCCCTGAGGGAACTCATCCTCCAGGGCGTGATGGTGGTCTATCACTAGCGCCTTGTGGGGAGCGTCGATGACGGGCGGTGAGCGACGAGAGCCTTGATCCAGGACAATGACATAGCCAGGCTTGTAGGCAGCCATGGCTGTGCGCTCTTTGTCCTCGTGGATATTACTCCCCTTGGAGATATGGTGCGACGATATCAAGGCTGGGTCAAGGCCCAGCGATACCAAGGTCTTCTGCAGAATGGCGCCGGAGGTCAGGCCATCGGCGTCTTTATCAGGGACAATCAAGACTTTCTTATTGGCAGATGCGCTGCGCGGGTTTCTTTAGCTGAACCGCAGATAATTTGGGACGGAGGGCTCATATACCATTCTAATATAAAGTCGCGGGCATCATCAATCTGCTTCTGTGGAGCCGGCCAGATAACCTCGCCCGAATTATCTCCCAACGACGGGATAAGATGGTACTCCGGAACTTCTGGGCGCGGTTTCTTTGCTTTCGGCGCCGCCTTTAAGTCTGAAGGCGCACTTCTTTTCATATTTACTGCAACAACTTTTGATTTGGGGGTTGTCGTGGTATATGTGAGAAGCCTTCTTGAGTAAGTGAAGACTCGACGTGGCAATTGGCCAAGCACTGTCACGTTGCTTGACGTACAAACATTATGGTAGAAATTTGTGCACCGTATGATCTGGGTTCGACCATAACTCAGACGATAGAACAACTGCATTTGAGTTGCTATCGGTAATTTGCGACTTTGCTAATGAGGTTTGAAATATCGCAATTTCAGCACGTCCGGAGCTGCTAATGACGTCAATGATAGCGTGGTCATGGCGCTGTTGGCTCTTGGAGGAACGAGCGGGCTTACCCGCTAGCAGATATTCAGGGGATCAAACCAAACCTACTAACCTAATTGATTACTGTTAACCTGCTGAGGTCTTTGAAGTCATCACAATCAAAAGCAGATATTTGTTTATTCTCACGATTCAATCTTTTAATAAGCCAATTTAACTTCTCCAACATACGGCAGTCCACTGGATACAAGCCCAAACTTGGACCTATCACCTACTCCTTACCCAACAACCTCCTAGCAGTCAGGAGCGATGCAGGCGACTCGCCATCCTGAGAACTTGACACCTGCTTGAAACGAATTTCGGTAAACTCGAACAAATCTCATAACCCAAGCCAGGGTAGACGCCAATATTTGCTGTTGGCAGCTGATGACTCACCTGTTACAAGTTCTGCGTCGGCGCAATGGCATCAATCGCCCCCACTGTAACCAACATATCCCTCTGCACCGTCTGCATCAGCGCATACGGCACCGATTCAGAGATTCATTTTAACGAAGCCTCGATTAGCCGCTGCTGCCCTTCCCTTGTCAGGAACCCAGCTACCTCCGGCATAGTGTCTTTCCCGTGGCCGCTCGGCGTCCCGCAAGACTCCGCGCAATGTATACGCCTCATCTTCGTTCGACCCATTTACCCAGGACGAGAACACAAATGAAAGTCGCGCCACCTATCTCGGGCGCCATGATTGCACTTCTTGCTCCGGGGTTGGGCTTGTGCACCGAGGCGCCAATACGGCCACTGAGCCCGGTCCCCGGGAGGATCAGTTTGTGGACTATACTCGGCTTTTCGAGAGCGTGCTGCTAGGAAACTTGGCTACTTATGCTAAAACTGAGAATTTTTGACTGCCTCGATTTGGAGTTCGAATATCAGGAAAGTCCTGGCAAGAGCCCTACCATCCAATGATAGAACTAATGGTTTACTTCTCTCGTAATAGTGAGGCACAGGCATTTATTGCCAATCATGTAGGATTGGTAAAGATGGCATGATTTCTTAGAGCAATATATTTCCTTAGCCACAGCATTGCATATGTATGCCTTATCTCGCTGGACACAGATACAGTGATCTTCAAAGAGTCTGCGTACAGCCTATAGTTTCGTAAAAGCCAAATTTGCAACAAGAGCTTGCTTTACCAAAATTTCTGCCTCCACATTGAATCGCCACTGGACGTGGTATCAGCAATCTCCAACTTCACCAACACGCAGCTCATCTCGGGTGAGTGCTTCAGAGATGCACTTGGATCCATTCCCGGGATAAAGCGCCGTCAATGATGAAGCGTCGAGCTGGCTGTACGGTTTCAGGCTACCAGCAAATGAGCTAGTATTCGTCTCAATTCTATAAGATGCCGAGCATCTCTGCGTGGACTGGCAAGATTGGTTTCGGAGGATCACCAGCAAAGACCCGTCCCATAGGCCAAATCTGCAAGGAACCACCACATACGTTCTTATCCTTTTGCAGGATGATTAGATTGCTTAACTGATTTCTGAGTTGGGGAGAAAATCAGGGAGCAATTAGGTCGAGTTCAGTCTCCTCGCTGTATGAACCACTCTCATATTCGTCACCTTGCTCTTCATCATCATCTTCATGGTCATTGTGGCTGAATCCATCGACCAGGGTGACATACTTACATGCAAAATCGCCGTGGTGGTAACTTGAAGAGTCGGCCTTGAGATGCTGATTCCACACATGCCAAGGACGACCTCGGCATCCATCTTCTCCGCTCATTTCACTGACATATCCAAATTTGCCCTTTCCTAATTGTCCCATGGTGATCGCAGTCTGCTTTCTGTCTGTATCATACTCGTTTTATCAAGCCACGGTCTGTTGTTGCAGAGATAGATAGCTTTCTGGCTGCAGCGTGATTGGAGGTATGGAAGAAGCATTGCACCCGGAGACTTCGTGTTGATATTTGTTGTCCCGCCATCATGCGTCCCTGTGTTCCATGGCAGGTCAGCCTTCTGGAAGGTCTGAATTTGGCGTGGACGGAAAAAGCTGCTAAAGATAGCCGTGCAGACGGCGACACCCCCTTCTCGAAACGTTTGGCTCATAGCGAAATCTGTCTCAGGTCGATGAGTTCTGCATCTGTAATAAAGACGACGGACGGTGGATCTCGCTTATTGGAAGGAGCATCGGTGACAGCAGTTTCTGCAGTAAAGCTTTGCAGGTCAGCATGCTTTCTGAGCTCTGCATAAAGGGACTCTTTCAAATGGTTCATCGAAGACTGGTTCGAAGTGGGTGGATAACTACAGAACCTGCAGTCATTTTGTTTTGCTTCCCGCCATTCTATGGTGCTGCAAAACAAACAGCACGATTAGATTGAGGTGTCAAGGTGAAGAAAATTCAAGTTGAATTGAGATTGCGTTCAGTTTTCCAAGATCTACCTTTCTTTCGGGGTCCTCACGACTTCATAGCTTGCGATGTGTTTTCCTACTGTTTCTAATATTATTCTTGAAAAATCCGCCCTGGGGCTGTAACAAGAGACGAGAAATCATCCCTCAGCAGTCTGCTCATATAGCTTGGTCTGTCCCGACTACGGCAGATGCACACTTCGAGCTGTCTTTTGAAAAATCATCTTCTGTCAGCTATATCGACAAGATCTTTTACGCAGATGAGGCAACTCTCTTTAAAGATGAAATATAATTAAGCAAGATATTTATATTTATTGTTGTAGTACTTTAAACCCAAATTTTCGTATCTTTGTACTGTATAATTAAGTGGTGGGCACGCTTCATTATGAAACTTCCCTATGTATTACACAGACCCCAGAACTTCAACCTATATTTATCAAGCAAATTACATTTTGATTTTATGTTATTTGCATCCATGATAGTTCTGAAAACCTATTGTTCTGTGCTGAAGGGAAAAGGTCTCCTAGCTACCAGTTGGACAATATGGGCCTTGTGGGCCATGTGGGTCCTATACTTGCCACTATCGCCACCTAGAACGGCGACCATCCCCACATACCTCTATTACGAGAAATGTGGCGAGGATAGAACATTCCCTACTTATCTATATGCTTCTACAACTTGTCTGAATTAATCAGCAAGTCTACCATTCATTGACTATATAAGAACCCTTTTGTTTCCATACATAGACCCTCGAAGAGAGGACCAGAGTTAGCTACAATACATACAGGTTAGGCATATGTGCCCTCCTTTTGCTCCTTCAACGGGAACATAAAATCCAAGTCTACCTGTATGTGACAATGTATAACTCTTGCAATACTCAGCACCGCAAGTGGGACGGCTCTCGCTGAATGTCTGCTACGAAGCGATATTTATCTTCTCAATCCTGTCTTAGAACCATGCTTTGTTTTGGATATATTTATATATGAAACTACCGGAATAATCTATCAAGCTTCGCAATTAATTCATCTTGATATCAATTTGCCAAGATCTGTCGAACGGTTACGCTTAAGTGGTGAGAACTTTCCAGCTTTAACCGGCGGGTAATCGGGACACTCTTCCTCTGCCAGGATTCCGCTATTGTTTTGGTCACGGAGGCATAACCTCCTGGACTGTCTCTAAAGCGGAACGTAAATTTCTCAAATGGTCCAATAGATTGCCTAGTTATAAAGAGCAATTCCCGGAACGGACCCGAGCTTCTTGTGACTAGTGGTGACAGATATATAGGCCATGGTAACATTATTGCACGTTGTTATGAAGTGATGGCTTATAAGATCCGCATTGAGGTTTGATGTAAAACAGGTCAGTTCCAAGCTTTGCGTCTCTCGTGGCTACGTAGAGTCGAGTCGCTTACATTTCGAAGTCATATTTCATTAATATCGAGGAACAATTCGTTGTCCGCGCTACACTAAGATGCGTCCCAATATCATGACCGGGCTGCTGCTCTCAGCATGCACCTCAGCGCATCCAACAACACCCATCGAGGTAAGACAATCCGGCCCCGGAACAAGCCTCCAATCAGGCTGGTACTGGATCCGCGCTGTAGCCTCACCCAACTTCCACAAGTATCTGCAAACCGAACCCCAAAACGCCGCAGGAACCGCGATCCTCGAGTCTTACACGACAGCCGGACAATTCAACGTCAAAGATGGGCAGCTGGTGGAGAACAACGGCGACGGAGCCGCACCTTTGTACCTCAACGTCGAGAAACCCACCAACCTGACGCAAAGGACGCTGGCGACCTGGTTCAACACAACCGAGAATACTTTTGGCACCTTTTTATTCCAGGGCGACGCGCTGACGTGGTCGACGCCCGAAATTCAACGACAGAACCTGGCGGCTTGGCTTGTGTGCGAGAATCAGGCGCTGTTTATCAATACGGGAGCTTATGCGTATCAGACGCCTCCAGGATGTGCGGATCAGACTGTAAGTTATTTCCTGAATATTAGTTACTTAATAAATCATAGACGAGACTGACAAGATTTTTAGATTCATTACTATAATGATGCGCATGCAAATAACTAGACTGAATGTCACTACGCCATATAACCATGCTTCGGGCTATCGGGCTAGGGGATGGGGGGCACTACCAAAGCAGTGTTTAGTATTCCGTGAAGCAGTCAACAGGCTGGTAACGGATACTATGCAGGTGGTTTACACGGCCATTATCACCGTGATGCTCACAGGGTGGATTTACTTACATAAGATATCGAAGGTTGCCGGTGGCTTCGTTGGGAGTTCGCTGTGACTGCAGTGATAGGCGTTAACTCCCTGTTCTGATGCATGAGCCCGACCCACCATGTAGCTAAGAATGGCTATATGATGGCTGTTTTCCTCAATGCAATCCGTTTTGAACATACCTGTAGTTCGGGCCTTTTGAGTGTGTGTCTACACTCTTATCTGAGCGATTGAGACACCAACCTCTTACCTTACACCAACTTCCACTGCCAGGTCATGGCCTGTGGTTCGCATAGTGTAGCCTTTCGGTAAGCGCTGGGGCAGGCCGAGAAGGAGATGAAAGAGGTGATAAATAAATACCTCCAGGCGTAGTTGGCCGGTGATTTGAATACGATTCTGTCGTACTTTGTGGATGAAGGCCTCGATAATTCAGGATATGGTGAGTTTCACACTCGTAAAATCCCGCTATTTAGGATTCTCTTTTTCTCAACTTCACTACAGAGTGTGTCACTCCACGTGGACAATAAATCCGCGACCCCATTCTTCATGCCCATGGGCACTTTGTTCAAACATATGAAGATCAGGTCCAGGAGCATCCGTGGGGCGATCGACTTCTGTGTCCATGAACGTACGAGACACCTATTCCCTAGAAGGCAAGCCGGAAGATGAGCTAGTTTGAATTTTCATGGAACCTCCCGGAAATGATGGACAAAAACTTTCGATTTTACTATCCTCAAGGAAGATCCAGAATCCTATAATAGAGGGGGAGATGGGCAAGTCGTTCTGTGTCAACACCACTCATTGGAATGAGGACGTGAAGATCTACACGGATGATGATTATGCTGTGTATGCCAACCGTCAGCTTCGAAGAATTAAGGATTCTCCTTATGATGAACTTGTCAAGGCGCATCAGACTGGGCTACCAAGACGAAGCAATTGGCAAAGCTTTCGAGCACCATGAAGCACTTGCAATTGTCAAATTATGAGATTCCTTGCCGAATAAATCATTGTACACACAGCGTTGCGGTATGTGAACGGCTTACTCACAGACGTACATGCCATATTCACACTTGGATGGTGAAGAATGGATTTCTCGACAATGTTACTAGCGCATATGTCTTCGACGGACCAAATATCGCTATAAATATTGTAAGTATGGTACGTCGAGGTGGGCTATAAATATATATGCCAAGGGGCAAATGCCTTTTACAGACGCCGTACAATCCTGGTCTATCTGCAAGACTCTGGTGTATTGAGGCGTGTACTAGCGACACAATAGGGGGCTAGACCATACCTGATTTACTTAAGGAACATCTAAAACTCTAAAGTTGTGGAAACTCCTTTGCTAGCCATGAGTGGTAACCGGCCACGGGTTAAATTTAAACTTGCATAGGTGTCGAAGCTTAAACCTGACTTTAGGATAGAAGGTGTAGACCACGTACCACGTGGAATTAAGTCTTACACTCCCAGGCAACCTTGAGATGATGCTTCGCCTTCAACCGTGGGCATTATGCAGGCCCGGATTAATATCGAACTCATATCTGCTTTGTGTCCGCCTTTATTGTCTCGGAAGTACGTAACACAACACTATAGGATGCTAAAGAGGGAGATACCTTCAATCCCAATTGCTATCTTTACGAGCCATCACTGTGATATTATAGTCAGTAAGTGATTTCCCAATGCTGGCCAAGCGCTATTCACTGGGCATCAGTTGCGACCCGTATCAAATCATGCAATGTCCATTGAGTACGGCCTTCTGATTGCGTGGGTTACACTTAGTCCGACCATGCCGGGTCTTGAACGCGGGGAACTTGTGAGAAAGCATGTTCGTGTGTCAAAGTTCAGCGCTGTTGAACCAACAAGGTTCGGAGCTCATGGAATCCGGGAATAGGTCCGCAACAAAGACAAGGCATATTCTGCGGAAGCGAGCTACCTTGTTCAAGAGTAGTAGATTTCGAGTTTGCAATACTGTCCAGCTCATCGGCTTGGCGTAGCGGATTATTCGAGGTAAAAACTTGCGATAGGCCAACGGGGAATTGAGATGAAGGGCAGGCCGAAACGCCCATCAAGATCGACGTCTGAGATCTAAGTGTCTAGTGTCTACCCCGCAATTTGCATGTAGAGTTGACTTTATGTTAGTCAATGTATGCAAGACGGATTTAAGCTCAAGCTGGGTTCTGGGCCCAGACATCTTGCTAGCAGAGAAGGAGTTGACTTGGGCGGACATGGAATGGTGAAGATCGGAGATGCAGGGATGGTGGTCGAGTCTTTCGGTGAAAGTGACGACACCACTTTTACGCCTCAGCTAACCGCGCCGTGGTCCACGCCCAACACTTATATGTCACCACGTTCCTCCCTATATACTATTCTTGCTTCTTTATGCTACAACAACATTGTTACTCCCGTGCTCTAGTGGTAACCGTGTTCGTCAAATCACATTATTTCCAAAGCAATCGCCTCTATTACTACAGATTTTATTCATCATGATTTGTGATCAGGAAGCCCTGGACGGCTTGATGCAAGTTCTCCGGGACCACAAGTCGCCCACATCGACGCCTACTTCCCTCCCGACGTCGATGCCCGTTGAACCCGAGATGCATATTCAGTCTGCCAGTGATGTCGGCAACCGAGCTCTCTGGTGAGATCACTCGCAGGTCCCCCGTTCTAACCAATATTAATTAGTCAGGGTTGTCTGCGTCCTCATGGCAATTTCTTCTATAGCATTCTATGGCATGGCTATGCGCGTGCCTGTGGTATGTTCTAATAGTCCTACATTCATATCGCGTGCTAAGACTGCATACAGCAAAAACGGTTGTTTCACATTATTACAGCCTTCATTACTACGTTCGCTTTCCTGTCCTATTTCTCTATGGCCACGGGTGATGGTCTAAGCCTCCATCAATACGCGACGACGGAGACCAAGCATCATGTTGTTACCGAGGTCTACAAGCGTGAGGTCTACTGGGCCCGTTATGTCGACGTGAGTTTCCTCTTCCGTTACGAGTACCTTGTGATTCAACATGACTCTTTCACGCAATTCCGCTTACCCGTGTATTAGTGGTCTCTTACTACTCCGCTACTACTCCTCGATCTGTGTCTCCTAGCTGGTCTTAACGGTGCTAGTATTACTGTCGCTGTCGTGTCTGATGTCATCATGATTATGACTGGGCTTTTTGCTGCTTTTGGCCAGACGGGAGGTCAACGATGGGGTTGGTATGCCATCGCCTGCATCGCCTACCTGGTTGTTATCTATCAACTTGGTTACAACGGCCGCTACGCTGTGTCAAACAAGGACAACAAAACTAGGTCATTCTTCTCCGCGATCGCTGGTTTCACATTCGTGCTCTGGACACTGTATCCAATGTAAGTTGTTCATTTCTAATCCCCAATTTGGATTCAACTAATTTGTGTAAGTGTATGGGGTGTAGCTGATGGTGCTCGCATCTTCAATGTTGATACCGAGATTATCGCCTATGCTATACTCGACATTCTTGCCAAACCCATCTTCGGCTTTTGGTTATTGTTCACACATGACAGCATGTCGCGCACATCTCCCACTGTGGATGGGTTCTGGGCTCATGGAATGCAATCCGAGGGCGCCCTTCGCGTAGGTTTTTTGACGATACGAAGTACTGTCGTGTACTAACGTCTTACCCAGGTTGGCGATGATCGGGATTAGAAACTGCATCAAGCGCAGTACTACCGGAGAGCTCAGTTTCCCAAGAGCTCTGTTTTACGTCTCCGAGTCGACATTACGTGGAAAACATCAAGTCGTCAAAAAGTGTTCTCACGTTGTTTCATTTTTAGGCTCATGAAAATCACGTTTTCTTCGTGCCCAGTGCCGTAGGCTGTGTCGTTCGCGGAATTTGATGCCAATTATGAGAAAATTGTAACAAAAAAAGTTATGTTGTTGTATTCATGTTTGGGTTATGTTGGACAGTTTGCTTGCTGCGATGTGGCTTGATACGTTATTAATACTGTACACGAATATAACGTAGCAAGCCACTTACATTGTGTTATAATTTCATTGTCAGTCGCCTTATCGTCAATTTCAATATCACTTAATTTATTCTAGTTGTACTTTTTCCTGGTCAGAGTCATGATGTTGAATAGTACGTGAATTCGATCCTTTCAACCCAATTTGTTCATATCTGACTAATAGAACAATCCAGTAGCGTCAATCCAACTCACATTAGTAATAGAACCATCCGGGTTGCTTAGTACGTCAGCCGGGGACTGATATTGCACCACTCCAGCGTCATTTAGCACGACCGTCACATTGCTCGCCTTCATGGCAGATACATTATATCCGGGACCGTAGTCATTGTAGACGGCCATGAGGGTCAAGTTGTTGCTGTACCGAGGATCAGTGCCGCCCCATTTGATGTATCCCGCCGGTAGGGTGCTCCCGTCCAGATAGGATTCCATGAAAATGCTGCGGTGTAGCGAATTCCATGGGCGACCCAATGCACACTTCCCCGCGATGGTGGCCGCAATACTGGCATTGGCTGCGATAATACGCGAGTCGGAAATATAAACACCGTACTTATTGATGAAAGTGGTGTTCGTACCTGCTCAATGTCAATTTCACATCTGCACAAAACAAAAAACATCCACGCTCAGGGCAAACAGTAAAACTCACCCTTCCAAGCTGTGATTCCACCCCCACAATTCCTCAACGCCAACGTCGAGCGTTCCAACCACGCCGTCCCAAATCCATACAGGAAATCTGTCTGCCCGGCAACTACATTATCATAAAAGTACGCGTTCCCCAGTTTACCGATGTATACAGTATCCTGGTATGAGTAGAACCCGCACCCGTAAAACCCGGCATTCGCGTACGCCACGTTGACCGCCAACGCCGGCCCAGCCGCTTGCAACGAGTACACATTCCGGAAATCGATATTATACGCGCGGAAGTCACTGCTGCCAAAGGGGGTATCGGCTGGGACTGGGAAACCCGTTGGCCCTGACCCCGTTAAAGAGGCGTTCCAGGTTGGGGCCACCGTCAAAACGCTCGTGTTGGCGTTGTCCATGAGCTGGCCAGTGGAGTCGGTGTTGGCGGCTGCCCAAAGGACTTGGACTCCATTTCTGCGGTCCGTGTCGGAGGACACTGAAGCACCGTAGGAGATACCACGGTAGGGGTCATCGCTTTGGCCTAGGAGGGTTAGGGGACCCGGACGGGTCACGTTGAGTTGCTCAGTATAGTTCCCTGGAGCGATGAGGATGGTGTGCGATGAGTTATCGTTGGGGAGGGAGGCAATAGCGGATTGGATCGAGGTGAAGTTCGCGGCGAAGCTGCTTTGGCTCACAAAGAGTGTGCCAGATGGGCAGCCGGAGAGGGGCTTATAGGTTCGGCGTTGGCATTCTGCGTACGTTTTTGCTGGATGGGTTGATTTGGTTCCTGAGGCTGCCGAGGTCATGTGCAGCACTGCGGTGAGAACCGCGGCGGAGAGGCGGACCATCTTGCTTGCTGACTACGATTAGGGAGGCAGAACAAAATGGAGGTGTCATCCATTGGCACTCCATACCGGCTTGGCACGAATTTATAAACAATTTCACGGATGGTTCCTGCATCCTGATTATTTATGATGCTGGGTTCATTGACTGGGACTGGAAGTTTCTCCATCGTGACCCATAGAATGTGGGGGACATTGTGGAGGAGAAGGGGTTGATGCGGAGTAAAATATTCCACGAAACAGGACCCCTACAAGACCTGGAGCCTGGACGGGACCCCTGCAAACTTGTCAAGTTGACACTGGCAGTACTACTAGGTGAGTGCGGAGAACCTGGAGAGTAATATCCTGTTGAAATGACAGCACCAACTACTCTAGCCCTCGTAGACTTGGAGTGCGCCACATCAATGTCCGATCCATTGGCCTCGAGGAACCTATACATAATCTTATACAGAAAAAAAATACTCAGCAGGAGGATCGAATACTGCAAGGTAACTGAGAAGGAAATGAGCGTGAACAGACTGCATAGGACTATGGTTGAACTGAGAAACACATAAAATAGGCTATCAGTTAAACAACTTGAAAATAAGGTTATACTCCATTGCACAATTCCAAGCATATTTGCTGAACGGCTTACAGTATTTGGTTAGCCGGGTGGCACAAGTCCCGTACAATATTTGCTCAATTTGCGCTATTTCCTCGCAGGATTGTCGCTATTGGAGAAAGACAAGATTCAGCCTCTCTTCTAAAGCACATTAATGGATTCCGCTCATGTTAGAGTTCCTTATGACAACTCTCAAGCTCTTTCACGCGGCACCCGTCTAACCTCCACCTTTCTTGGAACTCAGTTGCTTGTACGGCTAACACTTTGATGCGCAGGTGAAATACCAGTTAGCTAAGTAACACCACGGATTACACCGGTTTGCTACGCTGGTCTCCTTGTAAACACACATTCAACCAGAACCCTACCAAGGTTCCAAGTAATCGATCAAGTCATGTGGATGAAAACTCACCACTATACAAAGTTAGCTAAATAGATCAGCGATATTATACCAGTAACTGAGTCACTGTTCTACTAGCTAGCAAGGTTTCAATGTGAAGGCATCCCTCATGATCACTTGAGACCCAAATGCATCCATTCCCGAGTTTAAACCACCCACATTACATTCTCTTGATATGGCAGACACTCCTTTACCGGAGCTGGACCTAGACCGGAATGCGATAGGAGCCTTCGGAGCCGGGCCGGCGTTTGCTAGGGTCATAGTGGGGCAGCAAAGCATCTATCAAGCCGAGTGCGGAAGGAGCTAGGCGGCAACCCTCAACCAACTAAAAAGACAGAAGAAGTCGATAAATTTGGGGATGTCAAGCCGAGAAAGCACATCTTCGAGCATTTAAAACACATAGTCAGACGTCTGGCAATCTCCTTATCCAGTCGAGTCATTGGTTCTGTTTGCGCAATTTTGCCAAGCAAATTAACAGGCGAGTCGCTAGTGGTCACTATGTTGTAGGATAATTTGTTCGCGCTATCGCAGTCACTTATCTCATCTAATCACATCTTATCTCAACGTGTATATGTCAGTCTGTTTTCTAGCGATTCTTTCTCTCATTTCCAATTTCCACCCTCGCCAATAAGCACAATGGCAGTAACAAGCACCTCCGCACCAAGCAAAGACAAGCTCCTTCTCCTTCTGTCCGGCAAACCGCGGCCAGAATGGATACCACGGATTGAGTCCAAATTCCCGAAACTCGAGGTCTGTTGGGTGGATGCCGACCCAGGGAACACCGGGCCGAGCAAGGAGGCCGAGGTCTGGCAGGGCGTTACGATACTGGTGACATACCGACCGCCCCCGGCGGAACTTATGTCTTCGGTGCGCTTCGTGCAGCTGGTGTCGGCGGGTGCCGATATGTGGGCGCAGCATGAGGTGTATAAGGATGAGAAAGTCATCTTTTGCACGGCTAATGGGTGTCATCCGTAAGTTCCCGCTGAGATGAATCATGAACTCGTTATCCGCGGAAACGATGAAGTGAAGGCTGACCCAGTACATTCCAGACCACAGATAGCAGAATGGGTAATTGGGGCATGGCTATCGTTTCAGCACCACTTCGCGAGATATGCAGCGAACATGCAGAAGGGACACTGGGAAGCACCCTACGAATCGACGGTGCAAGACTCGACCGAGTGCAGAATGTGAGTCAAATCCAGGCCAAAACCGGGACAGTCACTAACAAGAAGAAAGGGGCATCCTAGGGTACGGCGCCATCGGCCGACAATGCGCGCGCGTAGCCAATGCAATGGGCATGGAGATCTACGCCTACACCCGCAGCGAGCGCGTCACCGCGGCCCAGCGCAAAGATGACAGCTACTGCGTGCCCGGCACCGGCGATCCAGATGGTCTCCTCCCCACTAAATGGTTCCACGGCGCGTCCAAAGAGAGCATCAACGCCTTTCTAGGCCAGGACCTTGACATCCTCGTCGTCTGCGCCCCCTTGACTACAGAAACGCGGGGTATCATCTCGCGGGAGCAGTTCGAGATCCTAAGCAAGAAAAAGACGTTCCTCGCCAATGTGGGGAGGGGCCCTCATATCGACCAGGAGGCGCTCATCGAGGCACTGGAGACGGGGAAGATTCGCGGCGCGGCGTTGGATGTTACAGATCCGGAGCCGTTGCCTAGTGAGCACCCGTTATGGAAGGCGCCGAATTTGTTGATTACGCCGCATGTGAGCTGGCAGACGACGAATGTATATGCGAGAATTATGGATATCTTGGAGACGAATTTGGAGAGATTGGATAAGGGAGAGAAGCCGATTAACATGGTGAATCGGGAGTTGCACTACTGATCAGGCTTAATGTGTATGGGCTTGGCCTGCAGTTGTTGCAGAAATGTCGCATGCTTCATAGCAGTGCTCGATGTTAATTGCTTGATGCTTTTTCGACACTTGGCTGAAGGCTTAATACCCCGAGCCATCGGTCGGCACTCAGAACAAAGCGAATGCCAGGCATGCGTGCATATGCCAGTTGCTGATTGTTACTGGACCAAACGACCGTCAATAGCCGAGAGGTAATCTCGTTGTGGAATGTGGTCATATTGGTGGTTATACGTTCTAACAATTATTGAATCCACTTCCCCTAGCTTCCCCAACGTATCGTCCACAAGGTGTCCCCAGGCTAAGTAATAGATCAAAAGCAGCAGTAACACCAGAGTCAGTCTATTAATGTGGAGCCAACGGGATTTAAGCATAATTTTCGATGTCCCCGATTATGCCAATGAAGGCATATCTCCAGCTCCGGGCGGGTGCGGGAAGTTTCGATGTGAATCGTCCGGACCTCCGGCACAGCTTGCATCTGAATTTATCTTCCTGTAAAAGCTTAAAGCTCGTCCTTACTATACCATAAGCCGTAATCCATGAACGAATAGCATAACCCGACGGGGCATCCTGGCCTGTGAAACGCATGGCGCATCGGCTATCAAGACTTAATTGCCCGACTACATTGGAAGTATAATAGTCCCTATTGACTATAAACAAACGCAGCTAGAGCGCAGCGATTATAGTGTTATGTGTCTTGCGCTGTGAAGGGTCCTGTGAGAACACAAGTGCCAAGTCGACGGTCCGGACAGTGTGGGGTTGAAACTGAAGATATAATAATTCGTATATCGAAAAGTGGCCAGGCGGATGTCAAAACAATGACAGTCTGTATATAAACATCCAGAGCCCTGCCTAGCTCAACTCGTAAGGCAGGTATACTGCGCGACAATTCATATTTTGAGTGACCCATTAGAACTTTTCGTCAGCATGACTATCAACGAGAAGACAGACATCATTCCCGGAACTGACGTCGTACTCAAGTAGCACGGCGAGGAACGAGGCGATTTGGTTCTCATCCCTCAACCTACGACAAACCCTGACGACCCCCTGGTGAGACTTTCTTCTTGCCATTGCTTTGAATCAGATCATATGTCTGGACCTCATCACTGACCGGGATACCACAGAATTAGTCCCCAACATGGAAAGCCATCGTCATCTTCAACCAATTCGTCTTTGTCTTCATCAGCATCATGACGCCCCTAGCCATCGCGCCCATGGCGCTCATTTTGAGGCCGAGTTCCATAAGTCTTTGCCCGAGGTTAACATGCTGTTCGGTGCTGCTGCCATTACGCTCGGCTACTCTAATCTCCTCATCGTGCCCACCGCGAATGTGTTTGGCCGGCGGCCCGTGATTATTGTTTGCGGCCTCATCTGTACCTTGGCCAACATTTGGCAGGGGCTTGTGACGAGCCACTCGAGTTTCATCGGTGCACGTGTTATCTCCGGGCTAGGGGCGGGGGCGAATGAGAGTATCATGCCCATGGTGATTGCGGACCTACTGTTCTTGCATCAGCGCGGAAAGAGCATGGCGCTTTACTTTTGGTCGTACTTCATGGGTTTGTTCATGGGACCAATTATTTCTGGTGCTATTGCGTCTCAGATCAGCTGGAGGTGGTTTGTGAGTCGACACCGATTCCAGAGGCTAATAAACGCGGAAAATTCACAAAAGTAATAGTTCTGGGTTTGCACAATCCTGCAAGGAGCAAGTTGGATATTTATCATCGGAGACCAAGTATGATAGACCCGCCAGAGCCTCAGCTCCAGCTTCCATTGAATTCATCGAAACACCCAGCAAGCCAACCGATTCCATGGGATGCGACTCCGAAACCCCGGCCACGACTCACCATCACCACCTCTGCTCTCCTACCCAAAGGCAAACTCTCCAAATCCCAGCTCTGCTTCCTCCCCCGCGTCCGCTTCGATCCAGGCTCATTCCTGCGGGACATCCTCTCTCCTCTCCAAATCCTCTTCTATCCCATCGTTCTCTGGGCATCCCTGACCATGGGCTTCGCTGCCAACGCCCTCCTCGCCCTCAACCTAACCGAAGCCCAAGTCTCCAGTCCGCCTCCTTACTTGTTCACCCCTGCCCAAATCGGCTACACCAACTTCGCCTTTGCCATCGGCGCCGCCGTAGCGCTCTTCACCGCTGGCTCATTTTCCGACTGGATTACGCTCCAGCGCGCTAAGCGGAATCACGGGATTCTGGAGGCTGAATTTCGATTGCCGGCTTTGGTGCCGTACGTGTTTGTTAACCTGGTGGGAATGACGGTTACTGCGGTGGGATATCAGCGTGGGTGGCCGTGGGAGGCGGTCGTGGTAGTGGGTTATGGCTTGGTGGGCGTGTAGGTCGTGGGGATCCCGGCGGTGGCGATTGCGTATGCGACGGATTGCTACAAGGCGTTGCCGGGAGAGATCGTGATTGCAGCGACGATCGTGAAGAATACATTTGGTGTGAGTGCTACAGCAACCAGAATGGAATCATGCACAGCTGACTGACGACGTTGTAGTTTGGCATGATCTTCTTCTTCAACGACTGGGCGGCTCGGCAGGGCTATATTGCCCCTGTGCTCTTGCTCATGGTGTTGACAGTTGGCTCCTCCATTATTGGGTTAGCGTTGTTTATACCCTTCGGTAAGACATTTCGCCGCATGACCAAGGACTCCACGTTGCACACTTTGTGAGAGCATCTTAGATTAGGGGGGGGGAAAGGGGAGGGACGATGTATCACACTAGCACAGTTTAGGAGAAAGACGTTCAGATCGATGCGATCATGTTTAATATACTCTACATGAGGTAATTAGCGGCATGGTCGCGCTTGGGTATCAAGTTAGTGAAACTATTCACAAGTCAAATTGTGAATAAGTACTACGAATTGAAATACAACCCACTACTAGAGCTTGTCCTATACTTAGTGTTGACTATATTCGCACTTCCCCATTCTCTACTATTATACAACTTACTGAGCAGCTTATCTATGAACTCAGAGTAGTAACGCTCTGAGCCAAGCGGGGTGCTGCTCACCAGAAAGCTGTGTCTAGTTCCAATTTAGTAGATATTGGAGAGTGTCTGAGGTAGGCAATACTGAATAGTCTACTCGGTGAAGAAAAAGCCAGGCTCCTAATGGCATTGTAGATGCAGATCGACGGCGCATGACTCAAATTCCCGATTCCCAGGAAACACTGTCCATCTTCTGGTGAGGTGATACGTCGTAACGTTCATTTCAGCCCAACCCATGTAAGGGTGCCCCTATCGTACCACGCACTTGTGGTATCGCGATTCACAGGAAATGAGACAAAACCCACAGACGAAGATCGGTGGATGGAAAATTAAGATCAGAGTGCCTTGAACAAATTCACCAAGTCTCGAGCAGAGGAGCAGCGAGCTACATTGCTAATGTCGAAAGCAATAGTAGCTTATTAGAAGTAATCCAACTGGTATTTGGTGGAGCGTAAAGTGCCATGGTGAGGTGCGAAAGCATCCTCAGATGAACACACTGCTTGACACCTACCATTGGAGAAAGTTTTCTGGACACCGAGGTGCTGTCGGTAACCATTACCTATTTAGGCAGAAACATCAATGAGACTATTCCTGGGCTTGTTCTTGGCGACTGACTATAGGAGCGGTCAGGTTGTAGTGCTGATAGGGCTCCCACTGTGAGAAACGAATAAGTTTAGACAAGCAATGGTCACGAGAGGCCGTAACAATAGCTGCGGCATAAACATATAATTACTGATGTTGTCGTGGGATTGAGATGCACTTTGGCACTCAGTCATCCGAATTCGTTGATATGCCAAAGACCCACAATGGTGTTGCCGTTCCGGCAACCCTACTGGGCGAGCCAGGTCAGTGTGTAGAATTGAACGGTCATTGTGGCGTAAGTCTCGTGGTCCCTCAACAAGGACTCGATTATGGTATCTCCAAACACGATATGGAGGTAGGAGAAACGTCAGTTTGGAAAGCGTCAACTCGAGCAGCCACCTGAGGACTCCGGCTTGGCATCTGTTCAGGAAGGTGCAACATGACTTTGCTCCACCGTAGAAGCGTGTCCAAGCTATAAGTGATGGCAACGATGCCTGTTTGGCTTGCGCTACAACACATACTGAAACAGACAAACTATGATCAAACTGCAAACAGTGCCCGCGCCCTCGTGTGGTATTGCAAGATGTGGCTGCGCAACGCAGATGATTAGATGAGAAATGGCATGACGGGAGATGAAATGAGATCTCCAGGAGTCAATGCGAAACGGCGCTCATTTCCAGGTCCATGATAGACGAGAAAATAAACCTTAAAAGCTTCCTTGGCAGGTTTGGGTACGGCAACAGCCCTTGGATGACTGCTTGCGCGAATTAGCAATCACTTTCTTTTCTTCGAATATCCTGACTGAAAAAATAGCCTCATGGATCAGATCACACGGTAGCACCAGCCCTATGGACCAGAACCTGGAGCTGCAGACCTGGGACGCATGCACACACGTTGCTTTTGCAGTGGCTGCCTCGATGCAAGATGTCGTCGTCGACCACATTGTTGGGAGAGCGCTGCGGCAGATTGATGTGACGCGACGAGCGCTATCTTGCTCAGGCTGCTGCCAAACTCTGACCAATTTCGTGACGACAATGCATTCAGGTGGAGTTTGGTAGGTGAAGTTGTCGTCACTCCCGCACGTTCAATTTCCGAATATGGGGCTGTGTTTTGGTGCGACCCCGGAACTCAATCCTAGCTCGAGCGGACGATCAACATCTGAGACGTCCAGGTCCCATGCGCTCGAGGCCAACCAGAGCTGGGATCACATTGTGAAAATTGCGTGATGCCGGGGAAAATGAATCCTCGAGAAATAGAAGAACACCGGCGCATCGTTTCGATTGGCTGTGGGCAAACAGAACGGGACGCGTCTTAAGCGCGCTTCCCGTCGCAACCACTCCCTCCGAGAGTCTGTGGCAAATCTTATAGAATTTGCAAAGATAGATGCGGTGGGAAGGCGGTAATATGGATGTATGCAAAATGCTGGAAACGAACCTGTCACAAGAGGTTGACGTAGAGAATTTCTGCACACCTAAGGAGCAGGAGGCTTGCATGTCGAGAGACGGAGAGAGTTGCAATATTCTAAAGGGAGGTGCAGGGGTGTCATCAGCCAAGCAGCGACGTTTTCTCAATATAGCGGGGTACTGAAATAGCCCGCTAATCTTGGTATATTCGCAGGGACAATGCTTTCGCTGCTACTAAGCACGATGAATTTACCAGCGAATGAGGACGCATTGCATCGATGCCCCCGGCAACCAATTTCGCGTAATCTGCAATATGGCCCACCTTTTCTTTTTGCCACAAGACCAATCATCGTCGGTTTGTGCCTTATTGTTTCTGCGCCGTTCCTGACTAGAGACGCATGGGCGACTCAAGCTGCCTCATAGGGAAAGTCGGCTCTCCACCGTTGATGCCCCGAGTTGCGGCGATGGTCAAGATGGCAGTCTTGCATGGAGGCTAGGTTGCGCGCAAACGGCAATGACGAGCTGAATCAATTGAGTTGTCGTATCAACCGATTTAGATATTGTGTGGCACAGATGCCCTCTAGAAAACGCAACGAAGCCAGTAGGTAATGCTGAAGCCGAGGTGGGTAATTGACTGTTGTGTGAATGTCGACCGCATGTGGGATGTGCGCATCGTGAATGTGCTTGGCCAAGAACCAAAAAATCGGGAGCCAAACCAACAATACCAAGCACCTTTCCAGGCCGTGAATTCGAGTCCTCCGCTCAGTTCCTGCAATTCAAATAGTTCACATCCCAATATACGCGGCAAGCAGGAATCTCCGCTATCGCGACTTTACCCTATTTGATTGTCCCAGAAGTCGCGATTTCGTCCCTGTCGCCCTTTCTCCCTTCAGGCTAGTTGACCCGGGCGTTGATCTCACAGAACCCACTCACGGACCCTGGCAACAACCCCGGCCGCTCAGAACATCCAGCAATAACCATTTTCTCCCTCGACTACCCTCTTCCCCGCCCTCGTTGTCTGCCTTCTTCCCTCCTCACCGTCGCTGCTGCAACCACACGGCCGCCTCTCTCCTGCAGCCCTTCTTTACCCTCTCTCCCGAGAACGTGGCCTGTTATCACAGATCGCTTCTCATTCCATTCGTTTTTGTCTACCGAGATCCCTGGACTTTCAGCTTCGAGGATTTACGCCCGTCACTTGCAGGTCAATCGCACAATCAGTTCACGACTTGACCAGGGCAAGTAATCGACACACTCTTTCACCAGCCCGAAATTACCCAACGACGCTCTTGAGCGCATTACATTCTTTTCAGCCCGACCACACTGCTGTGACTGATACTTCAGGTGTTGAATCACATATACTGCCCCGCAACGAACCGATACTGCGCACGAAGGCAAAAAACACAGCTTCATGGTCTGACCTGGCTGACACATCAACACCCAAATATAACGATAATATTAGCCTAGTAAATAATTCAGTATGGTGAACAGCCACCCACATCTGCACCGGAGGGCAGTTGCCCAGGATGGGTCTTCCGATGGCGTGGCCAACCTTTTGAATGGCTCCGACACCTTCCACACTTTACGGCGCAAGCAGAACGCTGCGCGATCGACAATTTACAAGACCGTCTACACTACCTTGAAACCCACCTTCGAAGGTGCTATTGGCGGTTATTCGACGGGCTCCAACGACGATGATAAGACGACGACCGCAAGGGCAGCGACCACCACGGAAGACGCAGCGACTAAGGAAACTACGACAAGGAAAGCACAGGCAACGAAAGAGACAACGACTTCCGAGGCTGCTGCCACAACCAAGGCGACTACCAAGGCAAATTCAAAGACGGATACTTCGTTGCCGGAATCCATCGTACTCTCGACCACCGGTACCGTCAATGACAATAGTCTGGTGATAGCCACAAACGACCCGACGACACCTGCGACAACTGCGACAATGGCTGCGACAACGCAGGCCGTTACTGGTACCAATGCGGCATCTTCGTCTACCTCGACTTCGTTATCGTCAGGCTCCAGCGGTGGATCTGGCTCTGGAGCAAAGGCCGGTATCGCTATTGGTATTTTGGCCGGTCTTTTGGTAGTTGGAATGCTCGTCTTCTTCCTGTTCAACAGGCGCAAGAAGCAGATGGAGAAGCAGCGTATCGCGGACGATGAGAAAGTTCAGGGTCCATTTGGAGGAGCGGACTCCAACTTTGTCGTAACAGAGTCGAAGCGGCCCGATTCCGTTCACACGACGCGTACCACCGCTACCGCACCGCGCCTGAGCTTGCGACCCGTCACGCAGTTCCTGCCAAATTTTGGTGAGCGACGATCCAGCAAGGGCGCCGCTATTGCCTTGGCTGTTACCACTCCAACGCATAAGCACACTCCCAACAGTCGCCCTGTTGATGGTAGTCTGCGGGAAAATTCTATGACTAGCCAAAGCAACAACGAGGAGAACCCCTTTGGCAGCGGTGCACAGCGGATCGAGTCTCAACAGAATGTGCAGCGATCAGTTGGTAATGATGAGTCTATCAATCCCTTCAACGCCCCCGAAAATATTGTAGGGTTTGCCACTAGTACCAACTCGCCGCCAGAGAGTTCCAACATTGCTGAGGTTGCTATTGCTGAAGTCGGGGCGGGGGCAGTCGCAGGTGCTGCTGTCGCTGCTACTCCGATGAAGCGCAAGCAATCCATCCGAAAGGATGCTCCCCAGGCGCTTGATCTGACTCGCGGAGCTACACTTCCCACCATCCATGCCCAACCCAGTCCAACTGGCACGGAATACAGCTTCACGTCTGTCGCCACTGGCCAATCTCCCGGACCTTCCCAGAGCGCCAATGCCATTGCTGCTGCCGGTGGTCCCGCTTCTTCAACTGTGCACCGTGTGCAACTCGACTTCAAGCCTACTCTGGAAGACGAGATGGGATTGAGAGCTGGACAGCTGGTGAGACTCTTGCACGAGTACGATGATGGCTGGGTGAGTACTCTCCTGAAACTTATTGCAGAACAAAAGCTAACATGTTCAGGCCCTCTGCATCCGACTTGACCGCTCTCAACAAGGTGTTGTTCCGAGAACTTGCCTGTCAACTCGACCGGTGAAACCTCGCCCGACTGGTGGTCCTCCTGGAGCTCGTAACGGCCCACCTAGGAACCCTAATGGACCCCGTGGCCCTCGAGGAGGTCCCAAATACCCAGCTGCTCAGAGACCTATGACTCCCCAAGGCGGCCCTACTCGCCCACGACCCGACTCTCCCATCCGCCCAATGACTGCCGGTGCACGACCCCAATCCCCTGCAGTTATGCCGCGACCTCAATCTCCTGCCGGCGTGCCATTACCCCAGTCACCCGCCGGTATGCCTCGTGGTCAGTCTCCCGGTCCCATGAGCCCCAACGCTGGTCGAAATGCCTCGCCCGCGCCAAGGTCTATGATCCCTGTATCACGCACGCAGTCACCTGGTCCGACGGAGAGAGGCTTCAGCCAGAGCAGACCAAGCCCATCAGGTCCAAGCCCGATGTACCCTGCCCCTGCTCCGGGTAGTAATATCCCCGTCAAACAATACCAAGGACCTCCACGAGGCCCGGTTGGAAGAAAGCCTGTCCCTGGTCAAGCCTACTGAATGCGGCAAATCCCGGTGGCGTCAGTCGGCGTAGTATTGTCAAATGCCGGAAGTGCTCTGCTGTCGACTACCCTAGCGCACGGCGACCTTCCTCGCCCTCGACCTTGACGACATTTTATGACCTTTGATATGAATCTTGAACCTTCATTCGACACTAGCTTGCGATACATCCTTCCACTTTTGATCATTTTTCCGGCCCTTCTCGACGGTTCATATTCCCAGCTTCCATCAACTCACCAGCGTTGACGTTCGGATACCCAATTTCGGATATTTCCCGACATTGCCTGCACTCATTCAAGTACAGGGTATTTGGCATCTTTTTGTCAATAATTTCTTCGTGGAATAGTGGCTCCTTCACTCGGCCATTTTCCACAACCGATCTTCGGACCTATATTGGGCAATTTCGCTATCAAATCTCTCGGATTTGCCCATGGTCCGGATTTCTGTATTGTTTAATTTCTTGTAACGTAAGTAAGTTTGGCACTCAATGTGTTGAACCTCTGCCTGCGACCGGTAAACTCACAGCCGTTTGGCTGGAGTATTAACAACTCGGCACCTCGCCTTGACCATTACTAACTGCCACTGGCTGGAGGAGCTTGGCTGGTACCTGACGAGGCCGGCTTTGGAGGTTGGGTGCTGGTTAGAGATGGCTTGCTCCCATGGAGTCGAGATGGGGTTGCTGCTAGGTTGAAGCCCCGTGATGGAGATTGGACTGCATTGGCGGCTTCGACATGTAGATACGCTGCTGATGCCAATATATTGGTGATTCATCAATGCCATTTACAAGTCACGTCGTATCCCGCTTAAGTACATGTGCCAATAACTGTGACCTGATTGAACCGTGCTGAATAACTCGACTCGAGTAAGCACCCTGCTGGGTAATACTTTACACTGTTAAGAGGTTACAGCACGCTGACACCAGGTTAGCTTATTGCTGGTGTCCAGCACATGGTAGACCATCGTGGAATCTTGCCAAACCCGGTGAGTATCATATTCACTGAATAAGTATACTACGAGGTGGCCAGCCACCATGCATTTTTTTCACGGCAAAAACCATTATCACAGAATCGGAGCTGAGAGCCCGATCAGATTGGGGCCGCTCATGATCCTGGACGGACACAGGCACAGGCTGATGGGGGCATTTGATGCTGCTATGTTGAGATTTGTATCACGGGCCAAGCTGTATGAGAAGCAACGCCGCATCTCTATTTTAGGAACTCAACATCACAAACTACAGTATTACAGTGCCTTGGAAGCTTCACCGACTCGACAATGTGGAGCAGACACCACAAACGGCATCGTGTATTTTTCCTAGTGTACCATGATTCGGGTATGCAACCTGAAAATTGCGAAGAGCAGTCATACGTTCCCCACAGATCACTAGGGTTAGATGCGGGGAAATGGGGTGAGGGATTGGGGATAACCGGCAACCACACCGAACTTCAGGATATCTAGGGCCATGTTACATGGGAACGATTCCCGGTATTCGATCTGTGGGGTTGCCTTAAAGGCAGCGAAGGTTGCATGCGAGTCTGCCTGTGTTCCCAACTTCTCGAGATCACCGCAAAGCGCTACTAGCTCTTTCGCCTGTCCCAAGGGGAATCACTCATCATGGAACGAACAGCAGTTCTCCAATGGTTGTTACTCCTGGCTATTTCTCAAGTCTCGTTTGCCCAAGTGGACTATTCTCAATATGTGAACCCCTTCATCGGTGGCTCTGGCCCGTTCGACGGCCTGGCATGTAAGTCTTCCATTTCGTATCGCTACACTTGCCACGTTTGCTAGAAGTTGAGCAAAAGGTTAACCCATATGTCTAGACGGAGGAGGAGACATCTTCGTCGGAGCAGCTCGTCCATTCGGGGTCGCCAAAGTGGGTATCGACACGTACGAGCCAAACGTGTCGTTCGCTGTCATCAACGGCGGGTGGACGCCCAAGGGTTATGTGACGGGGATCAGCATGATGCATGAGAGTGGGACCGGTGGCCCCTCCAAGTACGGAATCATACCGCAAATGCCGCTCACTTCTATCAAGGCGCCCGTGAATATCTTGGATAATCAGACGTATTGGCAGACCCGCGTAGGGGACGACATTGCGGAGGTAGGATACTTCAAGACTCAGTTCGAAAACGGCGTCATGGTGGAACTCTCTGGATCGAAGCACTCCGGCATCATGCAATACTCATTTCCGGAGGGAAAGAAGCATGTGCTGGTGGACATATCGCATTATCTGCCTAGTTTACTGGGCAGCTATAGCAGTCAGGTGTTCTTAGGGGGGGAGGTTCACCTGGACGGACAGAAGTATACCGGACATGGCACCTACGGAGGCGGCTGGAACGAAGGCGCGCCGTATACTGTCTATTTCTGCGGCGAATTCGAGACAGAGCCGGTTCAAGCACGAACATTTCGCGGGAGGAACACGGACCCGCCCTTCATGCAGAGATACCACACGTTCAGCAACGAGCCGGTCGGGCAAGCTACTTTCGGAGACAACAGTTCGTACACGGTAACGTCAGGACCGCTGAACGATCGCATCGGAGCAGTGTTTAGCTGGGACGACAGTGCTGCAATCCAAGTCAAATCCAAAGTCGGGATATCCTTCATGTCGGTCGAGAAAGCATGTTATTTCAAAGACAATGAAATTCCAACCTGGTCACTCAACGACACCATAAATGCCGCGGTAGCAGAGTGGAACGATGTCGTCTTCAACAAGATTCAAGTCCCCACCGACGAATCTGTTTCCAACCGGACGAACCTGGTCCTCCTCTACTCGTCCCTCTACTTCATGCACCTGATGCCCTCGGACCGTACGGGCGAGAATCCGCTTTGGGATTCCGGCGAACCGTTATGGGACGACTTCTACGCCCTCTGGGATACATTCCGGTGCACCGTCAGCTTGTACCATATTATCCAACCGGAGGCGTACGAGAGTCAGATCAGGTCGCTGATCGATATCTGGCGGTGGGAGGGGTATATGCCTGACGGACGGTCGGGGAACTGGAATGGGTTGGTTCAGGGGGGCAGTAATGCCGATAATGTCCTTGCTGATGCGTATGTGAAGGGGTTAAGGGGGGATATCAATTGGACGGCGGGATATTTGGCCATGGTAAAAAACGCAGAGGTAACGCCGTACAACACTTTCAGCCCCATCGACTTCAGCGCGAGCGTCAAGGAAGGTCGGGGTGCCTTGGATGACTGGAAGAATCTTGGCTATGTCTCAGCCGAGAGCACACGGTGTATTTCGAGGACCATCGAGTATGCGCTGAACGATTATGCGCTTAGTGTCGTGGCTGCCGGGGAGGCGCCCAAGGATGTCGAGAAGTATCTGAACCGGTCGGCGGGCTGGCAGCGGATATGGAATCGTGACGTGGAGAGCTTGGGGTTCAGTGGGTTCTTGGCCCCGAGGAGGAGGGATGGCGAGTGGAACGTGACGGGGTATAATCCGGGGTTGTGTGGGGCGTGTGAGTGGACTTCTATCTCGTATGAGGCGACACCGTGGGAGTACTCTTTCACGACGCCGCATGATATGCGTACATTGATTGAATTTATGGGGGGCGAGGGGGATTTTGAGCGGAGGTTGGATTATATAGTGAGTTTGAGTTGAGACGTGACGGAGAAATGGTTACTGATAGGGACTGCCTAGTTCCAACCCAACTCCAGCCAGCAAGACTTATCTTCGAATGGGGCGAGTATAACTTCAATCATGAACATTGGGTACGCCCCTGGAATATCCGAAACGCCGTTTCTCTCATTAACCTAGATTTCACTCAGAAACGAGCCCGACTTTGCAACCCCCTACCTTTACAACTACCTCAACAAACAACACAAATCCGTCAACCAATCCCGCGCCCTAGCAAACCAATACTTCCACAATGCCCTGTACGGCATCCCGGGCAATAGCGACGCCGGAGCCCTCAACTCCTGGCTCATCTGGCAGATGTTGGGCCTATATCCTATCGTCACCCAGCCCGTGTACCTCCTCGAATCGCCCTGGTTCAGCGAAATTAACATCACCGTTAACACCAACGCCACGCTGAGGATAACGAGTAATGGAGATAGCCGAACTTTGGGACAAAATGGATATTACCTGAAAGAGGTCAAGATTAACGGAAAAGTGTGGGGAAAGAATTGGTTTGAGCATGAGGATGTCATGGTTAAAGGGGGGAGTATTGAGTTCACGGTTGGGGAGGAGCCGGTAGCATGGGAGACGGAGGAGGGGCCGCCTAGTCCTGGACATTGGACAATATGATATGGGGGCTGTTCAAGGGGTTGGTTGTAGAGGGAGTTCAGAACTTGACACTCTAATTGTAACATTTCGGTAATCGCTAATAATTAACTTTTCGACTTTTCGACTTGGATTAGGGGACGGTCCCTTATAGATCAGGAAAAATTAAGCCGACTGGGGCATGTCCATGGCGTGAGACAATTTACCGAGCCGAGCAATCCGAATTCGAGATAGCAGGCCCTTTGACCATCTAAGGAGAGACAGCCAATGCCCAATTCTGTCCAGACCGCGGGCCAGCTCCCGGAAACTTCGGTACCGCGAGTCTAATACACATCATTGGACAGCGCAAGGGCTTGAAGACGTCAAGCCGCGCAAAGAGCGTCTTTTTCACTGACTATATTTTCAGGATCTGTGTCACTGTCATCCAATGCTGTTCGTCTTGATCTCCCAATAGAGTAATCAGACCGTCGAGTAAAGCCCGATTCCCGCTCACATTTCACCATGAAGTGGATGATCAGGGAGTATTTGAGAATTACAAGCAACTTGAATTTCTAGGTACGCTTCTTCCTTTATGAGATAATTTGGTTTGATTCGAGTTTTGGTAGGGGCGTCCGGCAGTTGAAGCAGGGAGGATGCCCGGCTTCATACGTAGAAATTAGATTGAGTTCTCCTGTACTCTCCCCATCGTCTGATATGGGTGCTGGCATGAGGTATCCGAATGTCTAGAAGTAATATTACACTTAATTTAAGAAGTCTTATTTCGTTTCTAATAGGGATGACCCGCCAAGCTCCTAGTTTCTGCCAGTTTCTGCCAGCTACTAGTTATAACTCAACCTAAGTACGGGCATCTATCTGGATGCATCAAGACAGTAGTTCGACTAGCTGACTAGCTCCATTAATACCCAATTGTCGGCCCTAGTATCTCCCATTGTAGCTTAGGTACAAGGGATAGCTCGGGAAGCTTTTTCAATGGGCCTCTAAAGAGCTTGTTCCTGAACCAAGGCAATGTCTTGCCTATTAGGGGTTGCCCCACGACGTCGCCCGAGACGGCACACGACACAAACGGATGAAAGGCTAACTCTAATTGGACTTCTCGTCCCATCAAGGGTGTAGTGGTTCGATCCTTGCTTTCTCGAAAGCTGGGGGAACCTGGTGAGGGTAGCAATGCCTGGTACGAACTTCCACATCGCAAGTGTTCCCCTCGCTGCCCTTCCCCAATAAGCTGATATTTCTCATATTTGTTGGTTGGCATAAAGTTTGAAACGCAGCCTGTAGCGAAACCACAACGTCGGAATAGAGTTGCGGGCAGATGGGATCCCGGGCGCGCCCAAAGTCGACCGTTGCCGGCAAGTGGGAAGGCTCCAATATGGCGCACTGGACGAGAACCAGTCGTCTTATATATATGGCTGTTGGAAAAATATATCAACTATCTATGAAGCCTCGTGTCAATTGCTCACAAGCCTATTCAGAGCCTCGCCAGTCGTTCACTTTACCGTTACTCACCAACCCCCGTCTAATCGCCGGCCGATAGGATCTTCGATAGCCTACAATCTTTTTAACCTAAATCGCAGATCCACACAGTTAATCACTATTTAATTAATTAACACGTACAATATGTTTTCGCTTTCCTTCTACTCCCTTCTCGCCCTCTCGGCAGTGGTGACCATCGTCCTCGCCCAAGGACAAACCCCCCCAGCTGGCAGCCCAGCTTGCGAAGCCGCCTTGATCCTTGCTAACGGCATCAATATCAACATAATGGATCAGAAGCAAGAACAACAAGCACTAGCCGCTGTCGACACGGCACTAAAACAAACTCCTGTCGATATGAACCAGTTCAACGCTGCCAAGGCGACGCTCCTTACTTTCGTTAACAACGGGATTGCGATCCGGGAGATGAATCAACAAATCACACCGTTGGGGAACGCGGCGACGGGGGGTTTGGCTAAGGTAAATAGCGAATTGAAGCAAAGAACTCAGATGAAAGGACGAGGTTAAAGGGAGACGTCAGAGGGTATCTGGAATATCGTGGCTGACCGCTCTTGCTTTTTGTTGCAGGTAGCTAATGCACAGCTCGAAGAACTCGGCTTAACCATGAGTCTAACGGGGAACCCGCAACAAGATGCCCCGACTGTGGCAACGCTACAGAAGGATTTCGCGGGCGGGGTAATGCAGAACATGCAGAACATGATGGATGTAAGTGAACTATGATTCTGACTACTCGAGTATACGAGACGTTTGACACTCTTCGAAGGCTATGGCGGGATGTGGACCGGCAGGGGCGGCACAGGGTGGCGCACCAAGCCCCGCGACGCACTCACCAACTCCACCGAAGCCAAATCAAAACATGAATGGTACTCGCTAAGGTAGCGGAGGATGAAGCTATGTGGGCGGAAGGTAGAGACGGACGGTGAATGCGATTGATGGGGTTGGGATATCTGTGTCTCTCACGCGGGCTAACAGACCAACGAGTCGTACGCCACACGGATGACACGCCTCCAAGGGGAGCTGGCTACTTCTCGTCACTGCCCGGTCCCATTGTCGCAAGGTGGCGGTGTCCCGGTTCGGATCTTCCTCCACACTTCAAGCCGGCGGGAAGGATGGGTTTCCGTGAGGGAAAGGGGGGTTGGGCAATGTATGTCTTATTGCATTTACTAGCTACACGAAAATTACCATGTGACACTGGGAGTCCTCATACCGAAATCTTAGGCTGGCTATCAGTCGTCGCACATCAGACTCTGGAGATGTTCCTAAGTTTGGAAGCTATTGACTCAGACGCGTTGCTGATCTCTCGTGCTCGAGCTGATTATCCTGCGGCGACACGGAAAGTCCCGTTATTGTTCGTCGATCGGCCACGCAATCCTCGAGCCAAAATTTGTTTCGGCAGGAATTTGCGATTGTTGAGGACCACTGTAGGGACTGCTTTGACGCTAGACAACATTGCCCCTCTCGTTGGCGTCGTCGTTCCCATTGTCCATGTCCATCGAATTACTCTGAGAAATGTTGATACCGAAATTGAACATGGGCATCATTCCCATGGGATAACCCATCGCCATCGGGTCAAAGCTGCCGGCCATGGCAGTCGGATCCTATCCAGATCCACCTTGACCAGGCCAGTGATTGGGCTGCTGAGCACCAGCTTGCTGTCCCTGGAGCTGGTTCTGCAATGCTGCAAAGAACTCAGGGTTGTAGAAGGGAGCGGGTTGGCCTCCCTGAGGCTGTTGTTGAAACTGTGGCGGGGGAGGGGGAATATAGTTCTGGGGAGTGTTCTGAAGCCAGGCAGGAAATGGATACGAAGGGTTGACGGCTTGTTGACCTTGGAAGCCCGGGGCTCCTGGGAATTGCAGAGGTGTGAAGGGCTGATTGCCGAATTGAGGTGGAGCAGGAGGGAAATTGAAGGCCTGCTGCTGCTGCGGCTCTGGTCCCTGCCCCTGAGACATTGATGGTCTGGGAGGAAGAGAGTAACCAGGACCACCACGCGGGCCGCCACGCTGACCGCGACCACGATTTGCTCTGTCGTATGGCCTTCCACGACCTCTACCACGCGGGTCGCCTCGTCCTCCACGATATGAACTACCACTGGCGGCGGCCGAGTTAGTAGGAGGGCCACCCTGACCGTATCCTGCGGGTCTAGCCAAAGGTCGGTAGGGACCATCCTCTTCGTCCTCGTCATAGTTGAGGGAAACAGTATCCGGAGTGTCGCAGGATGAAGGACCCGGGAATCCACCTCTACCACTGTACTCTGACGAACCGCCTGCTGCCCCCCGGCGCTCGCGTTTCTTCAACTTCTGCTCCTTCTTGAAAGCAGCCTCCTTCTCATCGTCGGAGAACTCGAGGTCGTCGTCTTCCTCGTCATGCCAATTACTGGCGTCCGTGCCCTTGACAGCCTGCAGAGGCTCCGTGAAGACAAAATTGGCATGGTCAGGCGCGTAGTAGATGGTGGTGTCCATACTGAGATTGAAAGCCTTCATCTCTTCCTCGTTGGTGAACCGCGCAATGTAGCGAGGCTCCCGTACACTCCCTATCAGGTCGGCGATGGCTGCAATGACGGTCCTCTCTTTGTTGCACAAAACCGATCCCGCGTCCAGTACTCTGTACTCACCTGTCGTGTTCGCCTTGATGACAACAGTATTGTCGACGATGTGCTCAATGTTGCCCAGCTCCTCGACCTTCATCTCGGGCGTGATGGTGACGTCGGGCTTTGGGATGACCTCCTCTGCCTGCTCATTCTTGGTCCGAAGTTGACAGCCGGCGCCAGAATCCTTAGCTTTGCCTTCACCTTCGTCATCAGACCCAGCTTCCATAAGTATGCGAGCCATTTCTTCGGGGTTGAGAAGCGGCTGGCCGTCATCCGAGTCATCATCGTCGTCTGAATCATCCGAACTGCTAGAATCTGAAGACGACGCGTATGGAGAAGAGTCCTCCTCCCACTCTACATTCTCCGGTTGCTGCGCCTGTTCCTCGCTGTCTTGCATCTCCACATTCTGGTCTGCAGCAGAATCTGTCTCGTCAGGTAAAGGATCTAAACCACCCAACAGAGCCTCTAAACCTTGGGTAAGAGAAGGCGGGCTTGGTTGTGCATCGACGGCATCGACAGTGGATGAATCTGCTTGATGGATGGGTTCCAGTTGGTCAATCTCCATAGCAGTTGCTGTGCTACTTGAAACCTCTTCGCGCTTGCCATTTTGTTCCGTGGCAGGCTCATTTGCGTTCATGGCATTGTCTGTGGTAGGGATTTCGACCGTTTCCTGAACAGGAACTCGTGAATTGCTTGCACCCACAGTCGTCCCTGCTGCTGTATTGGTGTTGCCCTTGCTCTGCTCTTCAGCGTGTTGCGGCTGTAACAATGTTGTCAAGCCGGGGATCTGAAAAGTTTGTGATGCCATGGTGGCTATGGCTTGTGTGATCTTAGATGTAAATGTGAAAATTGCGTGAATGGGCTAGCTTTGAAGCCAAATCCAGAAAAGTGTTGGCAAAGACAAGTCTTGTTGATGAACTAGGCGGCGAGGTGTCGCGAGGATGTAGGTTGAACAGTAAGACAGTCTTTCTTAGCCCAATTGCATAATACCAAAACTGTATTAAGCAAGCGAACCTGGACTTCAATGTCTGACTTGCAAGATTCTGTATATCTCAGGCCGCAAAAAAAGCTGCAATTTGAACAGGCCTTGAGTGATGCTGAAGATCTCAATGTACGTGACTTTTTTCACTCCAAGAAGAACAGCCCCACCACATCTTCAAAAAGTAAAGCGGAACTGGCTTATCCACCTGCATTAGCGCCGATAAAGATTGCTAGCGTGCCTCACACCTCACTTGAGCTTACATAGTACAGCTGAGACTCAGGCATATTCCTGCTTTGGATATTGCAGTAAAGACATATATATTATTATTACAATAAGCTGTTAACTTTAATATATGCTACTAGTTTTAGTTTCTGAAATATAAATATTCAGAAGATCCAATCAACCATCGAGGTACCTAGTTACTTTGTTATTTGGGCAGCCAGTTCAGTGAGCTGAATACCCCCTGGTCGTGTCAAGTCGGATAATCTAGGGGCCCGTGGGCGTGCACGACGTCACCCGCACCTGCTAGCTGTGTTGGAGCTCTTGTCAATCATTTGATTTCGAATTGACTTTGATCTGCCCATGCCCCACGCTCAAGCTACTTGTGCAACCCCAAACGACAATCGACACGGTCGGGAGAGCCTGACATACTCGCAACGATGCCACCGCTTCATTCATCCGGCCATGCCAAGAAGAAGTATGCCAGCAAGCCATACAATGTCTTAAAAGTTGAACCCCGCTAACGTCGGGGCCTGTCTAGGGGTCCCTCGGCCTTCGCAATCGAGCCCATCAAAGCCTTCTATATTTTCCTAGGAGCCAACATGATATCAGCTGTCTTCGCTCCGATCCAAGACTGCGACGAGACCTTCAACTACTGGGAACCAACCCATTACCTATCACACGGCTATGGCTTGCAAACGTGGGAGTACTCTCCCGACTATGCCATCCGCAGCTGGTTCTATGTTGCGTTGCACGCCATAGTGGGAAACTTTCGGAGGCTGCTCCCGCAATCCACCAAAGTTGGCGAGTTCTACTTTGTCAGATATGTTCTGGCTTTCATCTGCGCCCTCTGCCAGGTGCTGATGTTCCGGGTCGTCAGCTTCACCCTGAATGCGCGAATCGGTCTCTTTTTCCTACTTGCGACGGTTCTAAGCCCTGGAAACTTCCATGCAGCGACTGCCTACCTCCCATCCAGCTTCGCTATGTACATGTCACTGCTTGGAGCAACTGCCTTCATGAATTGGCGCGGTGGGCTGAAGACCTCATGGGGCATATGGTGGTTCGCTGTTGGCGGCATTCTCGGATGGCCTTTTGCATCTGCTCTATGTGCCCCTTTCCTGCTCGAAGAGGCCATGTTTGCTGTGTTTAGCGACCGAGAACGCTTCTACGAAGCCGCCCTGCGCGTTAGTCGTGGTGTCATTGCCGCCTTTCTACTCCTCGTAGGTCATTATCCACACTCCGGGATGGTCTATAGGCTAATATTTGCAGATTGGTGATACGGCCATCAACACCTTCTTCTACAAGAAAGTGGAAACTGCCGCGTGGAATATCGTCAAATACAACATCTTCTCGAAGACTGGCGGGCCCGAGCTATATGGAACAGAACCCTGGACCTTCTACTTCCGCAACCTTGCAATCAACTTCAACCTATGGTTCATACTGGCCCTATTATCCTTGCCGTTGTTCATGATCCAAAAGGCAGCCTCAGTGCGACAGACTGGCTTCCAGTCGGGAATGCGTACCATTGTCTTCCTCGCACCTTTTTACATGTGGCTGGGCATATTCACGCTTCAGCCACACAAGGAAGAGCGGTTCATGTACCCGGTGTATCCATTCCTCGCCCTGAATGCTGCTCTGGCACTCCACATTATCCTCAACGCCTTTGGCAATTCTGATCCCAAGACACTGATTGGAAAGATCCCAGCGCGGTTGAAGCTGGTTGCCGTCACATCAGTCCTATTCCTGTCTCTTGACCTCGGACTTGCCCGTGTCATTGGAATTTATACAGGTTATTCTGGGCCGCTGACGCTCTACTCCCCTCTTGGCGCTGGCAATCCTGGACAAGAAGGTCTAGGCGGTCGTGGGGACTACGTCTGCTTCGGAAAGGAGTGGTACCGGTTCCCCAGTTCATACTTCCTGCCACGCGACATGCACGCCAAGTTCATTCGATCAGAGTTCCGTGGCTTGTTGCCGGGCGACTTCTCAGAAGCGCGCACTGGCTTTGGTTTCTGGAGCGGAACGTGGCTGCCAACGAGCGGCATGAACAATCGAAATGAGGAAGACTTGGGCAAGTACGTTGACATTCGCCAGTGCTCGTTCTTGGTCGATACGCAATATCCTGAGAACACGGAGCCGCTTCCGCCCAACGAGCCCGACTACGTTGCGGACACGGACAATTGGGCCGTCGCCAAGTGTGTGCCTTTTTTGGATGCCGGGAAGACGCACTGGTTAGCGAGGGTTCTCTGGTTACCCGACTCGGAGCTAGTGCCGGAGAAGTTTAGACGCAAATGGGGACGCCACTGTCTGCTCCAGAAGAAGGTTGCGTCTGGTGCGTAACTTGTGGTACCGAACGTTGGCTTAGTTTTGGTCCGATCACGTGTGTTGGGAATAAATATAAATTCAAGCTGAGAAGCTGCATAGGTTGTTTCACTATTTTCCGAATGGCTATCGCTGAGGAACGTTCATGATTTACACGAGACAACCCTGGTTGTACGGTCTCGGTACTGCATGTTTCAATCACAGCGTCTAGTGGCACTGTCGTGTTCGGGGCGTAGTAATTGCTGCCGTGCATATCAGTTGACTAAATTGGGGATCATCAAACGAACTTTGGGATCGAAAGTTGAGGGCACATGTGGTAGTCGCATACTGGTGTGTGTGGACTTACCTGCGGATCATAAGATATGTGTAGAATGATGTTGGTGCAAGGTTGCATATAGCAATCATGGCATGCAACTCCCATTGGTCAGCCATCGCAGCAGCTGGTCCACCTTGTAACTCAACACCTCATACGGTTTGACAAACTGGGGAGGCTGCAGCATCACTACGGGCGGAAGATGTTATCACACCTTTGATGCAGTGTTGCGTACCAGTGCCAAGCTGGGGTGTGATGAGGTTGGACGGCGGGGCAGATTGGGTCGGTATAATGTGCGGGATGCGCTACATATTTGGTCGAGTCCAGTCCGAGCCATTGTCCTTTCCGATATTCAGTAAGCATCTTATATACTGAACCAATTGAAATATGAACGATTCTAGAAAGCACCTCCTAAGTCCCCTTACTCCGTCTACGGTCGAATTTTCGCCTTCGAAAACAGACGAGGATGGATTTCCGCGAACCCCTTTGTACCCTCCAGGGCCTCCACCTCAGAAGTTGCACTGGAAAGATGCCATCGGCGGCTCAGGATGGGCTATACTGCTCACTGGACTGACGGTGACATTGCTGTCTATGGCCTTGCTCATCTTTCTCTGGACAGCCAACCAGTCGTTCGAGGGTCGAGATGCTCCTGCTCTGTGGCGATGGATTGTGCTCCAGGGCAAGACGACGCCTGCTATAACTTTCACTTCCTTGTTACTTCGTGTAGGGATCACGCTTCAAGCTGGGCTCTGTACGAGCCTGGTGGCAGCGTTGCTTCTACAGCGGAGGCAGGTCCCTTTGGCCCAGGTCGCTCAATTTTCGGCCCTTCGGAGTGGGAATACCAGCCCTGACAAACTCATGATGCTCTTGATTCAGACATGGTGGGCGAAGAGATTCAATTCTATCCCAATTGCCTACTTATGCCTTCTCTTTCTGGGATCTGTAGCGATCCAATTTTCGTCGACTATACTCGTGCAAGATCTTGGCGACACATCCATCGTTGGTTCATATAAGAATCAGAGCGTCAATCCCGGTCCGGAAAGAGGTCGATCCGGGGACAAATTTTTAAAGACTCTATCGGCTACCGATGAAGACATTATGAACAAGAATGCTGTTCTCCTATCCTCGATTGTTGACTACAGCGCGAGGCCACAGGTCGTTACTCCGTTTGGCCAAACTGAACTCCGACTACCTACTCCAGACTCGAATGGTGTCAGCGACACCGGCCTCATTGAATGAGCGTTCCTACCCTTTTCCAATCCAACTCATCGTACTTCTCTTAGAGAGTATACTGGATATACAACCAACTTCAACTCGAGGACCACCTGTTTCAGACCAATAATGAGCGCAACATATCGTGTTAAGAGTGCCCTAGTCGGTGAACTGGATTTTGCGGGTATCCCTGCAGGCTATGGGTTCCCGTACAGAGAGAACTGCACTTTTGACGGTTTGCTAAACGGCTTCAGGCCAGAAAACTGCTCGAACCGGGCTTTCACTTGTTCCACTCGAATCAGCTACGGTCGAGGTTTCGACAATGCTACAAACGTCGCATGCGTTTTGGATCTCCCTATCGACGTTGAAAATTCTTCCTATGACAGTCCACTCCGTGAGGTCGCATGGATTCCACCATATCACAAAACGTACCTGGTTTTCAATATCAGCGGCGATCCGAATCAATGGGATACCTCTGATGGCACAACAAACCACTCAATGGTGCTACGGGACCCATACGAAAACGGCGAATGGGTCACTTACAAATTAGAGAAAAACACAACGCTCTCTGCTAATATATGCCTCACTGCACTCACCGTAGACTATTCTCAAGTCCACTTGAGTGCCCGATGGAACTTGTCCCAGCCGTCCTTCGAATGGAACTCCATGAAAAGGACGTGGAATTCGGCCAGTGTCCGAAAACAGATTGGAGCCTGGCGAACACCCCTCGATCGGCGAGAGAGGCAGGTCCTCGAGATGCGGCGGCTCAGAGGCAAGCCTACGAGACATTAAAACGAAGAACCGCTCTATTGTGAAGACGCTGTTCAGGCGGTGGCAGCAGCACCTACCCAGTATCCACCTGGAAACATTTCGATTTCTATGTGCCCAGCATGCTCCATGATACAAGACAACAGCACGTTGGACCAACCAACGGACTGGAGGCCGATGAAGGCCATGCACCCACACTATATGTCCCTTTTTCAACAAACACTAGAATCCACCGGCCGTCCCGCCTTAGCGCTCGAGGCCATCCTCATCATCCTGTCCATGAACAACTATTACGACCTTCTAGCCTTCGCCAACAACGGCACGAATGTGAGGACCTTGTCGACTGTCGACGTGAATGCGCCCATCCACTTCAACGGGCTTGCAGGCGTGTCGGCCATAGTGCTCGTCAATCTGGTATGCATTATCGGTATTACGGGGCTGTTCCTGACGCACTCGAAATTACCCGCTCAGGGGAACTTTTGGCAGTCTATTTCGCAGATCATTACCGAGGAGACGGTGCCGTTGCTTTTGGCGGCGGCCGATAAGTCGGATTCACAGGTCGCTGAGGAGGTGGAGAAGGAAGGGAAGGGGGATACGGAGGTGGCGCTGAGCTCGTCTGTAGATCCGGGACATGCTGGGCTTTTGCTGAGGAGGGAGTTGTGATTTGGAGTAGTTTTAGGAATACGTGGGATATTTGAATATGACAAGCGGTCTCATATCTAGTCTAGCCCTTCAAGGTTATAAAAGCGACTATATTACCGCTGAACAAAGGAGATAAAGATGGAAGATGAGGACTATAATAGGGAAAGATATTATAGATAACGACTCGAGTATAGTGATGACGGGCAGTAAATGCCCGCAGGTTTAATGTGAAGATGATAGAGACGGAAAACAAGGTCCTCAAGACTGTCCGGGCGGGTAACATAATAAAAGACCAAGAGCCTTATCGCTCTGATCGGATTAACAAAGTACTTCAGCAGGTACGAACAATTGACTAAACACCAAAAGGCATAAACAATAGAATAGGGCCTTAACAGGTCCTAGAACGGAATCACCTCAGCAGGTGGACAATAGAATAAAGCCTTAACAGGTACATAGGCTACTGTTGCTTGGAATCGTATAGGGATGAGCCGCGTTTTATTTTCATTATATCGCCTGGCTTTTAGCAACTTAGTGTCAGGAAAGCCTCTTCATGGTAATGTACTTAGCGATCACTAGGACATCACTCCCCGTCTGCAAGTCTTTCTTGGTCTGGCGCATGGGACCGGCAGTCCTCCCGTTTCTATCCTATGTATAGAAATCGATTGCCTATGTAAAGAAGTCAATATGACAAGAGTATAATTGTAGAGAATTTGCTATGTAAGTCTTTTCATAATTTCTTTGGCCAAAATATGGTAAAGCCATCTTTTTGAGACAGTTGCCAAAATCAAATTCATCTGCTCCTAAGTGTAACGCTGCATATGGACTAGACATTAAGGCATGCCTTACATGTATCGCATGCTTTTATCGGCATGAACATAGCACTTCACTTTATGTGGTTAACACATCAGGGCATGTGGTCACGGTATACACGGCATACACGAGGCTCGCGCAAATTTTGGATATATCGAGATCAAATTGTAACCAAATATCTGTTATGGAGGGAATCCAAGCTCTCCTTCTGTGGTTATTTACGCGTACTTTTCAAAGGACCCAAAACGTGACAAGCGAAACACTATAGTGGGATTTAGTTTTCTTCGTATATGTTCTACTAATGTCCAATCTGATTTACCCTTCCGGGTCTCATTGTAACAGCCCTTCTTGGAGACGAGAACTTTCCCCCTCGGTCGGGGGCAAGACGCCAATCGCTTTCTAATGAGGTTGTTCAGCTCAGCGTCATGTAGCTTGTGGTAGGTGTAATCTATAGTGCCAAGACCAGGGTGGCGCACCCTTCTTCGTTATCATGCAGGATCAGCGTTGTACTCGCTTAAGTCCATCCCGGAGAAGAGATGCACACCGTTTGTCAGTATAGGGTCAAGGATTGGAGCATACTGGGTTCTAGACCAACCTCTATCCGCAGCCTCAATCCCGTATCTTCTTCTCGGCTGAACGGTGGCTTAGTCAGGTTGCTCACTCTCTGCAAGTTCGCAACTACACAAGACTGGCACATATTTATAAGGGGAATAACCTCAAGGAGGACTCGTTTTCCTTGTTTTGATTTCTGCTCTCTCAGTCAAACAGTCAGTACGAAAATAACGTGCATGAAACGACAGTATACTGTCCATCATGCCCCTGTTTGCGCTCTTGCTGCTACTAGTCAGCTATACTTATGCCTATCCAATTTCCAAAGATGCCATTGATAGATTGGCATTATCCGGTCTGGTCAAACTCGAACGTTACCTAGCTCAGAACCCGGCTTCAGGGGGCTGCACGCTCAAAACTGCCGCAAAGCGATCAGAATGGTAATTGTTAACCCCACGTGTGCCGATTTGGCGCATCAACATATATTGACTGCCTCAGGGGTGATCTGAGCATCCGGCAGCGAGAGGACTATGTCAATGCCGTCTTGTGTCTCCAATCACTTCCACCCATATCAGACAACGTCACGGTCCCAGGGGCTCGGAGCCGGTTTGACGACTTTGTTGCTGTGCACATCAAGATGTCGGGGTCTATCCATGCCACAGTCAGCGAAGACGACTACGCCCCTCACCCACCCGACAAAGGAACTGACATGGAATAGGCAAATTTCCTGACGTGGCATCGATACTTCACGTGGGCTTATGAAAAGGCATTGCGCGAAGAGTGTGGGTATACGGGATACCAACCTGTGAGTCTTAGTTACCATGGTGATGTTATACCCTGAACTGTCATCTAATCTTATCCCGCAGTACTGGAACTGGGGCCGCTACGCCTTAGACCCGATTAACTCTCCCATCTTCAATGGCGATGCAGCCAGCATGTCTGGGAATGGCGTCTACTCCGAATACCCAGGCCTGCTTTTACCACTGTATGAGGCCCCCTACAATATCGTCCCACCAGATCAGGGAGGCGGTTGTGTCACAACAGGCCCGTTCAAAGAGTATGACCCGTTTTCTCCTGTTGTAGATGTCATGAGGCTGTAACTGAGCCAAATAACAGCATGAAAGTCAACCTGGGCCCCGTGTTTGCCGGCTTACCAGACGTTCCACCAAACCCGCAGGCCGACGGGCTGGGGTACAATCCACGCTGTCTCCGTCGGGACGTCAACAAGAACGCTGCTGCCGCCACGACTTCGAACTGGACACAATACTTGATCGAGCAGAGCAATAACGTGTACTGGTTCCAGACCATCATGAACGGACGCGCTGAGCGTGGGGAGTGGGGTGTCCATACAGCGGGGCATTTCACGATAGGGGGTGACCCTGGTGGCGTGAGTGATATTGATGTCTGTCCTAAGTATTGACAGATTATCAAGACTGACAACCAGCAGGATTTTTTCGTCTCGCCTGGTGACCCAGCGTTCTACCTACATCACGGCATGATCGATCGCGTGTATTGGATATGGCAGCTGCAGAACCTGCCAGCTCGGCTTCACGACGTGTCAGGTACCATCACCCCCGCGAACTCACCGCCGAGCCGGAACGGAACTCTAGATGATGAGCTTGACCTTGGACTTCTCGCTGAAAAGCTTCGGCTGGGGGACGCTCTGAAAACAATGGGTGGGCTTGACGGGCAGTTCTGCTATATATATAATTAGAGGGACAAGCTCGCAACGACTGAAGAAAAACATGGAAACATGGATTGCATTTTGTGCTCCATGTATGCATATAGTATCAAAATCCTACACGGCTTCCAATATGTTACACTTTATTGCCTCTTACCATCCTTGGCGTCGCAGCTCACTGACCCGGTCACATGTGGCCCTGAACCCCTTCTTGAACCTTCTCTGCCACCTCTCACTCTTGAGTCTCTTGCGTTTCAGACCTGCACGCTCGTGGTACCGCTGGTATTGAAATTCCTGGCGCACCCGGTTGGCCGCACACTGCATGTTGAGCAGCTTGAAGCTGCGGGCGACGTCGGCACCCTTGGAGACGTGGACTGTGCGTCCTAGACGCGGAACTAAACGATCCCTTGGTTGCTCTTGTTTTGGAAGCGGTTCGTTTGCTTTATTCGGGTTACTGAGTTCACCAAAATTAAAGCGGCTCGAAAAGTCCTCCATGTCCGTCAAATCGCCATATCCAGTTTCGGCGCTGATGCTATCAAACAGATCGTTGGGGTCGCCAAACATTCGTGTACTGCTTGTCGGTTTGAATTCGCGAGGCATTGAGGGGTCGGATGAAGTCGTTGGGCCGGTGGGCTTGGAGATGCTAGCGTCATCGTACACGGTCTTGGGTCGGATTGCACGGTCGGGTGCAGACCAGCCTGATGCGTGTCGCCTTTGTGACAAGGAGCCATTGGAGTTGCTCAGGCTTCGCATCGACGAAGAAAGGGTACTCGTTGATAGCGGCCGGGCAGAGGAGGAAGCGATCATATGGGTAAGTGCTCGGGCACACGGCTGTATTCTCGATGTCGTAGTTCTCAAAGCACATCGCAATGCCATGTTGGCTACCAGCCCGACTTCCGACGCCCTGGAATTCATGTCAGTATTGTTATTGCTTGATAATGTTCACCAAAAGGTCTCACATGATTAATTGGGCGAATTGGCCACTCAAAATAATAATTCAATAGCACCACATGCAAGCTTCAAAGTTCCGCAGTCGCTATCGCTCTCGGAGCTCCCTGGTTGAATTTCACCGGCATGGAACAACCAGGGGTCCGGGGCTCCACTGAGACTCACGTCGCGCTTTCCATAGCATTTGCCAGTTGCAGGGGAGCGCTCGCCCGACACCAAGCCACACCTGATAAACCTTCAGGGTGGTTGGAGCTTCCAAGTTGTTGCTTTGTGAAATCTGCCCGCATTGCTGCCGGCGAATTCTTTGCGCATCGCTAAAACATTGACGATCCACGCCTTGCGCACTTCCATCGAGATATAGAATAGCAAATTTAAACCCCAGTACTCGCCAACGAAGAGTTACCAACCATGTCCTACAACCCCTATGGAGGAGGTGAGTGTTGCGATCTCAGCCGTGAGCTGCATCTTCGCCGAGGATGCGATAGATTAGGGTATATGAGATGAGAAATGTACTGACTTTCTTTCGATAGTGCCCGGGTTTGGGCCTCCACCAACATACAATTCATATCCTGGCGCCAATGGTGCACCTCCGGGCATGTCATCTGCTCCTGGTCTAGGTATGTGCAAAGGCAACCAACCCATCACTCTACTCGCGCCTGTTGTACTGACATTATACCTCCAGGACCTCCACCAGGCATGTCTGCCCCGGGAACCGCGCCGCCTGGCGTTCAGCAGCAAAACATCAATCAAGCTAATCGACCTAGCGGCTTGCCTTCAAACTTCCAAGCTCCCCCAAACATGCCCAACATCAACTTCAATGCACCCGTAATTCGTCTCGGAACCACTGGCGGCGCAAAGCCTTCTACGCCCGGCATGCCAGGACGGAAAGATAACGAGAACCCAAACTCGGCTGGGCCACGAGCAGGCGTCGGTATGGACCGCGGATACGATCAGACCCGACAAGCCATCCGCGAGACGATGCAAGCCCTGGCCCCACCGACCAAAGAAGAGATCATTCGAACGATATTCGTGGACGGCATCACCGAGGGTATTGGTGGTAATGAGGGAATTGAACAGATTCTGACCGTAGTCGGCAAGCTACGGCGATGGGACCGGGCCACCAACGCAGCTGGTAAGGAGATGCCTTTTGGCTTTGCGCAGTACGAGGACGCCGAATCACTGTGGGTAGCCTCGGAACTTCTTAGGGAATTGCAAATACCCACAAAGAAACAGGCGCCTAGCGACGGTCCCGCTGACGACAACGATGCGTACGACGGCTTTGACAAGACCATGCTGAAGTTCAAGCTGGACGAGAACACTATGAACTACCTTGAGGCCTACAGAGAGGGTCGAACGAATGAGTCCGAGGCGGAGGCAAGACTCAGTGCGTCCATAGGTGCGTTGAAGCAGCTCATCCGGAATTTTTTCTACCCTCCCCTGCGTGCTGCGGCAGATGCAGACGGAGACGTGGTTATGGGCGAATTGTCCGGCCAGAATGGCGAGAATGTCGAGGTGGTTAATATCCCCTTGGCACAGGAGGACGAACTTGCCGACATTCCGGCCGAGATGCGCGAGACCGTTGCTGCAGAGATCGCTGCCTTCCGAGACCGCAGTATCAAGCGAGACATGGAGCGCTTGAAACGTGAAGAAGAGCTCGAGGCACTGGAGCGCCAACGTGCCGGCGGATCGAGACCCTCCAGACTGGCATCCCCGCCTCATGGAGGCAACTCGAACAACATCCCATTGGGCCCGCGAGGTGTCCCGAATGCGCCCTCGGGTCCCAAAGGCCAAAAGTCCGAGATGGGTAAGGACTTCAATCGTTCGATCAACTTTGTCAACGGCGGGACTACTAATGGGGCCTTGGTCATCAACCGAGAAGATGAAGACAGTGACGCCAGTGACGACGAACTCGAACGCAGACGGACCGCCAAGCAAAATGCGGAGACGGAAAAGCTGTATCTCGACGCTGAAAGGCGGTGGCTCAACAGAGAGAAGTCCAGGACTGCGGCTCTCGAGCGCGAGAAGGAGCGTGACGACTCGCATGACGATGACTTGGCCAAGAGACGCGAGGACGCATTGCACTATCTTAAGCACTTCGACGACGACGCAGAAGCCTCGCGAAAGAAGGAGGCGTATTATCAAGATCGCAGCCTATGGATCCGGAACCGAGCTGCAGCTCGAGCCAGAGAGATTGCGCAAGATGATGCGGATCGCGAAGCAGAGGAGAGAGAGCGGCTCAGAGAGGAGGCAGAGCGGGAGCAAGCCAGGGGCATGGCCGACTCGTTCCTCGAGCGCCAGGCTCAAGAAATGGAGCAAAGGTCAACCGGCAGACCAGGCCTGGCCGCGCCACAACCCTTCAAGTTGTCACTTGGTGCGGCGGCTCAGCGAGCACAGGCTCAACGTGCTGCACCACAACGGAAAACCATTGCTGAAGTTGAAGGACTGCTCGAGGATGAAGAAGAGGAGTCTACGACTCGCAGACAACTCATCCCAATCAAATTTGAACCAGCAACTGCGGCCGGGATGTCGGAAGAGGAGCGCGAGCAGGCCGTTCGTGCTCTTGCCCAGGAAATTCCCAATGAGAAGGAGGGACTGTGGGCGTGGGACGTCAAGTGGGACTTTTTGGACGAGAGTGTCATCCGAGACAAGCTTCGACCTTTCGTGGAGAAGAAGTTGGTGGAGTATCTCGGTGTACAGGAACAACTGCTCATTGAGGTGGTGGAAGAGCATCTGAGGAAGCACGCCAAACCGTCTGAATTGGTAGAAGAGTTGGCTGAGGTACGTCATCCCTACATGTTCATGAAACTCTATGAATACTTGCTGACTTGTTATTAGGCGCTTGATGATGAAGCAGAGGCACTTGTCAAGAAACTTTGGCGTATGGTTATCTTCTTTACAGAGAGCGAGAAGAGGGGTTATTCAGCGTAAAATCAACCAGGCCGCCGGCGAGGGCGCCTGTTGTATCTATAGTGTGCATAAGTATAGGGTTGGCGCATTTCGCAATTCGAGCCTAGTGCGAGCTGAGAGGATGGATAAGCCACCTTAAGGACTCGATGGGGGCATTTTCAGATGACGATGAGCTCAAAAAAATGTGGGAGTGCTCTACACGTTGAGGGTTCCAGGAGAAAGGTAGAGTTGATGGCAGAACTGTGAGGATTAGGATTGCATACACCCTTTTGAGATATAATCAGACAATGCTCAACAGTCAAACAATGAGAATCCTCATTGTGCATGGAGGTTAACAAAGGCCTATCAGTGACATGACCAAGCCTGTGGCCCTAATACTGTGTATGGTGAGATATCATCACTCTTCCCAAAACGAATCCGACGATTGCAATAAACTTTGCGATTGAATGACGACCTGGCTGTCACGAACGAGGTGGTACGGCAGATGCGTGGGGAGCTCAACCGCATGCCGAGGTACCCCCACACCTGGAAATGATTCCTGAACTGAAGATCGAGCCACGGCGACGCTATGTTTATCTCAAACGGTTTACGCATTTTCGCTTTAAAGCTTGACTTTGTGTTGTACTTGGCCTCATTTCACTTCATTCAAACTCATGTTTCAAGTCATCTGCCTTGTTGTACTTCATATTTGTTGAGCACTTGCCGGTACTCCGAGTATCCCGCAGCAACTTACTCCGCCGCTCATAATAGCTGCACGCCACGGCCGCCATTCAATAAAACAACAACTTCTTCCCGTCTATAGCTTTGAAATAGCAGACCAAAATATATAAATTTTCATCATGTCAACACCAAACAACATCAACGCCCAAACCAACCTCATCTCCCCGCCACCAGCCGTCCTACATACCCTCATCTCCTTCCCTGCACCACACATCCTCCTCGCGACCCTCAACCGCCCCGAAAAACTCAACGCCATCCCGCGCCCGCAGCACTTTGCCCTCGAGCGCCTCTGGGAATGGTTCGACGACGAACCAGGCCTGCGTGTGGCCGTCATCATGGGGTCCGGACGCGCGTTTTGTGCCGGGGCCGATTTGAAGGAATGGGATGGGATTAATGATGACACAGGCGACCAAGATCAACAACGGGTCGCAATGGTAGAAATGAAGGAAGGATGTGGAGGAATTTCGAACTCGAGAATGCCCCGCGGAGGTTTCGGCGGTATGAGTAACCGCCCCGGCAAAAAACCCATCCTAGCAGCCGTCGATGGCATCTGTTTTGGTGGCGGCATGGAAATGGCCATTAACTGCGACATGGTTATCGCCTCTTCGTCGTCTACTTTTGGATTGCCCGAGGTGACCATCGGCGTCATCGCATTAGCAGGTGCCTTGCCGCGTCTCGTCAAGTCCGTGGGAAGGCAGAGGGCGGCTGAGATGGCGTTAGGGGGCAAAGCGTATACGGCGGAGGAGATGAGGGGTTGGGGGTTGGTGAATGAGGTAGTTCAGGTGGGGAAAAACGGGAAGAAAGAGGAGGAAGGGAAGGTTCTAGATGCGGCGATGAGATGGGCGAAGAGGATCGCGGGGAATAGCCCTGATGCGGTGATTGTAAGTCGGGAGGGATTGAAGTTGGGATGGGAAGGCGTTGCGCCGGATGTGGCAACAGAAATTCTTACCAAGGGGTGGTACGGGAGAATGGACAAGGGGGAGAATATGGTGGAGGGGGTTAAGAGCTTTGTGGAGAGGAGGAAGCCAGTTTGGAGGGATAGTAAGTTGTGACAGGCCTTTGTACCAATAAAGTCGCAGTACGAATCTAGCCGGAAATAACGACGCGCTTAGTTTGATAGGACTTCGTTGAAGTAGTGGGAAGCACGGGCGCAAGCTGTCCACTGCTGGAACTTGGAAGCTTCCAAGGTTCCAAGATATAGCTAACTTGTATATCAGCAGGAGTTGGATGAATTTTAAAGCTTCCCTATTAAAAGGCGGGGATAGGCCATATATCAGCAAAGTTTCCGTTTTCGTAGAAACGAGGGCGGTGCAGGGGCAAAGGCTTTAGTATCAACGACCTATAGCATAGCAAACCCGTAATAAGAGAGTAGATACCCAGATTCACGGGCTCGCAAATTCCGTAGCAGATCTCAAAAATACATATCCATTGAAACTGATGTCTCTTCATCCTGTCTTTCCCTCCCCTCAAACAACTTGAAATTGCAATTCCTACTACATATTCAAATCGTCCTCGCAACTAAAAAGATTCCGCAATACACTCGTCAGTCACCTAAACCCCTCATCATGCGCAGGCTTCTTTAAATAATCTGTCTCTTACTTAGTAATCGCTTCTTTAATCGGCTCATTGAGAAAAAAAAAGGAAATGCTTAGGTTTACCACTCTTTTCGCTTTTCTTTTCTCGGCCTCCGCCAGTACCTCTAACACTATATTCAGAGACGAGAGGGGTCAACATGTCTGCCATCTGATCACCCTTCGACGTTAAGGGAATGGTCGAAAGCTTGGATCAAAAATTCCCTCTCACGCTGTCAAAGAAACACAAGAATGGCTAAAGGGTAAGTTCCCCTAGACCTGCCACAATGCAGCCGATCTCGCCAACGTCAGCAATAGAGGCTTCAAGGTGGTCAATGTGATGTATGACAACTGTGCTGTTCTCTGGGTGTTCTGCGATCACGAAGATGCAACCATGCATATTGAATATGCCGTTGAACAATTTGGGCAAGCTTCCAGTCGGTCCTTGATCATACCCCGGATGAGTTTGGCCTCACAGCCAGACAAGAAAGAGCCTATGAAAGCTCGCTCTACGTCATGATTTTGACGGATTCGCCGTTACAAACATGATGCTGACAATAACCCCAGAGCAACGTAATGTTCATTCCCAAAAACTGCAAGAACGCATATGTTACAATGTTTTCGACTATACCGTTCTTGTGGGCGATGGTGTTATGGGTTGGTTTTGACCACAATGGGAACTGGGACGTCGGCACCATGACAAACTTACTGCTCACTCGCTCGATAATGGCCTGGTCCAACATGGAGAAAATCTCTTCAGCGAGACCGCCACCTAGCGCAAGGCTCTGGGTTTGACTATGTCGTGGCATCGGAGCTTGCCCAAACAATTCCCCGCGGAGAGCTTTGCAGACATTGCTAGATTAACCCTGTTCGAGGAGAAGCCTGACGACCTCGGCGCTGTTCACGACCACAGGGACCAGCTGAGCAAACTGCACTCTTTCCATGACGACAGTTGTTGTGTTAAGAAGGTGCCTAGCCCCAAGACCGTCAAAGTCGAGCTTTCAGTTGACGCTAGCTGCGTGAAACTTTCCCGATTATCGCAGCAAGTCTTACCGAAATTTCATTCGGCTGCAGAGGCCGCCCTTTGCAGGAAGAACGTGCAATGGGCACACTCTAAGCTCTCAGGGGTCATTTTTGTTTGTGTTTGGCAATCGATCCTCTGTAAATCACATTCTTGATAAATCACTTTTTGGCTAAGTTACCATTTCTTTTATGCGCAATGGATATACGTAAGTGGATTTAGCCAATGTAGCATACTCTGTATTAAGTCATTGCCAACAATATAAGTTTCTCGACATGGAGATGGTGAAAGCAAGAGATAGAAAAACACAACGCGGCTCTGCTCCCGCTAGGTCCGAGTTATAGCAGAGTAAATAGAAGCCATAATTACTGTTATGGAGATAACCAAGTGCCTCAAGTGGGGCACTTTGCGTCCAGCCTAGAAACTAGAACAGGTTTTCCGATACTGACAGTTTAGAGCTATAGAAAATACGCCTATCCGTTACCACATTAGCATTTAATCCTCAATTTAAAGATAAACAGCACTTCACGGAATTATACGATGTGAGATAGCTGAAGACCGACAACCAGGCCAGATTCCATAATAAGTCGACGAATCAGAAGTATAAGGATAATAAAAAGGTCAGTGAATTTGCAGGGCAAGGATAAGAATACTGGCGAAACCAAGAGCACTGCTATAAGTTAACCAGAAGGGGCTACGCGACGAACTGTTGGTACAGATCGCCGTCCCCTATCAAGGACGCACAAGACCCGAGCTACTACAGGTTTTTATTCCCTCCAGGGCTGGATGAAGTGTTGCGTGATAAGGTCTACTGAAGGGCCGCCAGCCACTGACAAGGTGTAAAGGACATGTGAAACCGTTGACAAGAGGGCGCTGTCAGGAGATTTTAACGGATACCTGGTACGGCAAGCGCCTGTGAATGGCAATAGAATATACAATTCGACGGAAATAAGATCGGAAAGGGAAGGTACTGAGGCCAGGACGGCATGTTTGGTAGCCTCAGGTGCTCATCAAAGTGACAATCAGCTGCAGTTTGCTAACTAGGGGTTCGCTGATGTAGTTTAATTTGAGGTGCACCCATAAACTACAAACAGGACTCAAATTACAGAATAGAGCCCGAGATATTCATGGAACTCGGCACAAAGATACAGATTATTCCACCATTCACGCATGTTAAGATGTGCCAAGAGCATACTATAAAACAAAGGCATTGAGGCTGAATTGTCCAGAAAGTCTGACATAGTCAAAACTCAACATTAAGGAGTCCCCCACAACATTCCCAACTTGCTAAGGAGCTCGTTGAGCCAGTCCTTGCCGTCATCTCGTCTACAACAATAGCAACGACTGAAAAGCTGCTAAAAGCTGATGCCAGTGCGGAGAAATGCTGGGGTAGTCGTGTGGAGAAGCTGTGCTGGGCCTCAGGGGTGATGCGGAGATTATTCCGGCGGGCATGTTCCTTGCAAATCCCATCAATCAGCTCGACCGCCAAGAAGCTTATATCAACATATTCTATCCCCGGCATGCCAATTTCTCGTGCACACGGGAGAGCCCCTTTCACTGAGCCCTGTGCCTGAACAGCTTTTCCGCTTCTGTTGCCGGGTCGCACTCGATGTTCAGGTGTCATGATAGGTGGAACCGAGACCACTGGGCGCCCTTGCTGCCTGTTGGCTAGCGACCCGGTTTACTGGTTTACCGGTCAAAGTCCATCGTTGGAGTAGCTGCAGATCGGCAAAATTATGATTGCGACACAGTTGGGGAGACATAAAGCTGGCAGCTCTCGCCAGGCTGGTTCCTACTTTTGGTTGCTCTGATACCCGCAGGATCAGTGACGATCGTTCTTGAGCTGCAGTGCACGAAACATGCGTTGTTCTACTCTTTTTGTGGCCCTCTCCGCCGCGGCCGGCGTCCTTGCCACTGCCTTCGGTGAACTTCCGGCAGGCGTCCCACGCAATGTCCATGAGTTTCGCCTGAAGCACCCTTATAAGTCGAATGGAGGTGGTAGCGACCACGCAGATGGACAACGACCTATTGTCAAGATCCGGCCCTCCAGGAACGCCACCGACGGTGTGGCCGACGAGTTCCTCAAGGGCTTGCACAAGGCTAATCATGGTGGCACTCTCTACTTGCCGAAAGGAGAGCTGTACATTATCGACAAGCCGCTCGACTTGACCTTTTTGGACGACGTACAAGTTCATTGGGATGGTGAAGTCAAGTTCACAGACGACACTCCATTCTGGCAAGCCAATGCCTTCGCCCATCCTTTCCAGAACTCTCTAATGTTCTGGAAATGGGGAGGCAAGGACATCAAGCTTTACGGCGAGGGCATTCTAAACGGAAACGGCCAACGGTGGTGGAATGAGTTCGCCGGGCTGGAGATTTTGGACCCCGACAACGAATACCTCAGACCCATCCTGTTCTACGCCGAGAACGCAACCAACCTTGAGATGGAGGGTATTCATGAAAAGGACAGCCCCTGCTGGACCAACTTCATCGTCACCTCCAAGGGTGTCTCGTTCACCAACGTCATTGTCACCGCTGAGTCCAACAACGCGAGCTCCTTGCCCAAGAACACGGATTTCTTCGACTCTCTGAATGTCGAGGATGTCACAGTCGAGCGTGTCTGGGTAAACATTGGCGATGATTGCTTCTCGCCTAAGTCCAATGCTACCAACATCCACGTTGATACCATGTACTGCAATGGTGAGCCCTCACATACACCCATACATACACATACACTTGATGGGCCTAGAGTTAACTCTCACAGGTACACATGGCCAATCTATGGGATCTGTCGGTCAATACGCCGGCGAAAAGAGCTTCATCCAGGACGTGGTCATTGAGAATGTTTGGTTGCTCAACGGTCAACACGGTGCCCGTATCAAGACCTGGGCTGGACCGGACGTTGGTTACGGTTTCGTCGACAACATCACCTTTCGGTAGGATGCCTCACATCCAAAACAAACTTGGTACTCGGCTAAAGTTCCCTTTAGAAACTTCTGGCAAGCAGCCAATGAATACGCTGCCTTCCTCGACTCGTGCTACTTCAACGTATGTGTCATTTTGAAATCCACCTCTTACATCAAACCAAACTAACAGAGCCCAGATCGACGCATCCACTTGTGAGCAGTACCCGTCGCAGATGAACATAACCAATATCCTGTTTGAGAACTTCACCGGTTACACGAGCGGAAAATACGGCACAGCCGTTGCCAGGCTCACCTGCTCGGCCAACCCCGACGCCGTGTGCGATAATATTACGTTCAAGAACTTCAACATCACCTCTCCCTGCGGCGAGGCAGTCATCATCTGCGATGATATTCGTGGCGGAATAGGTGTTGACTGCGTGCCGTCCAACTCGACCGAGGCGACTGCTGCCCTGGCCGCCACTTGCACTGTTCCTCAGGCTACCATCGCGCCCCCTTTCTAAATGCATATGATGGTTCCTGGGTGTGCAACAGTCTGAAGGTGGGAAAGCGTAATACTCTTCTTGTAATATATTTACCCTACGTCTGTAGTGAATCATTAATAAATAACAAAATTTTCGAATCTTGTTCTTGGTGTCTTCACATTCATTCTGCCTCAAATAAATGGCATAAAAGACCTCTGTATCCGTATGCTCAATTTGCCAGAAACCCTATCAAGGATCCATTGTCCTCGTTTTCTCAGCTGCGCGTGCGTATAATATGAGAAAGATGACCTCCTGGGTCGAGCACGAAAACGTCACCGCGGTCATAAACTCGGGCCTGCTGGGTCAGGAGTCCAGAAACTCCATCGCCGAGATGCTTTATGGTGATGTGAACCCGAGCGGGAAGCTGAGAAACAGTATTGCTAAAAATGGGTCGAATTACCCGGCTGGCGTGTACGAGACGGTCTAGTGTCCGTTTGAGGATGGCGTGTATGTGGATTACCAATGGTTCGACAAGAATGATATGGAGCCGCGTATCCGTTTGGATACGAGTTGAGTTACACTACCTTTGGGTATCGGTATGTTACGGCGGAGGTTATGAACTCTTCGGCTCTGGCGTCTAAATACCCGACTCTGGTAAGCTGTGACTTGGTACATTTTGGACTTGTATGATATCGTTGCGACGGTGAGTACGACCGTCCAGAATCCCCCGGGGGTGTCGTCGAAGGTGCCGAGGTGACGCAGCTTCCATCAGTTTCCCTGAGGAGGCACAGCAGCGGTTCGTATTATATGTGGGTTCAAAAAGGTCGCTATTATGGCGGATAAACGGCTGAGGTTGAATTTATTCTTCGACGTCGAGATTTGAGTTACTAGGATGTGAGCGCTCAGGACTGGGCTGTCGCCAGTGCCACTTACACCTTTGCTGTGGGTCCAAGCTCTCGCGAAACTCGCGAGAATGCGACCTTGGTTATTTGAAACAAGCGGCCATAATTCTTAGGGATGGGGATTGAGTGGTCATAGTATGATCGTCTAGCCTGATCACGCCGTCTGGTGTGAATGTGAAACCGTCAGATTCTCATCAGGATCCCATTATTTATTATCTTCACTTTTACGTATTTAGTTAAGTAGTCACCATGTTTCGGTAGCTGCATAATATGATATGGGACTTACATAATTGTGAGAGCGACTGCAGTAGATCAACTCCTTCCCTTGGCTTCTTTACGCCAAAGCCTCATAGCCTCAAAGGTGGCGGATACTGTGAGCGCCCAAGGACATATTTGAAAATCAACAACAGATGATCATGACCTGCTTAGTCCTTGCTTCCGTGACAGCCGATTCGTCCCTCGGAATCAGTTCATTGATCACGGAGTAGTTTCTGTAGCTCACCTCTTCCGAAACCTGCTGTGTCAGGCTACAGCGGCCTTGGGAGAGCCAAGGCCAGCGATGAGCCATATGCACCAGTAAGGGCACATGGCATTGAATTTCCATGAATCTTGAACCCTTTATCACAATTTCAACTTTTTGGCGTTTCGCAACATTCTCTACCGATCGTCCAAAAATAAAGCGGAAACGGGGTTGTGTTCAGCTCAAATCGTGGTATCAGCTGGGCGCCCGGTGGAACGCTGTCATGGTAAAGTGGGGAGTGTCTCGAACGTTGGAACATGGGGCTAATCTCAAACGACACCTGCCACAACCGACGTCATCTGAAGTTTTCAGACGGCCCTCTGTGCAGATTAACGACCCTGGGCGTCAACGAGATTCACTTCATTGGAAACGGATTTGCATATGCCGAAGCAAGGCTCATTGAAGATCTGCAACCTCGTGTTGGCATCTCAAACAAGAGTGGGTCATGCAAGCCAAAAGGAAGTATGGAGAAACAAACAATTACGTGGAAAGCTATGGCGACCCAGCGTTCAACTCGAAGGTGGTAGTATAAATAAACGCTTGCCAAGGAAATGCAATCGACGCCAAGTAGATCTACCCATAGCCAAGCTTTCTTGACAACCACACACTGTTCGTCGACCCATTCCGTTCCTCACTTATCTCCGGTTAAATCCGTTCATTCTGAATCTTTTCATCTCAACCGGCCGGTCCGATCCTTCCCTCATCATGTACTTCCAGAATATCGTCATCTTCGCCCTGCTAGGCCTCATAACCAGCGTGGCGACCCTTCCCAACCCTCAAAGCGAGCGTCATGCGGTCGTGATACCAAGGCTTCCCCCCAGCATGGTGTTGCGAAGAGATCATGATGATAATGACAACGATGACAACAATGCCAGCCAGACTAGCAGCGCCAGTAGCGGTGCCACCTCATCAGCCAGCGCCGCGGCTATCACCTCGGGTCTGCCTGAGAACCTGCAGAAGCTGGTCGATGATGGGAGCCTCTCGTGCACTATAGATGCTACGGGGGCGGCGTCTTGTAAAGACAAGGATACTGGAAATACATTCCAAACTGTAAGCGCCATTGATGTTACAAGGGTCACCTTGGAAATGTCTTTATCCACAAACAAGGCTAACGTGTCGGCAGACTCTGGATGGTTCCAACTAAGTTAGGGTGGCGAACGATACTGGTAGAGCGATAAGCGTTAGATACGTTTCTAGTCGAGCTACACAACAGGCTAGCTGGAGATTTATATACCCACTGTTACTCAATTAAGTCACTTTAATCTCATCATTCCGAGACTCATCACGTTTGGCGGATTTTTTGTTTTTGAACGATTTGACGTGACTCTCGATGTAAATATCCTCTTACTCCCCGCATTGAGACGAGCTCGAAGGGATCGGGAAGTTCGAAGAGATTAGGAATTGGACTTAACAACCCCGTGATAGGCATACTTTTCGCCTGAAGGGCAACTCACTGAACAGAGTGTACGCTTACACAGCTGCGGGGCCCATATGGATGGGGCTTCGAAACTTGCTCGTGTTGTCACTAACAAGGGACAACACAAAGAAACCGATTTTCAGATGAATGAGCCGCAAATGCTACTTGATAGGTTAAGCACCGCGATATTGGGACAACGGATATTAATATGGCTAAATACGTGGTAGTATCCACGGGCATGCAACACATTCCGATCAAAGTAACAATCATAGGGCCGGGAGGGATGATAAATCAGAATGTAACTGCTTGGTGGTGAGCGGCGTTTTGGTATTACACTGACTGAGCATGTTAATAAATTTGATCTGAATCATCAATGAGAAAGGCAGCTCTATCCCTGTATGAGACACTCCTCCCATTGCATATAGTTGCCGAACACAGCCCCTCACATTTGCTCGTTCTGAAACTTCGTCAAATCCTGCTTCTCTATCCTATTACTTTTTCAGAGTCTTGGGAACACAACCATAGTAATGACATAAGGCTTATTTTAACAGCGCGTGCCTATAAATTCTCAGGGCTCGCGTAGGTAAAAGAGACTCGATAGCTTGGATGATGAGTTTGAACTAGCGGCCTTGACCGCGCATCCCGTGCCCTGCAAGAGTTCCAACCACGTTCATCCATGCCAGTGTTACCGTCACCATGGCTCACAATGTGATGGTACTCGCTCGGCGCCGTTCTTCGGCTTTCTGCCATGAATAGCCGGAGCCGGAGCCCCGAAAGACAGACCACTTCTAGTTTTGGCTATTACATTATCCGGTGCGAAGCTTTACCCCAACGAAACGCCGCTAACCTCGTAAGACTGGATAGACCTGACGACTATCACCATTGTCAGCCAGGTTTGGGTACCAAATCAATCTGTACTTGGTAGGCGAAATTAATTAGAACAAGGAGTGTTGCACCCGCCCTTCCCAAGACCAGGACCACGGAACCGAAACAAATTGAACACATGGAACATCCGGGAAAGATGTTCATAAATGACCGTCGCCCATCACTTACCAAGAGAGTAGACTGGGGAACAGGGCATCCCCTCATACCTCACGCATCTGCCGTTCTTAATTTCGCCTCATCTGCTCTAGGTCAGCCATTCAGCAAACAGACCTGTTGTCAAGATGAAGGTTAGTCTCTAGATATTTATCCATTTATCCTCTTTGCTATTCTTGATGCAAATAACCGAATGCACGCAGATCACTTCGAGTATCCTGCTGCTCGTTGCACAGCTCTACACGACCACGGCCGCACCAAGTCAAAACTCAAAAGACCGGCGCGGCGTGCTTGATACAGACCCCACATATGCAGATCCCGACGCAACGGCAAGCTTTCATCTCGATTGTGGCTCCCCCTCGGTGACGAGAATGTGTTCTTCCAGCAACAGCGGCGCATATTGCAACCCGTCGACAGGCAGTCTGACGATATATCTGGCTGGGACGTGTGGGAATTGCAAGTGTGCAAGGGACAATAATTGCATAGGGAGATGCGGATGATTTGGGGTAAAGCGTACGGTGGCCTTTGGGATTCAGCTTGTAAAATTGCAATGCGTTACTGAGAACGTCGCTCGGACTCAAAGGGGAAGGATGATGGTACACATGGAAATAATTGGCTTTAGCGAAACCCTTTCGAGAATTGAATGTGGTTGGACGAGTGCCTAGATATGCAATATAATTGAGTTTATGCTTATACGACAAATCAGTATTGTGCCACTCTGATTTTTCCGATGTCGAGCTCATATTTTCTTCAAATCGTTTTGATGCCAGCCAATTCAAGCAAGCGACCTCAATCTCTCATAGACATCAGTCAAAAAGACATAATGACTAATAGAGTTCCCAGGATGACTCAGGTAATTCCTGGCGCCAACGTCAGCATTGTGCTGAAAGCAGACCAACGCACTGGATGCGAAGTGCAAGGCGTCGTCCAGAATGTTTTGACACGCGGCGACCACCATCGCGGTATTAAGGTCCGCTTGACAGATGGTCGCATTGGGCGTGTGCAGAGGATGTCTTCGTCCGCTTCAGCTTCTGAGCAAGAGCCAATTCGTGGAGGTGCGACCAGTTCCGCGGCGGTTGGTGGTGGGGTAGTCGCATCCCAGACCGATGCACCTTGGCCGCCACGAGCTGTCGCACCGCCGCGTTATCAAGATGTTCGTCTCGATGGGCATTTTGAACCTCCACAGGAGCAGATTGATCTGGCCGCATACATGGTAGCTCCCAAAAAGAAGAAGGGAAAAGGGCGCAAGACGCCCAAGGCACAGCCAGCAGAGGATTCACCCCCGCTCAATGAGCCATCCGCCGACCCTCAAAGGATCGCAACCGATGTCGCATCTGCCACTGCCACTTGTCCCGTTTGCGGCGCCTTTGAAGGTGATGAGGCAGCTGTTGCGCATCATGTGTCCGAACACTTTGAGTGATGGGGCAATAACGCCCCAGCAGTACAGAGCAAGATCGAGGCAAGGGCACGACCACCACACAGTGCTGCAATCCTGGAGACAGTCACCCTCGCGTGCTTGATGCATGGTTCTGTATGGTGATTCTGACTCGCTTGTGGGTTGATCATCCTGGAATAAGGACCTTGATGTCTCGTCAAATTCGTGATTTCAAGACTTTGTGAGAACCCGGATGGACGTGATGGATATTGGCGAATGTCCTCGAGGTAGACGTGTGCTGGGGTTTATTAGGACAGGGGACCTCCCGAATCTCGTCACACGGAGAACCGGCTCGGAAAACATGATTCCTCTCACGTATCCTTAGCCACAATGTCGGACGATCTTGAGAACAGTAGCGAACTGCACGATGTGGTCATCATCGGCGGTGGTCCTTGCGGCCTCGCAGTTGCTTGTCGGCTCAGCGAACACATGCCCGCGGCAAGTTTTACAGACGAAGAACATCAGCGATACCACTGGATACGAAAACACACCGGCAAGATGAGCATCAAGAACTACAAGACTCATGCTGCGATTCCTCCTCAACAGACGATCAACGCTAAGCTGGACATGGTGGTGCTAGATACCAGCGGAGACCGATGGATGGCACGCTGGGATACCTTGTTCGCGAGGTTTGGAATCGATCATCTGCGAAGCCCCATGTTCTTCCACTTCGACCCCCTCCAGAGAGACGGCTTATTAGCATACGCGCATATGAGTGGCAGAGGCAATGAACTCAAGGAGATCGGTGGCTGCGTTGGGAAAGAAGTGAGCAAACATCAACGAAAGAAGAGGGAGAAGCTTCGTAGACAGTAGGTCCTTCTCTGGGAACAGTCGTGGAACGTTTCTAACTTTGGCCAGACCTGATGTTCACCCCAACATTGACGAGCGGGACCGCAACGACTACTTCGTGCCCTCGACGCGCTTGTTCGCTTCTCATTGCGGATGCCTCATCGATCGATATGCCCTCCGCGAGGATGTCGTTCGACAGGAAGAAGTCTTGGATATTCGATATGACTACTTCGACCACATACATTCAACAGACAAGGTTTTTGCCATACAGACCAACAAGGGTATGCATTATTCCCGGACGGCGGTGCTGGCTGTCGGCCCCGCCAATGGCCCAGAGATACCTGGCATGCTACCCGGTGAACCAACGGATGCTATAACACACGCCATGCAGATCACGGAGATGCCATCTCAGCGTGTCCGAAACAAGATTGCTGCGAAAGCTACGACCAATGTCTTGATTGTCGGTGGCGGCTTGACATCTGCACAATTGGCCGACCTTGCTCTCCGTAGAGGGGTAACAAAAGTTTGGCTGATAATGCGCGGTCCGCTCAAGGTGAAGCCCTTCGACATAGGCCTAGAATGGGTTGGCAAGTTCCGCAACTTCGAGCAGGCCGCATTCTGGTCCTCGGACACCGACGAAGAGCGCTGGGAGAAGTACAGGACCGCGAGGGGCGGAGGCAGCATCACAATGCCATACAAGAAAATAGTAGAACGACACGTTGCCAAGGGCAAGCTGGAACTGTGCCTCCATACAACCCTAAGTAGCTATCGGTGGGACAGCGCCTCGCAAACCTGGCACGTCGAGCTGTCGAGACCCGAACAAGACCAGAACCAGGACATACCACCCTTTGATCACATCTATTTCGCCATAGGTATCCAGACCGACTTCGAGACCCTGCCCTATCTGAAGTCCCTGCAGGAGCAATACCCCGTAAAGAACTGTGGCGGTTTTCCCTGCATCACGGAGGATATGAAGTGGAGGGATGACGTGCCGCTCTTCGTGGCGGGAAGACTGGCCGGTCTGCAGCTGGGGCCTGGGGCGCCGAACTTGATCGGTGCGCGGATTGGGGCGGAAAGGATCGCGTGGTCCGTTCAGGATCTCTTGGATGAGAGTCGACCTGTGAGCAAGAAGGATGGAGCTGACGAAAAGTTCAATTATCTTACGGGAAGGGGTAGTATGTTTGAGGCGCTGACTGCTGTGGCCACGTAGATGGTGTATGTTCGTTGTCATAGTCGAGGCCTATTTGGGTAGCTGGGCTTGGTTTTCGCAGCGGAATGAGGGTTGTTGTAAACTTGTTTAGTGGTTGCCATCAGCGTGTTGGCTATTTTATGGACCTTCGGTGCATCATGTAGGGTGAAAAAGTTGCTTGACAACTGAAGTAGGGTATCAATGGTTTGGGCACATGCCCATGTCTTGCATCGTATCCTTGAGATATAAGCTATACAATGTCGTCTTCACACAGAAGCTTATACTATCATGTGTGTTCATAACGCGGATGGGTCACCCACAACATCGGTGTTGGAATATACAGTCCCGGTCGTCAAGGCCGGAGGAGATTAAGTAGCGATGGAGATTAATAGTATGGAATATTTCGAGACAAATGACTTCGTGGGATTTACATATACGGATTTGGTGAGGGCAAGGATTTGAACTTCGAGGAACTTGATGGGATTCACGCATAGGTTGGCTACTGAAACCAAATCGTAATCAAGTAACTTGATGGGGTCTAGACACAGGTTACACCAAGGCAAGAAGATGTCGAAGACTAATGACTCGATGGCTTATACCCAGATTGTTCTTTCCAGACAAGAATTCGCCGTTGAATATTTTGATGGTTCCAGGCTCCGGCATGTGCAGGTCCTCGACAAGGATTAGCCTGGTGTAAATCAGTTGCGAGGGTGTCGCTTGGCGTCCTGTTGTGTCATGCTCGTGAATGATGAAATGGTCTTGGGTAACTTCAGACGAAAGGGGGTGAAAGTAATTAGGTAAAGGGTGTTTAGGTGTTTGAACTTTGATTTCCCGAGAGAGATAAGAGCTGCCCCAGCTCGTCCACATAGTCAGGTTGAAAGCCGATCCTGTCATGAGCATCCCGTGTCACACGGCCAAAGAGCTTCGCAATGTCCTCCAGGCGATTATGTCCATTGCGAGAATGCGGTACAAGTACGTCTTTTTCGTCTGTCCAAGACGCACGACTCTGCCGAATGCCTGCAGTTTGATGGCGGCGTCCCACCTCCTATGCGCAGTAAAAGCTGGATTCTTCCGTCGTATCTCCAACACCGTCCCATACAGCCTTCAAAGGATAGGGGCAGAGGATGCGGTTGTTGATCGCACCGGACGGGTCCTGAAAACTGATAGGAATTGTCTCTGGTACCGTTCCATTCTCGACCCAGTCCACAAGGGCCGCAAACAAGGTCGTTGGTTGGCCCCCGTTTCCACCGTAGCAGTGTGCTAGGCCGGGTACCTCGAACATGCGGTAGAAATCATCCACATTGCCCATCAAGTCCGTGACGGAATTGAAATAATGCTCGGAGTTCTTGGAGGGGATGATCGGATCCGCCTGCAATGTTCATTGTCATTACTGGATCATTTAAATGATTAGTTGGTTGGTGTTATAATCAACTCACAAGTCCATGATATGCCAGTATCTTGCCGCCCAGCTCTTTGAACTCCCGCAAGTCAGGATAGTTCGTGCCAACAATGCAGTCAAACTCAGCAGCACCCCGGTGCATAGACCGCTCCATATCTTCTACGGTGAAGGTTCTCATGTCGAAAGTGGAGTTCTTCTTCACAAACAGTCGCAGCCACTGCCCACCCAATATATTTCTTAGATCAGACAGGTCCGGATGTGCCAGAGGAGATCCGATAAAGAGCCCGTACCACAGCAGACTGCCGTCAGGATGTCGTGGACCGTGCCATGTGGCATTGGCCAAGATAACCGCCTCCTGAGAGATAGTCGTCATCTTTCCTGTCGTCGAACAGTTGAAAGAGGTGCCTACATACTTGTCGGGATGGAAAGTGGACAGACAGAGATCGGGCTCGGAGATCAGCCCGTCCACAATTCCGTCCAGTTTATCACAGTCTTGGATGGCCTTACTCGTGAGTTCGTTGATCTCGCACGCTGCTGGCTCGGTCCCGTTGAGATATTGGTCGATGACGAGTTGGGGCCAGAAGATGGAAGCGAACAGCTTCGCCCAGTTGACGGCAGGGGCATTCGCGGCGATACCATCATACAGATCCGGATAGCGTTGAGCCAACATCATGCCCTGTCTTCCGCCCTGGGAGCATCCAGACCAATAACTGTACTTGGGGCCCTCACCGTAGAATGATGCGATCAGGTTCTTTCCGATGATGGCTTCGTCGCGAAGACTGACACTACCGAGATTCTGTAGTCCGTAGAGATTCACGTTTCCCTCCGACAGCAGCGCCCACGATTCCACACTCATATCAGTTGCGACACCAGCATCCGTCGTGATGGTCGCATACCCATCGCTGAGAGCACCGACCATCTCGGCGTAGGATAGAGAAAACATACCCGCTACCCAGCCACCTCCCCCCACGGCCTGGAAGCGGCCATTCCACGACGGATTGGAAATGGGGAGGTAGGCGTTGATGGTGAGAAAGTCGCCCTGGCCTGGGTGCGTGTAGGTGACGGTCACGTTACAGAAGGTCGCATTGAAGACAGATGTGTTGGGATGGCCGAAATTCAGGTACTCGGGTGCGGTGTCGGAAAAGTTGAAGACTGGATCTGCAGTGACTGAGGTGAAGTCTGCGCCCGTCAGGGTGAGGTTGCCTGCAAAGGTTGAAGAGGCGCACTGCGATAGGAGATCTGATGAAAGAGACACGGTTGGCTCTGCAGTCTCTGTGTGCTGGGGCACAGACAAGACAGACTGGAGGATGCCAGGCATACTCAGAGGAAGGGAAAATAAATCGTTGTTATTTAGGGAAAACATCGTGGCCACGCGGAGCCGTCGTATGCATTCCACAGAATAGATTTTGGAGCAATTGTCAGCAGTGACTACTCAAGTGCATTATTCTCATTTATATGGTAGCGACTTGGAAGTAACCGATGTCTCATTATGATGCATCGCCAATGAGAACCCCGCAGTTTTGTAGCACCAGGCACAAACACCGTCTGACCGAAAGATGTGATTGAAAATCTCTGGCACTTCTGACATCATCCAAATGCTTCACATTACACGGATCGATTCGGATCGTCGTATGACCCTCTACCGCAGAGGCAGGGACACGTCTACTTTGTTGACTGTATGACTCTCGACTGGCCAATATCCAGTCATTGCAACAGTACAATCCCCATTGGGGCAGTATCATGGAACTCACTTCAGTAATACACTTGCTGGTGGCTCACTGGCTCTGGATCAAATTGGAAGCACTGAACAGACGCACTTGAAACCTTCGTTGCAGCCAGGAACGATATCCTCTTCTTAGATGGATAGGTAGAGGGCAAAAGACGATAGCCTATTAACACGTCCCCTCGCAACTTCACCGAGGCCAGTGTGGCACGGATTCCCCACGAAGTCGACGCGTGAACTCCGTACTTCGTCTGAACACCTAAAACGGTGTCCGTGAATCCCAATCCAAACAGACTCCAAGCGGGCTCATTCTAAACGTGACAAGCTGTTCGCAGCTCTCACTGTTTGCATCAGATCCTGCAAATACGTCGAGAGTCGTTGATTCCGCGTACATAATCGGGTTGCATTGGTCCTACATTTGGCGAATTAAATGAGAGGCATGTAAGCAGAAACGGGGTCGATGGCGCTAGGCCTCCAGCAGTGCGAGCTTCAAGATTGGTGGCTACTATACACGTATATGGATGCATATGATTGGTTGAGAATCCTTCTACACCAAGTCCTGGCAAGTGGCCGCAGGAAATGGCTTCCTCTTTTTACACATCAGATTAGAATCCAACGCAATCATTCCCGGGTTCGTATCAATCGATTAGCAGTATAAATTGCATCTTGTGTTCCGGAGAAGTAGTAAAATTGTCCCTCTGGGGCCTCCCCAGCCGCATGCGTTCTAGCCCTAGAAGCGATCTCTACGAGTGTCCTTATAAGACTTTTGCGCTCCAAAAATGGCTGAGTTGTTGCCTTATGAGGGCAATTACTACCTCTGAAGTACCTTCCATCACTTTCAGCCGCAGTCGTCTTTCTTTTACTGTTCCTCGCGATAACGGCGGCGCATTATTCCGAATATTCAAGACACGACTATAGCTACAGGGGAACCCCCATGGGGTCACGTATCATCGGCGCTATACCGTCCTAGCATGCCAACGGCTTCCGCAGCAGCCTCATGAGTAGGCTTATCCGGTTCACTTAGCCAGTATGTTTGTATGGCTGTCCCAGCCGCTATAGCCGCTAACAGAGGGTCTCCTAGGCTTGCTAAGCCGGCCCTGTACTAACTTTGTAGTGTCTGGTATATACCTATGAGTTTGGCGTTAAGGCCAGACAGCTGTGAAGTTATCATCCTACCGGTAGATAAAAATAATCGCTCGCATTCGGCCGACATAGCCTGTTAAAGGTATGACTTTTAGCAAATAGCTCTGCTGATCATGTAGAGTTGTGAGAGGTACGGAAGCGACATTCGACCCGAGCCGAAGCCACCGCCATTCGCCACGTTGTTCTTGAGCAGACTAATAGCCTCACCACCAGTCTTGCGAATCAGGGGGCTTGGAGTAAGGCAGCACGGAGCGAAGAGCCATGTTGTCCAACCGCGCCTGCGGAACGCTGCCGTGGGAAACACCAAGCCACCAGGTTATCGACGGTCCAAAGTTCGTTGGAGCAAGGCGCATAGTCGAGACCAAAGCAGGTAACTTAGATCTGCTGAAGTGAGCCGACTGGTCTGGTAGGCGAGCCTAATAAAGCCGAGTTCCTCCTTGAGTTTGCCGCTGACTGACAGCCCTGACGAAGAGACACATCAATGAGTCAATAACGTGATCAGACTACCATCCAACTAGGACTCGTCAATGGGTGACACATGAGAAACGTTAACATACTCCTAAGCAACATCTCATTCAAACGTAGTTTCTCAGGCCGGGAAATGTTTCAAATTGTAGACTAGCCTAAAGCCGCAGGTCTCTAAGTACTAATGCGGTGCTCTTTGGATACATGCGCATGCCCTTGAAGACTAGGCAATCAAGCTATAACGCCTCGCTACTAATGAACTAGATTATTCATTTGTAACACAAGCTATGCAAAGTCTGCGCTATATCCAGAATTACGAGCACAAAGTATATAACTATCTATTAAGGGTACGAGTTACATGTAAGGTCAACAAGGTTATGGTAATGTAGGCATAAGTGTGAGATACTGGTTGGAGTGTCCTAAAGGACTACATATTGGCAGTTCTATATCCTACAAGACCAATCACTAAGAAGTCCGGTCTTGAATCCTGCTTTTGCTGGAATCTCACTTGCCTTCTAATGGCCACCGGATTGTGTCTCATGTTGTTAGTTTCGGCATCATGCCGTTAGACAGTGTCTGTTGCGTTGGCCCAGACACACCGCCTGTGTGCTGAGTGTAGCGCCCGGGCTAACCGCCATAGATAGCCCTTCTGTAGCTACAGATTCCTTCGAGTTAGTCACATCATTATTACCATCACCAGTATAACTCTCTTGCCTGTATTACCCACAGTGCCTGTGTTCTTGAAGCTGGAATAGATAATCAAGTAATGACACAGGGCTGAATTGGGTCGCGGTTGCATCTTGCGCTCGTAGAGTCGATGATGGAAGTCGTCCCCTAGGCTGGTCTACTGGACTGTTATCTGAGTTTGGCCAATACATTTAGTAAGCAGGAATACTTAAAGCAGTTCATTCCATTATGGCTTACTCACATGGAGTGATATAATCTCGACCTAATCACATAGTATACAGCAATCGGATTGGAGATCAAATGGCGCGTCGGCTGAGGAAAATTAGAAATTGGAGGAAATTGATGCACTAACGTGAATGAATGTACACCGAGCTGGCCACCCTTACATAACCTCGCATAGAAATTTTACGATAGTAAAACCACAACGCCGTAAATCAATTGAAACTACTCTGAATCTTCCTCTCCAGAAGATGGCAATGCGATCTTACAAGTTCGCGCATTATGCCCAGTCCCGTTGCAAATACCACAGCGCCTCGGGCGCGTTTCAACACGCCTTGCGCGACCACCATTTCGGCGCTCTTCTTGCTGTATCTGCGTCGCCAACTCCCTAGAGTCCCGTAGGTCCTGTCCTTCTTGGAAACTAAGTGATTCTCCTTCCCGTAATTGCATTTTTTTAGTCCTCCGGCGCCGGCTTAACATCTTATTTGCCTCTCGAAGCTCAGCGCACTCGGCCCGTACGAGGGCGAGCCACCGTTTTTACGCGTTTGGAGGGTGCTTCGGGGGACTCGGTACGTTTTTGCCGCTTGTCGGAGACTAATTTTTTGGTCATTTTTGAGAGCTTGAAGGGCTAGCATTAAGTCTGCTTCGTTGTATGACTTTGCCATAATTGGTTGTTGAGAAAATCAAAGATTAAGTTGGCCGGTCGCGTTGGCGCATGAAAGTGGCCAGCTCAGTGTCATGGCCAGCTCGGTGTACATTCACGTTATATATAGGATATTACAAAATTACTTAAAGGTGCTAAGAAAAGTACGAAAGTAACTTATATACGAAAATGACTTATAGTGTGTATCCTGGTCGACCTACCGCACTGGACTCATGTCACGAATGTCAAGTTCATTGAATTCGTGCCAAGTCAGCTGTGTGGTCAGATCTGTTGATTCGTGGATCGATTGATGATAAGTCTAGGTTTCTATGTAACGCGGTAACAGCGTTGGCTTTATTTCCACATTTGTGGGGCCTAGGGCCACACTCAGATCCACAATAGTTCACGTTAGGTCGAAGTTAAAAGTAGTAAAAACCTCGCTAAGTTTGTGAGCTTAAGCGAGTCCGAAACAAGTGCAGTGTGGCACGGGTAAGAGTCTGAGTTGAGTCACAACCCTCGGCGCTAGTACGTCTAGGAACCACTATGTAGATAAGCACAATCTATCAAACCTGCTCATTTGTGTGAGTCCACTGGATAGAACACACACGAAATAAGTGACCAAGACTGTAACATTATTTGATCCAAAGAACTTGTTCAGGAGGATCTGGACGAATGCTGTGGTTATGAATTTAGTTTGTTTTCTATAGAGACTATGGAGGTTGGAGATAGTTGGCCGGGATGGGAATTTAGCGCTACTAAGCAAGCTGAGAAGGCGGTGACCTGCTAGCCTAACCACCTGAATTCTGCCGTTTTTACTTCCTTTAATGTCCATGCTAGCAATCAATTGAAGTTTAGCACCATTGACAACAATACATTAGGACTTGCGAAGAACACCAGGCCGCCTCGACATGGGCGTGACCGCACCTCCCCCGCCATGAAAAAGCCCTTATTTCACATGGGATGGATAACGTTTTTGTAATTGTCCGTCATGTCGCGAAGCGCCGCCGCGTCTCCCTCGACCGCTCGTCGCAGCGCGCCGCAATGGACGTCGCATCTCCGCCAGATCAGCAAGACGAGCTTCGACAGGGCCTCGCTAGACTCACCGCGTTCCCCCGACACCGTCTCCAGCTCGTCGACCATCCGCGAGTCAAATTCGGCCAAGAGAGTCGCCGAGCGCACCTGTATCGTGTCCATTAACGAGTCCCTGCTTGGCGACGATGTACTTCTTAACCTCGAGCTACTGGGAGGGGGTATCAAGCCCGGTGCCTTGATGTCCATCACGGCCTTGAAGGGGGATCAGGACAGGGCAACTGGCCCACATGGGTCTCTGAGGCCCAACGCGTCCTTCCATCGGCTACCCTCCGCACCCGACTTCTCTAAACTCGAAGGCAACGCAGACAAGCGATACATATTCGTGGTGAAGGATATGTCCAAGGAACTCAGGGCTAGGCATCCTGGTGTCGAGGTTTACGTAGCCAAGAACATCAGCGATGCCTTTGCTATCAAAAAGGGAACCCAAGTCCTGCTGGCCCCCGTCGACGACCACGCCCCGGCCATCGAGGCCTCACATGTCGAACTGTCCTTTAAGGACATGTATCTTTCACGCTCCGACATGTGGAGGCTAGCTGTGTCGGACCTCGCTGATAGGACTGTCTACAAGGGCCAAGTGGTCTTCTTCCTGGGTACCATCAAGGCCACCGTCACTACCGTCTTTGTTGAAGGCCGCAAGGTTCAGTCCGCGTTTTTTGGCCGCAACACACGCCCCATTTTCCGCAGCGAATCCGCCAGATATGTGCTGTTCATTCAAATGGCGCGTGAGATGTGGGACTTTGATTCTGACGGTTCCGGCGAGATCATGTTCTACAAAGTCGTAAACGGATTTCTGCCTGCCCTCTTCAAGAAATGGGCCTTGCTACAGGTGAAACATCTAGTCAGTATCGTGTTATTCGCAAGAGTAGAGTATGATACGGGCCTTAACACGGAATTCGCGAATACCTCTCTCCAGGACGATTACTACACGGGTTTCCAAGCCTCAGGAGATCGACGACCATACAAGGACTTTTACCGCGTTGTAGTGAGTGAAATGTCGAGTGGTGAATGGACCACCATCCTGCACCAACTTAAGCGCGAGTTCAACATCTTCCGCAAAGATATCAGCCTGCATCATCTTGATGCAATGAGCAGCGGCGCCAAGACACCAGTCGAAGATGTCCCGCCCAGAACTGCTTCTGCTACCAGGATCAAGGCAGAATCGTCTCTGGCTATGTACGGCAACTTCCTCGAGGCCATCAACCTTGCATCTTCCCAATATGCACATGACTACATCGATCGAGACTTGCTGCGCACCGGCATCTCCATTGTTGTCATCAGTCCAGGGACTGGCGTGTTCGAGGTTGAGTATGAGAATCTACGGCGAACAACGGAAGCTCTGATCGGGAATGGCATAGGCATTGACTTGATCTGTATCCCCAAGATACCGCTCCATTCAGTGCCATTGTTTCGATACCGGAACCCGCTCTTCCTCAACGGCAACCAGCGCGCACAAAATCAATCCGTACGTAGTAGGGACAGTACCCCAAAGCAGCCCACCCCCCTGGTAGGCAGCTACACCACTTTGACTGAATCCTTGTCTCCGACGAAAGCCTTGGATGTCGCAAGTCGCCTTGATCCACTTGCTAAACTCTGTGCTGACGAGTGGGCTTTTGCGTTGCCTCAGTGGCTTCACGTCTCGTACTGGACCGGCAAGTCGGAGGAGGCTCTTTCATTCCAGGGAATCGCCTTGTCCGCAGATGGGTACGCTCGCAAAGAAGCACAGGAAGAATTCACAATTAGGTGTCGGCTGTACGATTTACAAATGAGAAGTGTATTGGAGACGAACGAAATAGAGACGACACCGCTGCACGCAGATCCAAAGTTTCCTAGCAAGACGATCAATTTGGAGGACAATCAAAAGTCACAACCTTTGTCCACAATGCCTCGCAAAGTGCCTGAGGCATTGTTCGATCCTGTATACGGCTTTCAAAAGTTTGTACCCGACAAGTTGACCAAGAGTGGTGGAGACTCGTTGTGGAAACAATTGCAAGCTTTTGATGAATCTCGGGCTCGACTGCCAGCGTCACGTAGCATGTTGGCCATTGTGAAATCCACAAGAGATCTCGACGAGGCCACCCGCAGACCACTCATGCAGGATACCGGGTTATTTGGATCCTCTATGGGTGAGAAAAAACCCGAGCTTCCACTTGGCGGCTTTTCTTCCAGTTTTGTCCCTGTGGATCGAGTCGCCGCCCCAGCAGTCTCTAATACTGTCACTGCAGGAGGGTCTCGAAGAAAATCAACAACTATGGGCTCGCAGCCCAAGATAACACCTACGAAGATGCCAAAGTTCATGAGGCAGGTCAGTCTGGGCCACAAAGGGTTTGGCGTCGCAGCGCCGACAACAGCGATTGCCGAAGTCAGGACGGAGCATGCGAGTGGCAAGCAATACAGGCCGAAAGTTACGACCCCGTCCGTGACAGCCCCCGCGATGCCTGTCATGGTTACCACCAACTCGCCGAGAATAGTACCTAGCGATAGATCTCTGCGACCGCTCGAACAGTTTGACTCCGAGTTATCGGACCAGCTCCACGATCTCGTTCGGAATACACCTAGCAGGCCGATATCAATTAGGGCGTCGTCTGTGGATCCTGGAAGTTCAAACCAATCGAGGTCTGCAAACATCAAAGCAGCTGGGTCGGCTTTAGCAACACCGGTTTTCAGGGGTACCAGACCCAGGGAAGACCACGATGAACAGTTCTCCAGCGCTTTGAGAGCCGAAGATGCGCAAAAGCTCTTCAACAATAAGCTTCTTGCAGGCGCCATTCCAGAGCTACCATCGACCCTTTCTCCTACCACGGCCATGGCTCCGTGGCTCGTTGTTCTTAACCCGTCGAATCCCGATGTCAACAAGGTGGACGACGCAATCCTTTTTAGTAGATGGCAGCACGTTTTCCCCCGACCGTCTGAGATGAAAGTCATGAAGTGGAAATCTATCTCATCACCGGCGGCAGTTCCCCTAACCACAGAGTACTTTCCCTCTAAGGCTCAGTTCGACACCGAGTATCAGCGTCAACCGTACAACATCGCCCAGAACGTAGAAGATGACCTATCTGAGGAGCCCAAGTCGCGTGAAGCCTTCTTGCGGGAACTTATCAGTGCCAGGTTTGCCCACGGCTTTCAAGTTGTTATTGGCCCTAGTGTGGCCAGGGCTCTAGGCCAGAAAGTTGTCAAGATCGCCGATATCTTCTCGCGGGATCACATTGTCGAAGACGGCACAAGCCTGTTCATGAGTATTGGAAACACCATCCACCAACTCTCATGTGTTAATGGCACCGAAGTTGAAGTTAATATTTTCGTTCGGAAGCCCACCGAGTCGTCTGGACAGGCCGACCAGCCGGCGGCTCTTTACAAGCCAGCCATTTGTACGCTCCTCGACTCCGCGTATGAGGACAGGCAGATTGATATCTTGACGCCAAAACCCGAGAAGAACTGGAACTATATTGACTCGTACCTAGCCGGCCACACTGACGAAATGACGGATAATCTAAGATTTTGGCGGGCCCGTTTCGTCCTCATACCCATGCATTCTCGGAGCATGTCCGTTTCCAAAACCCACCAGAACGGCGACAACGAGGAGGAGGTTCGCCTTGAAGGGATCAAGCGGCTGGCTCAGACGTGGCAGCGGCATCGTTACGTGCCACCATCTGAACGTCATTTCCAGAGCGCAGGCGCAAGGAAAGCGAGAGACCCGAACCCTCTTGACATTGTCTACAAGACCGAGGATTCGTCGGTAGTTATTGCGGCAGAATTGGAGACCCTTCCATTGTTCGAGAACGTAGACACTACCCATAGGAAGGGCCAGCTGATATCCAGCCGGGAGCGTTTTTCGAAAAAGGGGTTTGACGTTGCTGCTCTTGCGGAGGCGATTCAGCAACCGGCAGAAAATGGGGGCATTCGGATGCAGAACCGGCGATGGCATCTTCGTCTTCATTACAACTGCTTCATCGGTTCGGATATGACGACCTGGCTCTTGGACAGCTTTGAGGATCTTGAGAGTCGAGAAGAAGCTGTCGAGCTTGGAAATTCATTGATGGTCTACGATGACGAGAAGCACAAGGATAGAGATAGGGACGCTCCCAAAGAGCTTAAGAAGGATCGTGGCATATTTGTTCATGTTGAAAGGCGGCATCCATTCCGCGATGGTCAGTTCTTCTACCAGATTGCCACCGAACATGCCAAACCGCATCCTCCGGGCTGGCTCTCTATAAGAAGAAGAGACCCGTCTGTTCCTTCGACTCCACTTTCAGAGCAGATTCCAAGAGACTCTCCTCGGACTGGCCTTAGCAACATGTCGCGGCCAACATCCATCCACGAAGAGAACTCGCCTGTGTCCGGTGCCTCGACTCCGACTGTGCCAGGAACCGGCAACAACAGGAAGCCTAAAGTTGTACTAAGCAAGGTGATGAAGTACGACGTCGATCAACGTAGAAAGTCGTATCGACCTGAACGGATCAACTTGCACTACGACAGGCTACACAATCCCGACAACTGCTACCATATTCGCATAGACTGGATGAACGTTACGGCCAAGCTGATTGAGGACGCCATTAAGCTGTGGGCAGGCATTGCAGCACAGCATGGTCTGCGCCTTGTCGAGGTGCCCATCGCTGAAGCTTGCACAATTACCGAGGTCAACCCGTTCAGAAGGCCCTACACTGTCAAGCTTGCACTGCCTCCGCCAAGTCAGCGTCCCGTCACGTACTATGATCCCAACTCATTCACCCCACAGGCGCCGCCAGGTAAACACTTTTACCAAAAGGCCCTTTTGCGGAAGTTCGACTTTGTGTTGGACGTGGAGGCAGCGTCGAACTTCCCTGGAGACGTAGATGTGAGTTATTCATGGGGCAAGCCGGACTTTAAGTACACACAGTACATCCACCGCTCTGGTGTGTTGCTGGCCGAGATCATGGACGACGGAAACTTCCTAATCCTTGCCAATCGAGTCTACACGAATCGGGGAGCAGCGTCCCAGCAGGCTCCACCGCGTACCGAGCCGCTGCCCAATGAGCGTGTGTCACGCCTCATGGCTACTCCAGCATACACGAGTTATGGAATGGCGGAGCCGACACCCATGTCCAGTCCCATGTTCAGGCCTGTGCTGTTCACTTCGGCACAACAGGCATCAAGAGCAGCGGTTTCGGAAGCTGCGTCCACTCAGGCCAAACCCGGGGCAACGCCGAAGTATCACCTGGGCGAGCCTGAGTCAGTTCTTGACAATCTAGAAGCCTTTTGCTCAGATGAGGAGGCACTCGAAAGTTTCTACAAAGAAACATTAGAGAAGGTACCAACGGCTGCTACACCTGCCAGCACTGCAACCGCACCGGTACAGGATGGTGAACCAGATTCCGACTCCGGGATCCCGGTGCTTGGGCTGCCTCCCGGCGTGCTTGGCAGCGGAGCTGATGAGTTGGGTATTAGTCCCAGCCCACGGCTAGGGACACCTAGTAACATGACTGGATCTCTGTTCTTTAGGCGAGGCAGTGCGCAGTATCAGAGAGCGAACGGGAGAGAGCTGACGAGAGACCACGGGACGGACGAACAATAATGGACGGGTTTACCCACATGTAAATGATGGCGATGATATTACACGAGAAATAGGAGCCGCAATACCATAGTGATGTAGATACCAGACTCGCGTCTATTGAGCTCAGCCATCTAAGAGCTGAGTCATCAGGGTCCTGAGAACCAATTTGGCAGCGGTGAGTTCACCGCTAAGTTACCCGTGGAGAGCAACAGGATGCTTGCACCAGCTGAAGGTTCCAATCAGATAAATGAGCTTCTCATTCTTGCTTTGATGATGTGATACCAAGGTAGCCAGTCTGTATATAAGCCACAAGGAAAGTTACAACAAACTGCATTGATATTGGAACGCGCCCGGGCTGTGATTGGTTGGTGGGCTTGATGACCCTGATGACCTTGTTAGGAAGCAGGGCGGATGCAGAGACACGTCAGCACAGCAAACGATAGAGACTTCGGAATGCGACTTTCCTTGTTGGGCATTGTCTATCTTCAGGCTATTCTCATTGCGACGATTGATGGTTGAATGCCAGCTTGTTGTCAGATTGCTGGACTCGACTTGGCTGTTCCTGCTTGAGTATCCATATAACATGCAAGGGACTAGGATGTATGCATTCTTGCCCAAACTTCCAGGGTCAATACCTACTACATATAAGGGGAAACGGCAGTGCAACACGTGGTTGTCGGCGTATATTCACCTCTCAACGACTGGCGGACATGCTTGTATCCGCAGCCGGCCACAGCGGTCAATCGGCGTATTACCTGCGACCATTGATATTCGGTCCCTCATAGACGGCTATCTCGTCTTCACTATATGGAAATTCTAGTTTCCAGACCTGTTGCAGACCCAGACAGCGCATGCCATGTGTCGCAGTAGTCATTTGTTACTCAGGAGAGTCCCGAACATCTCAGGACTTGTTCAATCGGTTATATTTCGGATAATAGTGATATTGTGCTCCTTACTTCTTGCGTCAGATACGTCCTCGTGCTTGCAAAGAAACAACATACACGTGTATGCCTATTTGGAATTAAAATTACTATGATTAGTATCCTTCCATATCTGATAGCTGATTGTCCCGGATGGTTGAAATACCTCACAAACAATACGAAATTCCCCAACCCCATGATGTTTCCCCTTGGTCCAAGACATGTCGTTGAACTCTGCCAAGTAGCCAAGATAGCCAAGCAGAACATGATTTTCTGATGGTGTCTTGGAAAGTCTTGGAGGAAGCTTGACGCAATTAGTCACCGTGAACTCGCTTGCCAAAATGCTCATGATCGCTTGGCTCTACCATTGCCTAAAAGCTTGATACAATTTCATGGTGCACTAGCTCAACCAAGGTGCGTCATTGTGCAGCTGGCCATGTTTTATGGCAAGTATCAAAGCTTTCTGTGGGTCCCACGGCCCTGGCAACGGCAGCATATCTAACATGGAGTCATTTGATTTTATCCAACAAAGCATTGTGAATCAGATGCCACGTGTGTGTATGTGACTGTACTCTACTCGAAAGCATCGGGTCGGATCGTGCGTGGGGTCTCGTAGATGTAGGGATCGTGATGTGCAGTGTCGCTTTTGCAAATCCGGTAGTCCATCGTCAGCGTTTCTACAGCCAAAGTGGGATTGGCTGTGCACCCCTGACTCTGAGCTCTGTGACCAATCAATGATACTGGCCGCGGCATGGTTCATCATGAGAGTAATGAGGCCTCCCAAGGTCCTTTTAGTTCACTAATGTACCTTCATGACCCAACCTTGGAAGGTACTTTTGGTGGGTGTAGCTGAGTGTAAACACTAGACTGCTGTAGGTCACGTCGCGAGACAACAAGCTTCAATCCATCGTACAATGACGTGTGCTATTATTGGGCCAACTATCACCGCTTGATGCAGACCATGTTACATGCTGGCCAGGTGGCATCAACCAAGGACGTGACTCGCTGAAGCTGCCTGAGTGCCAAGGGGCGGCAGATTTCGAATCCCAGCAATTGATGGGAGATTGCTGGTAGCAGATCCCCACGACCCCTTTGTTCTCCTTCAAATTGAAGACACTCCCATGGCATTCTTTGTCTTTCATTACTACTTGCTTTGATTTTCGAGATCTCATTCCACCATCTCGACGCATCAATTGTACTTTCAGCCAGCGACATGCCGCAATAGTACAGTTTCCCCACTCTATTTGGACCGACTTGCAGTAGTGAATCTAGATTTTAGATTTCAGCACTTTCGATTGACCCGTCATTTCACCGATATTCTACGCCTCAGCCGACCGCCGAAAGAAACTTGGACAGGTACTATTCAAGCTCACGTCTATTGAAGTAAATGAATACACCTTGCACAGCAAATTGTGTGGCATTCTTGGGAGCTAGGGGCTTCTGAAGCTGAAAAGAGAGGAAGACGACAAATTGCTAGGTGCTGCAAACGAACAACGCAAACGCTACCCATATTGCGAGGTTGCATACGTCGAATCAACCCCCGGTATCAACGCAAACGAGACGCGCCTAGAGTGGTCTGTTACTAGCGCGACTTGTCACACATTTCACCATGTCTGCCAACTATAATCGACCAGGTCAACGAGGTAAGCAACCATACTCTCTTTCACGTTAAGCGCCCTATTGGTTCTGTTCCTCGGAGAGTGTCCGACCAAAAAAGCCCGAAAATAGGAAATTGGTCTTCGAGACTGCGGACCCCCCATAACCGGATCTTGCAGGGTTCTCGAGGATAATTATTGTCCGTTCAAGAATGCCAATGCATGCTCACTCATTGCCCAACCCACCTCAAATCACACTTTAGAGTGCGAACGTATTCGTCGCATGTTTATGCCAGAGTCTGAAGTTCGAAGTCTGAGCTCTGAGTTTGAGCCATTCCACAACACCAAACAATTTCCCTTCCCATCTGTTACCTTATCAGTCGGTCAATTCTTCATTCTGCATTCTCTTCAATGGCCCTCTAACCGCTGCCTGCCACCACCAACACCGCATCTCACGCATGGTCCTTCCGATCGCCGACTTCAAATTTCAGAAGAAAGATCTCACGTGGAACGGATTGGGGTTAAACAATTTGTCACACACGCTGCTGCATTTTTCCCTCAATAATTTCACATTGCCCTCTCTTTCGTTGTATATTCCACTTTTTCCGCTAGTTGCATTCATTGCGCATTTCAAGCTATGGACGAAATTTCTAACCCAGTTGGAAAAAAAGACAGCTTTAATCTCTTTGATATCAAACGCCAAGCCCGTCGTGCTGGCCGCCGCGACTCACAAGGTGCTTCGAGGTGGAACCCCTTCGGACTGATTCAGTTTGATACGCCGAAGCGAAGGAATACGGCCAACGACGCAGAGACTGGAACGTTACGACCCAGCGATGATGGCCCTGGCCAACTTGGACACCGAAGCACAGCACCAGATCGACTACACACGCCAATCGCTGAGCGGGAAGGGTCGCGAACAAGCAAGGATAGTGAGGTGCCAGGTTCGTCTGGCGAGACGCAAAACACCAACCCCTTCGCTTCGCAGGTTACGACGGCGGAAAACAACAGTACCAATACCACCACGAACACCAACGCCAACGGTGGCTTAAGGAACCGAAGACATGGCGAGGCAGATGGTACAGTTGGCGATGAGGAGCCCGAGAAGCCAAAGAAGAAAACGGGCATCTTTAAAGATGTAAAACCAAAGGAAGGCGATCCTTTTACCCTCAAGAACCAACTTCAACGCACGTTTTTGAATTCTTGGATCAACATCCTAATCCTTGCGGCTCCCGCCGGCATTGCCCTAAACTACGTTGGTGCCGATGGCAAGATCGTCTTTGCCGTAAACTTCATCGCTATCATCCCACTGGCAGCCATGCTAAGTTTTGCGACAGAGGAGATTGCGCTAAGGACGGGGGAGACGCTTGGTGGCCTTATCAACGCCACCTTTGGGTATGCGATTCCCCACGGTCCTCGGATACTATTCATCGAGATTCTAATGTGACTATCTAGTAACGCTGTCGAGTTGATTGTGGCCGTCATGGCACTGTTGAAGGATGAAGTACCTATTGTGCAGACCTCGCTCATCGGTAGTATCCTTTCCAATTTGCTCCTGGTTCTGGGCATGTGCTTCTTTGCTGGTGGTGTGAACCGCCGAGTTCAGTTCTTCAACAAAACAGTAGCCCAGACGGCAACCAGCCTTCTCGCCTTAGCCGCCGCATCGGTCATCGTGCCAACCGTTTTCAGAGATGTAGCCCAGACGGAAACGGGTCAGGATGTAGCTGCACTGTCTCGTGGCACGGCCGTCATCCTGCTCTTCGTATATGGCGGGTACTTATTTTTCCAACTCAAGACGCACAGTAAGGTATACAATGAGACATCCCAGAAGGCTGATACGGTACCCATGCCGTGGCACAAGGAAAGGGATCTTGGTGTTCTCGCCAAGGCCGGGGGCCAAATGGGTGCTGTGGCACAGAGCGGCCAAGGAAGAAATACTCACGAGGATGGGACACCGGTCGATCTTCTCAACATGCAAGTTGTGGAGGAAGAGGAAGAGGAATACCCCCAACTTGCCTTTTGGGTTGCGGTTGCGACGCTAACCATTTCCACCGTCATCATCGCTTTTTGCGCTGAATTCATGGTCGACGGCATCCAAGATATTACTGCGACGGGGGCCATCAGTGAAGAATTCATTGGTCTCATTCTGCTCCCCATTGTGGGCAACGCAGCCGAACACGCTACTGCGGTCACGGTTGCTATCAAAGACAAAATGGACCTGGCCATCGGTGTTGCGGTCGGATCGTCGATGCAGGTCGCGCTTTTCCTGATTCCTCTGCTTGTCATCATCGGATGGGGCATCGGCAATGAAAAGATGACGCTTGCTTTTGATTTGTTTCAAATCACTGTTATGTTTGTGTCAGTCCTACTGGTTAACTATCTGATTGCCGACGGTGAAAGTCATTGGCTAGAAGGGATGTTACTGGTATGTCTGTACGCCATTATAGCTGTCTGTTCCTTCTGTAAGTGCTACAACGTTTCCTATGAGAGTTGCGCTAGATGCTGATGATATACAGTTTACCCCACTGCGGACACAGCGACTGCAAGTTGAGAAGACTTCAACAGGACGAAGCACAAGACGATATACTTCACGAGTGGTGCCACATGGGCTTGTTCTTCACTACCGGAAATCCGGCATATTCCCTTTACGCCCCCTGGTCGATTTTATTGTATAAAATACTCATACCCGAAAATATGCGGCATGCGATATGCGACATGTCACTGCCGGGATGTATTGTATATATTCTTTTCTGATCTGGCCTCTTTCACCGTATCCTCTCTTTGCGCCTTTTCGCCGTTCCGGCAGCTGGTCCACTGTTTTAATCAACTATTTCGAGATTGGAGGCGTGTTCCAAGTGTTAGCATGAGCGTGGCGTTACGATGGGGTTCTTTCCTGCTAGAGAAAACGTGAGGTTGCGAGAGTACTATAAGATGTCTAGCGTAAAAATATATACTAAAAAAAGGGGGGAGGGGAAGGGGGAACGAAACGATCTTGCGAGGCAGATTATCCCGGGTGGTGCGAAGGTCTGGGCGATGCAGTCGGTTGCCCCTACACGCGATAGGGGTGCTCTGAGAAAGGTATCGTGTGAATCCAGCTCCAATAGTAGAGGGCTTGGTGAAATTGACAACGACTCAGTGGCACACCAGATATGTAGTCTCAAAAACAAATTATAATGTTACACATGCCCTCCCGATTGTTTCGAATTTACCCCATTAATGGCCTCTACACTGTTACTTGATGGGCTTCTAATTGAGACAATCTAGCCAAATCCTTCTCTCCACTGTAGGCTCAATCCAACCCACTATTTTCCCATCTCAGTCCATGCCCCTTCCTTATGAAGCATCTGATCTGCGGGATTGGCATACTGGTCAAGTACCTCCAGCACGACGCCAAAGAACCCATACTCAACCAACAGCTTACGCTCATCCATTCACACCGCCGGTGTCCTGCTAGTCTCGCACACTTCGCCCGGATCCCGACGGGTGGTCGTCATCTCGGGGACTACGACAGGCAACCTGTATGCGTTGTACATAGATTCCGTCTACCATCTAGCGGCTTTGATCTCGCTGCCATAATCGGGCTTCTCGTCCGCTTCAAGGGAGGACATGAAGTTCGAGAGCCATTGGGACCCGGCTGGGTCGGATGCGCAGGCCGGCCCGACGAGCTTGAGGAGGCGGCCCTTTTCCTGGCGGAGGGGGAGTGTTCTACTGCGCCAGGACTCCACGGCTTCGGGAATGGAGGGATGGAGATGGGGGCGAGAGGGAGGAGACGGTTTATTGGAGGGTGGGGGTATTGGGGTTATCGCGGGTTAGGGTCCAGTCCCAGAGAAGGGGACGTTTGGGAGTCATGGGGATTGTTAGTTGCATGTGGTGTGAAATGTTGTGTTAGTGAATGGCTCAGGTTTCCATGGTGGAGGATGTTGACTGGAGATGTGAGCTCCAGCTCTGACGCTGAACAACGTCTTGGACTACAGCCAAGGTTCAAATTCTCGGCCAGGATTCTTCAAGTCCAACATCCACCATCTTCATGTTATCTCCTATCTAGAATCGTAGAGTGTCTGGCCCTGGCTTGACCGATACCAAGTATCCGGGTTTGCACGCAGAAGTGACGTAGGTGGGGACTGAACCTAGGTCGCACAGCCCGTTGAGATCGAGCTTCTCAACCCTTCAAAGTTGAAGGATTTTGCGCTGGGCTGATGCAAGATGCTGTCACAGCCGTGTGTTGAGGCTTCCCGCCATAACGGTTCCTGTAATGACCGCATTTGGTCGTGCAGAGCCGATCTCTGGGTTTCATGATCTGCACTTTGTGATTCGCCCTACTAACTTGTGCCGCAAACCGCCGGCCCGTGGCACTCAGCACTCGCTTATCCATCGTATTTACAATGACTAACCTTGCATGCTCTTCTTACTGCCGCGCTGCGACCTCGGTGAATGCCCCAACTTCAGGGCTCTGGATCAAGGCCCTGGTTATGACAACCGGTGAACAAAGAACAGAAAAGAAAAGAAACTTCGAAGTACAGAACCCCGGACTGCTGATACGGATTGGGGGCCGGATTGCCAAGGCCAGTCAACAAGAACAGACGCCAATTGATATTGTTGCCCATTTGAGTACTAAGTATCCCAGTTTGTTACTTTGTATCTGCATCTGCATCAGTCTTGGTGAAAATGGTCTGATATTTAGATCATAGTACCTTAAGGTCTGCAATTGTGACAGGATGAGGTATGTTTGCTACCCAGGATCCCAGTACTTAACTTCGACGCCGGTCGCAGTTTTGGCCAGGAAAGAGCAAGTTTGTTTGCGTTGAAGTCTGGACATACCCAACGACCGAAGCACTAACAAGACTTTGCTTTGAATTGAATTGAATTGAATAAGTAATGAATTAAGATGGGCAAGCAGACAGTCACCATGAAACTGGAATTCTGCCCCTCCCCTCAACCCAACAAGACGGGTGTGCTGCTCTTGCCTGGCGGCGGTTATGGCAACATCACAAACGAAAAAGGTCTTGCCCCTGCCCAATGGCTTAACGAGCGAGGCTACGATGCCTGGGTCCTCTCTTACACTGTATCGTGTACTGAACCCCCCGTGCCTATCTACCCCAAGCCGCGGGACGAAGCCCTCGCCGCTATTGTCGACATCCGCTCCCAGAAACGCATCACCACCCTCGGCATCTGGGGCTGGTCGGCCGGCGGTCATCTCGCCGCCATCACCGCCACCAGGACAGAAGCTGAGCTCGACTTTGCCATATTGACGTACCCCGTCATCACCTTGGAGCATGGAAATGTGGCCCACGGATAAACCTCCTTGGTGAAAATGCCAATCCCCAGCTGGTGCACGACATGTCGGCACAGAACGGCGTCTCCAAGTCTACACCGCCCACATTCATCTTACACACGGCCAACGATGCTTTGGTATCTGTACAGAACGCCTTGCTGTTTGCCGCCGCCATGGCCGAGCACCAGCGGCCTTTTCAGCTTGTCGTCTTGCCGGATGGTCCTCATGGCATTGGCTTGGCCTTGGAGGATGAGAAACATAGTTGGACTGACCAGCTCGAGAGGTGGTTGAAAGAATTCGTCACGCCGGTGTAAAGTAACATTGTAGTACCATGTGGACTATCTGTATCTGGTTCATAAACTTGGGGAAATCTCCCGGTGTTTTTTGGTTAGCTGCTTTCATAGAGTCGATGGGAGTATCATGTGCATAAGAAAACGAAACGAAATAGGGGAATAAAAAATAGATGTAGTAGAGCCTAAACTAGGGACGAAATACGCAATGAGTGATCTTTGAGCTTACGGACTGTGGCTTGTTTGATTGGAAAAATCGAAAAATGCCTTCCATATGTTCATCACACGATCGAATGATAGGCCAACAACAAAGCAACATTGCATATGCGTACCTCGGTAAAAATCAGTAAAAATTAACGTTCTCGATATCCTAAATCATCGTGCAGAAAAAAGGATACTTGCCCATCTGTCGACTACCCCTGAATCTGCAGGTGTGAAGCAACCAAATCCAACGAGGCAAACTTTAACATTCTATTTGAGGCTGGGCTGACAACAGCTTCACGAGTCTTGCCCTTTACGAAATCATCATGTAAGTATGCTTGGAAACTTCATAATCAAGAAAGGAAAATGCGCTTAGTTTTTACTCAACCGAGAAGATGTCATGGCAATATCATGACGCTTGCGAGGATGCCAAGGCCGCACGACCAGCTGGGTCCGGGCACCCCAGTTTTGACAAGATCAGATGGAATCCTCCCGTTAGACGTGTTAGATAGGTATTTAAGGCCCTGCTGATTTGTACAAGTAATCTGGCATGGCATGTGATTTAGTATCAGAAGGGGTAGGGAAGGGGCCGGGCGAGGCGGGGGGCAGGTTATATCGGGTCTGGCATGAGGTATTGAAATATTATATCATGTTGTGGGCCAAAAGTAAGGTATCTCGCTGCACCCTACATCGCTAGTTGGCTTCACTTTCGGTACTTAGGTACTTTTCCCTCTGAGAAGTATTCTTTAAAGAGCCTTTGGGTGCGCTTCTGTCCAGTATGCATAGATTTCTGAAATGGGCCAGGGAATTTACCCCTCGCCTTGGAGTCTTCTTGTTTATCCAGCCTCCCTCAAACTAAATGTTTCTCGACCTCCTCTTACTTGTCGGGCGCTAGAATTCCTGGCGCAAGACACAAGAGCCTCTCAGAATATTGCACGCATATTGAAGTGTGAGTATTATGTATTTGCACTTTTCCATAACTTGGTGATCATCCCTAGAGGCTGACCATAGGTTCCGGATAGCTACCCCAAAGCAAGGGTCTGTCACCGAGTTTGGCGCTCACTGGCGCAAGGACCTTGAGTCTCTTCTTCTTCTCGTCAACATCTGCGACGTAGACGAAACCCATAATGTTGGAGTCGCGTATCGTCTCAGGCGCATCATGGACAGAGGCGTACATGACGGCCAGCATGCAGTTGACCATCATAAGGGAAGGCTCCACCTTTTCCAGGAGCTGCTCGCGCGAAGATACGTTATAAAAGTCGTCTGAGTCAGCAGTTGCAGTAGTTGGTGCTATGTCAAGATCAGCATGTTTTGTTCTAGAAGATTGGTGTGCAGATGCCGGTCGAATCTTGACATACCTTCCATGATTCTCCATATTCCCACACCGTCGAAAGCAACACTCTGTGTAAACGGGCTTAAGGACCTCCGCACATCACCAAAGAAGTACTCCCGGATAGTGGCTTCCCTGGCGCCCTGCATAAAGGCGGCGTCTCTCTCGACGACACCTCCACTCTTGTCCAAGCCAACGACGTGTATGCACTCGCCCAAGCTTGTCCTTTGGCCGGAAAATCTCCTGACCAACTCGGCAGTCATCCGTTCTGAGCCCAGAACGATGATGATATTGACGGAGAACTCTGCCACGATGTGCGCCAGCAAGTCGTAGCCTCCCTTTGCTGCATTGGGTGTCCTGGTATCAATCAACATGCCCGTCTTCTTCACATCTGGATCTTCGGCCAGTCGACTAGTCGCTGCAACAGCTAGACGACTCAACAAGCTCTTGAACAATCTAAGATTCTCGTCCGGACTGCTCAAACCATAGTAATATGCAAGCGGCAGCTTGATGGGTGTTGCAACCGGCCCGCTGCTGGGTATGCCGCCCCATTCAGTCGTGATATCCATGATGGTCGCAAACACAGCCGCTGACAGGGTGCCAGGCAACGAGAGCATGCCCTGCGCCGCATCTGTATTGACCACCATTGGCTGGTGTCCCATGCGCGTGGCCCAACCAGCCAGCATCTTGACTAGACTCGTCTTGCCCGTGTTAGCTGGGCCAGCGACCAGAATGCGCGGTCCCATATCCCCTTCGCCATTCCCTATTGCTTTCGCGGCTGCGGCTCGCAAACCTTCGAGCTTCATGTGCAGGTTAAGATAGCTGACCATAGGGGTTTCGTCCGCTGTGGGCTTGCTCGTGTAGGCGTCGTAGGCATCAGGGGTCGGGGCGGTGACTTGTAGCTCGCAGCCTTTCCACGTGTTGATTTTGGACTTGGCGCCACTGAAGGTGTAGGGCGTGCTGGGCGCGAGTTCGGTGCCGTCTTTTTCTGCGGTGCCCGAGAGTAGTCGGATAGTCAGCGACGATGAGACGGGGACCTCAAAGCGCCACTCCCAGAAGGGCTGGAGCGAGACGATGGTAGTGGTCGCAGTGGAGGTCGGCGCTGCGGTTGGGGTAGCAGCCGTGGGGGCTATGCCCAGGCCGGGAATCGACATTATTTCTCAGCTCATTCGGGGCCGTAAGATGGGGTGAAAGTCTCGTGGTGTTGTATATTGTAGCCTGGAAAACAGTGTTGACCTCAGGCCCTTAGCTAACTGGAATGACTCGAGCGGTAGCTTCAAATACAAGGCTCAGCCTTGCATGTGAGGTTGATAGAGTGGGGCAAGGCTGGCGCAGTCCTGCAAGTTGCTAACCTACAAACGTAAAGAAACAGGGGTCAACCCTGAAGCAAAGAGGCTGCATGAAACCGCTGAAATTACAACTGGCAATACTCCATCTTTTTGGAATTCCAACACGCTTTGCGAGTCTTTATGAAGTACGAGGAAGCAATGGTTACGATGCCTACAATTCAATCATGAAGAACTATCAGGAACCGTAAAACTTATCATGGTCATCATGACATACCATCCCTAATCCCTAGTCCCCTTGGACAGGGTTGATCTATGAATGTAACATGCGAGGGGTATTGGGCAAACTCCAGTCGAAAAAACGCCCGTACTGTCTACTTTTCTCTGTACCGTCTTTCCCGTCTCGATGCAATGCGATGTAATCACCCTTGGGCGTGATCTGCTGACGACGCATATGCCGCAGCATCTGGTTTCCGGCTGGCAAATGCCCTTCACCTCTTCCTGCCTGCTTAGTCTCAATGCATTACCCACTTCCCATAATCTTACACGAGATGTCACTATTACAATGAAGCGCCTCATTGCGACATCTCCTCGAACAGCTGAGCTAGACTACGTACGCCGAGAAGGACATTCTCATCTGGACCCTGACCAGGAGTCCATCTTGCGTGCGCAAAATCAATGAGCTTCACACTGTAGATGTGAGGCATGGTCGAGAACTCGTCCAGATCGTCAGAAATGTCTGAGCTGGTCTCGTCTGCTTCTGCGGATTTGGGCTTCTTGGCTTCGCCGATATCATCGCCCATTCCGATCCCGCTATCCACCCTAAGGTTAGCGCGGCCGGACGCTGCTGTTGAAGCCTTTTCGGTTACTGACTCTCTGGCGCTGGCGCTTGTCTCCTCTATGGCCGCGCGGAGGGCCTCGCCATCTCCCTCAAACACGAATAGCAGACTCGACGAGAACATTCGGCTCTCTTCTGACTCAAGCACATCTTGCACTCTGCGTACATCCGAGGCAAATGCGCCGGCGACAATCTTGCCGAGCTCCTCGTCAATGCCGGCAGCCTCGTTGAAGATGAATGTCTTGAGCTTCTCCAGGAGGTTGTTATTGTTGACGGTGAAGCGGCCCCAGTCCTTGTCGTAAATGCGGTAGTCATCCACGTCCAATTCGGATGCATCCGTAGAGCCCTTGTACACACGCATGCCCGCGACGCGGAAGCCGTACTTCATGTGCGTCGTCTCGGTCGCAATCTTGTCGAAGCGATTCCGCTTCTCCAATGGCGCATCATCTGCCCAGAGTCGGATTCCCAGTTTCGCATCCATGATGTTCGGTTTTTTGTAACCGAAGCTCGCGTTCTCCAGTACGACGGCGCGATCGGTCATGATCTTGCGACTCTTACTCGGTATCCACGTCACACCGTCGGTAACGGCGCGCTGGAGCGAGGGCTCGGGAAGGATGACTGGCCGTTCAGCCAAGTGTAGGTGCGACTGGATCTCTTCCTTCTTAGGGGTGGGAATGTCGGCGTTCTCGACGATGGCTGGAATGGCGGCATGGATCATCTCGTCCGTCATGCCCTCACTGAGCGATAGGCTCCCCAGGTACAGAGGCATCAACTCAGAGAAGTCGGGATGTAATGCGTGTGCGGATTCGTAGAAGGTGATCTCCGAAGTGGTGCACGGCTTGATGAACAGCTCGCCGTCGGCATCGCACATTGTGCCCGCACTAAAACCAGGGTCATCAGCATTCAAGATGAAAGAGCGCGCAAGGTGAGGCTGCTCTTACTGTCCGGCGACGGCGTAGTTGTACTCGACGAGGTCTTGCGGCTTGGGCATCTCGCGTTCGCGACTGCGGGTCCGCTTCCCCGTTGGAAATGTCGCGGCCGTAGCGAGCAGCTTGTGCGGGTCCATAGCAAAGACGAGAGCGAATATTTGCTTGATTAATGGCTCTGTTTACCGTATCGTCATATCTAGATGTCCAGGCGAAGTCGAGGTGGTTTGTAGTTGGGCGCCTTGGTTGGGTCGCAAAGGGGGTGGTTAGTCTAAATTGATAGGGTATCGTGTCGGAGTGCGACAAAGGAGAAGGAGGGTCAACTGATGTAACCCCACGAGACAGCCAAAAGCAGCAGATGGCCGATCTAAATAAAGAAGGCAAGGTTGTACATGGGCCTGAAGGTTCAGAGCAGAAAACGCAAACATGGGTGAAAAAAGGTATTGTTACGAAGGTGCACAAAGGAGGGGGGACAGGATCATACTAATATGAACGAGGACGATCCCGAGGGACTGGCGCGTATGGCATTGGAAACAAAAAGTTAAGCAGGCAGAGCAGGGTCACAGTGACACACAGACGGGGAATCGGAAAGGGGACACCTGGACATGGACCGGCGCGAGGGACCATCAATCGCTTCCCGCAAGATGGCGCAGGCGAAAGAAAAAATACCCCAGCTAGAAATCCTTAATCGCAAGCCTCTCTTCGAAGTGGAAAGGCACTCAACGTATTGAAGGACCAGCGAGGGATCTCCGTTGGTCAAGCCACTGCCGCAGGGGGCAGATAACTGGCTGCCAGGGCCTCTTTTAGTGAGGCAAACTGTGTAACCAAGGCCTGTTGGTGACATTCGCATGGCGATTTCCCCCATTTCCCATGCCGGATCAAGCGGCAATTTGCGCACGCAGTGCAGTTACGCAGCTCATAGTGGCGGTTCGCTCGCACAGCCACGCTGGGAGCAGTCTTCCTCGGCCAGTCAATTTCGTCTAAAGAGTAATGAGAGAACCCTGCGGGCGCCACGATGCTAACGTCGTCAAACTAGCTCAAAATGCCCTCCCGTAAATGTGGACTCAGTGCTCTTGAAGTAACCATAAAGGCTGACACTGGAAGTAACTTACCCACTCCTTCTCGCGTCTCTCGCAGCTAGTTTAACGGTCGCCTCAAGCCACCAATGGGTCCAAATAGAGTGAGACATTCTCATCTGCGGCAGAAAAGCAGCATCACAGATCATATGATCGTTGCAAATGCCGAAATATTACCATATCATTCACATTATGAAAATGACTGGTCAAGATAACATATCACGTATCCTGCCTGAAGCCATTCGAGTCGGGTCCCCAGGCCATGCCACAGGGCGATGCGGGTCCTTTCGCTCACCTTGTACGGCAATTCCTAAAGAGAAGTTATCTATGTACGAACAGGATATGTCAAACAACCAGTAGAGTCGACATGTTTTTCCATGGAAATTATTTCTGCTAAATTACTGTTCTTGCGCAGATATCTCTATAAATGTGAATTCGTGAATGGAAATAGGTATAGATGAGAAGTCACGGCCGAAGGGTGCCTGTATCTCCTTACCCAGGCTTTTACTCTAAGGGGATGATGCTCTACGTCCTCAAGCCTGACCACTTAACAGCCTTGCGATCATCCTGCTAAACACTATGAACTGAGAAGAACTGAGAAAAACTGAGAAATTGGGCACGCGGATAATTGAATTCCAGAATGGTGTCATCTTTTGCAATCAACTGCCTTCGTCCGACACCTTGATCCTGGCAGGCTTGGTGTTTGTGACCCGTTTGCTGCCATAGCATCTGATCTCACCCTCCAAACACGAGCAGTAGGTAAGATGTCTCCACGGTACACCCAACTAATTTCAAAACGTTGACACCGTTTCCTTCATCACTCCCTTTGATTCGTTGACTTTCCCATTCATTGTCTAAAGGTCCTCGTATTCTGTCTAAACTTTGCCTCGACCCATCCAAGGTAAGCGCTGCCCTATGCATTCCAATTTCTCAGCCAATCCACCTGCATACGCTCCCTCTACGTTTATGTTGACTCTATCTGGCATCCATTCAAGGTCGCCAGTGTCTCTGATTGGCTTACGCAACGTATCTCGACTCTGTGCCGTGCCTTCCATTCCCTTCACTGCACAACTTCCCTGGACCTTCCATCGCTTACATGCTCGAGGGTTTCCCACAAACAAATCAGCAGCAATAGCTGATGGTATACAAGAGGTATCTGAAACTTCAATCCCTACGAGAGCATGCGTTGTCTCGTTTCACCTAGGGATTGCTTCACAAGGGCGCAATGATGCACGAGGCTAACCAGTGCTGGAAACACAGACGGAGAACATCAAGGTCGAACAAGATGGCGGAGAAAAGTGTGGAGCTTCCGGGAGACTTTCCCTTCATCAAAGTCGATGGCAAGCCTGATGGCACTGCCAACGATGTTGGCAGCGCAGGTCGTTCTATGGGTAGCCATTCCAGCACCGCAGTCACCAAGAGCAAGGTCAATGGCACAGTCGATGGAACCACTGAGACCCATGTAACCGCATCTATTTCATCCGGAGGTGAGAGTAGATCGTCTATCAATGAAGAGTCCGTGAATGCTCATGTTGTTGATGCCGACGCTGCTGGTGTCACCGAGGTTCAAGACGATGACCAACAGGCCGTCGCATCTATCGTGAGTGGCCTATCCGAGTTACCCAATAAAAAGAAGAAAAAGAGAAGCAAGAGACCGGGCAAGTCTACCAGAAAAATAAGCGGCTTCGAACGTAAGTCATGATTCTGCGTTCGGTCCCTTGATGTGCTCTAACGCCTGTCTCCAGCAAATTTTGCCGATGTTCCCGTGACACCCGACGAATACAAGGAGGAGAGAGGAATCTATGCATCGTAGGTGTCACGTTCGAAGCAGAAATGTTGATGAGTTTCGCTAACGGGAAACAGCCACGTCCCTTTCCCCGAGTAAGTTTCTCGAGTGATGGCAGAAATGAAGGCCGTACTCTAATTCCCACAGACGCATTGAGCAGTGCATCCAGCGCTACCGTGCCCGCCGCCGCTGGGATTGCACCCGTAACTTCATCTTCGACAGATACCTGCTTCTCGGTGGGATCGACTCGACACAGCGCCAGTTCACTGGTATGGACACCGATACTATCAAGCTCTCCACTGCCGATGAGATCCGCCAGATGACCGCCAGAGATGTCATCCACTACGGTACTGCTGGCTCCAAATTCTATGATATCGACGACCACGAGCAGTGGGACGTGGACTTCGTAGGCGTTGTGAAGGGCTTCCTGTAGGTGACAAGTGTGTTTCACTATTGTGCGCTACTGACACTGAAGCAGGTCTCGCGAGGTCCCCCAGGTCTGCCCCCGAGGTGGAGACTCCAATGCCAACAACAAGGAAGCGGCGAGCCTGGTTACCAACTTCTTGAACTACATAATGATGCACGATGTCTGCCCCGAATACAAGTCGCAGCTCATGCAGGCCAGGGAAATCTGCCACGTTGCCCCTACCGAAATTCGTCACGCCAATGAGCTCTTCGTAGAGCTACCCGGTTCCTTCAATGCTGCGGCACGATTCCTCTTCTGCGAGGGAGGCATCTACAGACTGAACGAGCCTACGCAGGAGCCGGCTGCCGTTGATAAGACCTCCAAGCCAGATGGTGATATGGAGGAGGATGAGTCTCATGCTGAAGAATCGTACCCGTTCACCCAGTTCATCCGATTCCGCCTAACCGTGTTAGACAAGATCCCAGACCCCAAGTTGAAGGACATTATAACGAAAGGAGAACCTACCCAGATCCGGATCATCAGTACCAAGACAGAAACCTACCAGGTAGTCGACATCGAGCGTATCAAGAAGAGTCACAAGAAGACACTTGAGAAGCTTCTCGACGAGATGGGCTACGGAGGCAAGGTCAAGCCTGCCGGTCTACTCGTCCTCTGTCCGAGCATCATAGAGCATGCATATTCGAACCTCCCTCGCCCCGAAGAAGTCGACTTCAGCAAACACCTAACCGAGTCTTTCTTCATCGATGACGATATGCTCGCTAAGTTTAAGAAGGGCATGAGGATGAAGCTGGTGATTTGCGAGCTGAACATTGGCCTGTCGTTTATCAAGGATTGCATCGATATCACGGTCAGTTTCGACACGTTCCTACCCCAGAGCTTGATGCACGGCTGGAAGGATCCCGTCGAGAACGAAAGACCTGCGCCGTCGGTAGAGAATCCCAATGCGGAGGAGAAGGCCATGGACCCTAGTGTGAAGGAGGAGACTGTCAACTCCGGCGTGGAGACAAAGGCTCTGAGCACTCTCCCCACGGTAGAGAAGGAATAGCCGATTCTGATAGACGAGAATGAAGGTGTGATGAGCTACGACGAGAGACTTGTGCTTTTTGACAAAGTGGTAGCTCTAGTTCTCTGGGACCTAGCCGCGTTGGGGGTTTTAGGGCCAGCTGAATATACCTTGACTGAGAGCTCCGGGGCCCTTGATGAATTTTTGGGAGATGAATCTGGAACATGGGAACCATTGCGATTCGCGAAGGGCGCGTATCACGAGCTCATGACATCCTTAAGATAAACACTGATCTGCCGCCAGGCATATGATGAAACGAGACACTGTTTGATGACACTTCTGAACCAGGCTGCCATGTTTCGATAAGATCATATGCTATGATTTAGCTTGACCTCAATGTCCCCACTGGGGCAGCATCAAAGAGTTAACTAATTACACTTGGTGGTGGCACTCGATCAAACTCTCCAAGATGCTACGGACTTCACCAAGAAATTAACTCTGATGACCATCAGCACAGAACAAAGGCTCGCTTGTGCGCGTCGAAATTAGCATTAGCCGATGAGCTTTCAGATCTTGCACTTTCCGCTGAATCCCCTAGCAAATTAGCGAGAGTGAGTAAATCCAAATCAATCGATGTGAGGTTCAATCGTCGTTGTGAAGTGTGGTTCATGAAGACCGCCAGTTAGATCCCATAGTGTAGCATTTGAATAGGTTCAGACTTACATAGCTTGCTTCCGCGGCAGAGTCTCTTTCCCGTAAGCGAGGAATTCCTCGTTATCAATTCAACGAAACGAGTGATGGAAGGCTTGCTTTTTTTTTCTGTGACAGGAAAACTGAATTGGTGACCACATGCGGTGAGACGGAGTAAAACAGTTGGAGAGAACTGCCGGTAATACAATTGTGTAGGGTGAGAGGCAACATTACGTCATATGCGCTCGGGTACGACAAAGTTAGGGACCATGTTGTGTTGAGCCGCCACACAACTCGCCTTCCCGCCCTGCTCTCTGTAAGTTTATTGCATACTAATGTGTGGAATATTCAAGAATAACAGGATATGCACCGTGATAATTGACTCTCACGGTTTATATCCGGTTATATAGGATACGAGGCTAAGTCGACCGCTAAGTGCTTGTACGTGAGTGTGATGGAGAAAGATTGCGAATAGACACCGTGGAAGCTGAAGTGGGCGTTTGTACATCTGTAGCTACTGTTGGAGTACAAAATTTGCTTGGCTTGTGTTAAGCCTAGTAAAACTTTTGCCGGCATGTTTGTTTAATGGCAAGGATCGCCGTTGGACTTGACACAGCGAAGTTTGCTACCGGACGAAGCTGCCGAGAAGGAAATCGCAATAGGCCGAGTTGTCATCAAAAATGGAGTATCTTACAATGGGCCAGTGCCTGCTCCCTACAAGGCGGCAGGAAATAGAGTATACAACCAGGTCCTCATTGCACTACAGGCCGTACGGATGAACTCTAGAAGCTTGCACGCGGCAGTGCCAGTTGTCCTGGATGCCAACACACTCATTGACATTAGAGACAATGTAGAGAGCAGCAAAGTTGAGTTCACACTCCCTGAAATGGCACATGGCTCATTATTTTGGTACTGGACAAGTGGCTCAAGCTAGTCCGCATAACAATACAGATGGTACTGTGATCGACCACCTTTCACAGGCCGGAACTAAAGAATTACACAGTACTGGGATACTAATATCCTGAGCTCGAAACTAAAACCGTTCTTGAAGCAAATTGGTGGCTCCATCTTTGAAGACTCCATCGAGCTTGAATACATCACTCTGTGGACACCTTGCGCGCTGAATTCCAAAAGCGTATGGGATACGATCTCTGGTCCGTGTTGCCTGCTGTGGCGCAGGAGAACCAGAAAAACGCGTTTTCTTTCAGCGACTCAGAGATCACGTGCAGCGTCATTAACGACTTCTAGGATGTACTGGGGCAGCTGTATATCGATAGCCACGACATGAAGGTAAAGAATTGGATACATAGCCTCGGCATGTAGTGGAGAGCGCAGATATATGGGCTACCGACGGATGCCATGGCTGGTCAAGCGGTGGCAGATATCCTCGAGGGTGAAAGCCTGCACTTCAAGAAGCTGGGCGATTATAGGAGTATTGCTGGTGCGGCAAATATGGCAAGTATTCAGCTGATGAGTAATGAGGCTTGTGCTTTTGCTAGTAGCGCGTCCAGTGTCACTTGGGATCTTGGTCAGTGAACGCCCCCCTTGTTATGTTTGGACCTCACCAATAGCAGACGCAGTGCTTCAAACAATAAATCCGATATTCACTGCTGGAATCAACCATCATCTGTTTCATGGGTTCTCCTATCTATCTGCACCGATTGCTTTGTGGCCGGGGTTTGCTGCTTTCTCGCCGTACAGCGGCAACATTGGCTATGCAGAATCCTGGGCACCACGTACCCTGCTTTGGAATCACGCCAATGAAATCACCAGCTACATCGCATGTATGCACCTCTTGCTCAAATATGGCAAGCCGCAGTATGATGTTGCCTTCTTTGAGCAGAAAAGCTACGTGGGCGCTGGCTGCAACAGCTCTTGGTTCGCGGATAGTGGAACGTGAGTTGTCCCGAAGTTTGAATATGGGCACACTAACAGTCAAGTAGAACGTAAGACTGAAGTTTGAATATCATCGGCCCAAGTTAACTTGATTACCCCAGCGCAGTTGTCGAGAACAAGCGACTTGTGTTGGATTGTGGGCAAATGGTCTTGTATTGAAAGTGTCATTATCTCTGGAGAGTGCTAAACGAAGTGAACGGCGGCCATAAGGGCCTTATATAGACAGTAATGACTGATACCTGTCCCATAGGCAGGACTTGTGTGGTTCGATGGGTGGTGCTCATACTGGCCTATAACGTACGGTGTGTGGCCATATGTCCTTCTAAGACTGGCAGTCTTGATGTAGTAGCCTTGAAGGTCCAACAACTTGCTCCAAACGGTCCGGCTTGTAAATTACTGGCCTTCGAGGGCGACGCTTTTGCCTCGTCGCCACTGCCGGTAATGAAGCTGAAGAACGCGAAAAAGATATTGAATATGGCTCGGGATGGACTGCCTATATTATTGATCGGCGATAGGTTAATAGTCAGGGCATACGGTGTAAGTAATAATGGTGTGGTTTAACGCCATTTTTGAGCGTAAACCTCTTAGTGTTTCGAATCAAACAAAAGCGAATGTATCACATAAACACTCTCCCAGATACTGAAGCAACATAATGTGCTTACGATACCTAGTCGGGATGACATAGTAGCCGGCGTTGCCAAATTGGCACAAATAGGGTCGTTCCTGACAACCAGTATCCGTCGTCTCAGCTCATCAACTATTATCGCATATATGAAGACCTTGATGATTTCCTCTTCGTGGCCGCTTCCCCGGCTACCTTTGCCGTCCCAACTAAAACCAAAGTCGTTGATGTTGAAGTCGACGTGGTTTTGCCGCGGCGCACCAAGAACCAGATTCCCATACTCATCGACTTGTGGACAGGACAGATGACGCCTATCTCTGTCTATACTGAGCTGTCGCCGGGACATATCAAGTTGCATATCAGTCTTGAAATATATCAAGCTACCATGATCACACCCGTGCCACTAATTGTTATACCCATCCATGCCATCAACACCACAACACCTGACATCCCCGTGGCTTCGGTGGTCTTTACTTCAGAGCCAACCAACCAAGAACCTATACTAGCAAATTCAGCGCCGATTTCACTTCCACCACATGCATTCGATAAATCCCAGCAGACCAAGAACTCAAATCCTGGTCATTAAGCGCAGAGTCCTGGGAGTCCACAGCAGACATCAATTCCACTAATACCATTTACACCATGCACAAGGTCACCTTGAATACCCTCATACCCTGGAAAAAACATCATCGAGTTACAAAAAATATCTGGGATTGGAACTTATAGCACATTCATCATACTCTCCGACTGGCATTCCGACGCAGGTGCCATGCTGAGCATTCCGAACTTCGTGGGTAGCTTAGGCTCAGTGTGAATGGGAATAATCTGCCACATTAGGACTAGCTGGCTACTGAGTTCGACATTGGGCCTTGGATCGAAAGGGGAAAGAACATGCTAGAGATAAAATTTGCCACCACATTGTTGAACAGGCTCAGGGTGGCGATGCTGGATCTATATGCGGCTGGTAGTAGGCAAGACCATGGAATTTTGGGGCCGGTCGTAGTGAAGCCGTATAGGAGGCTTGGATATATCTGTAGATGGATTTATAAGTTGATCTTTCCTGGCTAAAATAGGCGATACAGGTACGCCATTCCTGTGCTTTAAGTTTGATCTAATCGCATGCAAAAAGGTGGTCAATACGGTTAGTGTTACAAGTAAGCGTATTAATACAGAAGGTTTAAATACATCTATGATAGATGATGTTACTATTGGAAAATAGTTTCTCGACACTGAGATGGTGAAAGCTAAAAGACACAGAAAAACCAAATAAAGCTCTGCTTCAGCCAGGCCCAAGCAACAAGAGGATGATATCAACACGTGGGACTACTCGTGTAGCGAAGTTTTGATAGGTATATTGTTTTGAGAACTTTTCTAGTGTTTATAACTGAACTTGAATTTACATACCGCATTAAATGTCCGAATTGTTGAATCTGGGAAGAGGTAGTGCCACTTCATTATGTGGCAATGACCCCTCCCTGGCAATTTTTGACAGCTGGGCTTTCTGATTCTCCAACCTCATCCCCGACAAGGCTTGTAACTTTCGAAGTCTGATGTGGCTGTTCCACTCATCCTAGCACACGAAGTATTTCCTTTTTCCATGAAATCATTGCAATACATCATCCCAGAAGATTAATCGGCGACTAAGTCAGAAATCTTTGATCATCCGAATCTTCCCCTGGATCTTGCCCCGAACAGGCTTCTGCATTAACTCCTGGATTATCCATCGAATCTTCATCTAACAATAATATTGACTCAAAATATAAATCCCAATCTTTGTGTAAATATCTTTCCTTATCGTAATCCGAACCATCGATTTCGCAATATAGATTGGCATCACTGGCCAATTAGCTCCTCACCTCTATTTATTGACATGTCTTCAGCCTTTTTAAACTGTATAGTGTACGACTGAGCTATTTATTCTCCGAGAGAAGTGCAGAATTATCCTGTTCTGTGGCTTGTGGTTCTTTGGTTGCTTGGGCTCGATTCGGCTGGGGGGTATGAATGCGACCGTCTCCAGGTTTAGAAATACTTTCTTCAATACTTTATCTAAATATAGGACGTCTAACAGACGCCAAAGCCTATCAATACCGGCATGAATATGGCTCATATTTTCTCGCCCGACGACGACAGTTAAGATGCACAAGGGCTCAATGACCATGGTCGTCCAATATCCAAAGCGAAGAGTTACAGGCCTCTTCTAGGATTCATGTAGCTCTGCTGGCTCAGGTTATCATCCTCATCCTTTCCTTTTATCGAAATAATAAACGATTCAGCGGCTCCTCCTCAACCCAAAGCTTGAGTGACCCGGCCGTCACTTCTTTCTAAATGCATCTTTGTAGCTCCAGTGGCAGTGCCAATGGAAAATGTATAATCTCCTGACGGCTAAATATATTTATACGTTGATGTGCTACAACGAACCATTTCCTCCCAAGCAAAATGGCTCAAGACAATCCATCTGACAAGAAACATCTCAGGAAAATCCCTTTGGTCTCCTATGTTATAGACGTTACTTGTAAGTTCCGCTGCCCATTGGAACCGGTGTGGTCCTCACACACGATACGCCTATTCGGAGGACTTTACGGCATCTGTCAGTGCTTTGTGTTTCCGCCTCAAAAGGCGGGATAAAGATCTTGTCGGAAGATATACTCGTATTATGTTAACGACAAGAAAATAAAGATAAAATATGTCATCAAGTCTTGAGAGATTTATGAGGGGGTTCTAGAAACCATTGGTACAACTCCATACAGCTGAAGTAATATATCTCCAAGTTCATCATCTTATTAGCACTTGTGAAAAAGTGAATTCTGAACGCTTTTGAATATATAGAAATGAGCATTAACTGCTTCTTTTTGTTATTATTTTCTCTTTCTTTGTACTCTTCGAAAAGCAGCCTAGCCCCGATGAAATTTTCAATATCAAATAGAACACAATCATTTAATGCCAGGTTGGCCCAACGGTAGTAGATCCACATTTCTTGTTCATTCAGAACAGTTACTTAACATCTTGAAACAAGATTGGATGTGCCTCGTACGAGCCGAGCAATGAGGAATAAACAGTGGATATCTTATCGTCAAAATTGACCAAGAACAGCAGATGAGACTTAACATGAAGGAGTAAGATGTGGCCGATGGACGTTACATCGTGGGGTATAGAGAGAATGGATATCGAGAACCTTAGCAAGGGCTAATCCCGGTACTGGTGATTGGATTCGGGTTGCTCGACCTGGATCTACTTCCTAGTTACTCAAGTACACCAATCAGAAGCCAGTGCGACCACTGATCGTGGATCTTCACGAGGAACTGTGGGGCGACTCCCTTACTGGCGCATACTGGAACGCCTGCTCGAGACGGATAGTTAGAGCGTTGGCGCTTGGTCTCCAGTTGCTCGGCAATCTTTGTTGCACAATCTTGCTGGACTGGTCCTCATGTTTATTCACCGACGCATCCGACAGGCTGGCAATATAATTTGTTGTGTCACTTTGATTGGGACACCAGATGTACCTATCATCAGCCAAGATGCTTCATATAGTGTTTGTTACTTCGGTGCTCTTTGGTATCGCAACGGCGACGTCGACGGCGACGAGTGATTCGACTACTAGCTGCAAGTGTTTCCCGAGTGATGAATGCTGGCCTTCAACGGGCGAGTGGGATGCACTGAACACCACGGTGAGCGGCCGCCTCATTGCGACCGTTCCCCTTGGTGCGCCATGCCATGATCCAAGTTATGATAAATCGGCATGCGAAGGTTTGCAGGGCGGGTGGCAGTATGAAGAAGTGCAGTATGCTACACCAGACCCCGTAACATCTGCGACTAACACTAATATGAGCTCAGTTTCAACTCTTCGTCATCAATCATGGCACCCTTCTTTGCCAACCAGAGCTGTGATCCATTTCAGCCTCAGTCACAGCCATGCAAACTTGGCAACTATGTCCACTATGCAGTTGACGCAACCGGCCCAGCTGATGTACAGATGGCAATCGCATTTGCGCGGCGGAAGAATATCCGCTTGGTTATTCGCAACACTGGTCATGACTATCTGGGCCGTTCAACGGGAGCCGGGGCTCTGGCAATTTGGACTCATCACCTGAAAAATATTGAGTTCATCGACAACTGGGAAGGCTCGGAATACACAGGCCCGGCCGTCACACTAGGCGCAGGGGTCCAGGGTTTCGAGATCATGGAAGCAGCACGGGACCGGGGACAGATCGTTGTTGGCGGGGAGTGCCCCACGATTGGCATCTCTGGAGGCTATACCCAAGGAGGTGGCCATAGTGCGGTGAGCACTAGTTTCGGTCTTTCTGCCGATAACGTTTTGAACTGGGAAGTGGTCACCGCTGCTGGGGAGTTGATCAATGCCAATGAAACCGAGAACCGGGACATGTTCTGGGCCTTGAATGGCGGCGGTGGAAACACTTACGCGGTTGTTGTGTCCATGACCGTCAAAACTCATCCTGACACTGTGGTTGGTGGTGCCACCTTGTCCTTCTTTGCGACCGACAACTCAGCAGACAAGTTCTACGGCGGTATCCAGGCATTCCATAAGGCTTTGCCGAGAATAGTGGACGCCGGCGCCATGGTCGTTTACTACTTCACCAACACGTTCTTCATGATTTCGCCCGTGAACGCCTACAACAAGACCAAAGACGAGGTTGAGGTCATCATGTCACCGTTCGTGCAGGCTCTGGATTCACTGGATGTGACCTACACTGCGTCCTACAACATGTCTGCAACCTATTATGACCACTACGACACATATTTCGGCCCGCTTCCTCTCGGAAATATTCAAGTCGGCATTGCGCAATATGGTGGGCGGCTCATTCCCCGAGCCGTGGTTTCAAACATTTCCGATACTATGAAGAGCATCGTGGAGCAGGGCGTGACTTGGATTGGTGTAGGCACCAACGTCAACCCCTTCGGAACGACAGAAACCACCTCTGTCCATCCAGCTTGGCGCGAGGCCATCGTCCACGCTACATTGACCACGCCTTGGAACTTTACGGCACCATGGGAAGACATGATTGCGCTACAAGACCTCATGACTGAAAAGATCATGCCGGAGATCGAAGCAGCCACGCCCGGTAGCGGCGCATATGCCAACGAAGGGGACTTTCGGCAGGCGAACTTCCAGGATGCGTTCTGGGGTTCCAACTACCAGAGGCTACTGGATATTAAAAAGAGGTGGGACCCGACTGATTTATTATATGCCACAAAGGGTGTTGGCAGTGAGGCTTGGACTATTTCTGATGATGGAAGGATGTGCGCAACTTTATAATACCGCATATGGACCTTCACAGCCCAATATTTGTTTAGCTCCAGACAAGCACCCAATAGGGATATATTCAACCCGCCCATATGTAAGCCTACCGATTATCATATAACATGCTGAAGGCACAGAGAGAACCCGAAGTTCTACAAATTTTAATGCCTGTAGATTAATACGTATGATGATGTGGGGATTTGGCACAACAGTAGGAAGACCAAGAGTAAGGAGATAATTTCACCAAAACTCAACGTATTTTGTTGTGCGACTGTTTCATTGACTGAGATGTTTGTACTAGAATACGCTCACAGTAGGCTTGACGTGAGAATACATGTCCCAACTATTTTCCTCCGACTAAGTCTCCAAACAAGGATACCAAGGATATGAGTGTAGCTTATTATCTACTTCTTGACCTGCAAATATTGTTAGTAACTGATTCGGATCTAATCAAAATGATAGAATGTGCGGCATTACAGAGTGGGTAGTCTCCTCAACCTTGTCGCCAACAGCATCCTTAGCAGCTGAGGCACGGGTGCCGGTGGAAGCGTTGGAGTCCTTTGCAACCTCCTTGTTACCCTCCTTCGAGACACTGGAGACGCCCTGCTGGACGGTCTCAGAGGCAGAATTGGCGGCGTTCTTGATGGTCTCCATTTTGAAATATAAATTAAGATAAAACTGGTTGTTTATGATGAGGCGAATGCTTTAGATGTATGATGGTGAAGAACCAAGTTGTCCATAATGAAGGAAGGAGCCTCACTTTATAAGTGACAGTGAGACTTCAAGAGTATCAACCTGGAAGGCCTGCCCCTTCATCTGCCCCTCATGTCAGCCCTAAATAAACCTACTACGTAGTTCATCTGCGTAGATCTCCCAATGGTGGGGTATTTCGTGATGCAGTAATGTCTTGGTGCAACCTATTCAGGCAGCCTGGGCAGCGTGAAGCCACAGAAACATGCAGAAACCCCCATTAAGGTTTGACATTTGCCTTAGAGAAATCTCGCTTGTCTCCAAAACCCATAAACCCAAGTTGCCTAGCCTGGAATCCAATGCCCAGTTTTATGGTATTATGACGAAGTATGACGTCCGAAAAGAGAAGTTCCCACGCAAGGCCAAACTCGCCGCGCCGAAGGCGTGGATAGCTTATTCGCCGAGCCAATGAAGCCGCGTCACGCGTCACAGAAGCCTCGAGCGAACAGCCACTAAGCCATACTTTCAATGTGCGCGCATACAAGCGGGTATTCTATTGGAATGCCATCACGATGCTTCGGAAATAAAGGTCCGCCGCATCTACTTACTTGTCATAGCTATTGGGCGAGCTCTTTTGTGAATGACGAGATCGATCTGAACTGCGTGTCATACGCATACCCACATGCGATGTTTATTACATCAGCACATCAAATTAGGACTAAATGTCCATGCTCGCAAATGTGTGGCCCCCACGTGTCTACGTCAGACCTATGACGGAATTCCTCTCTACCTTGCACCGTTACCGTTGCACCTGTCAATCATTCCTGATCTCAGGCATGCGAAATGCATGCAATGATGATGAGCAGCGGCAGGATTCCGATGCTGAAACTCATGCTTTGCCCCTCGACGCCGAATAGATTGAGATAGTGCCTTAGGTTTCGAAGCTAACCTTAGCACCATAGGCGGACGTGAATTAAGCTGTGGAAGTGCTATGTTCGGGTCTTGGTGAAATGGGTGAAATGTTGAAGACCATCGCCTCAGCCCTCACGCATGTAGCCAAGCGGGGATACGGATATGTGGCCGTCTGCACTTGTGTAGTACAAAGCAATGGTTGGTTGTGAGATGAGAGTCATTGGCCTCATGACGCCTCGGCTGGTCTAGACCACAAAGCATGCCTATTATTATTATTTACTAGCTTCTCGAAGGATAGGATTCTCCGATTGAGATGGTAGCGGGGCAGACGCTGTACAAGCGACACCATCAATTCCAGGAGCATAACTCCCGCCAGCTGAGCAAAACAGGAGCCTTAGCACGATGATGAGATGAGAGTATACAATAATGAAGAAGCGATTACCATGAACCATCAATAAAAAGAACACGTACGAGGCATAGTCGCCCCAGGTTGAAAATATAACATGCACCAATGCCAGCATATTGATTCGGGTTGTCTTGATAGAGGAACTGGAGAATGGTCTAAGAGATCGACTAGACTCTTTGGAAGGTGTAGATAGAAATTGTACACATCTCATGATATATGATAGAACAGCCTCGGGGGGAAATCCCTAATTCTGGAAAATGGTACGAGTACTGCGACTACCGTAGTCATAATAAAGACCTTCAAATCGACCACCTCTTCGACGCTAACATGTAACGTCCCACACCACATCCGGGACACCCCCACATGTGGGACACCCAAAAATGCCTCATCAACACCGCTAGTCTCTAACTTCAACCTCTTTTTTCTTTACCAATATCGATTCAATCGTTACGAAATTTTACGTACGTCTTCTTTACACTAATATGAGTCAATATACCGAAGATGATATTTATCGAGCTCTTCAAGCAATAGCTACCGGTCAAAGCCTCCGAAAAGCAGCATATGAGCATGGTGTCCCAAGGTCTACTCTTTCACGACGGATTCAGGGAGCCCAGTCAAGAGATATAGCCTTCGCTGACTACCAGAGGCTCTCTCCAGCCCAGGAATCTCATCTGGCTGAATGGGTTCGAATCCAGGCTGCCCTAGGCCTCCCACCAACCCATCAACAGCTCAAAGACTTCGCCGAGCGTATCCTACAGATCCACGGAGACACCGAACCACTTGGAAAGAACTGGGTCCAGGCTTTTATCAAGAGGAACCCTTCAGTCAAGGTCCAGAGAAGCAGAGCTATCGATTCCCAGCGTATTAATGGAGCCTCAGCTAATGTGATCAGGCAATGGTTCAAATACCTCGCTATCCCTGATATCAAAGCTATTAAGGCCTCGAATCGATACAATATGGATGAAACAGGTATTCTAGAAGGTAGAGGATCAAATGGTCTTGTTCTAGGATCATCTGAGACTCGTTCTATACGGAAGAAACAGCCTGGATCTCGAGCTTGGACATCTCTTATAGAGTGTATCTCTGCGACTGGTACTGCACTACCCCCACTTGTGATATACAAGGGGAAGTCTGTCCAGCAGCAGTGGTTTCCTCTGGACTTGACTCCATACGAAGCCTAGAGGTTTACAGCAACAGAGAATGGGTGGACGTCAGACTCTACGGCTATTGAGTGGCTACAAAAGATCTTTATTCCTTTGACTCAACCAGAGGACCCTGAAGAGATTAGGTTGTTTATCCTAGATGGGCATAGTAGCCACGAAACGACAGAGTTTATGTACTTCTGCTTCATAAACAAGATACACTTGCTTTTCTTGCCGCCACACACATCCCACTTTCTCCAGACTCTCGATCAGTCAGTCTTTGGACCCCTCAAGGCAGCCTATAAGAAGTAGCTTGGTTACCTTGACCGATGGGATACTACTACTGTCGTAGGGAAGAGAAACTTTCTCCTCTACTATAGAAAGGCACGTCTAGCAGCATTGACCGCTAAGAACATTATCAGTGGATGGAAATATACTGGTCTCTGGCCTTCGAGCATAGCTAGACTCCTTATGAGCCCCCTGCTCCTTGAGAATACGTCAGCACTAATCAGACAGCCTAGTCAGACTTGCAAAGGGTACTATGATAATAAGGGTAGTCAGGACTGGGCGTTAGAGACATTAGCAGTAGCCTAGTCAATGCCTAAGAGGAGAGATGAACTCCAAGATCAACTCAGCTTATTCAGCAAGCTTGATAGTGATCCAAATACCCAGCGACTACTCTTTCGGAAAGTTCAAAAGGGCTTTGATGAGAAGGACTACCAATTAGCTGTCGCACAGCGAAAGATTGAGGCAATAGAGGCAGAGCTTGAGGCTAGTAGGGCTAGGAAGCGGAGGAAGGTCAAGATGAGCCCAAATTCGAAGTTCACTAATATCAAGGCTATTCGGAAGGCTCAAATCGAGGCTGGTGAAATTGAGGATAGTACAGATGAGTCTAGCGAGTCTGAAAACCCTAGTGACGGTGAAAGCTGTATTGTAGTAACATTAGAATAAGTGTAAAAAAGGTTGAAATTAATGGTTATAATATACAGTGAATGTATACGCTCGACGAGAACCCCAATTAGCAGATACTACGACTTGTCGCGACAAAAAATAGTCGAGCATCTTCTGCACATCAGCAGCATCCCACCCCTGAGGACGAATTTAAGTGCCACATTACCACACTTATCGGTAGTTCAGGCAGGGGTTGTAGCACAGACTTAGGGAGGGACAGGAGGTTTAGTAGTCGTTTGGCTACAAGTTTACCTGTATAACCGCCCGACCCGGCTTAAGGGCCCGCTATATCATCTATAGCCCCTTAAGGGAGTACTTGTAGAGGTACCGAGGGTTAACACCTACGGCGTATTTAATATTATTTTTTATATACAGTGACATTTTCAGGGTGTCCCACATGTGGGGGTGTCCCGGATGTAGGTGTGGGACGTTACTGCTATCCTCATAGGGGACGCATCCCTTAAGAAAAACGCCGATTCGAGTCAGACGAGAAGCAGCAGCGTCAACAACAGCAGGAACGCGAGCGCCAGCAAGGGCAACAGCATGCAGAAGAACTTCAACGCCAAGATCTTCAACGACGTACTTACCAGAACTATCATAAAACCTTCCCTACACGCAACAGCTATATAAGCCGCGTCATAGCCAACAGCTGTCAACGCCAGAGTAAACAACAACAGGATCCTCAAGTACCAGAGGATCAACAGCTTCAAGTAGCCAAGCGTGAAATTGAACAACTACGGCAGGTGGTCACTCTACAAGACAAAATGAGGATACTTCGATCAACAAGCCCTACGCCCCTGTATTATGCTCCGCCGCCACCATCAAAAACTACACTAGTAAAGCCGTGGCGAATAGCCTCATTGCAAAAAAGCCCAGAGTCAAGCCAACAGCAGCCGCCGCCGCCGACTTCATCAACACCAAAGTTAGCACCAGTCACACCAGACAAGCAATTGCGAATAGCTTCATCCTCACAGCCGCGCCAGCGTCTCCCCAAGCGAACTCCTTCCGCCCGCCAAGATACATAGATTAGCCCCAAGCCAAGCCGCTATCACTGCTGTCAAGAATCCTTCGAGTCAAGAAAGCAGCTGTTTGATCACCTTCGATCGAGTAGCGCCCACTACCGCAGTCGATCCACAATATCCAGCGCCCGTAGCCGCCGGCCGTCAAGATCTTTCGACCTCGTTCCCTTTCATCGAGCCCACCGCCGTCGTCTTCCGATCATACGATCCCCCATGCTGAACGCACCAGAGCGAACACATCGTCAAGAGTACTGCCCCGACCACAGTCAAAGGTATCAGTATCCGTAGCCCCGTCAAGGACATACATACGGCAGCTAGCAACATTGATACAACAGTACTTTAGCCTATCAATCGACTTAATGCATTTGGTGCCCCGCCATATAGAACCTGGCTTAAGCAGTCTCCGTCGACAGCGATTTGGCTAACTTAGCAGATCTACACCTCAGCAAGTACCCCTACACCAAAATAACTGACCTAGCCAACCTTTCCCAATACAACATTTCACGCCCCATATACACTCGCATCATATTCCTAAATCTTCTTAGGATCTTCGTACAAAGCCCTCTAGTAATCGTATAGGCAATTTAAACGCGTCTAGAGCTCTAGTTACCGTTATACGAAGTTTAAAGCCTAGTACTTACTAACATATCTCGCACTACGCTCCGCGAGTAGGAGATTAAGTATATCTTCTGCAGGCGAAATCCTCTTAAGTATGTGTCTAAAATATTGACGACGGGCAGTGAAACCACCCGCAGGTTTAAGGTGCAAGATGATGGCAACGAATAACAAGATCCTCAACAAGACCTTACTATCCGGGAGGTGGAAAGAAATAACAAGATCAAGAGCTCCTTGCCCTGATCGGAACGTCAAGTACCTCAACAGGTACTAACAACTGTAGCCTCAGCAGGCACAATCAGATCTATAGGGGCAACAAAAGTACCTCAACAGGTACGTCAGATATTGAATGCCTGTCCAAGTAAAGAGAAATTGGTTCAGATTACTGTGGAAAAGGCCGCTTGAATTCCCATCTTTTTCTCAAGAGAGTGACTATGTATATAAGGTCTTAAATACCCTTCAAGAACGCGCTTACATAACTCGTCTGAAACCGGAAAAAACGAAAACAAGCACCCAAAAACCCTAACCCCACGTCAATATACTTAAAGATATCCTCTTCTTCTGATTCGGTTATTTTTATCGAATTAGCGCGGCTATCCCATTGTATAGGTCGGCCACTTATTCTATCGCGTAATATTAATTCCGGTACGTTACAGATAGTTAAAGCCTTACGACGATTTAGCTTTAAGTGTTTTTTATTATCTTAGATATCTAAGTTTAACTTAACGTCTTTCAAATCAGATTCTATAATTAGGCGTGGAGAGATAGGTTATAAAAGTTAAGGCAGTGTTTTTTAGGGAAAAATGTGCGACTCGCTTATGAATCACATTATACTTTATTAAGGATCATGAGATTGGGTTACTTTGGGTGGGAACTAAAATCTGTACTCAGAATAATTGAGGACTGAGAAGAAATCATGCGTGCACCTAATAGAAAGGACTCGACGAAACAGTCATTGCATGTGAAATTTGAGAAACAAAATTTGTCCACGCCTGCCCGACATAGCTTTGTGACCACAACAAAAACCGGGCTATAACATTCCAGCTACATGTCACAGTGTCATGGCTCACACAGGCTTTTGGCTTGTGGTTATAATTGGAGCCTGCACCTCTGCCTTTTCCTTGCAATTCGTACCCTTTCCATTCACCGATTCTATTTTCGAAACAGCCATATCATGTTCGTTTTCCAGGCTGTCATTCTTCTCAGTAACGTAGTAAATGCACAAATAAGCAAGGGCGAAAATGCCCACAAGGTAGAAATCGAATATAGCACTTGCAAATGTAACGTAGGGTATCTTGATGGAGTCAACACCAAAGCAGACGGCCTCACCAGCAGCCAGAAAGCCGCGTTGAGCACCCATGTAGTGGCTTAACTTGTCTGGTGACATGGTCAGGGCCCCTATCAACCACGGCACCAGGTACTGCCACAAGATGGAAAAAGTCCAATTTAGCACAAAGAGAACCATTACTGGGCCGAAGTCGGAATCATTCCAATCCAAGGGGTTCGATGGTGGGTTGCTTCGATCAAAGCCTCTGGTCCGAATAATCTCCCACATCCAGGCTGCGCAAAGAGGTACGCCGACGAAAGCCAAACCAATAAGCCCACGCTTTCGTTTTGACCAACCTGGGTGATCAAGAAAGAAATGAAGTAGGTGTCCGAAGGGAATTTGAACGATGAGTGCTACGAATGAAACGAGCGATCGAACTCGCAGGTTGTTCTGGAATGCGTTGACCGACCCGAGGTAAATTAAAAAGGAGCCAGCTGGGAGGAAGGCCGGCAGCATCATTAGTAACTGCCAGTCTCGAACGATCGAAAGATTTGCTTTGAACTCGGTGGCTGTACTATGTTTTTCGTGATGCGTAGTCGTGGAGTTCTCGGCAGATTCCAGGTCCTTGAGGCGACGGAGAGTCAACAGGGCCAGAAGCGCGGCGCAACCCATGACTATAATGAATGTGATGTAAATTGCAGCAGGAACTCCAGCCCGTTTGTCGTTGTTCCGGTTGAGGATGACGGGCAAAATGCTACAGAGAATGGAACTGGTTGCTTGGATGGTGTTCTGTATGGCGATGAACTTGCCCTTGTTGCTGTCATCCGAATAGGCGACTTGAATATAGCCGGAAGTAATCCAGACTGCACCCGCCCCGACCCCGATAATAGCGCCAGCTGCCAATGGGAAAGACTCTCGCCCATAGGCCTCGTAATACCACAGCGATCCGACGTACAGGATATAAGTGCAGATGCCAAAACTCATGGTAATGGCAGGACCGAAGAAGTTGAGGTATGTCCCCCCCACGCAGGCTGAGAGGAACCAAACCGAAGACAGAATCGCATTAGCGGTTTGGATGACATGAGCAGACTCAGGCCTGCCACCTCCTGCGCCAAGAAGGTTCAGCGAAACAAAGACGCCAGCGGAGAAGCCGACGCCAACACCGGCCACGAGGTTCTGCGTGGAAGGGTTCTGAGCCCCATGAAGATGCCAACGACGGCCATCCCGATCGAGAACCATGATGCAAGGGGGTAGAAAATCAGTAAGTATATATAGAAACTTGTGGTGAAATGCTGCGACAGCTCAGCCCGTTATTAGGTAAGCTCTGTAGTCAGCACTGCTACAAACGAGGCGGGTCTAAGAAAAGAATGTATCGCAGAACTTTTGCAAGTATTGAGTGATGAGTAAAGAAGTCGGTAAAAACACTGCGGTCAGATTTGTGTCAGCAGCTTCATCGCCACAAAAAGAGCTGTTCAGCTTCGGGGTGGGGACACGGTATAAGGGGAATTTGGCAGAGGGCACGCCGGCAACTTCCCCCGAAAGGAGACAAAGGCCGCTTCGCTGACTGTATCCATTCTTGAATACTGGGACAGCGGCCCTGACCGTTCATCTATGCATTGTTTATGCGCGTGCCACCCAATTTGCAAGCGTGCTCAACCCGAAGAACCAACGTGCATGACGGACCCATGTTTGAGTCAGCCTATAAGGCGTCGCATCGATTTCGTCTCACACACACCCAACCAATCCGTTGCGATTCCATTGGGGGAACGATGCAGTTGCATCAGTGCAACGCTACGTACCCGGTCTTAGTACAAGATAGATGGCTCAGGAGCGGTGACTCGACCTGATCTGACATGTATAGCGCCATGCTGTAGACTCTCTATCATTGCTCATTATGTTGCTTACTCTTTACTATCAACGTAACCCGGATCAAATATCCAGACAACTGGACTGAGAAATGAGTCAAGGGTCCAGGATATTAGTAACGTGACAAAGCAGTGTCCGAGGTTTCTTCGTGTGGAGGAGCGACTGTGCCGCTGAATATTGTCCTGCCATCATGCAAATTTGGGACAAGGGTTACGATCTTGGCCAACCGGATTGATTCTTGGACCCGGGTTTTCATTGCGGTGTGAACATGCGCGCCGTCGACATTTCTCACCACTGCGACAAGATTCTGTGCCAGGGTTTGACAAGGTTGGGGCTATGCACTCGGTATGCACAAGGAGCCCCCAAGTGTCGGGAGAACATTGTCACTAGCCTTGTCAGAGACCTAAGCTGCTGGTATAGGCAGCAAATTGCGAAGTGAGGTTGAGTTGCCATATATACGGGGAAAACGCCGTAACGATATGGGCTGTCAGAAGAAGGGATATTATCTCAGCAGATTCTCGCAACTTAGTTTATCGCACAGCATTATACGCCCTCTAATACTACTTAAGAGCTGTTTGCTGGCCAGACTATTACGAAAGCTGTCGTCGTCCTCAAACTGCACAGTTTCTAGCAAGTTTAACCCCCCGCTTGAAATCCGTAGAGTTTCAAGTGCCTTTTGCCTACCTTTCCACTCTATTTTCAGTCATCCTCGACGTTACATATCGAGCAATACCCAAGCTTCTTTTATTTACTCTTGCCCCTTGAATTAAGGGGTGGAGAGAAACTGTCGCCATTCTCTACCTCACAGCCAGAGACACCTCCACATCAACCAACATGGCCGCCGAACTTGCCCCAGGCATTGTTGTACTGAACAAGAAGTACTTCCCAAAGGACTCAATCTCAGCTGCCCAAGTTGGGGCCACCTCCTTTGCGCTGTCCGTGCTACGCGTCCTGTCTGAGGCGAAAATACTCCGAGGCGTTGTTCTGTATCAACGGGATGAGCGTCTGACTCAGCCTCACTGCGCCCTGGAGCCTGATCTGTACGACGGCGTAAAAGTAGTGACGGTGTCATTCCACTTCAGGATGTCGACTCGTAGCATCACCCGGAGCCTTCTGGAAGCCTACCTGAGTGAGAACTATCCTAGCCTCGGCGAACTAGCACCCATCGTGTACTACCAGACCGACACGCTGCTCGAATACCATCCCCAGGGGTTACAATTCTGCGTGACTCACCATGGACCCTTTGTTTCCGACTTCAAGGAGAGCTTTACCCGGTCATTGACAGAACTGGCCTTCGGTGGCGACCCTGCCAAGATCGAAGTTTTGGAGAAACAGCAGAAGCTTGGTGTCGACAGATTGATTCAAGATAACTTCGGCTCTGTCCTGGCCCACTCGGCGATGCAGCAGCATTTTCTCGAAGGCCAAGGACTCGGCTCACAGCGGTTCAAGCGGCTCCGGCCTCCTATTGGCGTACCACCATGCAGTGACCCGGATTTGCTCCCTGACACCATCAAGGATTTTGTGTCCCAGGCCGAGATACTGCTCTTCACTGCCGTTGCACGCCTTGACTACTTCAAAAACGTGGATCTCCTGGTGCAGGCGGGTCTTGAACTTCTCAAACGGGGCGTCCCAGTGAAAGTACTCGTCGTGGGCGATCCGGAAAGTGACGATTCGCGTCGACGAAGTCTTCTCAAGCTAGTCCCCGTCGAACAACGACAGCACTTCTTGGTGCTCGCCAAATTGCCCAAGGATGACCTATATGCTCTCTTCTCTGCGACCCGGGGTAACGGAATATTCATTTGCCCCTCACGATACGAGACTCTAGGCATCACCCCCTTGGAGGCTGCCGCCAGTGGCGTGGCAACATTGATTACCGACTCTCCTAAAGTCGAAGCCTCGCGGTACTTCCCTGCCGGCTACCGTGTTACTCCCAGCGCGGCCAAGATTGCTGCCAAAGTTCAGGTCATCCGATATGACGGGGTGCGTAGGTGGGGAGAGATGATCGAAGCCCACGTTCGTCTGGAGACATCCCTGAACGCCTTCCATGACGACTTACTGGCGGCCTGGAAAGACCTTTCGCGATCAAACATGACATCGAGGACATCTGAGAATGGGCTTGTCGGGCGTACGGTTCCCAGGAAAAGCCAGCAGCTGAAGAAGAACTGGATCCAGCGTAAGGGACCGAAGGGCGTCTGTGTTTCTCTTTCAGCTATCATATGAAAGGAAAAGGGGTCAAAGTCGAGAACTTGATCTCAACATGGCTTCAAGAGATTAGAACCGCACTGATAGAGGTTTCATGAGAGGAAAAGAACTCGAATTTAAGTGTTTGAAAAACATCAGGTTTTGATTCCTTTCAGATGGGGAGTTTAATGGCGCTTGGAAAATGAGGTCATAGGGGAGCTGCAAAAGGAAAAACCGGGCAAGAGGCAAGTGACGCTGCCGCCGGGGTGAGGTTGGACTAGACGCAATCTGAAACCGGCTGAGCTGATAGAGGAGATGAAGAAGAACCGCCTTGGTCTATGAAATTCCTTGATCGTATTGATGTCTCTCTACCTGCACTCGTTGCAACTTGAGCTGGACCTATCTCAATGCACAACCGTCTCCGAGGTGACTGCCTCCTGAAGTCCACAGAGCTGCCTACATTAGCAGGCCCGCTAACCATCAATGCCGTTCATCTCGCAAAATGGGTTACACAAGGCTCAACATCGATTTGCCAGCAGGAATCGCAGAAGCAGCGTGGTTTTGGGGCGCATTAATGGCTTTGAATGCGCATAAGAGAAAGCCTCTGGGTACCTACCAGTAATTGAAGATAAGCATTGTATCGGCACATAACTACAAGGTTTTGTCGGACTCAGCATCTGAAGCCGATGATTAGGATGGCGCAACAAAACCCGGCCAGCCACTTCGCGGACCTGGTCTCGATTGGTATAACATTGTTGTGTAACAAATATTATAGTCGATAAACGGATTATAAAGTAAGTTCCACACGAGATGGTAAACGTACAGCGCCAACACTGCAGCATTTCGCCGTTTGCGGTTCATTCGGGGGTTTGGCCCGTTACCGGCCATTTCCAGCTCACCAGGCTGTCCAATTAACAAAGGCATTGTCAAACGGTACCAACCAATAGATAAGCTCGAAAAAGTAACCAGATATGTGGGGTAGCATGGGTTGAACCCCTACCACCGGGAGATCTCTGGCATGCGGAGGATGATGATTGGCTCCTTTATTTCATCCATGTTTGCTTAACCCAAAAAATTCCAAGCCATGTAACGATGTGTCTCTATTACAATCAGATCGTCGGCAGACGGCACACATGCAAACGATAGCTTATAGTATAGCTTGAATGGTACAGTCACTACTGGTTGGCCTTTTCCCAGAACATTGAAGACCTCATAATCACATTCACTTGTTCTCATCGTGACTTCTGAGGAACTAGAAGCGAGCAGTCATCTCAGGCCTTTTGCCGTCTCGCTGCTTTGTCTGGCGCCTTCGTCGGTTTCCGCATTCCTCATTTCGATCCTGCTTTTTCCCACACCGCCCCACCAGCGTACAAAACCACGATCAAAATGCCGGAAGAAGCCACAACCAACGGCAAGGAGACCTGTGGTAAGAGTTCTTAGTCAATTCCGTGCTGTACCGACGTTGACTCGCTTTTGCTTCCTTGCCAGATCCCGCTTGGGTACCTGCACCTGTTATCTCCGAGCCGTGGTCCGTCGAAAAGGTGCTTGCGACGATTTACCCAGCGCCTCCCGAGGAGGGAACGAGCTCACCACTTCCCTTCTTTCACGTTCTGGAGCGCCTGAAGACCAACAAGCGAGAGGGATGGCGGCGATTTGGCATTGACAGGTACGCGCGCCCCTCCCCGGTTCACCTTGCCGGTCTTTACCATCCTTTGCGATCCCGCCGCTGGGATGCACGCAACGATGACACTGGTCGCGGAACGACTAACGAGGGAATGATAGGGGCGAATCAATTTCGGACCACATGTATCGAATGTCGATGATGACACTCCTCTGCCCCCCGACGTTGGCCTCAAAACTCGACCTCGCCAAGTGCATGAAGATGTGCCTTATCCACGACATGGCCGAATCGATCGTTGGTGATATCACACCAGTGGATGGTGTTCCGAAATCTGAAAAAAACCGCCGCGAGACGGCCACAATGGACTACATTGCCAACAACTTGCTAGGAAATGTATATGGTGGCCTCGCGGGCAAGGATATCCGTGCCATCTGGCAGGAGTATGAGGATTCCGCCACGATAGATAGCCACTTCGTGCACGATTTGGACAAGATGGAGTTGCTCTGCCAAATGGTGGAGTACGAAAAGCGCGCAAACCATTGCCTCGATCTGTCTGAGTTTGTATACGTGGCGAAGAGACTGGTCCTCACCGAGACGCAGGAATGGGCGCAGGACATCCTAAAGGAAAGAGTTGCATTCTGGAATCAGAAGGCCACAACCGGAGAGAAGGGCGCATAACCTGCAGGAACCTTTACGACCTGAGTGGCTACGCCTAAGCCATTCCAATTTGATTAACGAGAACATGTTCATATCACTAGAGTAGATGATTTATCCAGCTGGCAGGGTGAATAGGACCTTACACAAGACGAAAACTATAGACGGTTCCACATTTGTTTTATTTTGCAGGTTCTGAAACTTGCCTCTCTAAATTGCCCCGCATCGCCGAATTTCGTGTTTAGTTGCAACGAGTTCTGACCCAGCAACCGCTGCCCCCTGTCACCTGTCATCTCGAACTCAAGAGTCTAGATTCATGGGACGTTGGCAATTCAGGGTCCAAAAACTGGAGAGCTAGGAAAAAGCACCCTAGGGCGATTGTCATACGTTTCGACCTCCGGACACTCCGGGCGCATTCTTCTACTATCTTCTCTGCGCGCGCGCAGTCGTTGAGACGTGATCGCCTGCATATCGCGTCTTAACACTCACTACGTCACACCAAATACAACCAGGCATTTTGCTGTCATCGCTGCGCATCGATCGCCAGGCCGAAGCAAAAGAATGAGCGGTGTAAGGATACAACGATGCCATATCTTGATTGCCTGCTGATGTTCAGCAGCGAAACGGCTAGAATTAATTGATGCTTCCGTCTAAAGTTGTTGCAGCACATCGCCGCCGAGAGCTAGAGCAGCAGGCAGACGTCGGCAAGCGACCAACCAACCATTCTGATTTGACGGCTGCCGCGCAGCAGCAACAGCGCTCTTTTAAGACTGCAAGCGCACGCGACTCCAAACCTTGGGAAGCTTGTCAGCACGCGCATTTCATCCCATCCCCAACACCGGCTTGGGTCAACGCCCATACGAAGCGAGGCAACCCGGCATCCATCGCGCGCAAAGGTCCGACCTGCGGATCCGCGAAGGATACAGTAATCGAGTGCCGACGATCGACATTGCGATGGTGACTTGTGCATGGTAACGCGACGCAAAGAGCCATCGCAAAGGAGCGCAAACGATTGGTATACTGCGTGTGACTTGATTCTCCACGTCGACACTGAACTCTGTCCCCGAGCTTCGCCTCTTGTCTGAGTTCGCCCATCTATACGTCTTCGCAGCCAACCCGAGATGGCCTTTGGCCCGCAAGTTATCATGTCTGGAGGGTTACACTGTGAGGCACCGAATGGAGCACCCCTTGGCGGCGTGCACTCTGGATTATTTCGACCACCACTCTCGCCATCAACCTCGAGTTCAGCGTATCTTGCCAGATCCACAGGAAGCCTGTGCTCGGACTCCACGACACCCGCGTCGAATGTGAAGAGAAAACGACTACGGGCTATGGACACGACGCCACGGAATGGGTGGGCGGTGTCGGCCGATGTGAATATGGAGGACGAGATGGACAACAGACCTGACTCAGGTACAAGGATAAGCGGCGGCAGAGAGATACGTTACACGCTCGCTGGACAGATTGAAACACCCAGTGGAGCATTGCAGAAGCAAATGGGGGGTATGGAGGACAGCACATATTCTGACGTCGACTATAGACGTGCGTTGGGCTCGAAACGCCCACACGCTGACCTTGACTCACCGTTGTCTAGGCATACAATGGCCGATTCGAGACGAGATGTACCGCAAGTCGATGGATGGAGCAGAATCGCGCTGAACACCATAGGCGGCGTTATGGGCAAAGTCTGGCAGTTCTGCACAGCGGGTGCGTTTCGCGGATTCTACGCCGGTCCTGGCGTGGGGTACGCGATCGGAACAGAATCTTCGCAAAACGGACAGACCTGGTGTAATGAGCACGATGTTCCCACACTGCCTGTAGACAGTTGTAGCCCTGTCCCGGGCGGCTTTCCAGAGTCGGATTACGCACCATTTTACTACGAGCGCGAGACCCCCGAATCCACCCCGCCCCCTGCAGCGAAACGACGGCAGATATTCGATGGAAATACAAACGATGAACTCCGCAAGAACTGGGTCATCGTGAACGACTCGCCTGACAAGTCGCGGTCCAGCTTCGCATCTCGGACAATGCGTCAAATAGCTCAGCCGCAGACTCGACCTGTGCTGAATCGTCTCATCAGCAAGCCTGTGAGCCGTCTCAGTGCCCCGGGGTTTGCACGTCAGAGCTCGAGCCGAATCAGCCATGCAGGTGCTCCAGCGCTTTCCAACCGTGAGCCAGCTAGCTTCGCAAACCCACGATCCCCCTTCGCCGTGCAACCACCCGCAACACCGAGTCGGTTGCCGGTGCCCAGCCGGCCGCATACGCCGGCGCTCTTTTCTCCCACTCGGCTTTCCCAGCAACCGAGCCGGATACCCAGCCCGAATGTTCGCCCCAACTCGTCTCAAACCCGCGGCCACCGACGGACGCAAAGCACCGCGTCAAACGCCTCCGCTGCTTCAGCAGCAACCGGGCGGTTGCGGCGATGCGAGGGCTCAGTACACGATCTGGTAGAGGAACGCAGTCCAAGGCTGGACCCGGAGGCGAAGAAGCTGGCAGCTAGAAGGATGCATGAGGAGAGAGAGGCGGATGCCAGAATCAACGACTTTAATGCTCGACTGAAAGAGATGATCCGCCAGGGCAAAGAAGCGCTTGGGTCTTCGATTGAAATTGAGGGGGATGGAGATGGTGATGGGTATTGGGACGATGAGTAAATACTATGAAGGAAAGTCCGCCTGGTTCTGTCTTGTTGTCCGCTTCTGCTTAGGAGAGTCTGAGATCTGAAGTATGCCGCGGGCGTTGGAGTTGGAGTCGGAGTCGGAGTCGGAGTCGGAAATTGTCGCCTTGAGATTCAGGAGTACCGGCTAGCCAGAGGTTGAATATCTGAGACATGACACACGCCCGGCTATGTTTCGCGTTGGCTGAATTTTTGTTAGAGTATCTAAGTAGCTAGGACACTATTGCGGGTCCGCTTGCGAACTTTAGACAAGCTGGTGGCAAATTGTAAAATTTTGTAATGAACACAACGATGATGGCTTGGCAATCACTCGGGTTGTTCATTGGACCGCTTCACTCCTGACATACACGGGCAAGTAGAGTAGCAGTTGGTCGACTTTGATTTTGATCCCCTCAGTTAGAAGCCCCTATTGCGGCTTTACCAGTGTCTTCTTGAAGTCTGCCACACCACCTACAAGCTACAAATCCATGCTCCAAAGATTCAATACTGATAAAGTCTAAGACTTGACAAAACATAACAACCATGTTCGGTTGTATCATTGGGTTTTACTTCACGAGTATGTCCCTGGCGGTCCTAGTATCTTCCGACGCGTTGGCATGGTACTCATGTGGCTAAGCTCTTGGGTTCAGTAATGGTGCACCAGGAAGACCGTCAATATTCAGCAAATGGGCTTGTCAGTCGACCGTGGTAGTGTGGATTGGATGCTCATACAAGGGTAAGGATCATTATGATGAGCCTTCTGGACTATCTCAGGCCACACAACCTAGTGGCCGGGGTAATGTAATGAGCGATCGACATTATGGGTCGAGATGCTCATTCACTCCTTTATCTTCTCCTTGTGGAAGAGGCCTAACTATGAGTGTCAGCAACATGACCGATCAAACCCCTTTCGTCAGAACAATCTTACCCTGTATCTCAGGCATCCAAGGGTCCCTCATCATGCAGAAGAACTCGCCCTTTGGCTCTAGCTGGCCACGAGTATGATCTTCCATAGTACCATAGAATATGTATATGAAATTTCCAGCATTAGCCTAAGCATACCCTGTCAGCAAGTACACCCGTCCAAGCCATACGAATCCTTAGGTACAGCGAAGTGGTCAAATAGGGGCCAGTGTCACGTACGCCATACTCGAGCAAACTTCCACCACAAGTGCCACAAAACTCCCGATGCAGCTCAACCCCGCTACCGTTATCCGCCTCGTGGACTTTGATGTGGTCTTGGCCCTGGGTGATCTTAAACGACGACTTGGGGATCTTGGTTGTGATGCCGTAATTTCCGCCAGTAAAATTCTTGCAGTTGCCGCAGTGGCAGATGCTAGTACGAGCGTCCGACTCGGGGTTGTCGAGCGTGATTGTGTACCGAATGGCCTGGCAGTAGCAGCTCCCTGGTAGAGCTGGCATTGCGGATGAGTTGGTTGGTTAATATTACTCAGTAGCTAGCAAGGGCCGACTTGGCTGAAAATACGTGGTTGGAATAGAAAAGTGTTCGAAGTTCTAATGGATCAGATTATTTACGTTTGCAGTAACTGTTGAGGTACAAAAGGAAATGACATAGCTTTACCATAGTGGCGGTAATTCGACGTCATTGCTCGTTGCCCCTCCCCTCGTTTCCATACAATTACATCACCAACTTGTTGCGGCTCGGGCCGACTACATGGATTGATGGGATGAGCTATAGGGTTACTTGCATTTTGGAGAAAAATATTAGACGAGCGTAGGCAGGCACTGTAGTGATGTATGTTTTGTGGTATGTTGCACTTTGCTGGGATTGAATTATCTACCATCGCTATCCTAGCGGCTTTGCTGTCGAATATGGGCTCTCACAAGCAGGCATTCCTTCTCTCTCGAATGCATTTCCCGAGTCTGATCCCTTCATCATGATTTCTCCCCTTTAGCAGTGCTCCGCCGTCTCCGCATCCGAGGCCAGATGACCCATGACCAAGGTACCAAGGAAAACTCCTGTCAAGATAGACACGAAGTAGCCCACGTTGTAGCTCATGACAGCCAGCATCAGGAGATATCCGATGCCGACCAAGAACAACTCGTAAATCGCTCTCACAAAGTTTACTGTGAGGTTCCAGGTCGCCCATCGCTTTCTGAACTCGACAATAAAACCTTTTCCCTTCGTGTTCGATCCACCGCGTCCTTCCTTGTTTCCATTCTCGATGTCTCCGGCGCCGTTGTTCTGATTGGACTTCTTCGTCGCTTGCAACTGTGACTGCTCGAAGATGGGTTTGAGGGCCATCATGGTTCGCATGGCAAATGCGAGAAAAATGAGGAAGAAGCAGGTGCCTGCGTACGCTGCGGTGCTGTTCGGGGTCCAGGCTGTGGAGAAGAGAGACGTGTTCTCGGCCTGGAAGAAGGTCATGGCCATGGAGTGGGAGCTGTCGTGGTTCATATTGGTGTTGTTCGTGCTGTCATGGCCCATCTTGTCGTGATGGCTGGTATGGCTGCTGCTGCAACAGCTGCGAATGATTGTTCCAACAGTCATATTGGCGATGTTATTCACTGACATGTTTGAGAGAGAGCGGAGTAATCAACAGGTTTTGGCGATGTTTGGTGCGGAAATGCCGGTGTATTGTATGATTTGAGTTGAAGAGAATCAAGTTAGCATACAAAAACGCCTGAAAGGTGTTGGAAGTCACAGACAAGAATTTTGTACGTCCAAGAAGGAGAAAGGCGAAGCATCATTATGGTCTGTTGTCTACCATAATTCTGTCACACTTAGACTATCATCGACCCACTGCACGACACTTAGATCAAGCTAAGGAGGCAGGAAAACAAAGCTTCTCATAACTATAAAGGGTTATCTGCGATCGGATTTGGGCACAAAGTTGCTTATTTTCTTCAATATTCCGAGAAGGAAAAGGCCTCTTCACTGTTTGTTTGTATACCGAGAAAAAGTCTGATACCCCGAAACAAAACTCACACCAGGCCTATATTTTCCGCTGCGGAACAGGACAGTCATTACAATAGTCTTGGCTTTCCTGCTGAAGGTGAGCCAAAGTCTACACATAACACCTTCTGTGGGGAAAAAAGTACATGTCGAAGGTATTCCCCTTTACAGGATCCTTCAGTAGAGATTGATAGTGTGACCGTCTTGCAGAACAAGGCTTCTGCAACTCGCCTACAGTAGATTGACAACAATCATATCCATGATTTCAAAGCATCTAGAGCCTCTCTCCTCAAGTTTTTCCAACTTGCATTTGGTGAGTCTTTCCACGACAAGAGTTATCTTGGAAACCTCATCAAAAACAATAACACCAATGGCTTCTTTGTCCAAGCCCTTTTCAAGCCCTTGTCATAGACATCTTCAAAGTTAGAAAAATAGTCACATATTCTCACTAACCAGTTAATACTCAGCACATAGGCTCTTACTAGTCAACGTGATTCCCTTTTCTTTTGCATTTGCTTCCCTGATGAACCTGTTGCAGAAGCTCTTAGCAATCTCTCTTACGTTACGAAATGCTGTGGCCCCGTTGATGAAATAACTCAGTTTAGACGTCATCTGTACCCAATTAATACTTCTCAATTGAAGTTAAATTCACTGCCAGGATCATGGGACCAGTTATATGCGGTCGCGCTGTGCATCCTACATGCTAAGGCCGCCATGAACGATGGACTGTTGTTTGAAATAAAGCAATGGATGACTGCTTGCTCAACTGGTTCTAAAAGGAGAATGACCTGTGGTTTAAGTAGAGTGTAAATATGACTTCACGAGCCAAATTATTACAGAACGTTCATACAAGCTGTCATTCAACAAACCCTAATAACTGTTGAATCCTTAGGCCCATGGCTAAGGTTTAGCCCCATAGCCATAACCTTGACAGCAGGTTTATATTCGTCTACCGGGACCACGTCGAGTATCCACATAGTACAACTAAAAGACATGGCTAAGGCATGGAAATTTGTTCAGAGTTGTCTGTCAACAGGCAGTTTGTGAACCTCTGTACCGCAAATTCCGGAGATTTCAACCGCTTAAGCTACCGAGAATAAATTTAGACAACGCAGGAGAGGCTGAAATCATAGCGAAGCCATGATAACTTGCTCATGGTTCAGAGTGTCGCAACAGTTCGGAAAAGGTGAGACCTACAACATAGTCAGCAGCTCTCGTATGCGTACTCCACCGGCGTGCATCTTCAATTTACTGCCATTTACAATGGCATGCACATCTTGCCCGAAGACGAGTTGATTGTGCCACTAGATACTGGAGTTACTACCACAACTGCGCCAAGCGTTACGGTAGTACATTTCAACTTGGTATAGCATAGTGCAGCTGTATTTTCCAGCGCACTCATAGAGTAGTCCAACTAAGTTGTCTGGTATACCAAGCGACAAAGCAGCCTATAGGCGCTGTTTCTCATAATTGACTGATCTATGTGGCTGCAAGTGGGGGTATACGCTGACAGGTGTGAGACTATACCGGTTGTGCTTGTAATCAGAACCCCTGGGTGGCTATGCTCTGCACTATCAAAGCGTGTTTAATGCGGGGATTTATCTGCGCAACTTTGTTTCACCCGCGAATACACAACAAAAGCCTGACTGACTCATTGGGTCTGGGATATCGTTGCCACTCTGTCACCTGCCATCATACTCCTAGCGAGTATCTTGCCCATTCGCAAAGGTCGTATGCGGTTTTCCTCGGATTGCACTTTGTCCTCGCCTTCATCGCTTTGGTCGGTTGCTTCTTCCATATCTACTAACGGTTCTGCCTCTGGGGTGCGCGTAGCCAAGTAGTCGTCAACAGCGCTAAGGAGTCTCTTGGCCCAAATGTTTTGACTCTGTAGCCGGTTGGTGAGATTGCTATCAGGAGGAGGTTAGTTATCAGAAGTATCTTGGAAAGGGAAATTTGGGTGAAACGATGGTCGTTTGTGGAACGGCCGGTATGCTTGATGAAGTGCGGTGTGCTGTTTGCGACATTGGACGAACGGGTAAGTTTCTGGTAGAGCTTATGAATGAGCGCTTCAGCTGGCAAACAATATTGGTGCGGAATCTGCATGCTTCTGGTGGTGCTGGAAGTTTCAAGTATGGGCGGAATGGTTCTCGCTTTGTAATGAGTTATCGTATCCTCGTGTGCGACTAACTTGTGGTTTTACATTTGGGCAGATATCACTCGCTGACCCATCCAGCTGAGGAAATTGTTTACAGTACGTGCTACGCATTAGTAGTTGGCATTGCCTCTGTCTTTGCGAAACTCATTCTTGGAGAAGCGTATGTCCCCAACAATCAGAGCGACGCCATCACAGGTTACAGTAAGAATTCAGGTTAGTGCTAGAGTTAGGGTCAGGACTATGTATTGGTTAGGGTTAGTAACTGTTGAGTATTCACATATGACCTCTTTCTCCCTTCTGCTAAGAAAGCGCCCGAGACCGGGATAGCAATGGTCGGGTCACCAGATTTTAGAGACGGACCACTTGGAACAGAACAATTGGATATATCTAAAAGAATACGAAGCACGAACCGTTTCTAGTGCACATGGTAGCCACTTGATCTAGAACAGCCACAAATCTTAGCCAGCAACGGGCATCTTGGCGTCAAGGCTCGGTGTTTGGCATTTCTATAGGGATGGACATTGGTCCAAAGCCTACAGATACAGGAGAGTGCACTTTAAGTTCCAGTAAATTATGTGTATTATTTCCGCGGACGGCAGAATCTTGGCTTTGAGTCTTCTACACGGTGCCACCTTGGCGAATGAACATTTTCCATGTGCTGAGTGTCTCTCCGGTAGCTTATTTTCAAGAAGCTGCTTTTCATCAGAGCGTATTTCAACCAGCGTGGATGCAAAGAACCGTAAACCAGTCATAGCGTTCTTCGTGTCTATCATTGCCATGGTAAGCATCGGCATATAGCTGTTAGCTCAGCAATAAGGCACTGAACAGTATGTTTGGACTGAAACCTGGTAGTTCTAGATGCCGCGCCACAGACAAAAGCTTGGATAGAAAACAACTTCATATCACCATAAGAACTGTCGCCATTCCCAGTTGGAAATCACCATCAGCAAAGCATCGCAGACTCATACACTCATTCTACCAACTCAGCTCCAGTCTTTCACTAATTCAATATCGACTTTACCATAATTTTCTATAGTTCCACGACTAATAAACCCCAACCAAAATGCGCTTCTCCATCCTCGCCATCCTCGCCACCGCCGGCCTCGCCGCCGCCAACCCCGAGCCCAACTTGAAGCCCAAGCCCTGGGCTCCTCTCAGTGTCAAGGGGCTGAAGGACTGCCAGGTCAGCCAACTGTTCATCAACTTGCATCCCAATATATTAAACGTGAGATGCTGATAATGGCATTGTCCATAGGCCGCCTGCTTCAAAGCCCACCTCTTCCAGCTCAGCAAGGGCCAAGTCCAAATCGGCAAGACTACCAACGCTGAGTTCTGCTCGATCCCGCAGCCCGAGCTCTCCGGCTGGCTCCAGAAAGAGGTCATTCCCTGCACCAAGGTGGTCTGCGGCAAATGCCATAGCTGCCCTAAGAGTAAGTCTTACCCTATGCTTCCTTGCGACACTAGAAACCCGGAAGGTTGACCGAGCAAATAGAGGCTGCGAAGTGGTTCAAGAAGACTTGCGGTTTCGTGCCCAAGTTCGAGGCTGGTCAGGGGGGTAGCCAGGATGGTCAAGGAGGGGAGAGCCAGGGTGGTAAAGGAGGGGAAAGCCAGGGTGGTCAAGGAGGAGAGAGCCAGGGTGGTCAAGGAGGTGAGGAAGACGAGGGACAGGGTGGACAGGGCAAGGAGGGTGATGAGGGTCGACACTAGGAGCTGCTCTTTCTGTTGGACCGTCTTGTACCCAACATGTCCCAAGTTGACTGAGTGGGCGTCACTCATCTTTTGGTGGACAAGCGGAGTCGTACACGTTACTCGAGGTGAACCGTCAGATATCATTCTGAACTTCTTGATAGTAAAACTCTATTTTGTAATAATAATCATACTATATAGCCCCCCTTGACTCCCGTTGGGTTTGCTTTTTGACTAGATGCTGGGGAATCAGCCCTATAATACATTGGCCAACTATGCTCCTCTATATGCCTTGATATGACATAGATTCTTCATAGATCGCGATTTCGATCCGCCGTTGGCGCTACCGGATGACCGTTTCCCAGGCAATCCTGGCATCTCCCACCCACGAAATTAGACGATTTGTTCCGCTTCGTGCCACACTCGCTGCAGTGTAGACCACATAGATACCGATCGCAGCCCTCAACCCGACACTCTACCTTCCACCGACAGCCCTGCCCCAGGTGGCGCCCGCCACAGCGACAAGTCTTACACCTGCACTCCTTTCCAGAATGCCCCTGCAGACCACACATACAACAGCGATATGTACAGGTCATTGCATTTAAATGCTTATGGTGGCCAGGAGGATACGAATTACCACAGCGGCGACTGCAACGAATCTTGCACTCAGCCACGACGTGCAACTCAGGGAATGGCCGGCATTTGCACCGGTTGGACGCCTTCACCGGACATGCCGGAGCCTGGTGGCCTTCTTTGTCGCAGTGGCCGCATTGATAGGGACACGTCAGCGTCCGGTGAGTGCGCTGGGCACAATTGGCGCATGGCCCCCCTGATTTGTTGTTAGACAGATTCCCATATTGATCCGACCTCCGTGGCAACTTGTCTCTGAACATGGCTCTGATATGAGATCGACTCAGACTTCTTCGGCGTGCCATCTTATCGAGCTCCGATATCCGCCGACGCGGGAAGTAAATGATCCAGTAACCCATTTCTTCTCCTGGATCGTCGCCGAGGAAACTGGCAGTGGCCCAGCTCCCCGGAGGGGGCATGCTGGCGGTTCGTTGTGGCCTTCCACGGGTGAGACACTCGATGTCGTGCAGCTCACCTATTTTAGTGGATTTTTGACGCTTCCGATAGGATTTTGGGCGAATCTCTCGCAAGCGCGCCTTGAGGTCCTTCAAAGGAAGGCTGAAGAATATAGGATCAATGGAGATGAACCACCACTCTGCAGGGTTGTCGCAAGGCGGATACCAAGAGGTGCCTGAGAATAAAGAATGCGTCCATTGCCTCTTGGCAGACACTCTATAGGATTTTAGATGCTCTATCATCTCGTTCTTCCATCCAGGTGCTTCAGGGGGGCCTGTGATCCATCAAATTCAGCAATTGCTCATCGATGTCTCGTCAGAACGACTGGAAATGCATGCGTAGGCTCCAAAACAGTCCCTCATTCCCTCAAAGTTCCGCACTTTGTCATTGTGGTTAAACCGCACTCTAGAGGCATAGATGAAAGTATTGGTGTAAGCCGCTGGAGGCTTTTTGGCGGTTAAGATCAAGATACTTACCAGCTCCATGTTGGCAAAGCTTCCGAGCATGCGCCCCATACAGTCTTGATGAGGGCTCAACTTCAAGGTAGTGGCGCTGAACAAGGCCGAGGACCATGTTCTCGAGAAGGGGCCAATGGTACGGGCGTTTGTCTTTCCAAACGAATCTCCCGTTCCAGAACTTTTTGACCCAGTAGTTCTTTGACGATATCTTTGTCCACCGTGTAGTAATGTCGCCATGCAACAAAAGATTGCACATGCCCGGGACGTGGTGCAAGGTCATGTCCCATTCAGTTGCGAGCATCCGCCACATTACTTGCATGTCGAGGCCAAGTTCTCGGTCCTGGGTTTTGATCGGCCCGAAAGTGAAGTTGCTATCGATTTTCTGGCGTAGCACTCGGCCTTTCACCTTGCCGGGAAACATGTAGTTCTCCATGATCCGATTGACCATCATGTCCTGTGGTCCCAAGTCTCGATGCTCGTATCGACCGAAGTCGAGGTTGAGGCCGTCAAGGGGGTAGTGTCGCGCCATCTCGAAAATGATATGTCACTTGCCGGATAGACCAGATTCCTAAGTGAGTTTGTACCTTTCCCAATTCTTTGTAACCATGGTACGGTCAGCTTTGTTGGGAAACATTCGGCCGTTCGGAGCTCAGTCCGGCAATGCCTCCGATAGATGCCTGTTCATGCGATGAGACCTTACCGCGTAGCAGTTTGTTGCACGTGAGCAGGGCTTCGAAGCTACCGAAGTTGCAGGTGCTAGATAGCTGGGCGTGGGCCAGAGTGTCGCTGCTCCTTGGCATACAATTTCGTTTTGGGGGTTGCTCGTCTGCTTTGTTAATACAAGCGTCGTGATTCGATGCCCGGGCCAACAAGGCAGTTGCAACTTGGAAGGTCTGGGATCAATCGGCAGGAGCGTCAAGATCTAACCTTAGCGAAAATCAGGGGAAGCCATGATCCGTGCGTCTTGGGGTAGCTTAAAATGTGGCGCGCTGCAAGCAGATATCGGATTTCAAATTGCTGATAAAAGGCCTCTAGGATTGGAAGCCTCAACTGAACCATTGGATGATCTAACCTGAGGTGTTTCCATTATCCAGCTGCATGGTCTGTGTATCCAATTTCTGACCTCTTCTCGAAGACTTGGACCGAAAGAGCGTGGCAACATTTCCTGGTTGCTGGATTATTGTTGCTTCTATGAATCAATTTCTCTCCAATGTTTTCATATTAATGTTGCATGCAAGGGACGTCAACAGTCACAGGTTAGCTTGCAGCCACAATTTACCTCAAAATGGGTTTGAGACGGGGGGTTGCTTGGCAAAGACAAGTGCTTTCAGCGTCATTCGGTCCGTCAACCGCGCAATCTTCCTCCGTGACAAAACCGGCAATTCCACGAAACCAGGCGCGGTCCCTAGCTTCGTCGGCGAATGCGACAAAATCAGAGTATTTGGCAAACAGCTCAAGACATAGTCCGTTCGGGTTCATGTCTTCTATTCTTATGAGGCCAAAGTCCCATATTTCGAGGTTAAGATCCCCTGCTTGCCCGAGAGTTGTTGGTTTGGTTGGACGACAGCAACCACTTTATGAAGTGCTGGATCTGTATGTCGCGTCCCATACATATTGTGGCTTGGACGAGGGTAATTGCTGCGTCCAGCTTCCCCGGTTCGCCATGCCGCCCATGCCGCCCATGCCGCCCATGCCGCCTTGCATCCCCGGTTGACATGCTCCGCACTTCAACTCCGCAATCAAACTCAGCAATATGGTCCAGACACTCGGATCGTGCCGAATGCGTGTCCGCGGAATGTAATATAGGGTAACATGACCGGGGGTGAAATTTCCTCCTATGAGGTCCTTCTCTAAAGTTACCAAATGGCAATGGTCATATGGCGATGTTACTCCAGCATCTACCATGACCAAGGGGCAAGCAAAGGGGTTTTTTACCTAGTCTCTGAGTTGAGTCGGTTTCTTTCTGCGTATATCATGGCTGCGTTTCTCGTCTGTCGTTTCGTCTCCGTCTTGTCAGCACGCCTTGGCTTCTTTCTCTGTTTCTCTGGTAGACTGTTGTGACGTAGTCAGTCGGTGAGTGCAGGCTACAGTCAACATGGGCTGCTTCGCCTTCTTCGTTACCCTGCTGCTTGCAGTCAGTTCTTGTGAGTCTTCTCGCCACACGACATTGAGCGTGTGCCTGCTAATCAAAGGAGGTAGATATCCATCCATCATTGGCTCAGAGCAGCACTCCAACGGTCTACACTGACCCGGACACGGGCATCATATTCGATACATGGATCGTTCCAGCAACTGGTAGTGGCGCTTCGGGCGTGACTACTTATGGTGGACTTAAGTTTGGAATGGCATTGCCTGAGGATGGTCTTACAACCGATGCAACCGAATTCATTGGATATCTGGTCAGTGCCACGAGTCCTCACTCGATGCAAATCACTGACTCCATCAGCAATGCGCATCCAATAGCTCCATAGCCACAGGATGGTGTGGCATATCCCTCGGTGGTCCGATGACCAACAGCCTACTTCTCATGGCTTGGCCTTACGATGGCGAGATTCTGACTGCATTCCTTTGGGCCACTGGCTACGACACACCAGTTCAGTACACTGGTGATGCAACCCTTACACAGATCTCTTCTACCGTCAACTCGACCCACTTTACGCTACTTTTCCACTGCCAGGGCTGTCTGGCTTGGGACCAAGATGGTGCTACCGGTAGCAACCCAACGAGCGACAGTGCAGTAGTGCTCGGCTGGTCACAGGCTATTGCTGCACCATCCAACCCCCAGTGCCCGGCATCGGTCACTATGGCGCAACACGAAGCTCAGAGCATCTTCGGTGCCGTCCTTGACAGCAATGCTGCGAACCCATCGTACAGCGAATGGGCAGCATTAGCGACCAACACCGTGACAGGAGCCTGTGGTGGTGCGACGGCAACGCCCACAACCACGGTTACTACTACTGGCACTGTCACCACCACCTCGACTACCGCTACAGCTACAGTCTCAGGGGTACCTGTCCCGACCGCGACATATGACTACATCATTGTTGGTGGAGGCGCAGGTGGAATTCCGTTGGCAGACAAGTTGAGTGAGGCAGGAAAGAGTGTTTTGCTCATTGAGAAGGGCCCACCGTCTTCTGGCCGCTGGGGCGGAACTCTCAAGCCTGACTGGCTTGATGGCACCAACCTGACGCGTTTCGATGTTCCAGGACTGTGCAACCAGATCTGGGTTGACAGCGCAGGTATTGCTTGCACCGACACGGACCAGATGGCTGGCTGTGTTCTCGGCGGTGGTACAGCTGTGAACGCTGGATTATGGTGGAAACCCAATCCCATTGACTGGGACTACAACTTTCCTACCGGCTGGAAGTCTACTGACATGTCTGCTGCAGCGGGTCGAGTCTTCTCGCGCATCCCCGGCACAGATCACCCATCCATGGATGGCACGCTGTATCTGCAGCAGGGTTTCAACGTTCTCGCCAGTGGCCTCAAGGCTGGTGGCTGGGCTGAAATCACGGCAAACAGTGTCCCTGACCAGAAGAACCACACCTACGCTCACACTCCGTATATGTTCTCGAACGGAGAGCGTGGTGGACCTATGGCTACATACCTGGTGTCGGCCCATGCTAGATCCAACTTTAAATTGTGGACTGACACCACGGTCAAACGTGTTATTCGCACAGGTGGCCACATCACTGGTGTTGAAGTCGAGCCTCAAGCCGCTGGAGGTTACGCTGGTGTCGTCAATGTCACGCCCATCAGCGGTCGTGTCATTCTTTCCGCTGGAACATTTGGCTCAGCTAAGCTGCTTCTGCGGAGTAAGTGGATCAATTCACCACATTTCTTTTTCTGGTACTAATAGGCACAGGTGGCATTGGCCCCGCAGACCAATTGGCTGTAGTGAAAGGTTCATCTGACGGCCCAACGATGATTTCCAACTCATCGTGGATCACTCTCCCTGTTGGATACAACTTGGAGGATCACACAAACGTAACACTGACGTCTCTCCAAACTCCATCGTCTGCTGATTAGTGTGTCTTAGACTGATACCGTCATCTCTCACCCTGACGTTGTATTCTACGACTTCTACGAGGCCTGGGACAACCCCAATGCCACTGACGAAAGTCTGTATATGGGTACGTGGAATATACTGAGCATGTCATGAATCATGTCTAACTGCGAGAACAGACAAGCGATCCGGCATTCTCACCCAAGCAGCGCCAAATATCGGACCAATGTAAGTCTTCGATATACTCAGGTAGACGAGCGAATTTAACAACTTCAGGTTCTGGGATGAGATCAGTGGCGCTGATGGCATCGTTCGGCAGCTGCAGTGGACAGCCAGGGTGGAGGGAAGCCTTGGTGTGGAGAATGGCAGTAAGTCTTTCGCAAATCCACGACCAAGATATCTTGCTGATCACGAAATACAGAATCGATGACGATGAGCCAGTATCTGGGTCGTGGCGCCACCTCCAGAGGCCGTATGACCATCACCAACAGTTTGAACACTGTTGTGTCCACGCTGCCTTATCTGAATGACAAGAACGATGTCCTCGCCGTCATCCAGGGCATCAAGAATCTGCAGGACGCCTTGAAAAACGTCGCTAATCTAACCTGGGAATTCCCCGACGCAGATACATCCGTCGAAGACTATGTAAACAATGTAAGTAGCTATCCGCCACTCACTCACCGCTCTCCAAAAAGCAACTTAACTAAGCATATCACAGATGCTCGTGTCCTACACCAACCGCCGCTCCAACCACTGGATCGGCGCCAACAAAATGGGCACCGACGACGGGCGGTCCGGCGGCTCCGCTGTCGTCGATACCAACACCAAGGTCTACGGCACCGACAACCTGTTCGTCGTCGATGCGAGTATCTTCCCTGGCCACGTCACCACCAATCCCTCGAGTTACATCGTGACCGTGGCGGAGCGGGCGTACGAGCGCATTTCGGCGCTGGCGACGGCGACACCGGGGGCTAAGTTTGCGCAGTGTGACGGGGCCACTTGGACGGGCAGTTTTCAGTGTGCGGATGGGTTGACTTGTACGATGAAGGATGTGTATTATTCGCAATGTCTGTGATTGATGGGATAGCGTTGATAAGTGGCGGTGATGAGCTTTTGTTCTTGCATACATTAGATCGATGCCAAGTGTCGTAGGCGGGATATATAACTCGCACCGAGCATAGAAGAATCTGTCAAATTCGTTGTCCATTCAATTTTTGCACCATCCCGTTCACACTTAAGCAGATAAGTATTCAAGCTTGAGAAGATACAAGCTTAGGGCACTAGAAGTCACTCCCGATGCGGACACCTTCCATCATCCAGGTTTGATATTTCATTGTATTTGCGACCTTTTCTGCACGTAGTAACTATCGTCGTCAGGATATTGTAATTGACATGAAGTCCATGTGCACGAACTCTGCGATTGGTCGGAAGAGCTCGTTATAACACCCATGAATATAGCCCATATGTGAGCCTCTTGATATCAAGACACGGTCAAATTTTCACAATGCCACGAATACTGACCTATATAGCTCCTACAATATTCTATAGCCCAAATGTATTTATAGCTTATGTCATGGAGACGTCATTTGGCCCAGTTCGGCGTCATGTGTAAAGAAATTTAGCCAAGCAACGCAGTTCGCTGGTCGCACCCCAGACTGCGGGGATTTGATTACCCCCAAGCCCCCCCCGCTCTTTAATTCCGGGGTAGGCCTTAGGGGTGGATTAACCAATGATGGCATACACATCAACAATCGCTACCACAATTGGCAAAGCTCGCCATATGTTACCCGTGTACAGCGCAAAGATCGGCAAGGGATATATGGCTTCCGTGTGGCCTACTGCCCCTAGTCACGGGGAACACAACATGACATTAGAGTGCAGCTGACAAGGTTCTAAAGGGCATGACAGCCAACCAAGGCTATGGACTAGCTTCGTTTAATATACAATGCTACGTGGGTTCCGAAGAAACGATCGTTGCGGGGAGCCCATGAGATGCGATGACGATGATGATGAAATAGGGTTCTGGTCCTCGAAAACTTGGAGAGGGGGGAGGGAGAGGGAAATGGTGTAAATACGTGATTAAGTCTAGATTTCCTAGTCCAGGATGTTCAGTCTTGATCTTTTGCCAAGATTCGAGCGAAACAATCAACAATGGGACTCTTACATATTCTCAGCATGGCGGCCGCAGTTGCTACATTGCTCACATGCATTGCAAAGGCTGCGCCAGCGCCCATAATTTCTCTGACAAAACGAGACTTAAAGTTCGCTTTTGGCGATGAGAAGATCAGAGGGGTAAACCTGGGTGGCTGGCTTGTGTTGGAGGTCAGAAAAGCGACTATGCGACATGTTGAATTAGGAAAACTGTCAACTGACACTTCTCTAGCCATGGATCACTCCATCGATATTCGAGGCAACGCCAGACAAAGTAGTAGACGAATACACACTAGGAGAGACACTCGGCCAAGACGCAGCCTCGACTGTCCTTCAGAAACACTGGAGTACTTGGATCACAGCAGAAGACTTCACCGACATAGCCTCCAAAGGGCTCAACTTCGTCCGAATCCCCATCGGATACTGGGCTGTAACCCCCCTGGAGGGCGACACCTACGTGTCAGGCGCCTATGAGTACCTGGGCAAGGCGCTCGACTGGGCCCAAGCGGCCGGCATCAAGGTCATGATCGATCTCCACGGCGCCCCAGGCTCCCAAAACGGCCTCGACAACTCGGGCAAACGCGGTACCGTCGGCTGGACTCAAGGCGACACTGTTGCGCAGACCCTGACGACCCTCAACAAAATCCGCGACGACCATGCCGCTCACCCGGCCGTCGCTGCTATCGAGCTTCTCAACGAGCCCATGAGTCCGAAACTCGACATGAATATCGTCCGCCAGTTCATGTCTGAAGGTGCGGCTAATCTAGAAAACACTAATGTCGCCATCACTTTCCACGACGCCTTTACGGGGGTTACGAGCTGGAACTCTTGGGGCTCAGGTCTGGACTCGCTGCTGCTCGACACACATCACTACGAGGTTTTTGATTCCGGCTCGCTGGCTTTTAGCATCAATGAGCACGTCAGCAGCGCATGTGGTTTCGGTACACAGATGGCTAGCACGAGTAAGTGGACCATTGCAGGAGAGTTCACAGGTGCCGTTACAGATTGTGCGAAGTGGCTGAACGGCCGCGGTGTGGGGGCAAGATACGATGGCACGTACAGCTGGGAGGGTGCAACATCGTCATACATTGGGTCTTGTGAAGGGAAGGCCTCGGGTACGGTCGCTGGGCTCAGTGATTCTGATAAGAGCAACATCAAGAGTTTTGTCAATGCGCAGATTGTAGCCTACGAAAAGGCTGCGGGGTGGATCTTCTGGACTTGGAAAAATGAAGCCGCGCCTGAATGGAATTTTAAGGACTTGGCTGAAGCTGGTCTTATTCCGCAGCCGTTAAGTTCTACGAGTAAGTTTATTTCTGATGTTTATGATTGGAATTCATACTGACTTTGGAGTAGGTGCTGGTGTCTGTGGATAGGCTTTGGGTCAGGGTTACCAAACTGCGGGAAAAGGGGTTTGTATACCACTATGATTATGAGTAACGACACTTTTTCATTGAAAATGAACAATTTATTACGTAAAAAGCTACCCTTATTCCATATCTTGAATTGAATCATAAGAATACGAAACATACAACGACTGCGATACTATTGTTGATGAGTGCCCCCCTGAATATGAACTACTATTGTATCATTGACAGCGATTTGTAGTGCCCAACAGAGTGGCCTATTTCGAAATTATAGAGAAAAAGAGAAAAATAAATTTGATGCTCTCTATTTCCTACGATTGCCTGGCGCCACTCGGGCGATGCTGGTGTGACAGAGTAAATTTGGACGTGAGTCCATGGCTGCCTATACTATAATCTCTCCGATATGGAAAATAAGGTATCTAGAACACAGCCACATCCTTTCCGCAGAGATAAGATGACAACCCCCATTAGAGTCGGACATACAATAAATATCGTCACCAAGGCCTACTACCTCGCCCAGGACTACAATAAAGCCCCTGACGGAACCAGGGACTTTAACTTCAACCTTGAATCACTTAAATTCATGTTTCAGGATGCGGACGAGGCCTTGGTCCATAACTGTTCGGATCAACGGGCGCTGCATATTCGTTCCGGATGCCAGAACGTACTCGATGACGGACGGAAGATCCTAAATAAATGTTCTTGACGGGTGTGCGAAGTTGAAAGCGAAAATGTAAACAGTTTACTTACCTCAAGCAGTTCGATCCTATGACGGAATGCTACTTGATGGATTTCAAGCCCCAGATTTGGGAACCTGCCAGAACTCGCCATCTGAGAGCCACTACCTAGACCCTGGCGACGACAACAGCCCCTGGGACACCTTTAGGATATAAGAAATTCACAAGTCGCTACACGCAACCTTTTTCAACTAGCCAATAAATTCAGCCAACATTGCCATCAATTAATGAAGGTTATTTGGCTAATTTTCAGAGTAAATCTACAATTCTAGTCGCCGGGAAAGCCGGTTCTTGAACGAAACTAGGTAATTCATGGTTTGTGGCTACCCTAACAGGCGGTGACCAAGCCGATGTGGAAGGGGAGGCCCAGCAACAGTAAGCTTGATGCAGCCAGGTCGCTCATCCCGGATCAAGAGATAAAGGCTGATAGGGTTAAGTCATCGTCGCATGAGCCGAGGACCAGGAAGGGGTATGGTGGTCGTTCTTGACTAGGGCAGAGTCTTGCTATATTTTCTGCGGTTTCATTTATCCCTTCCCCCCCCCCCCCTTCCTACTCCCTTCTTGCTTTCACTACCGCGACATCGAGATATTATTTTCCAATGGTCCGTCTGGAAGAAGTCAGGTAATATTGACGATTCAGCTACATGTTTCGGTTTTCGATCACAACTATCTTGAAATGTGGACTTAACGTGTTTATTTTTCCTCAGCTAACAATATTTGGATCGTCGCGGGCACCGGGTCATTGGCTTTTCGTGTCTAATAGAACGAAGTTGGAGCCTCCGCAAGCCTCCTACGAGACCAGCCGGCTCCGAGATACTTAGCAGAAGTAAGATCTGTGTAAGTACTCTTGGTAATCTCCGAGGACGTCGGTCTTACTGGCCAATCATGCAGCCAATAAACCAGCCGCTACGAGAACTCGTGAAACCCGATGATTCCGGGTTATCCCAATGCCATTGGCTTATATATTATCTTACCGCCCTCGGATCACACGTTGAGTCTTTGGTTTGTAATTTCAGAGCTGGCGGCCGAAGCTCACTACACTCATCCTAGATACACTACCCCCGAGCACAGAAAGGACATAAATAACGAATTAAACACTATCAATATCTCATCAACATATCCACCTCATTCGTATTCGTCTCGCCACCAAGATGTCCCTCTCATCCTGCTGCCTCACCGGCTTCACCTGGGACGGTACCCCCGCCGGTACCGTCGGCAAACTATGCAACAACGACACCTACATCGCCGGCAAAAACCCCTCGGCCGCCATCCTACTCGTCCACGACGCCTTCGGCTGGACCTTCCCTAACGTCCGCCTCCTAGCCGACCATTACGCGCGCGAAGCCGACGCGACGGTCTACGTGCCTGACTTCTTCGGCGGCGAGATCCTCTCGACACAGCTTTTGCTCGAGGGCCGCTATGAGGAGATCGGCATCGCTGATTTCATCAAGCGCAACGGGCGCGGAGTGCGCGAGCCCGAGATCTTCGACTGTGCGCGTGCTTTGAAGAAGAATTACGAAAAAGTCGGCGCGATCGGGTTTTGCTATGGGGGGTGGGCGTCTTTCCGATTGGGCGCGAGGGAGCATCAGCCGCCATTGGTGGATTGCATTAGTATAGGGCATCCGTCGTTGGTGGTGACGAAGGATATCGACGATGTGGCGGTGCCGGTGCAGATTTTGGCGTCCGAGATTGATCATATTTTTACGCCCGAGTTGAAGTTGTACAGTTTTGAGACGATTACTAAGGTGGGGTTACCGTTTGATTATCAGCATTTCTCTGGGGTGGAACATGGTTGTCTTGTGAGGGGAGATGAGAAGAAGGAAGGTGAGAGGGAGGCTATGGTTAGGGGGAAGAATGCTGCAGTTGCGTGGTTCAATCAGTTTTTGCATGCAAATTGATGATGCCTATTGAGCTTAAAAGGGGGGTTTACGGAAAATTGTCATCACATAGGCGTAGCATGTTAAATCACATCGGACTTATGGCAAGCTATTACAAAGCACAGAAATCATCGTGACTCTGATCTCCCCAAGTCCAAAGGAGTTAAGGCAGTCGACCATAAGGGCCTCAAATATAGAAACATGTACCTTTTGGCTACACATTTGGATCAGTTGCTGATACAACAGAGGCTTCGTTTCCGTAGCTCGTAGTATGCTTGCGCGGTGTTTGTACAATGAAAATAGGCTGTTTACGTCCTCGACTTACACAGCCTCCTTATTATATGTATTCACCTCACGGTTCCGAGGTCCTATGACGACTGCTACGAATGATATATCCCTATCACACAGCCTTGTGACATCTCAATCTGTTTCCAGTTTGGAGGCTTATCAGTTGATCTTCTTTATGCCTGTCTATACCGAACGCTCTAACTAGTTTCCGGCAATTAAGATCCCTCGCCTTATCTGCTTCAGCGGGAATAGTGCTGCCATATCTTCGAACCTGAAGTTACTAAGAACGCCCAAACGCAGGGCTCCCTTGAATTAGAAAGTTTCCTTTTATGCTAAAGACGGGGAAGCGAATAATCGCTGATAGGCCAGGTTCGCTGATCGTGACTCGGTTCGGTTTGGTTTTGTACATGTTGTGCTTAACAAGGTTCGACTGTGCCGACGTCATCACATCCAGCCACATAGTTCCCATACGCCTCATCAGTTCAGAAATACTCATGGTGGAGTCTGGGACTCTGGAATAGACTATAGTCCTCTTGGTCATTTGTAGCGATACGTTTGGGGCTAATGCTGGTGTCTTTTTTCCAAAATTCCCACACCCACTCGTGACGTATCATAGCCTATCATGAGACATATCCCACAGCTTGCCTCATAAGGTGGCCTTAATATCTCCTTGCTGGTCATACATGATAATTATCCGTATGTGTCAACCAAGCGACCCGGAAGCCTGTCCCTCGTCTCATCAAGCCATGGACTGCCCAAAGACCCAAGATGACAGCGGGCAACCCTTCCTCAGGCTCTAATCCTACGAAGTGATGGAAATAAGCCAGGCAATCCGGGCCAAAAAACCTGGCAAAAAGTTCATCTTCCAAATAATCGCCGTCAAGGAGCCATTGAAGTCGGAATCCATTGCCTTCATCAAGTGCATAGGCCCCGCTCTCAAGTGATGAACGTGCGTGACGTACCAAGTAAAGAGAGATGCCAGACGTCTTGGAGGATAACACTGACATGTCGAAAGGTAAGGTATTCCTTAGCCGTGATCTAGGTCTAATATGCCACCAACTTACTACCAACATCGACATGCACAGACTCGAGGAGATTAGTATGAGCCACTCCCTAGTCCAAGTCGAGATCGCAAGACTACACTTCAGCGAGGATATGGTAGTCCAGCCGGAGCCCTGGCTGTACGGTGATCTGATCATGAAGGTGACGAGAATCGACCGGCTGCCTATGATCCACTTGAAAACATTGTCGACGAAAAGCCAGCGGTGCAACATTCGTGGCATGCTAACTCGGACGCCGAATATACCTCTAAGCCATCGACGTAAGGCAGCCTAAGAGCGTTGGTATCAGGTGCAGATAAGCCACATTGGCCTATAGGTCTTATATAACCATTGGGCTCCAGTGGCTTTCCGGCACCTGGCCTATGCGAGGGTCAGCAATGCATAAATAGGCTGCTGTGACCCCCCTCTCTTGAGGAAGGGCTGCGATAAACTTGTCGTTATTGAGTCATCTACACTACACTGCTAGTACCCACCTGGTGACTGGCAACCGACTTCCCTCTAACACTTTTACTTCACAAAATACAACGAGAACAAGCTGTACCCGGCAGGCAACTTCCTGTGGCAAAGTACCGGAGGCTCAGGATTGCGTACGTGGCCATCTAGAAAGCATGACATTGGGTCTGGTGAAGGCCTATCGTGCACGTTTGCTTTCACGCATGTTCCGCGACCTGAACACTGGCCCATCCTGTCTTGCAAAGTCTTCCGTGTCGGATTGAAATCGGTCAACTTCTTCGAGAATAACCCTGCCCTTGATGTATCACAACGCACAGAGACAATGCCGTCAAATATAACAAATTTTGATATAATACAAGGATAGCCTGTCTTAAATATACATATCTCTTGAAGTCGTTAAATTACCGCGTCAATGTGGGCTGAATCTCCCTGGCATGCCCTTACTGACCAGCGGCCTGAGCTATATCTAAGTTTTTGGTCATGTTGACTGACGCGTCGTTGATTATCTCAAGTTCCGGACACGATATCAGGCAAGCCTAGGAAGGTTGTATCTTGAATACGGTTACAATGGAAGAAGTATCACGATAGTTTCTAGCCTAGCCTTAAGACCAAAGTCAATGTACGGCACGTCGTGGTCGTTCCAGAGGTTGACTTCACCTCTGCCAGCTTAGCTAGCCTTTCCTCCACAACAATGCGTACGGCTTGACAGAAGGCGATTGAGCGACCTCCCGTCCCCGCAGATGCTGTTGACTGATGAGGGAGAGCAGGCAGGTGAGTTGGTACTGCTCAAGGCCGACAAAGTTGTCAAGTTGTCGTCGTTTCCCAAATGGACGCGACGGCCGGTTGGGGCCACGTGCTCGCCGTCTTGGACAGTTGGCGCACTCTAGGTCGGCCACGGGCCTCTCTTTGGGTAGTTGTGTAGAGGAGCAGTCAAATTGTAGATACGGCAAAGCTCACAAGGAGGAGGGACAACACATTGCAAATGCGACGAGATTAGAATGCGGTTATGCCGTTTCTGGGAAGCGACAGCGGGGCCTACTTGTCGCGCACGCCAGGCGTTACAGGTAAGAGGTAAACGTATATCACCTGAAATAAAAGTCAAATGAGATATAGCACGTTTGGCGGGAGAATTATCATTTTGTTAGATAACAATAGAAAAGAAATTAATTCCTCGAGGAAGCTCCTGGCTGGAAGACGCGAATTTGTGATAGTTCATGTAGCTTGTCCAAAAATGTGCTAATTGCAATCATATACCATGTCAATCCAATAAAAGTAATTGTATGAGACTACGCGTCAATGCGAGGCTTCCACTGTTCCAAGACCCAGAGCGCGTCAGCGTTCGAATTTTGACTCCAACCTTGGCCCGGCCACGTGTATGGAAATTTTTGGAGAACGCGCTTCATGGCCCCCCTCCTCTCCCGTTCCGCCTGAGTCGCTGTGAACTATGAATTGACGCCACCCAATCTATCAGATGAAACAATCGACCAATCGTTCGACTCTGCAAAGAAATCTCCTAGGTTCCACGGACGGCAATTTCGCCTCTCGCCGTTCGATGGTAGACCACACGCTGTATGCTAATTCCATATTCCAGGGCTTAGAGTCAACAGTATGCAATGTTTGGCGTACCCTCATCACCCTCCGACTGTGCCAGATTTCGAGCTCGATAATTCATCTGGCATCTGCTGCACCTGCATAAGCCCAGGCACGAACTGTGATCAGAATGTACCTGATTTCTCGCGTCGTGGGAGGGATAGCTACGGCGTTCACTTTGCCTGGCCATTTTTCCAGCGTCCCAAGCAGCCCCTAGCGCGTTTTCAAGTTTGCTGGCGCGGCACTTAATTACACCCATACCCACACTTCTCGACGCCGTGAGTCTCCCGCCAGAACGAAAACCCTTGGTATATCATTGTGTGTCTGCGTACTCAATGTTTCGAGATATAACGCATGATTCATAGTTCACGACTGACATACGGCCCCCTTCAAGCCGCCTTTTCTGTTGCGGCCTTGGGCATTGATTACGACGGTTTGGTTGAGACCAGTGCAGTTTCGGTAGGCGTTGAGCCAGCTGGTAGCGCCCTTAAAACGGGGTTTCCGGCGGTTGGAGTCGTTTTTGAACATTACACAGACGGACCTATCAGTGATACTATCAGTGATAGTTTTGAGGCGACGGTGTATCACGTCAAGTACCTCGTATATGGTAAGGCACAGCATAATTGCTACAGTGCTTTCATGCGTGGCTTTGGCCGGATCTTGCAGACTCTACTGGCGATGTGGTATGGCCCGGCTGCGATAACGTAGCAGGTATCATCGGGCCGCTTTGAAAATCTGGACACATGAGCGGCCGCGGCAGCGAATATGCTGTTGAGCAGAAGTATTTACATCAGTTCCCAAGGCGACTATCCTATTCTGAAGACGTGGATTGTTCTCATGAACTCTCACATGACGCTTGCCCAAGGCGACTCCCAAGATTCACAGCCGCGTGACTGGGATCGCGAGGTAGTCGCATGCGTTGTCCAGTTGCCCGATCTCATGGTGAGCACCAGCCTATCCTGCAGCTCACCGGCAAGTGGTTGTTGACCCCATGACTGATCTATAACTAACAATCTCTAGTACGAAGCAGGGCTACTGCTCTAGACGACTGAATCGGCTACCGTGTCACGCGAAGAGTTGGCGCATCGTGTCTCGAACGCATTGCAGCAATGTCTTTCGATGCCAACGCGGGCTCACTGAGATTGGCTTTGACGGGTGATCAGAGTGGCCGTCCCTTGGATGCAGCTCAATTTCTGGAAGCGGTCGAGTTGACCAGACGAAGTTTAGCCACGGTGGAGGCTTTCCGTCGCGCGCTTCACATATACGTACACCAGAACCCTCCAGACATGCCATTGGACCCTTTGGACGAGTTATCCCAAGCGTCTCTTGACACTACTTTTAACCTCCCATTGATTCTAGACGCCATCGGCCCGGGTCCAATCTGGGTTGGGCCTTGGTGGTGATGGTATGTGAAACACGATCCCAAGATCGACCACAGTATCTTGTTTAGAGTTGGCAGAAGATACATTCTCTTGAACCTCACAACTCGATACTGGCCAGAAGGTCATGCAGCAGGTTTGAGCCATCGACGACACCGCCACTGCAAAGGGTGGATCCAAGGTGACTTGGCAAAATGTCCTGGGCCAGGAGGGCAATGAGACTATCTGCTTATGAGGTTCGCAAGGTCAGACCGAGTCGTTGGTACTAGTAGTGGATCCGAGATATACTAGAAGGCCACGCTTTCCAGTGTTCATGTCTTGTGCAAAGGGCCAACCCCTTTTGCCACAATAAATTACCACACCCGCTCCCCACCTGGAATCAAATTTGGATGCTGGTCGTTAAGATAGAGAAAAAAACAAAAATGAAAAATGTTGAATTAGGATGCCATCAAGCCACAACAACCGTTATCGGCTTTGATGACATAGAGCTGAATGGGGCACTGCAGCTGGATCTCAGTGCGTGGCCAAGCGCATACGCAAATTGTTTGTGTGTAGCGCCAAGAGCAGAGCAGCTCTAACAAGTCGTAGCTGGCACGAAAGAGGATATATGTTGCAAACACAAGGCCTCCCTAGCAAGGCTCGATGTTACAGGCACGACGGGACGAGAGTGGTGTTGTCAATATGCGGTATTATTGGGATGAGTCGAAGGCCACCGGATGTTTGACATATGTGGATCATAGTTGTACATGGTCTGCGTCTTGGACCGACTGTCGTCATTCATCTCGTTTCTTCGTCTCGCCTCTTTCCAGCACTCATATCTTAATTGCAGATTTCATGCCTTGCTTCTTTAGCCACAGCCACACAGCCCTTTCGTTGATCAAGTAATGATGTTCCTCAAGATACATAGTCAACCTTTCGGACTTCAATCGGCCGCTTTGCGCGTTGGCTTGACTGCTCGAAGCTAATGCTTAGGTCAGCCTCACAAGGCTCATTCTGACAGCACTGAGGGAGAGTGCGGGGCACTTGTTGAGAGCTAAGGCAACTTGCGACTTCTCCACGCACTACTAACTTCTCCGAAACACTTGACGTCACCCTCATTGCTTACGACGTTGCGAGGTCGAGCAGGTCTTCTCGGTGCGATGCGCGACGGACGCGAAACGGCTCTGCCGATCAACTTACTGGTCATTAAAGCTATCTCAACCACAGAAGGCATCCATCAATTCTGTTTCGGGACAAAGTTGAAGACCCAGCCCCTGTCAATACGCTGGAGTCCTATCAATCACAAGAGGGTTCTCGCCAAGGCGCCACGAGATTCAGCGTTCCATCGTCAAACATGACCACAAATAATCCACTCTTCATGTAACTCTTAGCCTCCTTAGTTGGGTGTCTATTGATCTTCCCCAGCTAACAAAGCGCTACTTTCAAGACCCGTCTCCCCACCTCAAGTGCTCAATTGGCCAACGTAACATGGCGCGCCGTCGAGCTCAGCCTGGGATTCCGTGGTGGGTCGCTGTGCCAGCCTTTGTGCTCTGCTGTCCGGTTTGGATGCCCATCTGGGTCTGCTTCAAAACGACCGCCTGTTGCCGCGATTGCCAACGGGCTGCCTCAAGGAAATGCTCAGATGTCCGCCGTGCTCGCCAACGAACCAAATTCGAGCGTCTCGTTTGGGAAAGCAAGTTGCCGCCGTCCCAACCCATCATTCGCGATGATGCGCAACCCGTGACATTGGCCTCCAAAACGTCGTTTTTACACTTGCCACTGGAGATTCGCTCGTACATATACGAGCTTGCACTTGGCGGCCCAGCAATTGTTCAGCCCAAGTTCAAAGCCTCGATGCGCGGCTCACGTCCGACGACCTGGCAACTAGCACAGCATATTCGTGACGACGAAGAACTCCCGAGCTCCGCACTGTGTCGCATTATCACTACGGGTGGATCAGGCCTATCACAAATCATCACGATAAGAGATCACAGCTGCAGGGCAGGTTATTTAATTCCCGCCATGATTTATGACGGCAGTCGGTTGGATACAACGCAGGGTTACATTCTACGGGTGATGGGCCAACCAGTGGCGCCACATATCCGTGCGATGCTCACCTGCCGCAAGGTTTACGACGACGTTCTGCACAGGCTGTACGCAGATAGTACCATCTCATTGTTCGGCGCCGAGATGGTGCACTACTTCACTCGGAACGCGAGTCCGGAGGGTTTGCGGCGGGTGCGTTACGTTCATGTGGCTCTGGTCATTGCATCGAAACAATGGGAGACGGCAAAGAGCAAGAGTGCTGTCGAGACTGCATTGTGCAGCATCAGTGAGACGTTCACCGGCTTACGAGAGCTTGACGTCGAGATAGTGCTGATGTGGAGTCAGCCCAACAAGCCGCACCAGTTCTGGACCTGGCTTAAGGATGAGTTGTCTCGACACTCGCGAGGCCTCGACAAATTTGTGATGAAGATAGCAGTCTACCGTTCTGGACAACCCCGACGGGATACAGATGTGCCCAGATTTGAACGCCTGAAGGGTTGGGATGAAAACGAGTATTCGGCACTGAAAGCGGCAGTGACTAGTCCAGTCGCAATAACTTGAATTATTAAACACCACTTGTATAGTAGATAGTCGCATAAAACGTCGCCTAGAAATCAAAGGCGTTTCTTTATTCATACGATACCACATTGAAAGTAAGGCAAGGTAGGTAGTACCCTGCCAGCATGGATAGCATAGTAACCGCGCGCCTAATATCGGCTCTGGACTAAGATCTTCGTAAGGGAGCTAGCCTTCGAGCAGGTTGCAGGTGACGGGGTGTAGGATTAGTTGGCGGGAGATATAATTTTTTTGGGCCACCTAATTAACCGGGGTGACGGTACATATGTGGACTGAACACATAGGGTTTGAATGTCACGGTAACTTCAAAACTATTTTCCCAGACGTGGAAATCTAGAGCACATGTAGTAGCTGGAGGTCCTGGGATTTCCCTTTCCTGTAACTAATTTTGCTGAATTGGGGTGTACGCTGGGCATGTCGTGCACATAGTGTCCACGTATGTACCGTACCCCCGTCATCTGGAACCTTGCCTTCGAGGAACCAGAATTCCCTAGGACTGAACGAGGTCGTCGGGGGTGGATATTTTCGTTGGTTTCTTCTGGGATACCCCCACCACCCTGTTGCCCGGCGAGCCTCCCGGCTACGGGTCAGCTAACCCGGGTTTCCTTGCTATACTCATAGTTGTACTTCGTAGAAATCTTAGCTTCAAGTTTGATAAAATTGACCAAATTCACACTATATGTCAGGTAACCCTCCACTCCCGGCTTGCCTACAAAAGAAATAATTTCAATCAAGATAGCCCATTGATTTTTTCCTATCGTATAAAACGTATTTTGAACCTTGCCTTTTCTTCCTGCCTCTTGCTCTGAGGTATTGACTTCGATTACAAAATAAAATCCTCCTCCTATACACGCGCCGGTCTCCTCGGTGGCGGCCACAACGCCGTCTCCCCACTTGGTGCAGCCGCGGGTTCCGCCCACGGTTCATAATGCGAGTCCTCATCCACATGCGAGCCCACGTCCGTATGGGCCGACAGTGGCCATCCGTCACCAGGCTGGAGCGGCCCTGTGTGCGAGGCTTTTATCGCGCGGTCGACTTCGGAAGGCGAGTATGATGTGTGAGGTTCCCACGCTTGCCCTATGGTATCGGCTGCCGCCTCTTCCGGGATTTTGCGCAGGGCAAAGGACTCGACGGGTGCCTTTTTGGTGTCATCGTGGGCGGCGCTGGTGATGGTTGATGAGGCGCGTTTTCCGTCGACGTTGCTGCGCCATCCGCCGGTGGTTCTCCCAGCTTCGGTATCGCCCAATTTCCTTGATGTAAGGGAGCTGTGGATCTCGCGGAGGAAGGGCCGGAGGATAGGGATGCACTGCACGATTATGGTGCCGCAGATTTCGGCCGAGTACCTGTGGTAAGCGGAGTTAGTGGCTGCTGCTTTTGAACATCTCCCCGAAGTTGTGTAAGAGGAGAGATAACTGACCAGACCATAGACTGGCCGTTTCGCCCTGCGAATATGATGTCAGCATGATAACCAGCAGAGTGACGGTGGACGAGTGCTTCACTCACACATATACCACGCGTCGTGGACGTGCATTATCGGTTTAGACTTCCAGACAGTCCGCACAGCAGAAATAATAGCAACCCTGTCCAACGAGTCAGACCCAATCATTCCTCTCTCAGTCCTGTATGCCTCAACTTACAACAGCCCCAAGCTCATTGTAACGCAAAGAGCGGCCTTTTCATATCGTTTGATATTTAAACGCCATGTGATCAGCCAGGGGAACAGCGCAAAAACGAAATCCATAATGATATTGTAGGCTAGTGACATGAAATGTCAGTATTCCCAAAGTTCTCTCGCGCGCGCAGGCGCCCTACAAATCCAGTCACTTACTATTGCCACCTTCTTTGAAATCATCGGCGAAGGTTGCGTTGATGCAGAAGCCTGGAATCCTGTACCACACCTGGTAGCTGGCCTCGTCGCAATACCTCGCCCATTGGAAGACCATCTTGACAGCCATGTAGGCGTTCATGGTGGCTATGCAGAACCACAAGATGTACTGTTGCCAGCGATTGCTCATCCTGAGTAAAGTCACGGCGAAGGCGGTTTTAGTCCATGTTTGGCCGAGAAGAGTACCACATGATGAAATGTTGATGAGAATGTGCATCCGGTCGTCCCACTTGTCCACCACGTAACCTGTCGCAAACTCGTAGGAAATAAGGGCGTCGTTCATAAGTAGTATTATCTATGAAATGATTAGTATGAAATAGCGGGACGTCGTGATAAAGTTGGTGCGGCATACCCAGGATATCACAAGAATGTGATCATCATACCACAGCCCATGGCCTCGGGTGAGCTTGCACCAGAGCCGAAGACTCAAGAAAAGAGTCGCACCGCTGAATAAGGTCCATAGCCCTGCATTGACCTCTCTTTCGGGCGAAATATAATGATGTTCGGCTCGAGGGGAAATCATCGTCACATACTGGCTGGCACGAACAGAAATCGAAAAGTGACGAAAGTTCTGTTGCGGAATTCAAAGGCAGAACGAACGTTCAAGGGATGAAGCAGGGGCAACTCGTGGTATTTTGTTCTACTGAGGGGCATACCAAGGATCACGAATCCGTCATTCGTCTCGAAACGGTCAAAGTGTTTGCTTGCCCGCTATAGCACGTCCACCCCCACATGCCGGTATTGTTCATTATCTCCGATGCTACACAATCTGAGAAGCTCCTTGCTTGCCCGAGCTGCTAGGCCACGCTTCACCAGTAACCAGCTGCCCCGTTTTCGAGCAAACCCGCATGACTGGGGTTTCCCATGTTCGTTGCCGTGAATCACGAATTTTCACCACGGACTGCCACGAATTGGGACCCGGGACCGACCTGGGCCATCGCAGCGAAGAAAAGACTGCTCAAAGTAATATGGGGGAGTTTGCTTTGGAGGTGACGCCTGAGCGTAAAGGGTAGTCATTGACTGTGCCGTCGAATACAAAAGGGGCCCCCACCGAAATATGCCGGGATCAAGTTTCAAAAATATTGCGAAAGCATCCGCCAATCAGCCAATCTTATGTGATGGCCGGGATCCAGGGCTGAGCCAACGAACAATTTGGAAAAGGCCGCATCCAGAACAGCTGTTATCTAAACGACGGATTGCTGATAAAATGTTCCGCGAATCATCAATCGAAAATGTCCACGTTTGACCGAGAACCGAATAATGCCCGCTGGCGATGTCTGCCTCTAAAGTTTGTACAACGTGACCGTAGCGCACATATCAAGAGGCTTGCTCTGATGTGCTCTTGCGCGCATCAGTCACACAGTCTTAGCTCAGTTCAGTTGTTTCTCCGTGATCGGATCACGGTGATCACGATGAACACGTATAAGTGTTTTCAATAGTTGGTCACATCATATTAGGTTTGCTTGCTTGTATAAGTGAATCTTGGCCCAATCCACTTGTTCGCGGGAAGCCAGAATGTGACGAAATCTATAGATATTTATGTCAGTTACATGTGATATACCGTAATCGTTAAGGTAGGTTAGTCCGAGGTTCGGGGAACGGAAGATTCCCCCGAGGCTTAGAATGACTATTTTTGCAAATTTCGTTTTGGCATTGTAGCATCTTTGATTGTTGTGGTAAAAACTGCAGGGTACTTAGATGCCGTCATATAATGGGCTCTGGTTGTTTGCTATCAAATATTGGACTAATTGTGCAAATTGTATTGCATTGAAAGTGCGATAATTTTTGTAGACTTTCCAAGGAGTGAACTGTGGTCACAACGGCCTTACATAGAAATGAAGGATGCCTGCCCCACAGGCAGAAATTGTGTGGTGCTTTGGGTGGTAGTCACATTGGCCCATAACGTACGGTAGGTGGCCATATGTCCTCACAAGCTGGCGATTCGGCGTCATGGCCTTGAAGGTCCACCATCAGACTGCCAGAAAAACGTGCAAATACCCACATGTTCGGTATCGCCTTTTGACTTATGTTAACAGTGGCTGTGAGCAGTGCATTGTATGCCCTCTATGTGTGAGATGGTTGGTCACATCGACTGTGTTCTTGGCAGCTTGTTTAAATACAACATCTAGTACAGGCTGCGAACTGTTCGATGGGTGACGGTTGATTTGTTGCCAGAATGAGTGTCATCGGGAAATGATGTGAATCTCCTTCACCAACATTGAACCAAAGGGCGGTAATGAACCGTCCTATTGTGTCAATGTGAACAAATATATAACGTGAATGTACACCGAGCTGGCCATGACACCGAGCTGGCCACTTTCATGCGCCAACGCGACCGACCAACTTAATGTTTGATTTCTCAACAACCAATTATGGCAAAATCATACAACGAAGCAGACTTAATGCTAGCCCTTCAAGCTCTCAAAAATGACCAAAAACTTAGTCTCCGACAAGCGGCAAAAACGTACCAAGTCCCCCGAAGCACCCTCCAAACGCGTAAAAACGGCGTACCTTTCCGACGCGATATTCTGCCCAATTCACGAACTATGACAGAATTAGAAGAGGAGGTCATTATCAAGCATATACTGGACTTAGATGCACGAGCGTTTCCGCCCCGGATTGCTGATGTGGAAGCAATGGCAAATTCTATCCGCGCGACACGTAACGCAGGGCCCATTGGAACGCGCTGGGCCTCGAGGTTCGTCGCACGTCGCAAAGAGTTGAAAACTCGTTGGAACCGTCCTTACGATTACCAAAGGGCCCAATGCGAAGATCCAAAGCTTATTGCAACCCGACCGTGGGTATCAAAGACGCCACAGAACCCGATAGAGGCTCATGCACAGTCTGCTTTTTTGAAAAAGCGCATCTCCGAGCATCAGAATAGCTCTCCGACGAATATTTTCTCAGCTGTCGACCAGTTTGCGAAGGGAGCAAAAATGATAATGCACGAGCTCGCCCTCTTACGGGCCGAGTGCGCTGAGCTTCGAGAGGCAAATAAGATGCTAAGCCGGCGCCGGAGGACTAAAAAATGCAATTACGGGAAGGAGAATCACTTATTTTCCAAGAAGGACAGGACCTAGGGGACTCTAGGGAGTTGGCGACGCAGATACAGCAAGAAGAGCGCCGAAATGGTGGTCGCGCAAAGCGTGTTGAAACGCGCCCGAGGCGCTGTGGTATTTGCAACGGGACTGGGCATAATGCGCGAACTTGTAAGATCGCATTGCCATCTTCTGGAGAGGAAGATTCAGAGTAGTTTCAATTGATTTACCGCGTTGTGGTTTTACTATCGTAAAATTTCTATGCGAGGTTATGTAAGGGTGGCCAGCTCGGTGTACATTCACGTTACTTTACTAAATTTAATAGAAATCAGTTAATTATATAACGTAGTCCACGGTCCAATTACACACTTCGGCAGATTTTCGTACGCTACCACTTTGACCTGCGGTTTTTCACCACATAACTATGGTTGGTTCTTGGAATGAAAGTGATATGATTCTAGAATTACATGCGCTTCAATCTGATCCAAAATTATATTATTATTATTAAATACGCCGTAGGCTCGAAGCCCCCGGTACCTCTACTAGTACTCCCGTATGTCAAACCGTGCCCTAATGGCTGGACTAAATACATACGCTGCGTCGTCGGTTCGCCCTATTGGCGACTGCGTTGCGTTCACTACCATACTACGTTGGTTCTCAACCTACCAACAAAGTCCCCCCTGAGAAGATCGATGCTATCTGGGCCTTGAAGCTGTCCGACCCGTCCCTAGCAGCCACCTTACAATAGTCCCACTAACTACTGGCTCTCCTGTTGCTGTTGCGAGGTCTCTGCGAGAGTATAGTGGCCGTGGTGCGATAGCGGCCCGTAATCGTTCCCTCGGTCCTTCCAACAGCCCGCAAAAGAGGATTACGTGCTCTGTCGTCTCAGGGGCGTCGCCACAGCGGCATAGCGGCGAGTACACGCCAAAAGCCCCTGTCTTGAATAAGAAGGCTGCTAGTCCTATTTTTTCCGTCCTGATCTGGCACTAAGATAGAGGTCTAGTGGCGGGATTGCTGCTTCTGCTTCCAGGTGGCGAACCGGCGTCGCTTTGTGGGCGCCACAGACTACCCGGAGGCACTCGTTCTGTATCCCCATCAGGCTCTTAGCTGGCCCTGCCGGTTCCTCACTTATAGTATGCCACGCAGTCGCCCCGAAGGCGATCACGCTACGGATAACCACCGTATATAACAGCCTCGCCCGTATAAGATCGCAGCCCCACGACATATTGACTAGCTTTGTCAGGGCTAGCTTTTGAGTTGCCATTTTTGTTTTAACACGCTCAACATGGGCGTGCCACGTCAGTTTGCGGTCGAACCAGACTCCTAGGAACCTCGCTGAGACTACCGGCGACACTGTGGCGTCCCCAAGGCGAATACTTTGCGGCAAGGGCTCTCGGGCCCTAGTAAAGTGCATTAGCTCACTCTTGTCAGGGGCGAACTCCATCCCGTGCCTCACTGCCCACCGCTGACACGTAGCCCATGCGCCCTCCAATCGGCGGCAGGTCGTGTCTGGATCGGTGCCGACGCTTAGCAGGTTCGTGTCGTCCGCGAACCCGACTACCAAAAGTAGTGGGTGCTGCTCCGCTAGCTCCTCGTACAGCGTTGAAATGTATAATATAAACAGTATCGGGGATAGCGGTGACCCCTGGGGGACGCCAGCTCGTAGGGGGATTGGCTCTGACTCCTTGCCGTCGAACCGGAGGCGTACCGTCCTATCCTCCACGAAGCTGCGTACCCACTCCTGAACCCACTCCGGGTAGCCTTTCCGGGCTAATATGGAAATCAGCCGTCTGTAATTGACCGTATCGAATGCCCCCTTGATGTCCAGCTGTAGCAGCGAGGCGATGCCCCCGCGTCTCCACGCCGTATAGACCACGTCCTCAACTATACGTATTGCCAGTTCGGTGGACCTCCCAGCGCGGTTACCCATTTGGCCGTTTGGTAGTAGGCCAGCCGCCTCAGCTACTTTGGTGATACGCTGGCTCATCGCCGTCTCTATTACCTTCCCTACCGTGCTAAGCAGGGCAATGGGGCGCCAGCCGCCAGGGGTCTGCTTCTGAGCTGTCGTTTTATTAGGCTTAGGGATAACAACCACCCTCGCTGAGCGGAAGCGCTCCGGGTAGTACCCCAGCCTAAAGCTAGCTGTTGCCAGATCCGCTAGGATCTCCCATAGGGGTTCAGCGCAGGCCTTTAGCAGGCCAGTGGGGATCAGGTCGTCGCCGGGAGCCTTCCAAGCAGCCGTTCCTTTGATGATAGACTCGATATCCATTGTGTTCACCTCCCTAGGGACGTTCAGCTCTGGTCTTGTCTGTAATAGGCCGCGATCGAGGTCCGATAGATCTATACACGGGTCTGGGAAGAACCTCTCAGCTAGTAATTTTGCCTTCTCGTCATGTGTACGTGCCGTAAGCGTGTCGCCGGCGTCCCTCCGGAGATCTGGCAACCCGTGGGCCTCAGGGGGGGCCCAGCTCCGTAGCCTAGCCCACATCTGCAGTGCCCATAGGCTTTTGTGATCCTTCGCCGTCTCCTCGAGCTTCTTGTGCCAGCTACGCGTCTGCGCTTCGCTGATTTTGAGCCGTTGTTTTTGGCCGGCTCTTGTATATTCGTCCCAGTTGGTCTGCGA